TTCGGCACGGTCGGGGAGCCCAACTCCTCCGAGTCCGGAGGAAATTTAGGCCGGGGCGGCGGCAGCTCCGCGCCGTCTCCTTCCTTGACCGATGTTCCCGGTGCCAACGCCGAAGGGGCATTTCGCTCCCAAGTGGCGGATGTTCCCGGTGCCAACGCCGAAGGGGCATTTCGCTCCCAAACGGCGGAATGAGGTTGGAGTTCTTCTCTTTTTCCTCCGAACCTCCAGCTGTAGGAGCGGGGACTTTTCGTTCACCCGACTCCTCTTCCTCCTGTCCGGAGGCTTGTGCAGACACGCCTGTCTTTTCCACGGCCAGGAATTTTTCCTGACTAGCGTTGGGAAACAGGCCGCTTCTCTTGCCGTTACGACCCGTCTGGTCCTCCGAAAGGCTACCTGAATCGCCCTCGTGGGCACAAGACTTCGTTTTATCCTTCTTTTTGGGCCTAACGCCGAAAGAAAATCCGAAAAATAAGGAGTAGGGAAACGAACGTGCACCCCTCTGCGAACGCACAAGGAAAATGGCGGCGAACAATGTCATTACGTCATGATATCCCGTGATGCTTTGCGATTAGAGCTTTGTACACGTGCGCCACCTAGCGATAAGCATAGGAAATACTGCATAAGGTAAATGATATACCCAAATAGGGAGTGTGCAGGTATAATCAACAAAAAACTCATTGAGAGGTTTTTCCTAGTTTGATAAGAATTAGTACCTGGAAGTTGGCATCACTGGTGATGTCTATATAAGCCAGCCACCATTCATCGCCCTGCTCTCCTGTGGTAGACCACAGGTTGGTCAGTGGCCCGTTGATCTGGGTTCTCATGTACACGTTCAGTGTGTCAATGTTCCGTCCGTACATGTGGTACCAGAAACGCATCTGTTGGCAAGACCAGACAAAATTGTAAGCTAAAAGGCAACATATAAACAGGAGCAAATTTAGATATAAGGTGCTGTCTGGACAACAAAAGAATTGATAGCAGATTCTTTCAAGTATTTTAAATACAAAATTTTCTAGCTAAAAAGGCAACATTTCTGAAGAAACATAAATTTTGAAGTACATTAATATATTTCCCTTCCCATTTCCCCCCAGAAAGTCCTGTCTTGACATCAAATGTAAACAAAAATGTTAGACTCTTTTATTGTCAATACAAAATACTTTTAATTTAAAGAATACAAAATCTATGGTACAACCATAAATGCGGTAGCTGCACCAGGTTGGTTGCAAGTTTTTAAATACATGTAGGTAGATCTAGATCTAAGCTTTAAACATGTAGTTTTCACACTATGGCACACAAACAGAGGACTTATATTATACAGAAGTCTGACCTGACATCCAGGTGGGATGGTTGGAGCGCCCTGAGTAGTGGGCAGGACTGTTGTGGGCAGGAAGACTGGACTACTGATTCTGGCCACATCCCCAGGCTGTCTGGGACTGGACGCCTCGATATAGATGTAATAGCCTGTGCCAGAAATGGTGCACATCAAAACTTAATCAAAGGTTAACTTTGATCAAACACTAGACATCTGCAACTAACTAAATCCAACTAAGTTAACAGTTGCTAAACACTATAGATATCATGATAGAAACAGCTCCTGCTATGGTAACACGGTAGATTTTCAGGTGACAAAATGTGTTCTTTGCTCTGGCAATTTAGAAATTTGGTGACCTCTTAGCCATCAGCAAATTCTGCCATTTCATCTTTGTATGAAACAGATAGTGCAGATAACTGTGAGTAGATATTTAGGTGAAAATATGTTGATGCTCTGGCAAATTAGAAATTCGGTGATATTCGATCTGGCCATGAACGGATTCAGTTGAAGGCATGTGATGCAGGTTTTAACCTTCTTCCTGCAGCCTAACCTCATAATCAATACAACTTTGTTGCCAAATATCTACCTTAGCAGGCTGAAGGTTAAACCAAGACCCCACCTGAGGTATCCCCAGTAGTGTGGTCGACAGCAGGGCCTGTGGAGAAGGAGGAGGTGCTGCCACTCCTGCGGTCCCAGTCAAAGTCATCGTCCAGTTCCTGAGTCCAGGAGCAGATGTCTGTCTCCATGTCACATCTCTCGTAGGGGTAGGCGGCCGAGGCTGCAACAAGAGTTCACAAGGTCATGTCTTTTGTTTTACATTGTAAACAACGTCATTCCGATTAAAAACCTTTAAAAAAAAAAAGAATAAAAAAAAATCCAAACAACGGAATTCAAGAGCCTCAGAAAAAATAAGGCCCCTAGTGTTGCATACAGCTGGACTTGAGCAACATTTTACATCCAGTGTGAAAGTCGTTTTGTTGTTTTTTCACTTCAGAGAGAGAGAGTGAGAGAGGGAAACAAGTTTTAAACCAGGAGAATACCTTAAATATGTAGCCTGGTTACCAAACCTATTTTAACTGCCTTATTTTTCATCCTCTCCTCAATGAGTTAAAACAAGTATATATATTAATTTATACTTATAAATCAGCCCATTTTTTTTATCCTGTACTCCCCAAACCTTCCTTGTTCCCTATCAATTGACCTCTAATTCACTCATTCACTACATAAGCTAAACACACTCACTGCAAACCCAGTCAGCTTCATCACTGCCATCCCTGCAGTCCTGTCCGTAGTCACAGATCTTAGTCCAGTTCACACAGTCTCCAGACTGGACACAGAAGAACTCTCCCAATCCACATGGTCTCTGGTCTGTGGAACATGACAGGGAAATGTTGGAGAAGGTAAGACATTCAGCCTGATTTAGGTAATAAGATACACAAGGTAATTGTTACTTAACCGACTGGATTGATTATGAAAACTGTCATGTCAAGTAGCATCCACTACTTGTCAGTGATGTGTATGTTCCACTTCTGGAAATTGGAAGTTATACATGTACATTGATCCATCTAAAGACAAAAAAAGCTTTGTCCAAAGACATATTTATTAATTACCTCCAAGTTCACAGCTTTGGAAAGTGATGTCATCCAATGCTACCACAGCACCCTGGAAGAAGTGGAAGTACTCAAACTCCACCTGAAATTCAGACAAAGTTTATCAGACACAAATGACTTATGAAAAATATATTATACTATAGAGGTATCTAGCACTGAAATTAAGAGCAATCAAATACACACTGAATACCTTCTTTTTTACATCATATCATGTAAGGCTTACTGGATTATTTATTTACTTATTTATTCTTTGCTTCAGGCCAGAGGCCCATATAAAAACAGGGACAATACAGAAACAAGAACAGATACACAAATCACATACAGATGTCTAAATTGGTGTGGCCATAATTATGATACAAAAAGACGTCAAATTGTCCCCAGTTATTGGTACCTTGTAGCCATAGTCCTGGCGGCCGATGCCCACAATCTGTTGCCTCCACTGATTACTTGTCAGCGACTCCTGCCAGATTTGACTCATGGATCCGTCAGCTCCGCTCACATACACCGACAGACGTCCGTCATGGGTACCAGTCATGTAGTACCTGGGCATGTCATACATTTTGTATCGTTGTCAGTACAGTAGGGGCTGTACCAGAAAATCTAAACAAGGCTTGAGTTACGTGTAAATACACATCACACACTTATGATGGATGCCATATGTGATAAAACCAGCCAGCTTCTCAAAACGATGTCACACGCCTATAAGAAGCTGCTGACTCTAAAGCTGAAATATGACAATCAAATTTCTAAGTCTTGTTGTGCAATTCAGAAAAATAACACTGTTAGAAAGAACAAGGTGATGTCCTTGGGAAAAAAAAGAAAATTATGATAATGAAAGGTTCTTTTGAATAAATAGACTAAGTATCTATAAATCTAAGGACTAAAATAAAAAGTACTGACCAGAATTTGACTTGACAGTTGGGTCCTACAGCAGGTAAGGTTGGGCTCTGCAGCACTGCCAGGTTGACTACACTCCCTCCAACAGCAGACACAGACATGTAGTGGCCTGAAATAGTGATCATGTCACAACAAATATTAGAATATATTTGGTACTCAGGTAGAACGTTACATTGTGTAGTCACTGTTGGAATTACAATGAAATGAATCGGTATCACTGCGGATAGACCAACTACCGGAAAAAAAGCTGACTGAGAGAGTGACCTGTAACACCGCTGGTGTGATCCATGTCAGGTCCAGTTGCAGCTGGAGTGTTAGCCTGGTACAGCTGCCAGTTGTATGCCCCAAAGCTCGTGTCTACATAACCACACTGGTCTGTCTCAAAGGTACAGGCACCTGGAGGGAGGAATATGGGGTTAGCTTGACATTGAACAGTAATAAGTTTAGATTAGTTAATGGACGCTCACAAAGAGTTGACACACACATAAACAAAAACACTAAATTTACATTAAGTTACTTACTAATTAGTAATTACGACATCTAGTAGCAACTAAAATGTATTATTATTATCATGAACATTTATTTGTGTTCAACTTGGTAGGTAAATGTTTGAAGTTAAAACGTATTTATTGATGTCTGAAATGACATTAGTTTCTGTTTTTGTGTTGCATTCCTACCCATTTCATCTGTGGCTGCCTAAAACATATGACACAGACTCTTCAAAGGAATGATGTGGTCACATTAATCATACTATTAGGCCATCGCATGATTTTGATGTGAATTTTGTACCTTTTCCATAACAAGACAAATGAATTTTCAATTTTTTCATAATCCCCAGAATGCCCTCAGTTTGCTATTGCATGACAATCCCCTAGAGCATAAGCAGGTAAGAGACAACTCTAGTTGTGTAACAGAAAGAAAGCTTCAATATCACATGACAATTGTACGACAAATAAATGACCAGGCACTAAATGCGAAACTGACCACAAGTAGCTTCATCAGATCCATCTGCACACTGGGCTGTACCATCGCAGTACTGAGTGGTAGGGATGCAGGAGCCATCTCCACAGTTGAACTGGTCAGCTGGGCAGGGTGGGGTAGGAGTGGTGGGGACGGGGGTAGTACCTGGGGGCAGCACACCTGTAACAAGGAGGGAAAATCAGTGTGGTCGTATTGTACCTCCTTGTAGAGTTACTTAGTATCATACAAGTATCAAGAGATTTTGAAACACAGTGTACTGTTAATACTTATGCCAGTGTTTACACTGGAGCACGTTGGCAGAATGTATTGTGCCTGCGTGAAACTTGTTTTTTTTCCACAATTTTATTGGATGTTTGGTCACTTTCTGCCACAGTGCTAAGCCCAATACATTACGTTCTGCTCACAGGCTGTCCACTACAAATGTATGGAATATGACAGAGTAGCATTTAAAAAAAAAAAAAAACTGAGAGGTTTCAACATTTTTCACAGATTCTTCATGTTGACATCATTAGCACTTAATCAACCCAAGGACATACCTAACAATTTGATGGCTTTATACAGTAATCTTTACCCATCAAAAGTCTAAGAGATCATATTTACAGTTATCAAGAAATGTATGTAAGTATACCTGTGACAGACTGGCACATGTCTGAGAAGGACACGTCATCAATAGCAATATCACCCTCTGGGCCTGATCCTACTGTCCCCTCTATGATAACCTGTAACCAATGACAGTTGATTGGTCAAGAAGAAGGGCTTGAAATTAGTTTATTCAACATATAAATGTATGCTGCAGTTTAGTTTATTCAACACACATGTATGCTACCACCGACAGTAATACCAATCAATATGTAATCCTGCTTCTGGATTATAAGGTTGTGTGTTTGAATGCCAGTTCATGAAGAGATACAGGTAAGTCCCCACTATACGTACACCTGGTATATAGTACAGATTGCAGCCTTGTACTGTTACAGCCACAAATTGAACAGGGGTAAGGATGTTGAACCTACATATGTGAGAGAATCAAGTGAAGGTTATCTTCCAATTTGTATGTATTTTTGGCCTTTGAGTGCTAGTTAATAAAATCAAACTTTGGCCTTTGAGTGCTAGTTAATAAAATCAAAATGGTGTTACTATGATGAGCAACTGCTACAATTCTCCATTCAAATATGTTTCTCACAACTATAAAACCTTACCTGGAATCGTCCAGTAGGACTTTGCAGGTCGACTTCTGTTCTTACAAAGAAGTCTCCGACTTGTCCTGAGAGTGACCAAACTCTGGTGAGAGGCCCTCCGTCCTGTACCCTGGTGTAGACGTTCAGATCACCGATGTCTGCACCGTACATGTGGTAGTAGAACCGAAGCTGAGGAAAACACGAAATGTTGGTGTTTTCTTTCAAAGAGTGAACATTTACTGGAAAATGTTGAATGTTCCCTGGAAAGCTCTTTTGAACTGTTGAACAGTTCAGTAGGGGATAAAATGTAACAGCCTTATTAGTTACACTGTGCCTTATGCTTATACAGAAGTTGGCTTAATCTTTTCCAAACAGTTACTGTTACAGTAGCAGAACTGAGATTTCATCTGTTGAATAGTCTAAAAAGGGTTATGCAATGGAAGAAAACCAATTCGTCTAGATCTAGGGAAATATTATATTTCTCAATTAACAATCACAACTGACATTACAACTATGACTCTAAGTAAATGGTGATACTCTCACAAGTTTGGACCTGAACTTAAACCTCTTGACTTGAATCCGGACCTAAACCTGAACGTGGGTTTACATTATGTAGGTACACGGCATTAGTCACATGTACCTTGCAGGTGTCTGTTGCAGTAGCTGAGGATGAGACCTGCAGTACTGGGCTGACCAGACGTGCTCTATCACCTGGGCTGGCAGGGCGTGATGACTCCAGGTACAGGTACTGGCCTGAGGGGAAGGAAACACACAAAGTTCGACAGGTTAACCTTCACCATACTAAGGCACCTAACTTGTATTCATTCCCAGATTAGGCAGCAGATAGAAGGTTAAGGGATTTTGTAATATAATTTTGGTTGGTGAATGATTGAACCACTTGTTTACAAGAACCAACATTTTTATGACTGTCATCTTCATAAGGTTTATTGCTGGGTCGATCCCAGTGCACTGAAGCCACTAAAAATGCAATTTTAACTTCTATTATCCTTTAAAAAGGATTCTGTCTGCAAGAAAGGAAGGTCAAAATGAAGCTCTATGTAGTTTCAACTTGCTAATTCACAAGTGGTTTAGCTTAGCATATTAAAGGTTAAAGAAAACAAACCTGTTGCAGTGTTGGTGGTGTGGTCTATAGCAGGGCCAGTAGATGTGGTGGTGGTAGGACCAGACTGTAGGGTCCAGTCAGCCTCGTCTAGAGCCATCTGCTGCCACGAACACAGGCCCAGCTCAAAATCACAACGGCCGGGGAAGGCATCTTTGGGAGAAAACACATTCATCAGGGAGAGAATGTATGCATGAAGATGAAAGGCTGGCATGTATGGGTTTAACAATCTATCAATTTGTAAGTAAATTCATGGAATTCGTGTGAAATGTACAGGGTTGTTTGAAAGATGGTACATGACGTCTAAATCGGGTAGAGTAGGGCTCTTCATTAGGCAGTTTTGAATAAAGCTAAAAGTCAAGTAGATATATCTGGCTAAGGCTTTTCAAGCAGCCTTGTTTATATGACAAACCAGTGAAATAAAGGAAATAGTGCACAAGAGTACTCACCACAGGTCTGTTCATCAGTGTTGTCCCCACAGTCGTCAGTGAAGTCACACACACGGTTGTTGTCAATACACGCTCCTCTCTGGGAACACTTGTACTGGCCACTGCCACAGTCACCACTGACTGGAACTAACAACATAGAGTGCACAGAATATACATATTAACAATATTTATATAAAATATAGTTCTTTATTCAGAGGCACACAGATACTCCAGAGGTGCACAGTTGTAGATTTGGTTGGAGTTTGCTGCCAAAATCTCATCACAATACCATGGTAAAGCTATAGGCTGTCCAGGCTACTTGGTGTAAATATAGCGGTTTTATTGCAAGACAGCAATGAGCAGGTAACTGGAGCATTGGTATTTCCCAAATATGCAAATGAAAACTCAAGTGAAGCTCCACTAACCTGGAAGAGCGCATCCCTGGAAAATAACATCATCGATGGCGACGTCACCAAGGTGATTGAAGCCACGTCGAGCTTGCAGAAGCAACTGGAATGTAGGTAACAAGACACATTTGTAATACCACTGACAAGGGATCCAACCAGAGATGTACAAAGTGTATATCCTTTATGATGCTTGCAATGAGACAGCTAAACTGGCAAAAATGATGAAGATATAATTCAAACCATGTAAATCTACCAATATATGGGAAATTGGTATTACCAAGATTTCTATGGCATTGATATTTTCTGGGGTTTTTTTACGATCAAATCAATTTTATGGAAAGACAGTGAACTAAAATTATACAGTCATCTCTGTACTTTTGTATGAAATAAAGTATTCTTACCTGGAATGGTGTGTTGACCCGTCCTACAGAGACCACAGCCTGCTGCCACACATTACCCTGGTCTCCTGACAGTTCCCACAGGGTAGCCTGGGTAGTGCCCTGCTGCCTCACCACCTGGTGATGATAGTTTTATCAGCAACTAGATACATGTAGTAGACCGATTACAGGTCTTGAATATTGTAAACTGTAAGTGTTTGCAGAGGATTTGTGTTTGCAGTTTTTGCAATGAGCTCTCACCACAGGATCATTACACTGCAAACACATGCTCTGTCTTGCATTACCTGTAGCTTAATGACTGTGATTGCACAAAATTAGAACACTTTTCCTTCCTACCACTGAATTCCCTGCAAACTTAAAAACTATCAAATCACTGTATTCTTTTATTATAGTCTAATTCAAAATTAATACCATGAGTTTAAAAATTATCTGCACATATTGTTTGAAAGCTGCTGTATGAAACTAAAAATCCAAACTCTCACTGCATGGAAGCCCATATTCAAGCATACCATTTAATTGACTGAAAGAATTAGAACAGAACTTTACGCATGCTCTATTAAAGGTATGCTTAATACCAGAACTCGTGCAGTGAGTTCAATTTTGAGTTATCTGAAATTACCTGTAGGCTCCCGATGTCCTGGCCATACATGTGGTACCAGAAGGTCAGCTCACATGTGGAACTGGCCTGCTGTAGCATGGGACTGGTCAAGGTGGCATAGCTGTATACATTTCCACTGCTGGCATCCACATACATGTAGAAACCTGTAATACATACAGCATTAGAGTCTGTCACAGAAACAAAAGTAGTGTGTAAGAAAGGCAGGTACATTATCTACGCTTATCTAAGCTACTACATACCAGGGTATTTTTTTTTAATCTTTTATTTATTAATTTTGTCTTAAATAAAACCTGGGTGGCCTCTTCAACATTAATTGCTGATTTCACATAGGGCCCAGGGAAACATTACAATGACAATTGTGGAGTACAATTCTTGAATGTAGGTTGCAGAATCTATTTTGCTGTCTCAATGGCATCTGTCCATGGTGCTGATCTTGCAGTTTGCATTTAAAATGTTCCCAGTAACAACAAGATCAGCACCATGGACAGATGGCATTAGGAAAGCAAAGCAGCATTAGATTCTGTAACCTAGATTCTGTGGTTTATCTTGTCATATATCCTGACGAAAGTTGAGTTAGCATGCTGTTTACCTTGTGCAGAAAGTGTGGTGTGGTCATACGGAGGTCCAGTGTTGGAGTCTGGAGTGGAGCCACGGTGTCTGCGCCAGGCAAATGTTCCAGTGCTGGTCTCATTCCACTGGCAGCCATCATTATTTTCAAAGGTGCAATCATAACCTATAAGACGATAAAACACAATACAATGTTGAATTTTCTTCTAATTCTAAAGAAATCTGACCATTTTTAAAAGTATTGAGGTTTATTGATATTTATTGAGGAACAACTCTCCCTTAGCTGCCCACCCGTGGGTGACAGCTATTCTTCGTGCTAAGGTAGAACTTACCACAGGTAATTTCGTCATCCTTGTCCTTGCAGTCCTGGTTGAAGTCACACACAGCAGTCTGAGGAACACACGGCGGCCACTGACTGTCGCTGGAGGAACACGTCAAAGTACACGGGGGAGCACTGGTCGGTTGGGCTGAAAGCACATGGAAGCAAGGTGAGTCAATCTTCTACTTGCAATCAAGTAACTTTCCTTAGGCCACACCAAATAATCTGTTGGCTCTCAAGACATTTTTATGTAGTAACTCATGTGATATCACTAGTTATCACACAGGTTGGAACACCCGCATCAAACGTTAAATGTACTTACGAGGACATTCTACATTGTCCTGGAAGCTGATGTCATCAACAGCGATGTCTCCACTATGCCCAGCACCAACCACACCTTCCAGCACAACCTGGTAGGAAATGGTTAGGATAATGATGTTGAAGTGCCCAAAATACAACCTTATCTGATTGTACTTGACATAACTAGTATTACCTGGCTAACAGACACGTTTACAGTAAATTATACACAGTTCTCCTGTTACATTCAAAATTTCAATGCCCAGCCTCGGGAAAGTCAGCACAAGTCAGTCCCGGCAGACTGTTTGCATATCTACATTTTGCATTTCTGTATTTTGACTTGAGCTCTCATCACCCTGTCATCCTGAGCTGTCATCTCCAAGTTATAAAGAGGTATACAATACACATGTAACATGTTAAAGATCCAACAAAATTAACGATGAGAACAGGTGTGTGCCAGCTCAAGCCTATTAATTCCTTATGCCACTTGTTTGTGTACTTAATACTTTGAGCACTGACTAGTAGACTGAAAACACAAACACACACACACACACACACACACACACACACACAGTCACACACACACACACACTTCGTGGGAGCTAGTTTGCTGACAAAGAAAAGGGACGTACATCGTAGCTGCTTGGTGCATTCTTGAGAGTGATGTAGAGCAGATTCCAGGTGTCTCCCATGTCATCTGACTTCTGCCACTGGAGCTGCATGGCAGACCCGTCTGTAGGCCTTATGTACACACGCAGGGCTCCAATGTTCTGACCCTGAAATAGAAATGTCACATAAAGTTTCATTTCACAAATGTTTCCTTCTTGAAAATAATGAGTAAAGTCAAAACCGGTTAAATACAGTCTCTTTGCTGTCATTTTTCCCAGTCTCTTTGCTGTCATTTTTCCCAAAAGTTCATAGCCAGATGGTGCAATAAGCCTGATGTGAATAGTAATTCTATGTACTGTTAGAAACATTTAGTCCAGCTAAAGTAAAATAAATGTGCATGGAAAAAGCTGCAGAAACACTACATCACATAACGAAAGCTGCAAAAATGCTATACATGCAACGTGCTGCTGAAATGCTACAAATTGCAGACAGCTGCCAAATGCTACATATGCATACCAAAAACTGCCTAAACGTTACATGCAGAATGCTGCATAACCGCTACATGCGAAAATATACATAAATGCTACATGCAGCAAGACGCACCTTCATGTGGTACCACATGCTCATGCAGCGGGGCATGCTGTTGTCAAACACTGGAGACGTCATCCACGCGATATCACCAGCTTGCTGGGGTACAGAGGTCTCTATGTACAGGTAAGTACCTTGAAAAAGAAACAAAAAAAAAACCAGATAGATGTCTTTCATAAGAATTCACATTCACATTTCTTTAAAATGTTAAATCACACTCCTATTTTTGAAGAGAATATTACCAAACCTATGATACAATAATCATCTGTAAAGACACTGTATCCTTATAGTACTTATTTCCTTATTATCTACATGCATCATGATCTTTTATCAGCTGGTAAAGAAAACTCACTACTACTTGCTTCTGAAATAGGAAATAAAAACTTCCTGTACGTAACCATTGTTCAATGTATTCTTACATCATCATCTCCTGTGCACAACTAACACCATCTAGCAGGTACTATTTGCATCATCATTTCATGTGCACTATTTTTTATGTAATAAGTAGAGCAATACCATAGGATGTTCCCAGTGTGTGATCAGCTGACGGCCCGGTGTCTGCGGACACAGTTCCTCCAGTTTGGCGCTCCCAGTCAAAGTTGTCCCGTGTCTCCTCGTTCTTCCACGTACAGGAGCTGCCCTCAAAGTCACATGACCCCAGGGGGTCACATTCGGAGTCCAGCAGCAGTATGTCATCAATGGCGATGTCTCCACGGAAACTTGTACCACGGACACCTTCAAATGTTATCTGTAATACCAGAAACTCATCAGTCAGGACTCTTCAGTTGAACTTTGGCTGAAGGAATAAAGAATACTGCTGTGATATTTTACAAAAAGAGTGGTCATAGGCCTGGTATAAATTTTTTTTTTTTTAATTTAAAGATCTTGTGGAAATTGTAATTTACTTCAATCTATATGTGCAATTATCTAACATTTCTAACAATTATGGATGGCATTGAAACAGCCCATGTGAGGTGCACTCAATTTGTGGCACCACCACAAAATATCAGTCTGAGAATGTAAACTAAACACACTCGTAAGGCATGTGTCACCTCCAGTTTCTGACTCATGGCTTTTATTCCCAATAGGGAAGCAATGATTCAACTTGCTTTGTAAAGAAATGACTTTTTAAATCGTCCCAATGTTATATACATGTAGCATGCAGCCTTAACAAGTTGAACATATAACTGAGTAACCCGTACCCTGAAATCACGCGAACTCTGGATGGTGGCTTGTGCAACATGCCAGTGGTTCATCTGCTGTCCACTAATGCTCCACAGCAGAGTGGGGAAGGCAGACCCTTCACTCTTGTACACATTCAGGGTCCCGATATCAGTCCCGTACATGTGATACCAGAACTGCAGGCACTGGCCCACTGTGGCAGGGTGGGCCTGGGTGGAGAGGCGAGCTCGATCACCAGTACTCAACCCTGACATCTCAGTGTACATGTAGAATCCTTGTAGGGATGAAGAAAAGAAATTCCTCAAAATTACCATCAAAATGAAAATGTCAGTTATAAAATGATCTGTCTGTCATAAGATTATGGGTTTGGCCCAAGTTTCTAGCCTGGAATCTATATCCATTCTATCACTCTGGTTTGCTTTTTTACAAAATACTCCGGTTGCCAACCCCATGACAATGTTAGGTCCTTATGTTCTGTATTATTTTCTCTATCAATGGGTGCCAGGGAAGGCTTCAAGCAATCAAAGGAGCAAACTGGAGCTGGAATAGGAAGGAAATCAGGCTACAATGTACTAAGCTTCCCCATTGGCCAACATCAATTGTCACTTCAGCCTATCATCATCAATGCCATCTGCTCAGGCGGTCATCTTTGCAGAAGATGGAGGTGTTTCAAGAGGCACCCTCAAAACAGTAGGTTCCTTGTGAAGTATGATGAACTGCTTTACCTGCAGGAGTGCCATAGGTGTGATCATAACTGGGTCCGGTCTGTGAGGTGCTTGTGCCACCAGATTGGTAGGTCCAGTCAAAGTCATCAGCCTGGTCCTGGGTGTAGCCGCAGAGATCATTCTCAAAGTCACACAGTGCTGAAAAAAATGCAAAATAGAATGTTGCTGTGTCTTGAATATTCATGTTTTGTCATGGGAAAAGATATTTGACAATATCTGAAGATATGTGACAATATCTGCATTGATATTACCCTAGGAAACAGCAAAAAACTAAGATATAGAGCAGTACAAACTCTCTGGCACATTTGACCCGATGTTGGAATAACAGGCCCTAAATGTAGTCAATCCTTGCATTGATGTTTATCACCTTGAAGAGTATTACCTGAGGTTGAATGTATTTGAAGTAATGAGCAACTGTCCTAACCTGTAGCTGGACAATCTCCTATGTTGAAGCTGAAATCGTCCACAGCGATGTCCCCACTCCAGGTTTGGCCACGTGTTGCCTCCACCACAACCTGCAGCGTGTACTGACCATTGTACTACAGAGTTAGAGAGACACCTATGGTTATTAGGTGTGTTGAGACCAGGTAGAAAGAAAGGTAAGTAAACTTATGAAAAGGAGAAGAAAATTCAAAACAGAATGAGGATGGACAAAAGAGGAAAGAGTATCATACATTTTACTGCATTTGGGTAATCTTCTTTCAAAGACAATGAACTGTTAGCATTGCTAAAAATCCTTGATCTGGATAAAATACAATAAAATAAGAATGTAGTAGTAAAGGAATTCTCACCTCATTGGGGCTATCTGCAGTTATGTGCACTTGTGCGTAGTTCCACTGTGGCCCCCTGTTGCCTCGCATGCGCCAGATGATAGCATCTGGGATGCCAGGGGTTCGGGCATAGATGTTCAGCTGGCCCACACTGGACCCATACATCTGGTACCAGAACTTCATACACACCCCAGCATTGGTGGCTGTGAAGGACTTGCTCAAGAGCCTGGCGGAGTCATTGAACTGCTGGCCACTTGCTTCAATGTATAGGTAGAAGCCTGGATAAAATGTAATGAACATGTACTGTAACATAATCACAGAACTACCCAGCATTCAGAAAATCAATTACTAGTAGCTGGTCTGACAGGGCAATGGTGTTACTGAATTATGAATCATGCACTCTTTATTAGATAGTATTCACCAATTCTGTTGATAGCAACCAATATTTTTATTCTACTTCCAAAAACGAAAGATACATATTAAACAAGTATCGAGCACCCTTTTCAACGGTTGCTAGTATCCAATATGCAATCAGGCAATCAACTTTTCATGATTTGGGTTGCATGTGCATCCTGTTATCTGCATCATTGGAGGAAAGCTATTGGAATATTTACCACTGTCTGTTAGTGTAGTGTGGTCGATTGCCGGTCCTGTTCCCACGGATGCTGTACTTCCACTGGCTCTGGTCCAGTCAAAGTTGTCGTTGGTGTCTTGTGTCCAGGAGCAGATGTCTGACTCAAAGGTGCAGTCATTCTCATTTGGAGCTGTAGAATTGAAAGGGAAGCATAAGTTCAATTTTTCAATCTACAACAGTCATACAATGTCGGGTATCTGAGCTCTGTGAGGTAATATTTACCAATTTTACCTGATGTAGTCCATGCAAAGTCCATGGATAACAAACTTGTATATTTTATAACTGTATGTCACCTAAAACGTTTTCTTCTGCTTGGCATGCAACAATGAAAATAGGTTGTCTGAAAAAGTCTTTGATTTAGAAAACTGGTATGTGTACTTACGATACACTGGTGGGAGTGTCACAGGAGGGGTGGTAGGTGTTGTAGGGACAAATGGACAAGCACCAGGCTGGACATCAATGTCATCCAGTGCAATGTCACCAGTGTAGTTACCCCCATACACACCCTCAAACATCACCTGGGTATTAGGGACACATGATCGCACCATTAAAAAATGAATCAAAGTGAGCATATGCTGATACACAACGTTGTATCATTAAATGGTAATGAATACATTGAGACAGTATAAAATTTTATATTGTTATGGTGTATCTGTAGTGCAGTACAGTATTTTTTGCTGGTACAGTGTAATATCGAGGTAGGAATGAGGTTTAGTAATGGTCAATCAAATTCAATCAAATTGGTTTATTCAGAGAAGCATATTGCAGCCTAACGGCTGAAATGCATGCTTATTTACAGTCAATTGATATACAGACTTAGACTGAATTTTAAAACAGGTACAATTCTAAAATCATTATGCAACAAATTTAAAATCACATTAAAAGCAGTAATTAAACAAGATGTAGTTATATAAGCTTAGTCAACTAATGGAGTCTCAGTACTTTAAGTGGCAGTCAATCAAATCGTGAGAAGACCCTATACAATCGTAGCTTAAGCAGTTCATGTAAATATTCGTGGCATAGAGTCTTTACAACTGAGTGTCGTTACTGTAGTAGAGTCTCAAAGCTCGTGGTATAAAGGACATTGAATGTCTTTTGCTTTTACTTCTCATTGACTGATGCCGACTTCCCCTGCGGAGGTTGTAGTGACTGGCCAAGGGGGTAGTGATGAATCCCCAGAGGGGAGAAGTACTGTCCTTTAGGATACTTTCAAGTGTTCTCAGTGTAGCTCTCTCGCGTCTGTTTGCGAGGGTAGGGAGTGCGTCAGCAGGTAGCCCGATGATCCTGAGGCAGCGCTTCTGGATTGATTCTAGTGAGTCTGACAGGTGTTTGGGAAGTCCGCCCCAAACCGGGCTAGCATATTCAAGAGTAGGTCTTATGAAAGTCAGGTAGATCTGCATGAGGACATCTATCGGGAGCCCCGCCTTCTTAGCAACACTGAGGTAATACATTCTAGGTCGAGCTCTGTTCATCATGTACTCAATGTGGGCGTCCCACGTCAGGTCAGCAGCGATATAGACCCCGAGTAGTTTAAAGGAAGTGACTCTTTCGATCACCTGGCCTGATATTGTGGGTTGGGGAGGGATAGGTACATTGGGCTCTTTCCGTGCACTTATAACCATGTCTTTGGTTTTCTTCCCGTTTGCGGCAAGAGAAAAGGACCTGCCCCAGTCATCAATAGAGTTCAGTGCCTTTTGAGTCTGGCCGGGTAAAGACCCCATCAGTGCCTCAGAAGTTGTCAAGTCATCAGCATACTTTACGGGGGCGACAGATGCTGGTATACTGGCATCCAATGAATTGATGCATATTACGAACAGAAGCGGTGACAACAGCCCGCCTTGAGGGACACCGGCTAAAACGTTATGAGATTTTGACAGACATGACCCCCATTTCACCATCTGTGTCCGGTTTTCCAGATAACTGTGGATTGTCATCCATAAGTCCTGACGGATATTCATATCTGCTAAGGTCTGTAGTAGCTGGCCATGGTTATGGTTGAAACAATTCAGAAACCATTAGTAATACAACAAAAAATTTTGTGGTTTCTTGATTTCATGGTGGAAATCTCACTTAAAACTGGCAAAATAACACACCATGAACACTTCAAGATCAGTAGCTGTTGTTACTGACCTCCCACTGTGTAGGTTCTCTGATCTGCACCAGACCCTGCCTCCAAACATTACCCTGGTTCCCAGACGCACGCCAGCGGTACGTGGCGTTGATGTTGTTTCCTCCCGTGTACACGGCCGTCAGGACGTTCAGAGAGCCTACTCCGGCTCCGTACATGTGGTACCAGAAGGACAGGCACGATATTTGTGTTGGAGGGAAACTTTCACTCAGGAGGAAGGCGTTTTCTCCAGCAGGCCTGTTGTTTCCAGATGACTCAATGTAAAGGTAGTAACCTGGAAGTAAAATCAAACAAGGTACTTAAATCTCCAACAAACAAACAAACAAACAAAAATTATGGCTGTTGGTGGCAAGTCCTTAGTGTGTTTTTGGCACACATTTTGACAGATTAGCCAAAGAGGCTCAATTGTCATCACTCCACCATACAGGGAAGGAAGTCATGTATTTAAAGTGCCTTTCCCAAGGGCACAGCGTGGGGGCATGGTGAGTACAAACAAGGGTCCCAGAGCATTTTTATCAAGTTTCATTTATGTGCATTTTGCAAGTGTGTTTTGGAAAACGGTAAAATTTACACTTTATGACATACATGTATGGTCTTTGGACAGCTTCGATGCTCATGATATGTTTTGTGAGGCCTACATGTTTAAGAAAAGTCTTACCCTGGTCTGTGTTGGTGGTGTGGTCCACTGACGGCCCTGTGAACATGCTGGGCGTGGCACCATTGTCCCGCAGCCAATCAAAGTCGTCGATGTAGAGTTCGTTGGTCCAACCACACGTATCCCTCTCAAAGTCACAGAATCCTGAATACACACAACACAGACGATGTTCTTTTATTTGTAACCCAAAACTTACTCAGTTATGATTCTAGTGTTTGAGCCCAGACATACAGTAAGATGAGAACTTATAGTAAAATTCTTAAAATCTTAAAAGTGTGCTGTATGACACTAAGTTACATAGTCTTGACTATGACTAATGGAGTTACCTGGTCTTTCACATGCCCCAACTATCACCTTGATGTCATCCAGTGCAATATCTCCACGGAACCCATTCCCAACTGTGCCTTCAAACACAACCTGGAGGATGGAGCAACAGTGAAAAAAAGATTAGCAAATTGTATTCATTATGATGATGATAATTATAAAATGTCTGCTAAAGGCCCAACATATCTTGGCAAAACAGATTTGGCCAATCATATTTATTTAGCACAATACCTCATCCTTATTGATGAGAATGTTCTATACAGCACAAAAGCAACTTCTTTTGTAACAACTTGTAGAATCATTGACCTTAAGTTGGAAATTCCATAAGCACCATGCTAAAGTGCAACACTGAACAGAAAGTTTAAAACTTTCTATGTTTGAAACTATCAAAGTCACACTGACCCTAAATCGCCTTCTTGTGTTAGCCAGAGTGGCCCGACCAAACCTCCAGAGGTTCCCCTGGTCTCCAGACTTGGTCCAGATGGGTCCCGGGACAAACGCTCCCTCCTCCTGCTGGTACACATTCAGGGTGCCGACATGGTCCCCAAACATGTGCACCCAGAACTGCAGGCACTGCTCCCCGTTGTTGGCATCGTAGTACTGACTGAGCAGTCGCACTCGATCACCAGGCTGTCTGGGGCTGGACGTCTCCATGTACAGGTAGTAACCTAATATTTCAGACACATTGAAAGAAACAAATCAGTACACAACATTTTGTATTGCATTTTATTTCATGCAATAAACAATGAAGCACTACTGTTTCATGCATAGTTTACTGACCTAAACGTCCTTATTAGACTTATGGAAATAACTTTTTTACCAGATTGAATCCAGAATGTAAGCAATTGTTCGCTTATTTCATTCATGCTTAAAGCAGCTTATACAAAACAACTTGGAAATTTTCCAGGGGAACTGAACCTGTAGATATTATACATAGTACACATTGTATTTACCCTCCTTGTGGCAAGATAGAAACTTACCGCTACCTGTATAAAAGGTAAGGGCTTGCTGACATATTTGCCATACGATTACAAACTTATGGCATTTTTGGGTAGTAATGCAAGTGTCATACAAAAACAGTAACGTTGTAACAGATCTTCGTGAGCGGTTGCTTCTGTCACTGCTTCTTTGAATATTCTATGACACAAAAATCACATAAAATAATTATAGTGTGATAAATGAGATTTATGCTATTAGCTAAAACTGGATCTCTGACATACCGAAGCTTGAGAGGTAGGTGTGGTCGTAGCGTGGTCCAGTCCCTGATGATGCCGTTCCATTCCGGTGTCTCACCCAATCAAATTCATCGTCTCTGGCTTGTTCCCAGTTACACAGGTCAGCCTCAAATGTGCACTCAGCTGAAAAATACACGATTTGATTTGATTTCTTGAAATTGTAACTTACAATACAATACACATGGGCACATGCAGCTGTTGCTGGTGTTGTTGTGCCCCACACATAGAAACAAATACAGGACAAGACAATACTCATTTTAACTTGTGCCTCAAGTTTTGGACTCTCAAGCCACATGAGTTCACACCCTCGTGAATTAAGACACCCAGTCTGACAATTATATTTGACTGCAAAGGACTAGTAAGAAGGAAGATCTTCATTGACGAGAAGATTTTGAAACATCCATGGCAAAAGGCATGATATTGACATACGTGATGGTGGACAAGGGGTGCTGGTCAGTATGACATCATCTAGTGAGATGTCTCCAACATATCCTGGTCCAACTGTGCCCTCGATGAATAACCTGTACCCCACAGGTGCAATGATGCTGACGTGAGCTTGCTTCCACTCGTTTGCCTGTGTACCTTGGAGTTGCCACACCTGCAAAGTTTAGTCATACAATGTACAAGTTAGTTTTGTGATGGCTGTCAGCGAATGACATTGATTTTACTCAAGTCATACATGGATGTCAATCAGACATGACAAAATTATTAAATCTCAAGTATCAGTTTAATATTATATTTTGAAGGAAAAAGGCCTGTAGTGGTTTTGTTGTTGGCATGTACATGGTAGGGATGGACTGGTTGGTTTCCAAGAGAATACCCACGGCAGGTAATGTAGCTTATGCACTCTGGCCATAATGTTTTTATAAACTTTAAGGCACTTACCAAATTTCAAAGCACATACAGAAGACATGAATATTCTCTACAAGTATTCAAATGCAAGGAAGTGCAGATACAGGTGTATTAACACAAGTCACTCTCCCAGACATTACTAATACAGTATACAAAAACATGTATGTGTGATGGCAATAATGAAAGAGTTCTGACCATATTTTTAGTCTGTCCTGCCTGCTGCATGTGTACAGACAGGGAGCCGATGTGAGGCCCAAACATGTGGTACCAGAAGGAGAGGCAGCTGCTGCCAGTGGCAGTGGCAGGGAGACTGCCGGTCTCCAGCCTGGCAATGTCACCATCCTGTCTGGGGCTGGACGCCTCCACGTAGACATAATAACCTAGAACAAACAATGTAGACATCTCTGCATAAGTGGCAAGGGTGGTCTTATGGTTAGGATGTGGACGTTAATAAAAGCTTTTGATTTACATGTGACAATGACTGGTTCAAATGCAGTCCTTACCTGTCCCAGTGGTGTGGTCGTTGTCTGGTCCAGTGTTCTGGCTGGTTGTGGCACCCTGCTGCCGTGTCCAGTCAAAGTCATCGTCTGTGGACTGGCGCCATCCGCACAGGTCGCTCTCAAATGTACAGTTATAGTCTGGAATTAATATTGTGAACTCTCAGCAGGGTATAGTAATACATGTATAGGCAATGTAACTTCCTGGCCAAGAATCGTCATTTTAATATAGTCTGGAATTCTCCAACTTACAGTTAACAGTTGTAATAAGAAACAAAAAAGTTTTAACAATACAAAACAACGCAGATGTTGTGAATGAATAAGCACACTGTCATGTAAATAGAATTTCTATTGCCAAAAGGGATGACTTTTAACTTTGCAGGGAACTTTTGGATTAGATGGAAGCTCTGGTGGATTCCATTCATAGAATTATGTCTTACTTAGATAACAAAATGTAAATCATGACATGACTGCAGTCTGACCTCTCTCAGAGCCAAGGTCACAACTGATGAAGGTGATGTCATCAATGGCCATGTCGTCTGTGTCAGGCAGGAGGAAGCCCCAGCCTCCCCCAGACGAGCTTGGTACACCCTGGAACTGCAGCTGTGGACGGGCAGATGCATTCCTTTTGTAAATTTAGAAGACTATCATGGTACATCCCATATCACCAGAGGTGCACAAGACTGCAGGTTGGATTGTACAAACTCAGGTTGACCTATATGTTTTTCATACAACACTTTCAAATATTCTGCTTAAAGATATTTTCTGGTTTACCCTGTATCCATCAGGCTGTCCAGCAAGGTTGACCGTAGTCTCCTGCCAGGCGTCTCCCATGTCGGCTTCATTTCTCCACAGTTCTGTCAGGGCACTGCCATCCCCTGCAGCATCCAGCATCAGCCTCAGTACACCCACACCTGGACCATACATGTGGTAGTAGAAACGTACCTGCAATAGAGATGTTCATGGATGTTATTTGCTTGAAGTACATGTATCTGTATTTGTATAGCCGAGTACATGGCAGAGTGTCTTGAAACTTAGTCAAAACACTAAAAGTTTGTGCTTGCAATGGATGCATGCATGCCCACTCCAGGGCTAAACATGTGAAATGCACAAAGTATCAAACAACCAAAAAACAAACAGTAGAAACGCACCTGCAGCAGAGCTGTTCATGGAGAATATATGCACATGACAGTGTGTTCCAGACACTTAGGCCAAACAATAAAAAATGATGTCTTCTGAACTTTGAATATGTATTATTATTACCAAATCTATAACAATATGCACTGTTTGCACAGAGAAAAATCTACAACACGCCTTTCTGCTCAAAAGATTATGTTGTAAGTCTAGACTGAATCTTAATCTATACAAAATAAGATTATGATAATCATATAATATACTTTTGGTAACAGTGGTCAGAACCTGCATCCACTCACCTGACAAACATTAGATGTTTGTGACAATGGGACACTCTGTAGGGCGGCTGGGGTTAGGAACAATCCATTGCCTCCTTCCACGTACATGTAGTGACCTACACAAGAGACATAAACAGTAAGATGTGTATTTTAACAGAACAACTGAATTAGTCATTTTCTAAAGGAGACATCTTGACAAGAATTCAGAAATAAGCTGGGACTGGGAGCTATTTCCAAGAAGTCATTCATACCCTGTCCAGTTAGTGTAGTATGGTCCACAGACGGTCCAGTGTTGGCTGTAGAAGTTGGCCCTTGGTTTCTTGTCCAGTCGAATTGGCCAGAGCTGACATCTGTCCATCCGCACTGGTCACGTTCAAAGTTACAGGCACCTAAAACAGCAGAGTTGAGTGTAACTTCTAAGCATTTAGAATTGGTAAAATACAATAGACCCCTTTCCAAATATTGGTGCATCATTTAAAAAATCTACTGCCAGACTGTATATCGTTCAATCTTACCACACATGGCTTCATCTGATGGCACAGCAGAAGGAGAGCTGGTGAAACAGTCCATGATGTAGTCACAGACTTTGCTGGCGTCGATGCAGGAGTTATCCTCCAGACACTTGAACTGTCCTGGTTGGCAGGGGGACTGGGTGGTGATGGGAGGGGCGAGGGTGGTGGGCATGGGGGGCAGGGGGCCGTTGCCTGGCACACATCCAGAGGTGAAGGACATGTCATCGATGGCAATGTCACCCTGAGCCCCGTTACCTACAGTTCCGTCAATCATCAGCTGCAAAGAGGGAAAAAATTGTCATCTGATTTATATTTTAAGGACACATAGGACAACCATAGCAAAATAAACTTGAAAAAGCGTAGTCTTAATGGCATTCTTAATTCAAGGTGGCAATATTCTGGATAAGAGGAAATCTGCCTGACGTTGAGATTTACTGCCATTTTTCAGCACAATTTTGTTATCAATATCATTTCATACTTGAAGTCTGAAATAGCCCAAACGCAAGCCATGTGAGGAGTCTCTTTTATTTTTGGTACCACCATTAAATAGCTAGGAACAGCCTACAATATGAAACAAGAAACTGCCTTTCATCAGGGACATCACATTTCTATCCTCACAAGTATTGGTATGCTTCAACTTACTACATCCAAACAATTACCAGAAAATTGAAATTGACTTTGAAAATCCAGTTTTACTGCCCTGAAGTCTTTGTGTGTTTTTCCTTTTATAAAAACTGATGAGCTACATGTATAGTGGTACGTGTCTCTTACCCTGAATAGTCCACTGCTTTGAATGGTGATCTCTGCTCTCTCCCAGTAGTTTCCAACCTGTGAGGTTCTCGCCCACAGCTGGGTTAGCGGTCCACCATATGTCGTGCGGATTTTGACGGCAAGGCTGCCGATGTTATTTCCATACATGTGGTAGTAGAACCTCAGCTGAAAAATTGGTCAGTGGTATACACTGAATTTTCTGATATCGGATGTTAACATTATTTTCCATATCTTTTGATTCTGTCAATTTTGCCCTCTACACTCTGTGTACAATGATTAGCACATTGTCAAAATCTACTTGAACTATTTGTTATAGTGTTCTACAGACTACACAATCAGCACCAAAGAACTAGAATTTTTGGTTATAATGTTCTACAGACTACACATTCAGCACCAAGGAGAAAACTATTCATTATGATAGTGGTCTACAGATCAACACCAAAAAAGAGAACTATATGTTATAGTGTTCCACAGAATTCACATTCTGCACCAAGGAGAGAACTATTCGTTACAGTGTTTTACAGAATACACATTCAGCACCAAGGAGAGAACTATAGTGTTCTACAGACTACACCTTTTGTACCAAATGTGTACGAATAGTTATCAGAAGAGAGGTATTCCTGTTAGTGCTTCTCTAGACAATGTTCTATATAATAATGCTTAAGCAACACAAGAGAGAGTCATGATGAAAATTCCAACTAACCATGCAAGGATTACTGTCAGTTGTGCCAGCAAATATACGGCTTGCAACTCTTGCAAAGTCTCCAGGCCGCCTGTTGGAGGCCTCAATGTACAGATAGCGACCTGTGAGCAAAATGGGGTTAGAGGTTAAAGATAGCCAATTTTAAAGGTCAAAGTTACATGTATATTTAAACAGACTTAATGTTGTAAAGCTGACTTAAAGTCTACATCTTTTGTCACTGACATACATGTCACTGTCTGAATTGTCATATGAGAATCCTGGAAAAAGGGCCCACAATGCAGTAGAAATATGCCTTGTGGTAGCTTGCATCCACTAGTTCTCTAGACTCTTAGATCTGTATCTCTGTCTAATGTCGAGGTGCTTTGTGTAAGAAGACCAGTTGTTTACTAAGAAGAGCAGATTCTATAGGTCCCTGGGTGGTGGCCTAGACAACTTTAATTGTGTTTTTTATTATTACAACTCTTTGATTGTACTTAAAGTTAATTTAAACCTTTCCTTTTATCATATTACATATGTTTTGTGCAGGGAGCTTTGAAAACTGTCAACATGGCAATATGCTGACCCTGGATAAAGGAACAAAAATGAAATTAAATGTACCAGCATCAGTGTTGGATGTGTGATCCCTGCAGGGTCCAGTGTTGCCTGTAGGTGTGCAGCCAGCACGTCTGGTCCAGCTGAAGTTATCCCCACCAAACTGGGTCCAGCTGCAGATGCCGTTCTGGAAGTCACATCGGTCAGGGATGTTGGCTGGAACAAATGGACAGATTGTTTTTTAATTACTTACTGTTAGCAACAAGCACTGGAAGAGCAAACTTTAAGAATAATGATAGACAAAAGATATACTGAGTCTGAATAACAGCTGTTGTTAAATACCTTTATCAACTCCTTTATCAACTCCTTAATCATTCATTATTTGAGTTTTACACTCAAAGCATTCAACACCAAGGAGAGAACCATTCTTTGTAGAGTCATAAACACAGAACATTCAGCACCAAGGAGAGAACCATTTCTCATAGAGTTTTACAGGCAAAACATTCAGCACCAAGGAGGAAACTATTCTTTGTAAAGTTTTACAAACAAAACATTCAGCACCAAGGAGAGGACCATTCCTTATAGAGTTTTACAGGCAAAACATTCAGCACCAAGAAGAGGACTATTTGTTATACTGTTGTACGGACTACATTCAGTACTAGTGTGAGAACTATTCCTTATAGTTTTCTACAGACTACACATGTACAAATAGGCATCAAAGTAGAAACACAATGTAGATTACCATTTTGCAAACAGTGACAAAAAATCAGTTTTAAAAAATCCATAAATCACATACCACACTGGTTGGGTGCCTCGTCTGTCCCATCCCCACAGTCGTCAGTGTAGTCACAGACTCTGTCCAGCCCCACACACGAGCCTCGGGCGCACCTCAGCTGGTCAGCAGTACAGGAATCCTCGGTTGCTATGGCAACAACACACAATTCATTTTAGATCAGGAATGAGAGGGTAAGTTTACCTGAAGAAGGCTAAAATAGAGACGTTATTCAGGACCTGGATACAATCATTTAAATCTCTTAACAAAAGTTTGAAATGAGACATTGAACTTTGTCCATTTTCCCAATCAACTTTTTGATACTAGACATTTATTCTTGACTTTGAATATGTAATAACTGCACTGACAGAAAAACAGGCTCCCTGTTACTTACGTGGCAGTTCACAGTTGATAAAGTTGATGTCGTCCAGAGCAATGTCACCGCGAACGCTAAAGCTACGAGTAGCCTCAAACAAGATCTGAAACAAACGACAAAAAACTCACCATTCATTTCCATTTCAAATGCAATAACTCTCAATTTACAATTATCTAAAAAAAATTATGCATATTATATATGACCAAAATTATCAAAGACACTATCAATCATGTTTCTACTACAATGTACTGAAGAATCCTCTTGCAGTAGAAAGATATTTCCAAATCTTATATCAAGTACCTGGAATGGAGCTCGCAGTTGTCCCAGGCCAATAATCATGCTGTTCCATCTGTTGCCCTGTCCCCCCATTCTGCGGAACAACTGTGTGTCCTGGTTTCCTTGTCTCAAGATCACCTGCATGGTACCAATACCTACAGGAGGAAGATTATATCATGTTTGTCTTTATCATGCCTGAACCTGTAGAGAAAGCAATATACATGGAACAACACATACAGCAATAAAGACAACTGCGAAGAGTCAGAAGAAGTATGTCTTCAGACAGAAATGACAAAATTTAATGAAGAGTCTCTATATCAAACCTGGTCCACAATAACGTTCAATATGGATATTCCGGCCAGTGTGATAACTAGCAATATCACACTGGTTCCATTTGGTTATCAACGGGGCTTTAAAATGTCCCATAGAATAATTCTGATACAGTTCAGGTGCGTTTTGAATACTGGATTTTATCGTTGGAATTAATGTTGTAACAAATTTTGTTTATAGGAACATCAAATTTTGGCACATTTTGCACTGTACTGCAAGTTTTTTTGGGTGTCTATGACATAAATATCTGCCATTGGGAAATCCAACCCACAGTCTTACTGGTACCTTGGGTGATACAGAATACCCTGTGTTGTATTCTATATGTACTCACCATTTCCATACATGTGATACCAGAAGGACAGCTGACAGGTAGGGCTGGCCTGATCAAACACAGGACTTGTCAACACTGCAATGTCGTTACGGTTTCCATCATCTGCCTCCACAGCCAGGTAGTAACCTAACAAAAAAGGGATCCAGTTCTCATAAAAATGATCTTGACTTGACATACTGTATTAGCAAATGACGATAAATAAATGGATAATGCATTTGGATTCTTTGATCTTTGAAGTGTTTTGTATGAGCCTTGTTTTGAGGTGAAAATTGAAGTAGACAAAAAAATCCATAGCAAAAATTCATAGCAAAAAGAAGGTTCTTACGTACCTGCATTAGTGCCTGTTGTGTGGTCAGCAGTTGGCCCAGTGTTGGATGTTCCGGTGCCGTTGTTGTCTCGTTTCCACTGGAAGGACCCATCACTGCTGTCCATCCAGAGGCACATGTCCTGCTCAAAGTCACAGTTACCAAAGGAGGCAGTCTGTGGAGGCTGTGTGGGCACGGCTGTAAGGTTCAAAACATAGCGTATGATGATTTGAGTTTTTACTGGAATTGTCACCATACAATCCACAGGCTGTTGCTGGTGTCATAACCCACACATAAAACATTAAGGAACAAGACATTACACAGTGAAATGGACTCTGAACACACTGACAATGATGGTAAAAGGAATGAAGGAAAGAGCGAATAAATGCAAGAATGCTTACGCTGGCAGATTCCTGGTACAATCCTGATGTCATCCACTGCAATGTCACTTAAAGGACCAGAACCAATGATGCCCTCTATCAAGACCTGGTGACAGAAACACTTATGTTGCAATCTACACTTTAACCACCTTACAATCAACTCTAGCCCCTACATATTTTTTCTTGCAAAACTGGTGAACACATTTTTCATTTTCTCATCAACATTCACAATCATCCTTACTTTAGTCTTGAAGAGCTTTCTTTCTGGCATGAAAGTTTATCTGAGTTGGTAAATTACACAGTGAAAATTAAACTGTTTTCAAACTCAAAAGACCCTTCCTTCAACCTGGATGGGGACTGACTTCTGACCAACTTTGACCCAATGCTGGGGTAACACATGCTGAAAAATCATGTCTACAACACTTGGATTTTTTGGCTTTAAAAAAAATTCAAGCATCTTAACAAACCTGATATGCACTGTTAGCAGACACGGTGACTTGGGATTCCTTCCAGCCAGCTCCCTGGTCTCCAACCACAGAGGAGACGAGCTGTGGATCTCCCCCAGTAGTCTTGGTGTAGACGTTCAGTGTCCCCATGTCAGCACCACGCATGTTGTACCAGAAGTACAGGCACTGGGCAGTGCTGGTGGTGAACCTCTGGGATACAAGCCAAGCCTTGGAACCTGGCTGTACACCATTGCCTTCTGTGTACATGTAGTATCCTGGAGGAGGAAAAAAATGCTTTCTTAGACAAGTTTGGCTATCATCTGTTGGATACTACCATAATCAAAATGACTTACAAAATGATAACAAACATGTATTTAGAGGCATAACAGAGTAACTGAAATACAGAGAACTTTATTGACACTACAGCCGCTACTTTCGTAAGGTCTTTAACTTACAGACAGATACGTGGGTACAACAAAATTTACCTACGTACAAGACAATAGATGAATCAACTTATACTTTTATGACTGTACTTGTTCTGAGGTCTAAAAATTCTTTGAAATACATGTTCACCTGAGCTGGTGCCTAAAGTGTGGTCAGTCGTAGGTCCAGAAGCCCAACTTATCGTACTGCCAGAGTTTCTCAACCAATCAAAGTCATCTGCATACTGCTCGTTACTCCAAGTGCACTGATCAATCTCAAAGTCACACCAGCCTGGAGGGGAGCAGGCTCCGTCTGTGATTGACACATCGTCAATGGCAATGTCTCCCTGATGACCACTACCGCTGATGAACTCAAACACCATCTGTGGATGTGTGAAGAGTTAAGACTGGCTTGAGTGGTTATAATATATAACCTAAGTTCAAACTTAGGTTTGTTGATGAAGGTTAGACATCCAGGTAATGAGATACACAAGGAAATTGCTACTCAAGCAACAGGATAGATTTTGATAATTGTCTTCCTTAGTACTGACAGATTATGGTTTGTCCTTGGCACTGAAAGACACATATTGTCTTTGTACGAAAACTCTGATTGTGCACTTAGGGCTGAGACTCGAAATATCGTCTTCCTTGGCACAGAAACCTTATGGAACTAAAAAGTTACACATTAGATAGCTGTACCTGGTAAGGTGTGGCTGACGACACTGTTAATTCAGCGACTTGCCACTCGTCACCCTGGTCTCCCATCTGGGTCCAAACTGCGGGTCCCACAGTACCAAAAGCCCTGGTGCGAATGCTGAGGGAGCCGACATCCGTGCCGTTCATGTGGTAGTAGAAGCGGAGACACTGTCCTGAGGTGCTGGGGTAGGTGGGACTCAGCAGACGGATGTAATCTCCAGGACGGGAGTGGCGGGACGCATCACAATACATGTACTGACCTGCAAGAAAGAAACACCTGCTGTATGAATTGAAGACAAATACGGGATATCAGATATTCTCTCTGAGTTTGACTCCTCCGACTGAAGTTGACCATTATTGTTACTTGTTAATTGTTTAACAGTAAAAAAGTTTAGATTTTGTGCAGTTGAGACTTTGAATAGTGCCTGTCCTTGGTGCTGAAAACCTGGTTATGGTACCTTTGGTACTTAAACTAAGTGACTAACTAAAGGTGCTAATCAACTTTGTTTTATTTTGCTGCATGTGTTTTTGGAATGCTATGTATCAATCAATCAATCAATCAATCAATCAATCAATCAATTTTCCACAGGCTTCATGTATGTGCTGAAGCATGGTGGCTGTAGACAGTTCTCTCCAGGACGCTCTGTTCTCAGTATAGGACCTCCTGTTGGTCCTGGTGACCCTGAGCCTACTCAGTGTTGTAACTTGTAAGTATGTGTAAGGATATATTTATATAGGCTCTGTATCACTTCATGTGTATGGAACTGATAGGGCTTCAATCATGTATATACCAGCATTCTGTGTGACCCTGACCTCTTCCCGTATGACTTCATGACATTAATGCAGTAGAAAACATGGATTACCAAATGGAGTTCCATAAGTGTGATCTGAGCTTGGCCCAGTGTTGGCTGTCCCGGTGCTGCCACTAGACTGGATCCAGTCACCATAGTCTGCTACATCTTGGGTGTAACCACACAAGTCTGTCGACTCAAAGTCACAAGTTTCTGCAGATTGAAATGAAAAACTTTGTAAGTAAAATAAAGTAGTGTGTTTGCAATTTCTTCTCCAGCCTGGCTGATGAGAGAAATACACACAATATTCATAATCATGATGAATGTATTTCTGTCATACTGTATTTGTCATATATTTAGGATATTTGGCAACACTGACTTGATGGAAGGCATGGCCCATCACTGATGCCGACATCATCCACAGCAATGTCTCCCTGCCAGCCTGGACCCTTACTACCCTCCAGGGCAACCTTACAAAGGAAAGCAAGAGTCAGTATTGATGTAGTTACATAACTCGACATGATAAAGATTTCACAGATATTGATTAATTCTTCAAAGGAAAAAGGGGCAAAATGGTAGTCCCAATGTCTTTGAAATTGAAAAAAAAACTGAGAAATGGAGAAATCTTTCCCTTTACCTGATAGTCTCCTGTAGCTGTCAGATGTACTTGTGCATATTTCCACTCATTGCCTTGGTTCCCATACTTCTGCCATATCGGGCCCTGAAGACTACCACCAGAGGAGGTGTAAACCTTCAAGAAGTCCACATGGTAGCCAAACATGTGGTACCAGAAGTGGAGGCACCTGCCGTTGGAAGATGCGGGAAGCCCGGGGCTCAGGATTCGAGCCTTGGCAAAATTTGCAACACCAGTGGAGTCAACAAAGGCGTAATAACCTGTACAATCAACAACACATTGCCAAGGTTAATTGAAACAACATACAATACGGAAATTGAGGTAAGACTATCTAAATTCTGTCAATTCATTGCGTCCTCAAATAGAGCAACAAATTGTTTCTTAACATGCAGTCACTTTTAGGGATTCAGTGAAATCTTGCACTTATCCTTATTTAACTAGATGCTAACTTAGTTGTCTTTTCAAAAATAATCGGTGGTGTTGACTGTCATCACTCACCCTCAGCACTGCCAGTGGTGTGGTCTCCACTCGGACCTGTGCCGTACGTGTCAGTTGTGCTGTTCTGTACGATCCAATCAAAATCGTCGCTGGTGTCCTGGACCCATCCACATGTTGTTGCAAGGTCAAAGTTACAGTCCGCATTCCCAGTAGCTAGAGGCAGGGCGAAACACACGTTAATCAATCTAATATAATTGTTTGGCAATGCTCAATTTAAAAGTGCTTTTTCTGGGTCAAAGTGTCATACTAAGTTGTCTTTATTGTCTTTATTTGGAATACCCTTTAGCTTGATGACTAGTCTTCCAGGGTTCAGATTACACAAAATAAAAACATACATATAACAGAATACATGGTAAAGAAACACACATGAAAGCAAGAAATGAAATTTACAGTAGTTACTAACAACAAAAAACATAATATGGAAACTAGTTACAGAGTTAACATTGTTTGAACTGATGGTTTGATGGTTTTGAAGGTAGATGGACTAGAAAGTGTTTTGACATGTGGTAGTGAGCTGTTCCAAAGGTTGACTGCCCGGTACAGAAATGTTTGTTTTGGGTGTCTTGGTAGTCTACATATGGGTCGTCACATTGCATCAAATGTTGTTCATCAGATATTGTATGAGTTGCTTGTGAGGCCACAAAGTTGAGGCCTTCAGCTTTTATGAAACATGAGATAAACAATTTTACCCAACAATTGCTATGCTTCAGACACTTACGGAATGTTGCAGGTAGTATTGTTGGTGCAGGAGTGGTGGCTATTTGCCCATTGCACTGTCCATCGATGTAATCCGTGTCATCAATAGCAATGTCAGCCGAAACAAAGAACAGGAATGATCCCAGTTCAGCCTCAATGAGCAGCTGCAGAATAGATAAAACAGAAAGAAAATATTTGAATTCAGGTTTATCAACTAATGTCGGAAACCACCATATTTCGAAGATACCTTTTTCTGAATGCCACAGGATAATTGTTATGATATAACAAGTCATCAATGTAACAAAATGATATTATATATAATAACAATTCAAAGTCGTTACTGTGGCTTACACTGTATCTCAGATGGACTTCATGATTCTTCTGAATTCTTCTGCATATTCAACACTATGATTTTGTATTCCTAGACACAACTCGAGTAGGAACCATACAATAAAGGATTGTCTCTATGCTTTTCAATATTGTACCAGAGTGTTACCTGAAATTCTGTGTTGCTTATGATGTCAACTTGTACATAGTTCCAGACATTTCCCTGGTCTCCTGATCTGTCCCATAGCTTGATCAGTTGGTTGTCACTACGCTTGTAAACTGAGATGGTACCAGATCCTGAACAACAAACAAACAAATAAATAAACATCAGTAATCTAATAATACAGAACAACACAGTGCCTTCAGTAACTGTTTCTTGTGAAAATGTGCATGCACAGGCCTAGGCATCCTACATGTATTATGGCCCAAAATGGTACGATGGTCAACACACCAGGCTGGTTAAAAATTTAAACAATGAATTTTGAAAACTTATCAAATGTCTATAGATGTAAAATACAAATGTGAAACTCAATTTCATAGACCTCCTTGTACAGGTTTTTTGGTGGTTTGTTAGTTTTTCTTGTGTGTTACATGAATGCAACAAAGCAACAAGAAATCAGGGGGAAATTGTGTAACTGCAGACTGACAGAGGGGTCAAGTTGGAGGTGAAAATGTTCTACCCACTGACTGGCAGTATATGACCTACTTTGGCCAATAGTGACTATTGCAAAATCCTAATCCTACAGCTGTGGATATGGCTAAACAGTCCTATATGAGAATGACATTAATGACTGAGAGTACAGTAAAATATGAATGGAATTTGTGAAAACACTTTTGATTACAAATCTTCCATTATTGTGAATTATATCACAGTTTATTTATTGTGCAGTTGAAACTTTGGATAGTACCTGTCCTTGGTGCTGAAACTCTGGTTATGGTACCTTTGGTACTAAAACTAAAAATATTGTCTATCTAAGTGACTGATACTGATGGTAGAGAGAGAGTACCTAGGCCTGTCATGTGGAACCAGAAGGTCAGGCAGGATCCTCCTACTGTTGGCTGGAAGTGCTCGCTGACGAGCCATGCCCGGGTTCCACTGGCACTGCTGGCATCCACAAACATGTAGTGACCTGCAATAACATTTGGAAAGAAATCAATGCTTTATATCCAAAAGGACCTCCTAAAGAGAATTTCCAGTTGTTTTAGGTACCCGGTTACCATGATATTTCTGTTTTTTTTTCTTCAAGAACCATGGGACACAATAAGCATAACAGGTAGTGCACCATGGATATCACCAAATTTGTTACGAACATCAGCAGTATGTGCTATTCTTTCTTCTTTCTGTTATTCCAAACTATTCCTCCCAAATTTGAAGGGTCAGTCCATTCATAGCCCACAAATCTATTCTGATATAGATGCCCTGCCACCATTCTTTATAAGGCCATGTTGATTTGATTATATGGATGACATCCTCCGGGAGCCCAGAAATTGATGCGCGCGTGCGAATAAAAAAAAAGTTTTGCAAAAAAAAAAGTTGTTTTCATTTTGAAATGTACGCGGTCATGAGGGTTTAACAAATGGGACAGAATATGGTTTGGCAAATAATCTAGTCTTCAAGTTCATTTCTTTACAATTTCGTCTTTTTTCGTTTGATTTTGGCATTCTACAACATTGGTAGAGTTTTTATTTATTATTTTTTGTAACTTACGGTATATTTTTGCTCATTTTGCAACTGTTTTGTACGATTTACAGTATGGTTGAAAACTTTTTTTTTTGGAAACGGCCGAAAATCCATGCACGCGCGGATGTCATCCATTTAATCAAATCAACATGGCCTAATATGTGGCAAACAACAAAGTGATAAAATTTTACAACAATTGATAAGAGGCAGCCATGTTGATGACCTACCAAGGTCAGAGTTGGTGGTGTGGTCCACGTCAGGGCCTGAGAAGGCGCTGGGTGTGGCACCAGAGTTCCACAGCCAGTCAAGCTCATCTCCCGATGCAGTGTTCTGCCACCCACACGTGTCTTCTTCAAATGTACAGTAGCCTAGTAGACCAAAGATTCAAACATCCATTCATCAATAATCTATGTCATAGCTTTAGCCAACACCACAAAGGAGATTATCATAATGTTATATTGATTTTATAGACTGGCTACAGTATGCTCAAGGATAAAAAAGACTAGCTTATATTTCTAGCATTGATTTTTTACCCTTACACTAAAGTGTGGCTCTATTGATTTGGTCGCATCAAGAGAAAATAAGTCCTGACACAATTTAACAGGTTAACAATGGTTTATAGATTAGTATTGCTGATTTTCTGCTTCTGATAATAATGTATAGATTATGAGTACATGTATATCCCGTAATAATCATGGTCCCTTGAATACTACCAAAATTGAAAGAACTACCAAATTATCTTTAGGGCAAAAAATGAAGATATAACAAACCACACAAACAGAAAAATCTCACCCTGTCTTGGACAGGCACCGCTCCTAATAGTGACATCATCAATTGCAATGCTTCCTGGGACACTATCACCATAGATAGCTTCCATCACAACCTGGGCAGTAACAATTTGAAAAACAACAACATGTGACCAGATAAATCTCACCTTGTGTTGGACAGGCACCACTCTTGATTGTGACATCATCAATCGCAATGGATCCTTGGATACCATAGCCATAGCTAACTTCGATCACCACCTGGGCGGCAACAATTTGCTAATTAGTAACTTAATGTTAACTACAATTTGCTGGGCTTATTATGTAAGGTAACATTTAGATCAATTCACTTGGGTTTGAGTTGGTACAGTTGTAAGGTAAGGTTTAGGTTAAGGTAAATTTTCCTCTGTTAGTTAGGAATGGTTTGAATCAGTTTGGGTAATGAAACGGTTACCTTGAAACACATTTTAATTATACAACAAGTCAGCAGAACACACTGGGCCAGTGCAAAACCTGTAACGTGATGTGCATACCGCCTCTGTTTAAGATCGTGTTTGCGTAAGTATGAATGATATCCTGTCTATAGTTTTAAAATGTTGTGATGGGAAAGACATCATCTGCACCGGGAAAAATTCTGATGCAACATTGGCCAAATATTACAGAAATGGTGATAGTTCTGGGTTTTGTGCAGTGTGTTCTGATGACGTGCTCAATTCTACTGACCTGGACAGACTGGCCTGGGTTGTTGAGTGTGACGCGGGCGATTCTCCACACATCGCCCTGGGTCTGAGACATGGACCAGATGGCAGTGCCCAGGATGGGCCCCTGCTGCAGGTAAACATTCAGCTGACCCAGACGACCGTCCGCCATGTTATACCAGAACTGCAGACAGTCAGCAGGTCCGGATATACGGAAGCTTTGAGAAAACAGCATGGCCTTGTCCCCGGTGTTTTGGTTGGGTGAAGCGTCTGGGTAGGCGTAGTTGCCTGTAAACAACAGCAATCCTCAGCATCTTGTCATGACATGTTATTGTGTCTTTCCATCTTTCACCAGCATCATAGACATGTACTGTACATATGTGGAAAAAGTTCTGGTATGATCAACACTAAGATTTCATTGGATACTAAATGCATAGTTACACACACTTGCAGACAGACAGACACAAACACACCTGCAGCTGTTCCTGTAGTGTGATCAGTACTGGGGCCTGACGGCAGTATGCCTCTGGCCCAGTTGAAGTCATCTGTGATGGACTGTTGCCAGCACATATTCACCTCAAAGTCACATTGAGCTGAAAAACACAAATCGTGAAGATGGATATCATAATTTTTTTAAAATATGGCTGTTTCATTTAAATAGATGTAGACTTGATACAATGCTGGAGAAAAGATTATGATTATGACTATTTTATAGCCTCTGTACGTTATTTGTTTTGATTATGTAACAAACTGCACTCATCCAGGGAGAAGTTTCCCCCTGCCTGTACATTTGTGGTTGTTTTTATCAGTTAACAGTTTATAAAAAGACAAAGCTACATGGACACTCCTTACTTTCCACTGGACAGGGTCCATCAGTCACTGTGATGTCATCGAGAGCAATATCACCTGACCAGCTGTCGCCTCGGACTGCTTCAAAAATCAACTGCAAAAGAGTGATTACAGTCAATGTACATCACTGGGGAGTAGGAAATAAAATGAGACATAAACATTAATTATAAATGACTCCACATTATGATAAAGACATCATGCATTCATTCATAATATACTTTCCATCATACATTCTTGTTATATGCATATCAAAGGAGGCAATAGGTCAGTTTACAAGATCATTACAAATTTAAAAATAAATGAGCAGAGAAGTGTGCAGATAATTCATTCTTAAATTGATTGCTGTATGCATATTAAAGGCCAGGTAATAGGCCAGTTTATTATGATGTATTTACAAATTTGAAAATATACCAGCATAGGGATAGCCAGGGTCTTAATGTAATGCATACAATTGGTGATTTAATTCGCCCACTGACCTGCCATTCTGCAGAAGAACTGACAATCGGCACATGTCCCTTTCTCCACATGTTGCCTTGAGAGCCAGAGCGCATCCACAACAGCTCTGGGGTCAGAGTTTTCCGCTCAATGTAAACATTAAGGGTGCCTGTGGTATGTACAGGAAAGAGAAAATGTGTGAAAATAAGATTTTTGTGATCCTTTACTACCCATTCTCCTCCTTTGCTCATTGAATTCATTGAAAGACTGAAAAAAGCAATTAATACCTGATGTGTTCCCAGCATTTTATGGTCACTGTTTTTACAGTGACTATGGTACCATTACCATTACCATTTATCTTTTGTCTCCCACCCTGCACTTGCTGCCACTGTGAAGATTAACTTCTATGAACATGACCGTTTTCCTAAGACCTTGAAATTTTTATTTGCTACCATGAAGACAAACTGAATTACAATATGATAATATCGGAGCTATTTTTTGTCTACTCTTAAGTCAATCATTATATGATATGTCCATTGATTTTATCTCCATCTCCATACCCTTGCATTTTAGCCCCACCAATAAGCTCCGCATAATTCAGCCCCTGGCTGCAACGAGAGATCCAATAACTGTCAAAAAACAAGAACTCACCGACAGCAAGTCCAAACATGTGGTACCAGAACTGAGCACACTTCTCAGTGGCCTGAGGCTGGTGCCAGGTGACCAGCTTGGCTCTGTCTCCCTGGACACGAGGTGGGGATGCATCGATGTACATGTAATAGCCTGCACCGGCAAAGGGAGCAAAGGTAAGTCTTCCTGGAATGTTAGCCTTGAATTTGACGACAGGAGATTTACATGTACATGTACATTCAAGCCATTAACCCCTTTTCTCTGCATCTCATCACCATCATCATAGTTAACCCTCATGTAACTAATCCCATCAGGGGCAAAGTAAGGGGAGTTAGGGCAGACAGGCCTCCAGCCTGGCACAAAATAATTCAATGGTGAACCAGGCAGGGCATTCTGTTGGGAGAATAGGAAGGGGGGAAATTGAGTATTTGTGCACAGTATCTATATCATTCTGTTCTGGCATTTGTAGTTTGGCATTTGAGGTGCTGGCACCACCGGTTATGTTGTGGGTAACGTGTTTGTGTGTGTATGTGCATATGGACATGATAACTTGCCTAGAGTATCTTCAAGTTGATATTGTTATTTGTCAGTAGGTCTTGATGAGACCTCAAAATGATTGGATTTTGGGGCCCTTGCATGATGGCTAATGTTATGATAATTTAGAACACTTTTCACCGTGCAAAAGATGACAACCCTCTGACTTCTTTCTTCATAGTTCTAACCTGTCAAGGTTAAGATGGTTAGGCTACATCACTATGCTAGGAGACCATCACATACATGATTGTGCATATTAGTCTACAAACCCAAGACCCCCAGAAAGATCCCACAAGCACTGGAAATATGGAATTGTAAAAGACACATGTCGATTAGTTTGCAGTATAAGATAAATGACTCTATGGCTAGTGACCTTGCTACTTGGAGCTCAATTTACCTTATGAAGAGGAGCAAGTGGCCAGCTTCTGGCCTGATCACTTATAAGCAGGCTTAAATATCCTCACCTGTTCCTGTAGTGTGGTCAAACCCAGGGCCTGTACCCTGTTCAAAGGCGTCCGGTCCATTGTTGGATCTGATCCAGTCAAACTCATCATCCTGACTCTGGTAATATCCACAGGTGCCTGCCTCAAAGTTACAGGTCAGATCTGTGGGAAACAGGACAGAAACAGTTCAGATTTTCAGCTGCTGCTGTACCTAACCCTCTCATTGCTGCCTAACCCTGTAAGAGGGCCATAACCAATAGAGTTTCAGTAGCCAAATAATGGCTATTCCTACTAAATGTTAAATTTATCATACACACAAAAAATCTGAAAAAAATTATAAGAATGAGGATTGATACAAATTCTGCAATATCTAATCTTGACCATTTTTAAGAATTTGTAAACGTAGTTTTGATGCACACCTTGTGCAGTTTTTTCAAGATTTATTTCAAGAGAAGTTTGAGGAAGTCCCATGACCAATAAGGTCACACCTTGATAATGATAAGGTTTTGGGGAAGTCTGTTGCAATTTTCAAAAAGATTTGACTGAATGCATTTGAAGCCATGTGTAGCTTAGTCCATCATAAGGCGTCATATTATCTATATGTAAGGCAGTCAAAATTAAACATCTTACCTTGTGCATGTACTGGTGGACAGGTTGGGCAGCAGTTTATGTAGGTGATATCATCAATGGCCAGGTCACTTCCACCAAGTAGGAAACTTAAGGCTGTCGGGCTTCCCTCCATCACAAGCTGAAACAGCAAAACACGGTCAAGTCAGAATGCATTGTAAATAAAATGATATCATGATAACTTGGTCTCAACCATTTTGACATGTTTAAGGACTGCAAGTTAACGAACAAGAATTGTACAAAGATGGGTAAGTAAGTTATGAAGAAACCTACAGTAGGTGTCATTGGATGACAGAACAAATGTCCAGACGACTATGCATGATGTGAAAATTGATTAATAAACTGGTGGTACCAATCACAAATGTATCTAAAACCAGCTCAGAAAAGGACAAGAAATAGCCATACCCTCAAGTACCTAAGGATTGAAGTGAGCCATAATTTGAGCCAAATACAATAGGAGAAGCTACATGTGTATACACTCGGGCAAAGGTATCTCTCACCTTATACCCTGCAGGATGCTCTCCAACGTTGACCAGTCCCAAGTTCCACTGGTCACCCTGGCTGCCTGACACAGCCCACAGCTGTTTGGTATCCGTGGCGTCGGCCGTGTTGACCAGGCTAACTGCCAGGGTTCCTGACTGGAAACCGTTCATGTGGTACCAGAAGCTGACCTGGCAGGCCAGGCCTGTCGCTCCCAAAGCTGGGGTCTCCATTGTGGCTGGATTCACGAAGAGGCCGGATGCTGCCTCCAAGTACATGAAATGGCCTGTTTGTGCAGAGAATAGTAATTAGAACAAGCACAGTGAATAGTTTTACATACTTTTAATTGGAAAACATTGTTAATGGTCGTCACCATTTACATGTAACTATGTTGTATCAAAACATTCTGATAAAATTAATAAAACATAATAAAATTATGAAATTGATGATTCAAGAGACCTAAAGAATCAACCAGAGGTGTGTACACGTATTAAGCCAGCTTTACAGAGTTGAAAAAATAGGTTGCCTCATCAGACAAACATGGGAGCTGGAAAGTACAATTTTATCTGAAGTACAGCTGTTGTCCTCTTGAACACTGCACAATTTTTAGAGATTAGCCAGTGTTTTGTCACCAAGCCCCATTTCATGTAGCAGGAAAAATAAGCTGAATTCTCTATCTACATTGTATTTTGGAATTTGACAAACGTCTGGTGATCACTAAATTTTGCTAAAGAGTGTTGGTAGCTGTGATGTTGGCTTAAAGAATGTGACAATCTTTCATACCTGCGGTAGTGCCGAGAGTGTGGTCAGTGTTGGGACTGCTGGGATCAGTAGACACCGTAGCTGCCTCCCTCCTCCAGGAGTACTGCCCAGAACTGGTGTCCACCCAGCCTCCAGCGTCGTATTCAAAGTCTGTCACACCTGAAAGTGGGGAAAGGTGGGAACAAGTTAGTGTTTCATTTTGTCTTTCTTAAGTCTAGGTGTTTCACAAGATTATCCTTTCGTCTTATACACAGTTCCTCAAACACAACACAATCAATGGAATATAAACACAAGACATGTCAACAACATAAAGTAATAGAGAAGTTGGGATGAACAGAGTTGACAGCAATAAGTGGAATGGTTGCTTATACACCTGCTTTTGGAACAAAGAAATAAACTGACATAACAGGATTTAAGGGAAACTGATATCTTACCACATAAGTTTTCATCAGACCCATCGGTACACTGGTCAGTGAAGTCACACACTTGTGAGCTGGGGATGCAGGTTGGGTTGGTCGCACAGGAGAACTGACCGGAAGGACAGGGACCGGTGGTGGGCGGGGCTGTTGTACCACTGGGCAGAAGACCTGGCAAAAAACGCAAGATATTTCCATCCAGTCTTTTCAAGTTTCAGCCACACAAGTCTGCTGCCTTGTTCTTAAATTTAAAAATAAACCTTTAAAATTTCAACATGAAAGCAGAGTCTGAGAAAAAAGTCTGTACATCGGTACACTCCAATGTTTCAAAATTATCTTTTGAAGTACAGGTAAAATATGTGTGGAGTCCTACCGTTGAAGATTTGACATCCTGAAGAGAAGGAGATGTCGTCCAAAGCAATGTCTCCCTGGTGGCCTGATCCCACTTCACCTTCAATCACCACCTAAGGCAATCCATGAACAACATTAGATAAATCCAATGCAATTTCAGGGCACCTTTAAGTGGCATTACAACTGTAACAGCGAGTATTGTTACACAACATACAGCCAATGCTTCGTGATGTAGTCCATTCTAATTTCTCAAAAGGACTTCTATACTCTATCAAGTACATGTATGTTGGATTTTTTTTTCGTATCCCATCATCAAAATTTTTCAAAACTACGAGGAAATCTTTACCTGGAATGGAGTAGCACTTTGCAAGGTAACAGAGTTTCGATCAAAGTAGTCCCCGATTGCGGTGTTGCGGGACCACACTGTGGTCATGGGGCCGCCAATGGCAGTCCTTGTCATCACGCGAAGTGCGCCGATGTGCTGTCCCAGCATGTGGAAGAACAACCTCATCTGGAAAAGGAGGAACAACACGCCCATCAGACATTTGGATTGTATTGTGCAAAACAAGGTACTTAGTAGCTCGTCAACTTCCGTGTTTCTGAGCAGCAATGAAACTGGCCAGTTTCACCTCAAGTCTGAAAAGTCGCCAGTTGGCAGCTATGCATTCTGTCATTCAGCTTGTTACTGGATTAGGAAGTATACAAGTTTCACATTATGTGAAAGTGAAAATAGTTCCATCATTTTTCTGTCATAACCTTGACTGGGGAGATGTTTGTCTTTAGAAATTGGTAGTAAGGGAAGAATTAATGTGAGAGATTAAGAATCATTTTCTTTGTTATTCCTTTGCAATTGAAGATAACTGCAAGTATCCTTATTTGCCTGATTTATAAGCTATACTTTAACAGCACTTAATGTGTGTTACCTTGCAGGAATCTACGCTGACTGCTTGGAAGGTGGGACCTGCCAGTCTGGCCTTGTCTCCCTGTACCCTGGGGCTGGATGCCTCGATGTACACATAGTAACCTGAACACAAGGGTAACATGGAATAATCATATTTTATTCAGTACAATGAGAGCAATGACTGAATACTATCCTGCTGCCATGCTGTCAAAATATAGATTAAACAAGCAGTTGCTTTGATACTCCTGTGTGAGTGAAAATTTAGCATACATATTACAGGACACTGATGCTCAAAGTTGCTCCAGACACAGCAAAACATTCCAAACCTAGTACTAAAAACACATCAGCTATATAATTGCATTACCATACCTGCATCAGTATTGAGTGTGTGGTCTCTGGAAGGACCTGTTCCCACAGATGCAGTGTTCCCGTTGGCTCTGGTCCAGTCAAAGTCATCATCAGTCAGCTGCTGCCACGAGCACAGGCTGGTTTCAAAGTCACAACGCGCAGGGTAGTTACCTGGTAAGCGAAGGCAGAGGGTCTTCTTTAAAAAGTTAAGCTATACATGTATATCTAATGTCTGTCAACCAAATACATGAGGCTTGCAATGTTATGATATAGGTTATGTGATACATACTTCTATCATGATGGTAAAGTCAAAAGAGAACAAAACCATGCACATGTACTGAGTAGCTAGAGAATACAACACAATCATGGTATAATTCTGAAAACATTTTATTATTATGGTGTTTTAGGAATAGAAATGCTTATGGAAGATGACGCAACTTACTGCACTGCAGTTCATCAGAGTTGTCTCCGCAGTCATCGCTGAAGTCACAGACACGGTCACTCTCCACACAGGCCAGGCTGCTGCAGCGGAACTGGTCTCTACTGCAGCTGGTCTGGGCAGCTGGAGGCATACAGGAGGGAAATGTCAATCAACTTGATTGAACAACCCAGTTGCTGATGAAATCTAACAAAGATTCAGCTTAAAAATGGAGACTCCATTCAGCAACCCCACAAACTGGAGAGGGGTTACCGACTAATACCATCATTGTGCTAAACCATGTATAGGTTATTGATCTAAAACACTTTCAAATTGCGTACCTGGCAGTGCACAGTTTTCAAACGTGATGTCATCAACAGCAATGTCACCAGCTGTACTGAAGCTGCGCAAGGCTTCAAACATAATCTGCAGGGGAAAAACAGATCAGAGGCATCCATTTTACAGCTTTGGTTACCCCCAATTTATCTTGCAAATACAAAATATAACCTATCTGAAACTGGACATCTTTAGAACGTTATTATAGTGGTTTAGATTTTAAAAAATACTATTGGATGCCTTTTGGTGTAATTTTTAAACATTTTCTCTTTCATGTTTCCTCACCGTGAATTCTCCCCTGGCCCTGCCCACATACACTACAGCCTCTCTCCACTGGTCCCCTCTGTCCTGGTCAAGTGTCCATACTCGTGTCTGTGTCACCGGGCCCAGCTGTACATACACGCTCAGACTGCCTATTCCTGTGGTAAAACAACACAGTTACTGATCTAGAAATATATGAATTTTATAATGTTAAACCTATCAGGACATATAAGGACTAATGATTCAACAATGACATGATTTACGATCAGTAAGGCCATCAACTAATACTTAGACATGTATGAACTTTAAGTTAAAAAGACATATACTATTATATAATATATATATATATACCAGACCTACAACATATTACGTACATCACATCACAACATTATATTAAAACCTACACGGCTTTTCAATGGCAAATGTTAATGATGTACTGCATGTATAGTGTTTTCATTAATTAACATCATAGACAATTTTTGACAATAACAGCACTACATGCTGCTACTAACATTTAGCACACTGAAGTAGGACTACCAATTGACTACTCTATTGACTATGGGGTTATAGGGCAGGGAGAAGGTTGAAAGGCTAACATCCTGTTTCCAATTGCAGCTGAAAGAGTGCGTCCATCACAAATGCATGCCACACACCTGATCCATACATGTGGTACCAGAACTTGAGCATACATGCGGGTCCTCCCTGCCTGAGAGTTGGACTCTTCAGCCTGGCCAGATTGTTAGCAGTCCCGGTGTAAGCCTCCACAGCCATGTACCAGCCTGTTGTACATGCAGAACTCAGATCAACAAATCTGACATGTGTGTATAAAAAAATTATATAGATTATACAGAAACTGCCAAAAAGTCATACCAAAGACTTTAAAAATGGTACAACATGTACATGCTGCTCTGTTTCTCTGCTTACCACTTCGTTAGCATTTGGGAAAGAGAATAGTAGTTAAACACACAACACTACCAATGGACTAGCCTCCTGCTGTAGCGATTGCACTACCGTGTGGGCTAAGAGCTATTGAACCGGAGATGGACTTATTAAGCCAGACCTAGGTTGGTTCCGAGGGTGTGGTCTACAGAAGGTCCCGTGTTGGCCGTGGTGGTTCCATCTCTGTCCCTTCTCCAGCTGTAGGACCCTGAACTTACATCTGTCCAGGAACAGGCGTTCTGCTCAAACGTGCAAGGACCTGCATGTCCAAACAAAAGGCACATGATCAAATTGCATGCATGTCTGCTAACAATAAAACAGACTGAGGTATAAGTGATGAATAAAAAACGATCTGCTTCAAGTACCTTACACATGGACAGACTACACTGCTCTTTATTTTTGGGCACGCGACTTACTTTTTGGTACCACCCATAAATACCTAGAACTTATAGCTACGATATAAAACAAGGAATCATTTTCTGTCAGTCAGCGACATCGCAATTTTGCCTTACAGATATCAGTATTTTAATATGGGATAGGATTGACACACACCACAGTTGACTTCGTCATTCCCATTGCTGCAGTCAAATTTAAAGTCACACACGTTGGAGAGGGGAACTGAATTGCCGTTCCCACAGTCAAATGCAGTACCAGGTGAGCCAGTGGGGGTGACTCCTGCAAACAGAACAGCACAATGTATCAATGAGGATGGGGATAATTGCTGGGAACTCCTACTACTGTTTCTATAAAATTATGTATTAAGGCATTGTCAGGGTTGCAATGTACTTCTGAGTTTGAGACAGAAGATTAAAATTAAAAAGCAGTTCTTAATTTTAGGTTGACTTAATACGCATATATTCAGAACATTAATTATTAGTAAATTTATCTAAATTGACACAAAAGTATCACCAAGGGAATGATCTAAAAATTGAACTTTGTAATATATGTACAACTGTAGTTATAACAGACATAAACCATTAAAGCAAGGGTGTTCTATAGATGGTTACTTCAGCACTTTACTTCAGATAATCTTCTTGTGTAAGAATAAACAAATAGTTGTACAGAAACTAAAAACATGGGGGTACAACCAAACCAAGTAAAAAAAAAACAATTTGCATCTTTCTACAGATTTGAAGTAGACAGATACATATTAGAAAAAATGCCTCCCTTAACATATCATTTGACAAATGATTGCCACAGTTAAACATATGTTTGGCTGTCCAAATTCCTTGTTTGAAATCTTTTTACAGTGACAGTTTCTTTCCCCGTACAGCCAAGCTTTGGAATTCCCTCCCTGACAAGTGTTTCCTGCCAACCTACAATCTACAGGCTTTCAAATCAAACGTTCACCACTATCTCTTGACATAGCCATGTTTCTCTCATATGTCTAGTTCAATGCCGAGAAGTGGTCATATAGGCCTTGCATTGAACTACTCCGTTAAAGAAAAAAAATGTTACCTGCTGAACAGAATCTCCACTGCCCTGTACTTCCCCATCCTGTGGAGTACCCTGCATAGCTGATGACCAGGGGGTTCGGATCCACCCACTGCATGAATGAGTTAACCTCATTACCACGTCCAACAGCAATGGTGCCATCAGGAGACCAGGAGATCCAGAAGGGGCGGTACTCAGTTGGAGAGTTGATGCCTGTGGCAACAGAATGAATGAATGAATGCTTGATTGAATGAATGAATGAATCAATCAATCAATCAAACAATGAATGACTGAATGAATGACTGAATGAATGACTGAATGAATGACTGAATGAATGACTGAATGAAAAAATGAAGGGATGAAAAAATGAAGGAAGGAAGGAATGGATGGATAAATGATGCAACACGACCTAACAGAACAACACTTATACATGTATGTACTGGGTGAAATTTACATCACAAGCCTTGCTATAAAAGAATGTAGCTTTGTCACATAAAAAATTGAAATTGCACTTTTGAATCACAACTGTCACAACAAAAAAATCCACCTTACCCTGTGTTTGGGCCACAACTTGGTTGGCCCCTTGCCCTGAGCGGCGTATGACAGATTGCTGGTTACTCCAGCCACCGATCACAACCTCGTACATATCGTTGAGATCCTGGTTCTGTGCCGAGAGCGCCACGTGAACGTCGTTACTGGCCTGCACTTCAAACTCAAACCTTGACCCGGTGACAGGAGGCAGGTCCCATCTGTACCGGTACTGAGTGTCTGTTGTTTTTGTGTCACACACTGTGAAAATGAAACAACGCCAAAACAGTCATTGTGTAGTTCAACATAATTAGTTCTTATATGTTATAGAATTTAAATCAAATACAGATATTTCTAAATTGAGTCTTTTGACCTGTTTGACAGTAACTTTGTAATCAGCGAGTAGGTTTTACATGTGGTATGATTATTCAACTTTTATCGTGATTGTTTCAGTATAATAATGAATTTCACCTTTTAACATGAAATAACAAATAACGTTATAAACTTTAAAGCTGCAAGTCCCTTGATTCAATAATTCATCAATTGTGTGCCTGTGAGGCTTAAGCTTGAACAGTGCATCATAAATGTGCTGTAATGGCAACAATTTGTACTAGGTTTACTGACTGATTGATACAGACACAGCAGCATATAAATACATGTACTGACCTGTACATTCTCCATTAGTCACCTCTATATCATCCACTGAGATGTCTCCAGTGTGGCTGGTGCCAACAAAGCCCTCAAGAATCAGCTGTTTGGATAGGCATACAGTTTATTAATGTGAAAACCTCCATGCTGTAATATTCAACAATACATGCATTTACCAAGCTCTAGGTAGGTAGTGAGTTGAAAGCATTTTGCTTTATATTTGCAGTGGAAACAATTCTGTACAGATTATGTAGAAAGTTTTCAGCACCAAGGCAGGTCTGTTTGCATGTGTAGAAAGTTTTCAGCACCAAGGACAGGTCTGTTTGCATGTGTAGAAAGTTTTCAGCACCAAGGACAGGTCTGTTTGCATGTGTAGAAAGTTTTCAGCACCAACGACAGGTCTGTTTGCATGTGTAGAATGTTCTTAGCACCAACGACAGGTATGAAAAGCCCAATATCCTATGTTCTACCAACCAGATGAAATTATCTTCAGAAATTCTGTACTATATACAGTTTGGCATACATGTACATGTATTTGCCATGGAGAGGTCAATGCAAAATTAAAACCCCGGCCAGGATTTGGAAATATACAAACCCACAACAGGTACTTAGTCTACAGCTCTTTCCTACATGTACATGTACATTTTACATGTACAAGAAAAGCCATAAATTTGCCCAACCTACCAAAAAGGCCTGATCGCTCCTGAGTGTGATCTGGGCCTGGAACCACTGGTCACCCTGGTCACCGCTTAGTGACCACACCTCATCTATTTGGGACAATGATTTTAGCATCCAAACCTGAGGAGAAAATTATTTGAGGAAGTTTATGAAACTTTGATTGTTTAGGCATACACAAAAGGATGATACTGTATCAGAAGAATGGAATATGAGTTGTTTAAGTCACCTTGTTGTAGCATTCACAGCTCAGCAATAAAACCATACATAAATCAGACTTCAGATTGTTGCACAGTCTGTATTGGGTATGAATTAAATGCTTTGGAACTGCACTGTATGATTAGAGGAAATCAAATTGAAGTACAATGTCATACATTCCTGGCGACCGTCAAACCACATTATGACCCCAAGGGCACACCAAGTTACCACCATATCACTCCAGAAATGACTCAATTCCCAGCGTGGACTCAATACAAACACAAAAACTATCAATTATCACAACTAAAAAACAATCTGTACATATGCTTCCGTCCCAGAAGTGAGGACAGTTACCTTCAGAGTTCCAATGCCACTTCCAAACATGTGGTACCAGAAGCGCAGACACCTAGCTGGGGGGCCAGGCTGGAAGACTTCTGAGAGAAGTGCAGCAATGTCTCCTTGTTGTCTTGGTGAAGAAGCCTCAAGGTACATGTAATATCCTGAAAAATTCAGGGTAGTACAAGGTTTTTTCATTGAATTTCCTACAACCAGCGCTCATTATTTGGTCTGGTTATTTTGCACACTACCTATAATATGTAAAATACAAGATGTGGTACAGCAAATAACTTATCCATCAATGTACACTCAACATGATGGCTACTAATCTAACAGAACTTTGCTTATTCATTTTTCAAATTATATACATGTATTGAAATCTATCATTATATCTTCACCTGAGTTGACTGAAGGAATAGATAAAAAGAGCCTTACTCAAGCAAGGCCACAACACAGGTTCTTCAGATTCTAAGTCAACAACCCTGAGTCTTAGAGTCTTAGAGTCAAGTCTTAGACCACCTTGCCACCTTCTGTACAAAACGTTCATCAAGAGCCAGCAGTTCTTTTCTAAATGTTTGTCTTGGATTGGGTACCGAGAACAACTATTACAGCTTACCGTTCCCACTGGTGTGATCAGCGGAAGGTCCAGTGTTTGCGGAGGCGGTGACTCCACGCTGCCTGACCCAGTCAAAGTCATCCTGAGCACGTGTGTTGTACCAGCCACAGGTGTCCACCTCAAAGTCACATGCACCTGTGCAAACACACAGATCCCTTAAGTAAGCTAAAAAAAACACTCCTGGAAGAACTGGGACTTAACTTACAGGCACCCAAAGTGATTTCAGGGCAGTAAAGCTGAATTTTCAAAGTCAGAATTTTCTCGTCAGTTTTTTTAACATAGTATACTGAGGCAAAAATGTGATGTCACTGATGGACAACGGTTGCTTATTTGGCAGCATACATGTAGGCTGGTTCTAGCTAGTTAGTAATGGTATGAAAAAAAAGAGAACTCAAGTACCTGCAGGGCCACACTGGCCATCCTTCATCACGATGTCGTCAATGGCAATATCACCACGGTAACTCTGGCCTCGCACACCTTCAAACACAATCTGTGAACAGGAGGAACAGTCGAGCATGAAATCTCATTGACGTGTTCAATCAAATGACATTGATAAGGAACTTCAATCTGCTTCTTTCTACACCATGGAATTCAGATTTTGAAGCAAGCTAATGTACCCACTACACGAAAAGAGTAGGTGTCCTTCCCAGTGTGGCCTACATTGTAAATGGGTTACAGAATTTCCTGAACAGCCTTTGTAACCCCTGCTTTGCCTATTGAGTCAGTTAGTCAAAGTTTCCTATGCTTGATGTTTCTGACTTAGGGAGAAGAGTTGCTGCTTCAGTGAGCCTTAGTTCAATGCCAAGAGGAACTTTACACTCATTAAAAATCATAATCTGCAATTATTATACCGGTAATCTAAGCGGTAAGGAGTCACACATGTATGACCTAAGAGGCAAATGACACACTACTGACCTGGTAATTCATGGCATGAGCCAGATTAGCCCTGCCGACATGCCAGAAGTTGCCCTGATCACTACTCAGTGTCCACACTGGATTAAGACCAAAAGCCGTCTTTGTGTACACAGTCAGCTCGCCGATATCAGTCCCGTACATGTGGTACCAGAACTGCAGGCACTTCCCTTGTGTTCCAGGGTAGACTGGTGATGTTAGCCTGGCCGAATCTCCGGGTTGTCTCGGGCTTGATGTTTCGATATAGACATACTTGCCTACAGAAAACAGTACAAGCCTTAGTGCAAAGAAATATTTACACTGAGAGAAGACAAGTCAAAGAGATGAAAACAGAGGAAATCGAAAAAAAGACACGTAATGCACAGCTAGTTATATTCATCAGGGCCAGTCAGAAGACTAGCTTATCTTACAAATAAATATCTTGTATCTTCTTGGGGATCACACAGGACACACACAAGAAGATGACAATGGAGGAAAAAGATGACTTACCAATAGCAGTACCGTAAGTATGGTCGTCGGAAGGCCCTGAGTTTGCTGTGGAGCTGGTCCCACTCTGTTGTGTCCAGTCAAACTCATCGGTTATGTCCTGGGTGTAGCCACAGAGGTCACTCTGCTCAAAGTCACAGCCATCTGTGGACAGATACAAGGATGTCTTAAATGTACTGTAACTCTAAAATTGATTTTCTTGCTTCTTACTGTGATTGAGGAAAAATTTAATTCAGTTCAGTTGTAAAAACCGAAAGGGGCGAGCAGGTCACAACCGGGAATCGAACCCGAGTTGTCCGCTTGGCGGTCACCAATGCTAACCACTACACTAAAAGGTCGCACGACCATTTAGCATGGTCAGTTAGCACTGTTACACTACTCCCCCTTTTCTTTCAAGATTCGTCCTCGAATCTTCCGAGTCCGACATCCCTGGAGCTGCCACACTTATCCTCAGTGCCAGTACTCACAGGGCCCACATCGGGCGCCACTGTAAAAACCGAAAGGGGCGAGCAGGTCACAACCGGGAATCGAACCCGAGTTGTCCGCTTGGCGGTCACCAATGCTAACCACTACACTAAAAGGTCGCACGACCATTTACATATGTAGCATGGTCAGTACCATTTAGCATGGTCAGTTAGCACTGTTACACAGTCCCAAATTTTTACCAATGCCCATGTGGCAGCATTGTGTAAAAGCTGATTCAGAACTTCAGGTTTACAAAGTAAGTTCAAGACATTAAATTTGATAATTGTCTTTTACACATTTGACCTTAAGTGCAAACACACTTTACCTGGTGGCGGGCACTCTCCATCTCGTACTGCGATGTCATCCAGGGCAATGTCACCTTCATAACTGGAACCACGCAACCCTTCAAACACCAGCTGGACAAAATCACAAACAACTTGCATCAAAACACGTCATTACACCTGGTAGGACATGATCAAAGACAGACTTGTGCTAGCCCTTGTTGTTGTAGTAATTAGGATTTATTAGGTTTTATTCTAATTTCTATATTAGATGTTTGACTGTCATTGACGTTTAAGCATTAACTTACATTCATTTACCATGCAACAACCAAGTTTGAAACACTATTTTATTGACAACCCAGCACTTATCTGTTTTCAACGGGACTGCAAACTAATTAAAAGAAAGATACATGTACATACCTGTCTTAAAGTTTGGATGGTTGTAAATCGAATCTAACTTCTGATCATGACTTTTTGAAGGAACACATTTTCCTTACCGAGTAGGTGCTGGGCTCAGTGACTCGAACTTGTGCGTATCTCCACTCGTTGCCATGTGTTCCCTGAAGCGTCCACAGGAGAAGGTCACCTGCATTTCCACGCAGCTTCAGATTGAGCGTGTTGACGTGTGCCCCGTACATGTGGTACCAGAACAACACACACTTCCCACTGGAGGTGGGCGTGATGGGGGAACTGATGATCTGAGCTGCATCGCCCATGTTCCCTGAACTGGTCTCAATGAACACATAGTGACCTACAGACATGAAGACAAAGAATGAGTTAATGATTGATATACAGAAAAACAATGAATCATTTTCTAAAGAATGCAGAATGCAGATCGTTGATTTTCATTGCAACTCACAAAAATACATCATTTTCTGGCTACTGGTATAAGAAAATACTAAAAATTAAAAGTGTAATTACTATACTACATTACATACTATCATACATTGTAGCTTGTTGAATTTATTTATCATAGATACATTTGTGGTAATGATTAATGACAGGATCAGAGTGGTAAGTTAGATGAAGTATTCATCAAGAATGTCTGACCTTGACTATTCTGAAGAGTGTGATCAAACTCAGGTCCAGTGTTGCCTGTTGCTGTGCTACCCTGCTGCCAGCTCCAGTTGAAGTCATCTGTGGTAGACTGGGTCCAAGTGCACAGGTCTGTCTCAAAGTCACAGTCAAAACTACTTGCCCCTGCAGTACAAAAAAGCATAGATTATATATGATGCCTGTATATACATGTAACTATGTTAGCAAATCAGACAATGTCATGTACATGACACTTTTGAACATTTTTGTACATCAAAAAGTGGCATTCAAAATTCTCTATGCAGATAGCAGTACTGCTTAAAATGTCTATGGTGTGTTTTCTTTTGTAGCCTCTGTAACATCCTTGCTACCAGGTGTAGAAGTGATTAACGACTTTCTCAGTCTCAAAAAAAAGACTGAGCCCAACCATATCCATTACAACCTAACATATGCACCAAGTGGAAAACACAGATACACACAAAAACCTCCCAAAAAACAGTACTTCCATAAAAAACATAAACAAGGATTTTGTGATCTCCACACCTTGTGATGGTGTCGGTGTGGTGGTGGGAGCAGGGGTAGTCACTCCACATGAGACCTCCTGATAGTTCAGATCATCCACAGCGATGTCTCCGGTGTAGCCGTTGCCCTTCTCTCCAATGACAGTGATCTGGAACTCTGTGGGGCTGCTGAGGCTGATGTTGGCGTACTGCCAGACGTTACCGACCTGCCCCTGGATGTCCCAGACTGGCTGGAAGGCACCCTGGGAGTACAGCTGCACATAGAGTGCTCCGACATCTAAGAGACAGATAACAGTCAGTCAAGTGGCATTCAAGATTCTCTATGCTGATAGCAGTAAAAATGCACTGCTTAGAAATGTCTAGTATGCTGTGTTTTCTTTTGAAGCCTCCGAAACATCCTGCTCTTGGTGGCATCAACAAAGGCTGCATTTTGACTGACCCAAGATGAATTCTGATGGCTGCCATTTTGTCAGTGTTGGAAAAACAGTAACCATTAAGCTTTTACAAACAAATATAGTTACAGTTTGGTGGACAAAGTTCCTTGTGCCTTACCAAATACAAAATGTAGTTACAATACATTGTGTCATACGGTCTTTAAAAACAATGTTTCAGTTTGGTGGACAAAGCTCATTGTACACAATCAAAGAGTTAATACCTACTGACAGTAGTCAAACTTTCAGCTTGACCCCTGCTTGTGACTTTGTTAACCAGTGACTTACCTACCTGATGAAACTATTCACAAATATGTTACAATTTATTCAAAATTATTATTAAGTTGTCATCACAAAGAAGGGCGCTTCTAAGAACTGCAAGCACAGCTACGTGTACATCTCAAGCACTTTTCTTCCTGTTAAAACAAGTCTTTTTATTTTGCACTAAAAAACAAGATACAAGATGAAGTAAATTAAATTAAAAACACTGTGCAGGAGAAGATGAAGCCTTAAAGGCTTGTACAAGCCCTTCTCCTTAAACATAACAAAACAATCACAATTAAACTGATTAACTGAAATACATTGTAGTTATTTGACTGGCCCTTACTTGTTCCATACATGTGGTACCAGAAGGAGAAGCAGGCGTCAGTTGTAGCCGGGAAGTGCTCACTCCACAGGATGGCCCTGTCTCCCGCAACCAAGGATGTGTCGCTCACCTCCGTAAACATGTAGAAACCTACAGAAAAATGTCGTTATGATCATAGCATGAGAATTCATCTGTGTTGGTGCAAGTCATTATGAAGTAAAGACTAAACTTTATCTCTGACACTGGAATGAATTGGGACTACATTACAGGTCTACATTAATAATATTAAGCACAATAAGCCAGGAACTTTTAGACCTATTCTCAATAATATCTACATTATCGAACCAGAATGTGAAACCTCTAATTTGCTGACTTTTTGGTGATATCTAATCATAATTTCAAAGTTAACCATTCAGTAACTAATAACTAAACACAGCCAGACTAAGGAAGACTAAGTTCAGCAACAATTTTCATAACTTTTATTCCTCTTTCCATACTCTTTCACTTGGCAGATGGTAACGCTAAGTTAAGCCCTTTACTTTTTATGGGAGACATGGCACAGCACAAAGGCTCACCTTGATCAGTGTTAGTAGTATGATCCACAGATGGGCCAGTAACGGAGCTTGGGGTTCCACCCTGGTTACGCAGCCAGTCAAACTGGTCTGTGGTTGGTCCAGTATTTGACCAACCACAGAGGCCCCGCTCAAAGTCACAAAATCCTGTCAAAAAGAAAAAAAAATAGGTTGTTAGAAATACCCCATCAACAAGGAAACTTAGTGTGTGTTGCTAAGAACATGAACAGTCAGGCTGGACTTCATAACTGGAAATCTAAAGTGTATTTAAATCATTCCAAGCTTGCGGATCATACTTGAACAAAGACGAACCCAAAATACATTTGTACCAATGGCAAATTGAGCTGGGACTTGAACCCATGACCTTACAGTTACAGATCCACTTATTTAGAACTGAATTTTTACCAAGAGTTTACCTGGTGGTGGACATGCACCATCTCGGATTTGAAGGTCGTCTATGGCAATGTCTCCACGGAAACTCTGGCCTCTCACACCCTCAAACACAATCTAAAACACATCATGCATAACAGCATAAATATGGCTTTTAATGTTGAAATGACATGAAGAAATAACATGAGAAACACAGATTACAAATCCAGATAATCAAAGATTTTATTATCGTTAAACAATTGTTATTTAAGCTGTAACAGTTGTTGTGTGTAATTGTAGTTATTAAGTAAGTAATTCATTCTATTTTACTTATGATGTAGAGGACTCCAAGATTAAAAGACACATGTTGTTTCACTAATAGAGTTTCTTAATACATAGTACATAAGTTGGTGAGGGTAGTGACAGAGAAAAAGGTGCATATATAGAAAGGTAACGATCTTCCCCACCAACCTCTGCTTGGAGAGTAATACACATAAACATAAAGAATAAACAAGCAGCTGCAATTGTCCACCTGGAAGATGTCATTCGGGCTGGATACGGTGACGTAGGCTAACCGCCACACGTCGTCGTTGTCTCCACTCTTGGTCCACAGCAGGGTATTGGTAGATCCTGTTTTCAGGTAGACGTTGAGAGTGCCGATGTTGACGCCGTACATGTGGTACCAGAACTGGAAACAGGCAGCAGGCGTGGCCAGGTACGTGGAGGTCTCCAGACGTGCTTTGTCGTTTGGCTGGCGGGGAGAGGAAGTTTCGATGTATGCATAGTAACCTGTATTGTAAAAAGGAGATTGGTGGAAAACTGATTCAGAAGTAGTCTTTTGGATATCAAATATCAGGTACATGTATAGTCCACTAGTCCATCTTGGAGCAAGCAACACCCTTGCCTGAAGACAATGACAAGAATGCAATTTAGTATTAATTTGACACTTGACACCTGTAACAGTCAAAAGTTCAGCACCAAGGACAGAGCATGTTGCAACATCACCATTGATGGGCACATTTAACCCTCATACAACTATATCTTCAGAGTATTCAGAGCAATAATTATTGATAAAGTGATCAATTTACATTTTAGTATAGTCCAGTGGTTAACACCCCTGCCGTTAAGCTAAGGTCCACTGTTCATTGTACATTGTGTCAAAATTTCCCCAGTACAATGAACCTGTAAATACTGTACATAGCATCTGTCTTCTCTGTTACGATCAGTGGCAGATAAGCTCTACAGTGAGCTAAAACTGTATCGAGTTCAGATCATTTAATTTTCACCTGTTCCTGTGCCTGTGGTGTGGTCTACTGTTGGACCTGTGCCTGTTGTTGCTGTGCCATTGCGGCCTCGGGTCCAGTCAAAGTCATCATCGGTAGCCTGGACTGCTCCACAGAAGTCTGTCTCAAAGTCACAGTCACCTGAAGAGAGCAAAACATGGATGAGAATTAAGTTATACTACTTAAAAATGTCTTTACACAATTAAGTTCCTGCATCGAAAGATTTGGTAACAACTTAAGGTATGAATATGACATTTCGGTAACTTTCTCTCACCTTCCTCAGGGCAATTCTGTGTTTCACAATGCACACCACAGGTGTTGCTGTTTATAGATGTGTTCCCAAATTTCATACACATATACAATTCAGGGTAAATGACTCTTTTTATTCAATGACTTACCAACCCAATAAAGCTATTCACAGACAGATCTGCATCAAATTCTCTGTAGTTATGCCCATGCTTTCTCTTCAAGTGTTAAGGTGTTTATACATGTACCCATAGACCAAACAAAGGTGTCAAACTAATTGGGTTACTTACTCAGAGCAGGACAGGGCCCTGTTACGTACGCAACGTCATCCAAAGCGATGTCTCCACGGTAACTTGTACCAACCACACCCTCAATCTGGATCTGCAATATTCAAATTCATCAATCATATGATATCCAGACCAATCCAATTTAACATGTTAATGAATTGTTTATCATCATTGATTACGTTTCATAGGGTTCTGTGAATGCTTGAATGTATAAGTCCTCCCCCCCCAAAAAAATAATGCATTGTCCATTGGTTATACCAAAAGAAGTGTGCTGGGAGCCAAAACCACAAACAGTGGAAGGACTGCAAGTTTCAAACAAAACTTGATAAAATAGAGTTATCAGTGTAAATGATAAAAATCACACCCAATCAAATCAGAAACTTTCTGCTTCATAGATAACTCAGCATTAGAAAACTGTGGATTGATAAAAATGATCACAAATGGATAAAATGGCACTGTTCCCTTTACACTTTTGTACCACAAGTCTGAGGGAATCTTTTGCAAGAACTATGCATATTTGTAGTAACATTACCTTAAAGTCAGCTGCAGCCTGAATTGACCTAACTCCTAAGACCCATCGGTTGTCCTGTGCTCCATCCTTACTCCACACCAATGTCTGCTGCCCTGTACTGGGCACGAAGGTGTAGATGTTCAGCTGGGCGATGTGGACGCCCCACATGTGGTACCAGAAGGACAGGCAGTTCCCCATAGGGTCAGTAGGGGGCAGGGTGGAGGACTCCAACATGGCTGTGTCACCAGGAGAACGAGGGCTGGAGCTTTCAATGTAGATATAGTGACCTGTGGGAATGACAGGAAGAGTCAATATGATTACTACAGAGTTCTTGGACAGCAAACATTTCTGTCAAAAATTAGACCAAAGTTGAAAATGTGTATACTATGTAGATGCCAAATGCTTTCCTCCTGATCAAAAGAAAAATTTCAAAAATAGAAAAATTGTGCCAGAAAACTGTATCAGGAAGTATTGCACTATTTTGGATAAGATAGTGTTTGTATAAAAAATGTGAATTAAAAAAAGGAAGCAGACCAGCACTAGAAGAACAGCATAAAAGACAGCATCTCTCTCTTTCCTTATTTGTAATTTTGAAGTATTAGAAATGTCGGTATTTGAGTTTTCCCTGACCTGCTCCAGTGGTGTGGTCATAGCTGGGTCCGGTGTCAGTAGTTGTTGTGCTGATGTTGGTGAGGGTCCAGTCAAAGTCATCTGCTGTGGACTGTGTCCAGCTGCAGGCACTGAACCCAGAGTCAAAGTCACAGTCAATTTGTGCTGAAAGAGATACACATGATAGACATAAAGAATCGGCTGACATAACCCATTAAAAGCATCCAATGCAATTTCAGTGTGGCAAATCAAAAACTATTCTGGAGAAATCTGATATTGACATTTACTGACATTTCCAGCACATTTTCTCCGTCATTTCATACTTGAAGTGTTTAAAATAGCCAAAAAACAAGCCACGTTGAGCATTCCACCCATAGCTAGAATCAGCATTATGATACAAAACAAGCAACTGTTTTCCCTCAGAAACATTGCAGTTTTGTGTTACATTGAACATGTGGTTTTGCTACATAATTATAAATCAGATACTGCTGCATAATTTAGTTCCATCTTTGCACATCACTACATATGATAAGCCTGAAATATTAGAAAAAATAATGTAACATTTTAGGCACCAAATGATATCTATACATGTATATCCTTACCTTGCCCTCCGGGGTTGGCTGTAGTTGGTAAAACTGTGAAAAGATAAAAATTAATTTAGAAATGCAAAGTAAATGTTGTAATGTCCAAAGAACATTTGATTGACCAAATTGATAACCAGCAACAATTCATATCCAACCATTTTGGGTAAGATGGAAGTCTCAATACTTACTGGAACATAAGCCATTTGTAACAAACAGGTCATCAATAGCAATATCCCCAGTGTGGCTGGTCCCTCGAACACCTTCAAAGACAAGCTGCACAGAAGGTAGGAAGGTAATATTTAGGACCAATACCAGAGTTTTCAAGGATTGAGGTGTTTAAAAACTTTTCCTAGAACTTCGTACTTCGTATTTTCGTAGAACTATCATTGCCCCTATGAAGTTGGTGTAATCAAATACAGTGTGAGCTCAGCTCAAAGTATTTACACTGAAGGGCAGATACATTTTTGTATAGCAGCTATACAGATATCGATACACAAGGCTGGTTTGCAGAGTGAAATGTAATCAACAGTAGATTCTAGGATGAGAAACCAGTTTCCCTGTTGCCCTACCTGGTAAGGATTGGTCCTGCTGCTCAGTCCAACCTGACCAGTCTGCCACTGGTTGCCTTGGTCACCAGACAGTTCCCATAGCAATGACTCTATGGTCTGAGAGCCTGGAAAAAGTTTAAGTCTTCATTGACAAATGACACACATGCACAGCATAACAGAATGCTATTTCAGCCTGCCTGCAAAATTTTTATGCGGTTCAATACATGAAAATGCGAAGTACGCAGTAGATGATAATGTGCAAAATGTACTGTACATGTGCATTTAGTGAGCAGTCAGCATTTGCACAAGATAACAAAACTTTTGATGTATTTGGAACAAATCTCTTTAATGCGGAAAAAAAAGAACTGCATATAAAAACCATACCGATTTCTTGCACGTAAACCCTGAGAGATCCCACACTTGCTCCGTACATGTGGTACCAGAAGCCGAAGCAGCGGTCCTGTCCAGCGTCAAACCTGGTGCTGACGATCCGCGCCACGTCTCCATTCACACGGGGTGACGACGTCTCAATGAAGAGGTAGTATCCTTCATAAAAATACATGTATTGGCTTTTGATTACATGAAATCTCACAGCATTTCACAGCATTTTTTCACAGCATTTTTTCACAGCATTTTTTCACAGCATTATGGACAAAAACATACACTGGTCATTTTGACTATGGTAACCCACTTCTAGAGAAGATAATATTGATGCTCAAATGCCAATAACATTGACAATAATGATGCCTCGGTATGTGTGATATGGGGGTATTTCTCATGCAACGCATAACACCACAGTGAAATACAACAAATGCGGAAGTTATTAAGGAAACGCAGGGCAAAAAAATGTCAAGGGTCTATGATCTGGTTAAGACAAAAAATTAAAAGAAGAAGCAGGGTCCTGGGTCCTGCTATCTGCTATTTGTGAACAAAGACTTAACAAAAACATATTATTAGACAAAAAACTCTGCACAAACGATTATTGGTCCAAAAAATATGACTCTATTATTTACTTGAACAACATTACCCATATCTTCCTGTTTTAGCCCTTCCCTCTAACTTACCCTGTGCAGTGCCGAGTGTGTGGTCACTGTCAGGTCCTGTAAACTGACTGCCTGTTGACCCTTGACCCAGCAGCCAATCAAAGTCATCATTTGACAAGTCCTGACTCCAGGTGCAAAGGTCATTGTCCTCAAATGTGCAGTCCCCTGGGAGGGTTGAACAAACAAACAATCAAATTTTATCTTGATAACTCTGTATATACAACTGGATTTAAAGAAGATTTTATTCTACATTTCAATGATCTTCATCAGCGAGAGAAAAAAAGTTATTTTAACATTAACTTTTTGTTTTTCTTTTAAGGATTAAGATCATTGGATAGTGATGAAACCTTGTACCAATCCAGCTGTACAGATTTATTTAGAAATATATAATTATATTCTTGGATGAGTAATGTTTAAACATGCATTATCAAATTTGTTTTAAGAAAATCATCATGATAGAAAAAAAAACAATGCAAACAATATCACCTCTACACATGCAATGAGCAGCTCAAACTGTGAGTTTTGTCTCCTTTTATCCTATTATCATGATGTTATTAGTAGCTGTATATAGCATTAGGCAAATACATACCTTGTGCTCCACATAACCCATCACTGATCTGCACATCGTCAATGGCGATGTCACCACGGAAACTCGTCCCTGTCACACCTTCAAACACAACCTGGCAGGGTAACATTGCAAAACTGTAGTCACATAACAGTTCTTGACATTAGAATACATGTAGATTGACATCAAAAGTCAAAAGACCTGTCCAGGATCTGGAAGCATGAATGAAATGCCCATGCTCAGGCCACACCAATTTAATTTGTTGGTTCTCGGATTCACCTCTTCATTTTTTTCTGATTTGCAAAAAAAAAAAAAAAGATTCTGGTTCTGAATCAACTCAAAAATGCTCATATTTTGCCCCCGACAGTTGAGGAAATTCCTTTTCTTCCTAGTTGTTACAGTTTTTCCATCTATCAATGCAGTGGTTTGATTAAAAGTTCAAAATTTATACTTTAAATTTTAACCCAGCCTTTTTTGTTGACTTCATGGCTCATATCGTAGCATTTGAGGCTATAATAGGATGCCTAGACCTGTTTTTATTTTTATTTTTTTTCGCCCTGTCGCTTCATATTTTTTCTGAAAAAATCCGAGAAACAACAAATTAAATTGGTGTGGCCTCATTTTCCAAATTATGCTCAAAGATGTCATCTTATTGTTAAGAGTGCCTGAGCATGTAGCACTTAATGCATAATCTAAAGAGTCAATATGAGTCTGTTGATAAATCTGTCCTCTACACAGAAACCCAAAGAACCAGCCATGAATGTTTTACCATAAGGGTTTTTTGCTTATTTGCAAAAAAAACAAACAATAGGAGGCCAGTTCCACCCTTACCTGGTACTGAGAGGAGGTAGTGAGTCCGACCTGTGCCAGGTTCCACTGGTTCCCCTGGTCACTGCCCTTACTCCAAATGGACGTCTCCACTCCATTGATCCTACAAATTGTGTCAAAAGGAAGATGGATGCTTTAACATGCAACCACGTTACAATATCACCAAAGTTTTTTTTAAATTTGATTGGACCACATTAGTAATATTGCAGCAGTGACACCTAGCTGCAGTAAAAGTCAGTATGATTATTGTCCTGAAGAGGGTGACAAACAGTCACCAAAACGTTGGATGTACAATGTAAAAACCTACTGGTAAACCTTTTTCATACTGCCATAATGCAGTTTAACATGCAGTGCTCAAGGCTCAAAGAATGTTGCTGTTCAGGTTTTGAGTCAGTAGGGCCAGAAGACTTGCCTGCTGTAGACATTGAGTGTGCCGATGCTGGTTCCGTACATGTGGTACCAGAACTCTACACACTGGCCTGCCCGGGTGCCACCAGGAGTGACTGTTGGGCTGAGTAAGCGAGCAATGTCGCCTGGATTTCTGGGTGAGGACGTCTCAATGTACATGTACATTCCTGGGCAAATAAAGATGACAAAGTGTCAACTTGGTATCTCAAAGTTGATGACTATTGCTGTTAAAATGGTGTATCAATTTTTTAAAGATATTGCTAGACTATACAGATGCCAAATTTTAAATATTAGTACTATGGTAGACATCCTTCCATCTGGTGGGTAGCATAATATTTCCATAATTGTGCTACTGACCTGCATTTGTGCCAGTAGTGTGGTCATTGTCAGGACCAGTTCCTGTAGATCCGGTGGTACCAGAAGCCTGTGTCCAGTCAAAGTCATCCTGCGTGTCCTGGATGTACCCACACAGGCTGGCATCATCGAACGTACACTGCTGGGCGGTACTCCCTGCAGATAGAAAGAGCAAGTTGTGAGTCTTGTAAGGTAATGCAACCAAGAGGTTGGGAGATCCCAGATCTCGTTGCTCACCCAACATGAACACTACTGGACTGAGGGTCTATGCCAGAAATTAATATCCATACTTAATTTAGATATTACCATAATTATCACATATACACTGTATATTATCGTATTATGTATTATATTAAGTCCTGTATGTACCTGGTCCAGGACAAGCCCCAGTGTTCACAATGATGTCATCCAGAGCGATGTCTCCCCTGTACCCAGTACCACGAATCCCTTCAAACACAATCTGTACACAAAGAGGCACAACTTCAACATCAACAGTTAACTTCATTTAATACAACCAGCATTATCTCTGGAGATTGGTGATTTTGAAGGTGAAAAGCAGCACTGCTTTCAGCAGAGCAATCATGATAGCCATGACAGATATTACAAATTAAGAAAGAAAACTGCAAATTTTTCAAAATTTACATTAATTCTTGCTGACTTGATAATGGTGGATTGTTTCAGGGATGAGATACCTTAAATGTGGCTGATTTGGTGATGGCAATCTGTCCCTGGTTCCACTGATCTCCCTGAGTGCCAGTCTCTGTCCACACGGCAGTTCCCAGGGTGTTCCCCTCCTGTAGGTACACGTTGAGCGTGTCCACGTGTACGCCGTACATGTGGTACCAGAACTGCAGGCACAGCGTACCGGCAGGGATGTCAGGACTCAGCACTCGGGCAACGTCACCAGCCACCTGGGGGCTGGACGTCTCAATAAACAGGTACCAGCCTTGGTCTGGGAAAGGAACAGAAACAAGGATGACATATGCAACTTTGATGAAGGGAAAAATTGTTAGACATAAATTATGCAATATGAATACCTCATTTGCATAATCAATGGAAATTGCTACAACACATTACAGGTAAATGGTGATAATTAAATACTCAGCATGTTTTTTACTTACATGCAGGTGGAGATGAACATTTTTGTATAAGAAATATGCTATCATATAAATCATGGCTTGATATGCATAATTACTTCGGAAAGGTTGTAATGATGGAGGTATGTGATCGTGGAACTCTTGTTATGATATAGTTTAGCACACTACTGATTGTCAGAGATGGATGGCCATACCTGTTCCTAAGGTATGGTCTGAAGTAGGCCCAGTCTGAGTACTCCCTGTGGGACCCTGAGATCGGGTCCAGTCAAAGGTGTCCGAGGCATCCTGGGTCCAACCACACAGGCCAGACTCGAAGGTGCAGCCATACTGGCCAACAGCTGTGGGGAAACAATTCAGCAGTCAGACTCATATCTGCAACATTTTTGTACAGATAGCGCATAAGGTACAGGCTTGCTCTTCATGAACCAATATGGTACTAATTAAGTGAAATATTGCAGTCTGAAGAGGCTATACACACCTATGGTGGGAGGCAGTGTTGTGATGGCTGGCAGTGTTGGAGCCAGAGTAGCACCAGGCACAGCTACAGCTGGTTGTACTACACAGACAATAAGACAAGAACTTGAGGATTGTCTCCACATACAATGACATGTTTCTCTTCCAAGGTTCATGTTTATACACATTCAGAAAAGGATTGAGTATCAAATTTATCCTTTACTTTACTTTACAAGACAAAACTAGACAGTACTACAATGTAGGTATTTTAACTAAAAAAAAACATAACTTTGTATTCTTATTTCTACTTACTTGGGTGATGCTTCAGAATTTGTTCTCTCAATGATTTATAAGAAAACACCTACTACCAGGGCAGTGTGTATCAAAACCCAAACTTGGTATTGGTGATAAATAAATTGTCATGAGGGAGAAAGTTAAAAATGACATCATAATGGGATTTACCAGAACAGGAACCAGGTGAGAAGGAGACATCATCGATGGCCATGTCACTCTGATGATTGGCACCACGAATAGCCTCAAACACAACCTAGTTAGGATAACATGTAAAAATTTAAAATTATAAGAGAACTCAGTTACACACATTTATATGAATATTCAGTCCAATAATTCTAATGGTAGAAATTCAAAGTCGGTCAAGTAGCCTGATCATAACATGATGATGGTACAGTATGTTGGTAAACCTGTCAAGATACCCTATCATAAAAACAGTCTACAGCTTGAAAACAGGGTTCCAATTAATGCTAATCTTTTAAAATAGGGTGGTGCAGTTTCTCTAGAATATATTACCATAATCTGTTGTTCAGGCATATCAGAGTTTGCCTTAGGTTGCACAATGTGTAAATTTGTTGTACTTAAGAAATCATAGGAAAGTAACTTTAAGTTATGAGTATATTAGTAATTAAAGCAAGGTTTTGCTATGATATACACTGTACATGTACTAAATAAACCCACATTTCTCACCATTAGTATACATTTGTACATTAGTCTACACGGACAAGGATCAGATATGAACCATTTTCTGATCAACATGACAAGAATCATTAATAAATTCAAAGTGCATATATTTTAAAAACAGTATTAAAGAAGCACTAGTATACACTTCAGATGTTACCTTGTAGTCACTGGAGCTTGAGAATGACACCTGTCCGCGGTACCACTGATCGCCCTGGTTTGTGTCTAACCGCCACAGGTTAGTGCGCAGTCCGTCAGTGGTGAAAGTGTAAACTGTCAGGCTTCCCATCCCTCCTGCACCGTACATGTGGAACCAGAACCGCAGGCATTTGTCGTCTGCGTGAGACGGGAATCTCTCGCTTTGTAGCAAGGCTACGTCACCAGGCACTCTTGGGTTGGACGTCTCCACAAATACATAATGCCCTACAGGAAGGTAGAATGCCATTTTGTAGTTGTAGAGAACAGTGGAAAACGAGAAGGGGAGGGGGTGAAACTGCACACAGAAAAGTTTGCTCTGCAGCATGCAATACCCAACACCGCCCTCAGACCGGGCAGCAGTTTATGCGGACCGGACTGGCCAGCTGATTCCAAATACCCCACAGGAAGACACATTTCCATTATACCAATTGCAACAACAATGCACAGTGGAGCAGTAGGCAGTAAATTTAGCTGATACTGTGCTCCACACATACTACCATTTGCAGATCATATATTATCACATATTTGTACCGTATACACTCTGTATGTAGATACAAAGTAATGATGTTGGAAAACCTGTCTGGATATCCTATCAGAAAAAAGGTTACAGCTCTAAAGTTGAAAGCAGGGTTCCATTTAATGCTAATATTTAAAATAGGGTGGTGCAGTTTCTCTAGAATATATTACCATAATCTGTTGTTCAGGTATATCAGAATTTGCTTCAGGTTGCACAATATAAAATCTAACTCTGCTAAACAACATTTGTTTCTAGGGTGAAAGCCTAGATAATTTTGAATTTTCCATATTGTACAATGGAGGGGGGACAAACAGATGATAAGGATTGTCATAACATGTTGTCTCACTACATGAAAATCAAACCACATAAATTTCAAAACCATTCCTTCACATTGTAATATTACTATCTTGGACCCAGGTCATCATGGAAGTATTGTCCCAGTGGCGTTCACCCTTACCTTGATCTGTGCCGAGGGTATGATCAACAGAAGGTCCAGTAAACTGACTGTCAGTGCCACCCCGTCCTATCAACCAGTCAAAGTCATCATCTGCCTGATTGTTGGTCCATGTGCACAAACCATTCTCAAAGTTACAATTGCCTGTAAGGATTCAAAATAAAAAATATCTTACAGAGCTGTACAGCATAATGTTAAAAGAAATTTACAGTCATTCTTTTTATCCATCAAAAATGCACCAACAATAATTGCTGGCAAATAGTATTATGTATAGTTACTCCATTTTACATAGCATGTGCATATATAATTCTTGTACTGAAAGTATGGCGGGTTTTCATTGGCATCATGATAATTATTATATGAATCTTGGCAGCCAGGTGTTGGCAGGTAAACTGATTAAGTAGCAGCACATTGGCATGTTTAACAAGCATACACTGTAATCCAACATTGGAGACATGTTAAGCCTGTGTATAGGTACCCTTTGGTGTAACATATCAGCTGTGCAAATTTCAGTCATTGTTGCTCAAGAGGATCCTGATGTTTGTTTAACCTGAAGATAAATTTTGTACGTGGTAGGTCAAGGTCACTTACCGGCTGTGGAACAATCATATGCCTTCAAGGTCACGTCATCAATAGCGATGTCACCTCGGAAGCTGGTGCTAGTGATTCCTTCAAATGCGAGCTGGAAAGTAAAGAATGATTTTTTTCCATTTGATAAACATTTGATAATTATTTTACAACAGTTAAGCACTTCCTTGTGTCCTTTTCACTAACTAAACACAGAATTATACCAATTGCAACATACAAATACAACATACAAAAAAGATGCAACATGATTCAATATGTTGCTATAAGCGAGGTCTAACAACTCTGATTGGAATAGATGAATGTAGTACAATCAGAAAATTGTAAAAAAAATTTACAGAAACAGCAACAGCATGTATCTGTAAAATGTTTATGTTTCCTGAAAGAGAATGGACATAGAAAGTGTATTTTATATGTAATGTACATAGAAGGATTTAATGAACATATGGACTTACTTGGAAGGCTGTAGTACTGCTCACGCTGACCTGAGCTTGGTTCCACACATTACCCTGGTCACTGGACAAGCTCCACACACTGGGCCCAAGGGTGCCGTTGGAATTAACATACACATTCAGGGTGCCTGGGGTAAAGAGTATTAAAAGTTAAATATTATAGAAAAAATGTATCATATAATGTTATCAAGTAGGATGAGATTTAACTAAAAAGGCTGCAATATTTGCTTTAGAGATAATCTGTACCAGAGAGAAGATGAGGAACATACAAAATACATGTATTCATTTTCACTCATTGATAGATTCTAAAAATAGCCCAACAAGTCATATATTTGCAGCTCTGTGTAAAGACCAACTCCTTAGATTATACATTAGGGGAGCACTTTTCTTGTATCTTTGATTATTCAACATCTGGTGCACTATCTATGTCAAATGCTAATCCCTCTGGTTAACACACAAAAGCTCTTTACCATGGTCACATAACAAGTACATGTACTTACCAATGCTGGCACCATACATGTGGTAGTAGAACTCCAGACAGCGGCCGGGTGTGGCAGGCATGAGGTTACTGTACAGAACCGCTCTGTCTCCTGGCTGCCTGGGACTGGAGGCCTCAATGTAAAAGTAGTGTCCTGAAAGTACATAAGATATTAATGTATAACTATGCTGTACAATCACTTCCACTTCCTCAATAAAATGATGATTGGACAATATTTATAACTACCTTCATTTCAGCACTAAGGACAGGAATACCAACATTTTACCGCATTCTTCTATTGTCCTTATTGTTGTTATACATTTGTATATAGAATAAGATCAGCTTCTTAGAAGAGTTAGAACTATTAGATATTGTTAGCATCACCAACTATGTATGTAACTTTGCCATACGTTACAACTGTCCTGCAATAAAGTTCTTCTTCTTCTTCTTCTCTACATCATTAATGTACCTAGAACTAATCTCAGAAGTATGCCTCGCTACTTAATAGAAATTCATACAATATGAACTATTAGCATTACAGATGCCATTACAGCTGCAACATTCTCCCAATTTTTGCCACATGAAAGCAGTATTTTCCAGCCTTACCTGCTCCTGTGCCATAAGTGTGGTCGTTGGTCGGTCCACTGTTTGATGTGGGGGTGTTCCCAGTCTGCCATGTCCAGTCAAAGTCATCTGTTGCACTCTGTGTATATCCACACACTGCAGTATCCTCAAAGTCACAGGACACATCTAGCAACAACAACAACAACAACACACTTTCCTCAAAATGAGTACTGTATTGTCCTCGGCAGCATTGAAGTAAGTTGAGTGTAAGCTTGAGTATGCCATCACCACACATGTGATTACATGTTGGAATAAAAAGAATTCATCTGTTACCTGAACCAGATGAGCACGGCCCATCCAACACCTGTATGTCATCCAGACCGATGTCACCACGGAAACTGGTGCCCCTGATAGCCTCAAACACAGGCTGGAAGGTGGAGGTCATGGGGACGTTTACTGTTGCCAGGATCCACAGGTCACTCACGCTGCCGGACTGAGTCCAAACTAGGCTGCCCAGGTTTCCACCAGACTACAAGTAAGACAATAGAAAATGGAGGGGTGCTATTGGAGGATGCTGAGAATCTGGCCAAAGATCGAACAGAGTGGTGGAGGAAACTTGCTGCCCAATGTGCTTTGCACAGAAGGAACTAAGTCTAAGTAATAAGTAGGACAGGATATAGTCAGATAAGATTCATGTCAAGCAAGTTAAAACTCTTAAGAACCAATGATGAAAGTCCATGAAATACTACTCTGCATGTTTGAGCTATTGCTGATTTTCCATTTTAAGTTATGAATATTGGACTTCTGGTGTTCCTCTTTTTTCACTAAGACATGAAACCCCAGATCAATTTATTAGTAGCGGGGAAAAGAGGGCAAAAAAAGTGACCACCCCAGGCTTGCTACAACTTTGCACACCTTTAAGTAGACGTTGAGCCTGTTGACATGTGTGCCGTACATGTGGTACCAGAACCGCAGGCACGCCGGCCGTGTCAGTGGTATAACCGGCCCCTCCAAACGGGCAGTGTCATTGGGCTGGGCTGGACTGGAGGCCTCAATGTAAACATACCATCCCTGGTCTGTGGACACGTAAGTATGGCTTATATGTGAGACCAAGTACTAATGTAGAGACTGAAATATACATCTACTTTTGCTTCAAATATTTGACTTAATCTAATACCAATCTAAATGCCATTACTACTTTAAAATTGGATACAACAATGTTATTTGCCAGATTTAAAGATACAATATCACTGTTTGAACCAATCTGGTTGCTTAAAAATCACTCTTTAAGCCATACAAAGGTGAAAAGAAAACTGTGACAAGAAGACGTGTACCTGTGCCCAATGTGTGATCGCTTGTAGGCCCTGTGTCGGTGGACCCGGTTGGGCCCTGTCCTCGTATCCAGTCAATATCATCATCCTGGGCCTGCTGGTACTGACAAAGGTCTGTCTCAAAGGTGCACTCATTCAGGATGGATGCTACATGACAATGGTGAAAGAACTGTTGAGTCAGACATATTGCCTAACAATGCATGATGTTAGGCACCCTAACACACCTGGTGTTTGCACCCTCTGGAAGCTTCTTTATCTACACTGCTGTAAATATATTCCCTCTTTCCCAGCATATACTAGACATGAGTGTAGGTGTCCATTGGTAGATGTAGATGTAACGAATTATATTCAGGGCTCAAACAGTACTTTTTGACCTCTGACCCCCAAGGCTGGACTATCCCACTCAGCCTTGGGGGTGCTCAGTTATGGCTATTTACACTAGTATCAGGAAATGGAATACAGGCAATAACCTTTCCTGGGTCCTTTCTGGGACTTTGACCTACATTCTTACTTCCTATCAGTGCCTCAGGTATGTGGAAATATTTATGTTAACACAAGCAAACACACAAACACACACTGAAAACATACCTCCATACACTGTTACAATAAAGTATAAACGAGGCTACAATACATGGTAACAATAAAAGCAGGAAAACCAAGAATACCTGGAGACAGGGTAGTGGTGACTGTTGTAGTTGTGGTCGTAGTGACCACTGGAGTGGACGGTGTTGCTGCCACAGGTTGGACTGATGTTGCAAGTGAGAGAGGAATGCAACACTATCAATCTCAATACTGTCTGTATCACAAGTACTGCTACTGACTTTATCTTCGGTAGAAGTTGAGCATGACAACATTTGGACATAAAATGACTTGTTTCATGACATTTCAACAAAATATGGCAGGCAGCTCATGTTTACTAAAGTACATCGTGAGCTGAATGTTATTGAGACTCTACTCACCTGTACATGATCCACTTGAGAAAAGGATATCATCAACAGCAATGTCCCCTCTGTAACTGAGACCTCTCTGACCCTCAAGTCTTACCTGCGATACAAATAATTCATCAAACAATCAACTTGTACTAAAAGTAACGTAATGTGTAAATCTTGTAGTCAACAGAATCAACAAGATCCAAACTTAAGTAATTTATAATCCTTAAACTTCTAATGAAGAAAGACATTTCCAATGATTTTAACCTCTCTCCCTCCCCCTCTCTCTCTCTATATATATAACTTTATATGCAGCTGGAATGCTGAACTTTATGTGTTGTTATTTTTAATGTATATCTGTACAAGCATTGTGTTTTCAGCACCAAGGGCATGTCATTGCGGCATACTTGTTGAATTTCTTTGAACAAGCCAATGGTAAATTTGAAGAAAACTTTCTTACATAGTACATTCCAGATGTGTGGATGATGGGGGTCTGTGCAAACAGCCACTGGTCTCCCTGGTCACTGCTTAGTGACCACACGGTCCTGGTGGAATTCCCATTGTCATAGTCAACAATGAGGACACTGAGTGTACCAACGGAGCTTCCGTACATGTGATAGGAGAACTGCAGGCACCTGCAACAGTAGATATTAAAAATTTGAATACAAAATATTTCATCATCAACAGAAAATAATTTCATCAGGTTGGTAGGATATAGGGATATTCGTCTTACACATCAGTACTTTATCTCACCTACTAATCTCCCACTGATCATAAAAGAGAAGAAAGACAGTTTCTCCTAGCTCTTTTCAGAAAGCACAATTGCAAGCACAAGCAAGAACTGTGACTCTTTCCAGTAGCATGGATGTCTGCACACAACATACAACAGCCAGGATTCAAACTCCCAACCTCTGGACGATGCATGCTACATGCAGAGTCATTACCATGGGATAACATCACTGCAAAGTGTAAGCAAATTTACCATATTACACTCACCTTCCACCACTGCTGGTAGGTTGGAACAGCTCACTTTGCAGCCAGCAGCGGTCACCAGGCACACGTGGAGAGGACGACTCCAGGAACACGTAATGACCTGGGAAGGACAGCAGCAACTCAGGTTAACCTTCCATGTATTCGTCCAATGACATATTGGACTTTACTTATCAGCAATATTAGGATATTGGTTATGAAGGCATGCATGTAACATCATAGAAAGTGTGCCAACTGGTGTATAACCATCCTAAGTGGTCATTTATTATAATAATTAACTACGTGACTGTAACATTATGCGGGGGAGTGGACTCTATTTGCTATGGAAACTGACAAGGCCTTATCACACGATATACACCTCAGAGTGGGTCATTAACTATTGATTGAAGTCATGGAACAAAAGAGAAAGAAGGGAATATTAACCAGCAGCAGTGCCGAGAGTGGTGTCCTGAGATGGCCCAGTGGATGTGCTACCGGTCTCTCCCTGTCCAATGGTCCAGTCAAACTCATCTCCAACCTGAGGGTTGGTCCAGCCGCACAGTCCGTTCTCAAAATCACAGTCTCCTGCAGGTTCGAACGTTGGACAAATATTTGTCATGTCTGCACTAAACTGCCTTCTGTACAGTCACTGTTCCTTGCTTCTGCTATGAACCAAAAGTGGCCCTTTCATATACATTTGTACATTGTACAATAAGATGGGTTGCAATCACGACAGGCAAGAACAAATCTATGGGTTCCTAGCCCAATGCCCTACCATTAGGCCACATGATGCCATGTACCCAATGCATGTAATTTGTTGTAGTCATAACCTACATGAAAATCTCTATGATAGAGGCATCACAACCAGAATACAACTCCGGGACTGCGGTGTCTTTATGTTCTGTGTCACCTAGTGAATAAACCTTACCAGGAAGAGGGCATGCCCCTGGTGTCAACTGGACGTCATCAATGGCGATGTCTCCACGGAAACCGTTGCCACGGATACCTTCAAACACAACCTGGAACAGCAAGCAACATTGTGTGGAATGAAAAATATCAGTTCGTCCTTCCCATGAAAGAAAGTTGCAACCAAAAATCATCAAATAAAATGATTAGGTCATAAGATAACAAGTACCACTCCATCTGTACCATTCACACTTGCTGCATTACTTAAAAGTCTCATACCTGCATAGACTGGCTTCTTCTTGGCACTGTGACATATCCGATCACCCATTGGTTGCCCTGGTCAGCTGACCTGCTCCAAATTGCCCCACCTAGATTAGTACTCCCATCATCCTTTGCGTAAACGTTCAGTGTGCCGATGCTTGACCCGTACATGTGGTAGTAGAACTGGAGACAGCTGGTGGAGTCACCGGGAAGTGGTGGGCTGATAAGACGAGCAATATCGCCTGGCTGCTGGGGTGCCGATGTCTCAATGTACATGTACTTCCCTGCAAAAATAATTATAATCATGATCTTTCTCCTGCAGTCTCTTAGTGTCACTGACGAAAGGTAGTAGATACTACCTGAAATGTCTGATCGTTTCCAAAATCATATCCAGTTGCTTGAGTTAATGTTTTTTTGGAGTATCATATTACCTGGATGTCTAACCTTCACCGACCTTGAAAAGCTCATTATGTCAAATTTAGTGACATAAAAGGTTTGCATGTAATCTGATTCAAGTATAAACTTTTGATCAAATTAGTTGAAAGGAAACTTAACTTTGTGGGTGTAGGGGAGGAGGGTATTTATTTGTAAACATAATCATAGTTTTTGTTTTGTTTTCACATTTGAACATGGTGACATTGCATTCAAGCTAAAAAAATCATCAATGTCACATACATGTACAATGAAACAAGACCATATTTTGTTGTTTCTTTGCATGTTCACAGACCAAAACCTAGAATATTTTACCTGCATCAGTTCCAGTGGAATGGTCAGTGGTAGGACCAGTGTTGGAGGAACCGGTTGCTCCATTGTCTTGGGTCCAGTCAAAGTCATCTGTCGTATCTTGTGTGAAGCCACAGATGTCTGGCAGCTCAAAGTCACATGGCTGGGTCAAGGCTGTAAAAAGGGGGAAATTTATGTGAGAAAAAAATTAGTGCAATGCAATGTAATGTACATTGTCAAATGGCTTAAAATGCAAACTAAAAATGAATTCATTTTTCGGACATAAGGTCTTTTGAAGTCAAAAACTCTTGAATTGTTGAAAATTGTTGAATTGTATTTGTTATCTTTGTTTGGCTGATTTCTATGGTTGGCATACCCAAAATAATTATATTCATTTCAAAGGCTAACAGAGCTGTTACAGCATACAATATGAAATGAAGTAAGACAAAGAAAACATGACAGTTTCTTACCAGGAGCAGCACAGGCTCCATCAGTCACTCTGATGTCATCCAAACCAATGTCACCTCGATAACTTGTACCTCGGCGTGCCTCAAAAGCAATCTTTAAGGACAGTCAGAAAACAAAGATCAGTCATGTACATGTTGTTACATCCAGTTTACTCTACATTAAGTATGTATAAATTACTTGTAATGAATCTTATGATTATATTTAGAAACTTGCTACAGCTTTGAACTTAAATTCATGTACTCAATCAAACTTATGTCACCTGGTGTTTGTAGAAAAGTCAAACTATCAATTTGAAACAACATAAAATTGATGTGTTACATATCCATACAGAAGCCAAATGTATATCTAACACAATCAATCCAATCATAGCTACACAGACTACATATCATGTGACTTTTATTTACTTATTGACACTTTTATTTATTTACAAGATATGCTGCACCGTGAAAAGAGATCTACTGAGAGGGACATTAAAAATTAGCACATAAAATACATACCTGGTACTGAGTAGACAGACCATACACAGAAACATCTGCCATGTGCCATGAGTCTCCCTGAGTACCCTGCTTGGTCCAAATCGGAGAAGTCAAGCCTAGATTGTTGTACATTCGAACGTTCAGAACGTCCACGTGTGCACCGTACATGTGGTACCAGAACTGCAGGCACTTGTCCTGGGCAGCTGGGATGTTTGCACTCAGAAGGACAGCGGTGTCATTAACAACCTGAGGTGACGATGTCTCGATGTAGATGTACCAGCCTTGGTCTGGGAAAGAATAAAGGACCAAGACAACACTAAGTATGAGTTACATAAAGGTGAACACCACCATGCATATATTATGTTAATGTAGAGGTCATTTGCATAATTAATAAGAACATGCTGAAATGAAGCATGACTAAGGAGAGCAATTTTACACGAAAAATATTGTCATGTGAATTTAGAAAACCATAAATAAAACTAGATTATGCTAATTACGACCAATGAGACAAAAACATATATTTCATGGAGGTACAAAATGTATGAGATCTCCGAATTCTTGTTGTACCTGTTCCCAGAGTGTGGTCTACAGTTGGGCCAGTCTGTGTGGAGCCAGTGGGGCCCTGAGCCCGGGTCCAGTCAAACTCATCACTCGTATACTGCTGCCAGCTGCACAGGTCCTGTTCGAAGTTACAGTCATACTGAGATGTTGCTGAAAAATATAAGAAAATAATTATTACAACAGTCACTGTTCCAGTACATTTTATCACAAAAAGAATTCTTCAATCTGTAAAAGAAAGACTGAGGGAACAGGGGTCTTTCAGCTGTGCAGATGCAGCAAAAACTGAATTTTATAGTATCTAAGCATTGTCCTTACCAAATGATGATGTTGGGAAATGAGGAATGGTTGTAGGCATCATGGTTGTCAGTGCTGAGGACCCTGGAACTGCAGCTATAGGACTCACTGTGTGGACGGGCAGAAATATGGCAGGTCAGAACTCACCACATAGTCATCACGCTTTTGTTACACATGCAATCTTCAAAAAATTGATGGAAAAACAAGTTGTTGAGTTTCATTTTTCATTTTTTTTCATTTCATTTTCTTGTGTGAAATCAAAATTTATCTTACCTGAGCAGGTTGATGTGGTGAAGTAGATGTCATCAATGGCAATGTCTCCCAGGTGATCAGTTCCTACTACAGCTTCAAAAACCACCTGGAACAATTCAAAAGGTCTTTGAACACTAAGTCTTGACAGAAAAAGAATAAGCAATTTGTTTAGATCTTCAACTTAAACACAAGCTACAATCCACCAAAAGGAAGACCACTGTTTAAGATAAAAGGAAGAACACTGTTTAAGATGCATTATTGTGCTTGAATTATTTGGAGAAAAATTAATTGGTTTGTGGCCATTTCCCTTCCATCAAGTTGTGTATGCCTACATGTACATGTTTGTGTGTTTTTGGCAATGTCTGAGTGGTGTAGAAGTTCTCACCTTGTAGTCATGATCATGGGAAACAGGTGCCTGCCCAGCAAACCACTGGTCTCCCTGTGCACCCGTGAGACTCCACACTTGGGAGTATGTATTATCTCTTTCCTTATGCACCAACACCTTCAGGGTTCCTAGGGAAGAAAGAGAACATTTACTCAGTATTTTAGTTACTTAAGAAACAAGTATTTTCTACAAGAGAAGTGAGTGGCAATATGGGGACAAATATCAACTCTCTGTTACTGATATTTATATGGTTCTTTCAAATGGCATTTACTTTTTGTCTCCAGAAAAACCTCCAGTAAGAACTGCACCTATCACACTCCGTAACATATGCACAACATGAAATATGGAAGATACCCAATGTTCAAGGCCAAATTCATATCCATTTTGAACGATTTAGTTTCGAATGCTGATTGGCTACATCAATTGTATGTCCCAAATGATGACTCACTCTAATCTACAGAAATGAAGAAAACAGTGTCTTCAAACTTACCGATTCCAGTCCCCTTCATGTGGTACCAAAAGTGAATACAGGCAGTTCTTCCAAGGAAGGTCTCACTGGTAAGCATGGCCGTCTCGCCTGGCACACGTGGGTTGGACGCCTCGATGAACATATATTGACCTGTAGTGAGAGAAACACATTAAGGTTTCTTCCTGTGACATTTGTGGTACCTATCCTTGGTGCTGACCTCAGTAGTGCAGTAGCATTTCCTTATGTTCAACTGGTACCTTTAGGACAATTAGGTCTCATTTAGTGACAGAGATTGGTCTTCTGTGACATTTGTGGCACCTGTCCTTGGTGCTGAACAAATGGTGCAGCAGCATTTCCTCATGTTCAACTGGTACCTTTAGGACAATAACACATTTGGTCTCCTTTCGTGACAAAGACTGGTCTTCTATCAGAATTGTGATACCTGTCCTTGGTACTTAACAAATGGTGCATCAGTATTTTCTCATGTAAAGCTGGTAACGTTAGGACGGTCACATATTAACTTTAAGTATTATCCCTTAAAAAAAATTGGTCCCCCGTGTCATTTGTAGTGGCTGTCCTTGGTGCTAAACTCATGATCAGCAGTCAGAACCGTTTAGTATGACTGTAAAATGAACATTTCTGTGTAGTCTGGTGATGTGTAGTCTGGTGATACCACTGACAATTGGTTCAGAACTGTTTAGAATGACCGTAAAATGACAAAAAAAACCACAAAATTTTGAGGCTGTGATAATAAGATCTAAATGTGATTCCAAGGTCAAGATGTGATCCCAATTAGCAACGCCTAACCTTGATCTGTGCCCAGGGTGTGATCCACACTCGGCCCGGTGAACTGGCTGCTTGTGTCGCCCTTCCCAAGGAGCCAGTCAAAGTCATCCACAACGTTCACATTGCTCCATGTGCACCTGCCATCCTCAAAGTCACAATCACCTGTCAGGTAGCAAAAACTAAAGTCAATATACAGCATTCTTCATCATCATCATCATTTGGTCATGATGGTTTTACATAAAGCTTCCTTCAACTGTCCCTATTCTCCATAGATTTAGTTAGATGATGATAGTAGTATTACATGTATTTAAAGTGCAGCATGCATCCTCATACAGTTGGTGTTTGTAGGCAGTGCAGGGTCTCCCTAAAAATGTATGTATAGATACATACGTACACTTCGTGTCTATACACTGAATATGATGATAGCATTTTGTCTGCAGACATACCGGGATTTGGACAAGCTCCATCTGTGATCTGCACATCATCTATGGCAATGTCTCCCCTGAAGCCTGTTCCTCGTTCTCCTTCAAATACAACCTTAGAGAAAACATGGCAAAGTCATATACATGTACATTACCTAGTACATATTCATATACAATCCCATGCCAACATGAGACTGAATTATCTGGCTGTAACAGAACATCATGTAGAAGTGTACAGCAGGTCTACTATTATAACTGCACAGGATACAATGTATCTTGTACAGAATCACATGAGATCTATACCAGTCCTACATTTCTGATGCGTGGGAATAAATTGTCTCTTTTATGCGTGGGAATAAATTGTCTCTTTTATAACATATTTTAGACAGTTCTATGCCAATAATAGTACCTTTCTTGTCCACTTGTTTAATGTCTGAAGCACTCAATGCTATATATTTAGAACTTATTACCATGACTCAAGAAGCATTGCTAATAATGGATTGATTTGCAAAAATGATTGTAAAATTGTGGCAGTACAGTTTTAGAACAAAACAAGGAACAGTGGTGAGAGACCTGGAATGATGATGTGGATATGATGGTGACTTGGCCAGCCAACCAGTGGTCTCCCTGGTCACCTGACTTGGTCCAGAGCGGGTTCCCCTGGACGTTCAGTGACCTCATGTAAACCCTGAGCATGCCGATGTTGGCTCCGTACATGTGGTACCAGAACTTCACGCACTGGCCGGTCGTAGCGGGGTAGGAGGGCGAGATCAGGCGGGCAATGTCGCCCGGTTGTCGGGGAGAGGACGTCTCAATGTACATGTATTTACCTGGGGGTATTTGCACATATTGTTGTTTGTTTGCTTGTTGTTTTTGTTTTATATGAGTGAAATCGACTGAAAATCTATGTGTGCTGGTACAATGACAGGAAGTATGCTGTTTCTACATTGCTACATGTACTATCACTGAGATATTTCATATGCATTCATGAAGTCATAAACTCATCAACCTCAATAATAAGGTAAATTAGCAAAACAATTCTTAGCTTTACTATCATGTCGTTTTGAAACAAAATCTAAAATCTTCCCACCAAAGTCCTTGTGATCTAGACAAAAGTTTGCTTTTAAACCTTTAATCTGAAGATGACAAAATCTCACCAAGTCCCCCGAAATACCCCCGGACCCACCTATTGCAGTGCCATATGTATGGTCAGTTGTCGGACCAGTGTTGGTGGTTCCGGTTACGCTGCTCTGTTGAGTCCAGTCAAAGACATCACTACTGTCCTGGGTGTATCCGCACAGGTTAGCATCCTCAAAGTCACACACATGCTCACCAACATCTGTCAACACACAAAAAAAGAAAAAAAAGAAATTTAAGTCCAATTTCAACAGTTGCCATAACACAGTAATTTAATCAATCCACAAAAACATTGTCCTTTTAAAAGTCTACAAATACAATGTATTACGATTACTTACATGTGCAAGGTCCATCTGCAAGCATGATGTCATCAATCGCAATGTCTCCACGGAAGCTTGTGCCACGTATCCCTTCAAATGTTATCTGGGTGCAACATTTACAAGAATCAAGAAATGATCAGTTCCTGGGTTCCTCAAAAGTTATGTACTTCACAAGAGCAAGTAACAAAACATTAGAATCCACAGGACCATCACCCTGTAGTATATCCTGTATATCTGCCTGTTATATGCATGACACAACCGTAAGACATGCTTATACAACAATACTGTGTGATAAACTTCTTTTTTTTTTCAACTGAAGGATAAGCATTATAGATACTATAAACAGTTAGGATAAAAGATGCCTTCATCAAGCTACTAATATTGAATCTTTTTTTCTTCAGGTTATTCCAAATACAGATTTGAATGAGGCAGTATCACAGTGAATGGTTACTGACCATGATACTGATAGTTGTGTTGTAGTAACTTCAAGTCATCATTTGTACAAGTCTGTTTCTGAAAGTTCTTGGATAGTATATACAAACATAATCTGTGCATCACACTCAAAGCTGTCTGACCTGGAAGTTGCTGTCCTTGACAATGGACACATGAGCCCGTCTCCACTCATCACCCAAAGTGCCCGATCTAGTCCAGATGGGAAGACCCAGGATCCCATTACTCTTCAGGTAGAGGTTCAGGGTGTTGACGTGGGTTCCGTACATGTGGTAGTAGAAGGTCAGGCACTTGCCCTGGTTGACAGTAGGCGGGTGGGTTGCACTCTCTATCCGGGCTCTGTCGTCAGCCTGACGAGGGTCGGATGTCTCGATAAACAAGTAGTATCCGTCAGCTGCAGGAGGCCATTGAAATGTTTGTTACAATGAATCACATTGATCATGAGTGCAAAGATATCATTGCACCAAGAAAATATGATAAAGACAGTAAAACATTGTACATATAGTCGTCAATGCTTTAAACTTAACAGTAAAAAATTACATGTTTAATTTTAAATTAATCTTGCAGTTCTTTACAAAATTACTTATATAGCAGAAATACTGAATAGCTCCTTTGGTACTTAAAAATTCTGTTTGCACTTGAAGGTCATAAGTGGCCTACCAAGGTCACAGAACTTCCATTGCGCAGCTGCACCAAAGCCAGAGGAATAGCCCACAAAATTGATGTCTAGCTTATTAGGATCAGTCCACTCCATGAAGGGGACTTGTTCTCCATAGCGTCCAACTTGGATCGTGCCATCGGAAAGGTAGGTGATCCAGAATTTTCTGGAACATAAAAGTAGCAGATAGGCTATCAGTAGTGTACACAAGCAATGATTTTTAGTGTGTTTAGACCAAAATATTGTTTGATAGGAATACAAAACTTGCAAATTTTAACTCAAAAATCCCTTTTGCTTCATCATCATCATCATCATTCATCCTCCATAATAGAGGTGGAGCATATGCGCATACAAAGTTAGCTCGCCAAAACTGTTTGTCATACATCCCTTTTGCTTAACATTACAGATTCTTGTTAAAGTTCTCTTAAGTCCAGTGGAAATTAGCAAGGTTAAGACTAGATCACAATAAACCCTAAAGCAGAAATGATGGACTTTTTATGTCATTGCTCCTTTTCTATGTTCTTGCACCTTATTTTCATTCTATAAAGGATTCGTTATTTCATTTTCTGTACCATCCTGTCTTGCAGTTTTATAGCCTTTTGAGCCTGACTGACAGAAAGACTTTCTGTTATCAAAGAGACTTTCTGTTATCAAAGAAACAAAAAAAATGTACAACACATACATGCAGCTTAGTCCACCGGCCCTACATTAACCTATAGCACACTAAAGTCACTGTTTCTTTACAGGGTTGGGTAGCAGGGAGAACATTAAGCATACCTAAATTCAGTTGCTGACAATATTCCTGGGGTTGCTGCAGTAGCTTGGTTTGCACCCTGTTTAGCTCTTCTAATGACCGACTGTGAGTTCCCCCATCCTCCAATCACAATCTCATACATGTCGTCCAGATCTTGGTTCTGAGCGGACAGTGCGATGTGGACGTCGTTGTTTGCCATTGCCGAGAAGTAGAACCGTGAGCGTGTGAGCTGGGGAAGGTCCCATACGTACAGGTAACGGTTTGGAGTGGAGCGGCTCTCGCAAACTGGTGATATGATAGAAAAAAGAAACTTTATTGCGGAACAATAGTACAAGGTACAAAGTATGGCACCTACTGGTACATAACTACAGTTCTGTAAGCCTAAACTACATAAAGAGTGTGGGATGAGAATGCAGTTATATGTATGGAATGAAATGGGCTTTTACAAACAATGGAGGAATTTCTAACTTCTAGACATTCTTTAATATATTTCCTTATTCCCTATTTCCTTAAACCTAATTCTTATGGCCATTTTTTGTTATTTTATATTTAACAAGTTAGTAGTAGAGATGACAGTCCTTAGAATGACATACATTTGTTTCAAACCTTCAGCAATATCTCCCTATATATTCTTGTTCACTCACTGTCTAGTTTTACATCAATTTTTTCCATCTTTGAAGGGTGTGTATCTCCTTTCCATCATGTAACAAAGAAGGCTTACCAACACCGAGTGTGTGGTCTGTAGAGGGCCCTGTGGCTCCTGTACCAGTGGTGCCAGTCTGCCTGGTCCAGTCAAACTCATCATCAGTGGCCTGCTGGTACTGACATAGTCCTGACTCAAACGTACAGTCCCAGGCACTGGGGGCTGCAGAGGAACAATACAAATAGGTTTTCATTACATTTAGTGCAATTCGTATTTCTATGATTCTATTTTGATATGTGTTCTTTTCATCTCTTTTACCAGTCTAATTAGTACTAGTACCAGGTACATTGGTCATCCTCGACAACAAGAGATGAACAAAAAGAAGAGTACTGGGTGTATATGGTCAATCTCCTTATCAGCCTCCAAGCAAGAATTTGCAATAAACATGCAATGAACTGAGTAATAAAGGTTTCTGAAGGTTTGGTATATACATGTAACGGACACATTTTATCTTAGCATAAATGTACAAAAGAATATTGAGTTTTGTGAATATGGTATTAAATCATTGCATGCAAGGTATCACATGTAGACAAACCTTGCGATGGTCCAGGAGTTGTAGTTGTTGTAGGTCCTACTGGGTTTTGTGTGGTTGGACCTTGTGGTCGTGCCTCTGGGGGCATCACTAAGTACAAGAAGCATGCAGCAAAAGCTTAGTACATTCAAAACATGGCACTTTTCTTGCAGTTTGATTTTTACATTGGTCTACACCACATTTTGGCATCAATTACCATGCAAAAGGTATTTCATCTGTATTCCAAGTGTTTGAACATAAAGGCATATCACTAACATGTATCTTCATTGACCCTAACTAAAACTGCATTTCATTTAGGCTGCTCACTAACCAACTTCTTAAAAACAAGTTTACTGTTTTCTGTCTGAAAATGTTGCACCAATATTAGCTGTGGAAGCTAGTACTCACCACCACATGGTCCTGTGCTGAAGGTTATGTCATCAAGGGAGATGTCTCCTCGGAAGGAGTTGCCACGAACACCCTCAAAAATAACCTAAGGGAACAAGTTGTAAGCAACAAAATCAACAGAATATCTTTTGCTAGTTTTACATGTATCTGCGCTGTTGACAGTCTGATAGAATATTGCCAGTCTGTTAAGGCAAGACCAATTTAGCTTCATGGTTGGAATATCAACATGACAACAGAGTCTGGGGGAAAGTCTGTACAATGGTGCACAGAATTTCAGGGACTGGACCGAGTCTGATGCAAGTTTTCAGCCTTATGCATCTGAATTGTCCTCTCTGGTTCAACTTTGCATAAAAATGTCAAATAAACAATGAATTAAATTGATGTAGCTTAATAATCAACTTCAGATTCACAAGTTGCTGAATGGTCTATTTTAACCAAAAGGTGGCTATGATAGTATGTTAATGTGTCTCAAACGACTGACCCTGTAGCTGTCACTACTCCTGATGTTGACCTGCCCGCTGTTCCAGCTGTTGCCCTGGTCTCCAGACAGCTCCCAGATAGAACGGCTGTTGCCTCCAACTGTGACCCACACAGTTAGTCTACCAATGCTGCTGCCATACATGTGGTACCAGAACCTATTAACACACACACATGTGGTCAGTCTAGCAATCCAGTCCTGCTATCAAATGCTTTTAAACCAGTGTTGCTGCTGGCCACACATGCAATAACAAAACCTGCAATACACACATGCATGCACACACACACACACACACACACACACACACACATACAAACACACCGAGCCACACACACACAAACACACTCAATATGTCCACACAAGAGACTCATTGAAAAAAGGTAGCTGAATTTTTTATTGGTACTTTGGGCCTCTATATGATGGTCATAACTCCTTTCCTTCCTGTTACAAACAGCAGATGGTCATTGTCGAGTACTATTACTACTATGGACACCTTTAACAACACCTTTAAGGTTCCAGTAAGCCAAACTGGATTGACCTACATCTCCACGTTTGCTTGTACCTACCTGAGACATTGCCCATTGCTGCTGGTGGCAGGGAAGACTTCACTGACCAACTTAGCTCTGTCATCAGGCTGACGGGGACTGGAAGTCTCCAGGAACAGGTACGTACCTGAAGAAAACAAATTATTTTCTTGATCCTAAATTGACTGCAATAACTGTTATGTATGCTATTAGTGGTTGTGTATACATGTACATGTATTAGTGGCAAGCTTATAAAACTGTCAATTCTACTTATCAGCAGATTACATAGTTTACAAAAATACTACAAAGGACCTGATTATTAAAAACACCTGAATATTTTCAACCTTTGCTTGTGCCAAGACAATGAGATATAGACTGCACATAGTGAAAAAGAAGGATTGTTCTTGTTTGTAAACAAATAAATATGCATTGTTAGCATATGCATCAGTGTAATATGATGCCTGTGCAAAGTACAAATCCTCTCAGCTAGATTTTTATTTTCTATTCAAAATTGTGTCACTTTCTCCTTATGTGACGATATAGAGCATTCAGGTAAATAGGTAGAACAGTACTCTAGCTCACCCTGTCCAGTGCCAGTGGTGTGGTCAGTAGAAGGACCAGTGTTCTGGGTAGGTGTGTCCCCAGTTCCCTGGATCCAGTCAAACTCATCATCGTTGAGCTCATTTGTCCAGGTACATAAACCATTCTCAAAGTCACAGTTTCCTGCAATAACAGAGAAAGCACTCATTTTTTATAGCCAGGAAGAAAACAAGAAACTCAAAGAAACTGTGCCTCAACTGCTACAGCATCCATGTTTACTACTGCTAACAACGGCTGAGAGTTCAGCACCAAGGCTAAGCTGGTCACAGTGCTGTTCTCAGGTGGAACATACATGCTTTTGATGACAATCATTTCTTTCAAATGTAAGCTGGAAAACGTAAGTTGGGCTGGACCTAGCAGAGATTAAGTGCAGATGGGAGGGGGGCGCGATGGACAGACCAAAGGCTGTGGAAGATATTGACTCCCTGCCTTGGTGCGAAGCACTGAAATGTGGTGAAGATGATAAGATAACAGCGCAATCCTACACAATGTACTTTTGACCTACCTCCCCCTCCACAGCTTCCATCTCTAATGGTGACATCATCAATCGCAATGTCTCCCCGGTAGCTGGCTCCTCTGATGGCCTCAAACACGAGCTAAGTAAAGAATCAAAAGTACATATTGTATCTGACGTGAGCCAATGATCACTAATCATCAGTAGGTCCATATGTACAACTTAATCAATAACATGCATCTGAAATGTATTGGAAGGTTGTACAGAGGAGTATCATACCCACATTAGAAAAGAGCATGTTCACACCAGTCCATTCAGTTTTAGCAGCCATCTTGTTGTTTACTGGTGAGATAATCATTCTTGTGTTTTGTGGTTTGGTTACACAATGTATTTGGTTATACAATGATTCCAAGTACCAAGCATAAGTGAGCAAAGGTTTCATAAAAACAGTGTGTTTTATTGCCTTTTCCTGTGTCTCCCTGCACAAATCTGGTGCTTCCTTATAACTTGTATGAACTTATAAACTACATAATTTATATAGTATGCAGTTAGAGATCAAAGATGAACACTATTATAATAACACATTTCTGCCTACAAAAACCAGCAATCATTCAGTAACTCACCTGATAAGAGTCTGTGGGGTTTATAGTGACCTGGTTGATCACCCATTGGTCCCCTTGGTCGTATGATAGACTCCACAGCGGAACTGTCTGTCCTGCCACCAGTAGATCCAGCTTTAGTGTGCCAATGTCCCCTCCGAACATGTGATAGTAGAACTCCACACAGCGCGCACTGCTGGCTGCGTATGTGGGCGAGAACAGGCGGGCAACATCGCCAGGAACCCGCGGGCTGGACATCTCGGTGTACATGTAGTAGCCTGAGAAACCAAACTGACCATTAGAATTCTGTTCATGTGAGATATGAATTTGTGTGTGTTCTGGTATATATTACTTCACAACTCTGCTTTTGGATTTGTTGGATTCTCAATCAGTCAATAGTACATTACTTTGCAACTCTGCTTTTGGACAAAAAGGTTCAGGGTTTCATTCTCATTGAATCAACAAGCTACAAAAAGGTTGCTGTCTTAAGGCTGGGGCATTATACTTATTGAAAAGAGTCTATTTTCCTTGTACATGTACTTGTAAATATTATCTATCGCTTTTGATGCGGCCTTTGGAGAAAATTGTTTTCTGTAAGCCAAAACTACATTAAGAGCTCAAAATTATCAAAAATGTATTATTGCAGTATCAATGGAAAAACTTGAGAAAAATTTAAGTCTCACATGTAAAAACGTATGTGCTAGACATACAAAAGAAATACAAAGGGCACAATACCTTTGAATTCTGAAAAAAATTAGAAAGCAGTCTATACATTGTAACTCTCTATAGTCTCTTCAGGAGTCTATAACAGTCTGACCAACACATGTACTCTGATTAAAGAACTTGAACGTACCAGCTGCAGTACCAAGGGTGTGGTCATTAGAAGGGCCACTATTGGAGGTAGGAGTGTTGCCACTCAGTCGTGTCCAGTCAAAGTCATCGTTGGTGTCCTGTGTGTAGCCACAGATGGCTGGATCATCAAACGTGCAGGTATCCGCAGTGGGAGGCAAGGGGGATGCACTGGGGTTCACTACTACTGCAGAATGGATAGAAGTAAACTGTTATTCTAAAAACTTAGTGGCCTAAATTTTGCATTTTGTATTATTATGACCCTACTACTATGCCAAATTGGGTTCAGGTAACAGGTAATTCATATATCTCAAACTTGATCTGCATAATGCACATTCAATAAGTCACTGAAATTGTGTCCAGCTGGTTCAAACTACATTTTTTGTATGTGTATGAAGGTTCCTCATCCATGTACATTTAGATGAAGATCATTAGTACTGGGTAGTGTCTAATAAAACCTTCTATCAGTTCAGTTGTACAGATTCTTGTAGTTTGATCAAAGAGGCAAAGTGGCATCATGCCAATGTCAGAGGTCAATGGCCTGCTTCCTATATTTTGGAGATTTTTATCCAAACCTTCCTGGATAAATAGACAAAACAGGAAAACAGCTTTCCTATAAGTTGGAACTGGATCAAGATAATCATTTTTCTTTCATTTTTCAACTTACTTGGACTGCATGACCCTTGTGTCAGCTGAATGTCATCCAGTGCAATGTCTCCCCTGAAGCTGGTTCCTCGCACCCCTTCAAATGCCACCTGCAATCAACACCATTCAAGTAGTACATGTATATAAAATGTTACATTATTATAGGCACTACATGCCAGCAATGCAGAGGTGTTAATCAGTGTATCATTACAACAATCTTGGAAACATCCAAAATTTAGTAAATTCATTTTTCATGGTCTTTCAAGTCTTGGTCTGTAGTCAAAACGTTTCATACCGAATGAACCATATATTATCGATAACAACTACTGTTGAACTTCTTTGAATTCAAATTTATTTACTTCCTTACTATTTCTCGTAGATCTGTAACATTGATTTTGTTTTCCTAATACATTTTTACCACAAGTACTCTATTTCTAAGACCTTCAGGGCTATGCCTTTGGCTAGTCGGGTAGCCCAGGCTGTACGTTGTATGTTTCAGTACAGCCCAAAAAATCAACGCAAATCTGTAGACTTTCTCTAATGAATGCCCCCCACCTGGTCCACCACATCCCCTGGGTTGATTGGCAGGTTGACTTGCCCCGCCCACCACTGGTCGCCCTGCGTGCCCTGCTTGGTCCACACGGGTTGTCCCAGCTGGCCTCTCCTCATGAAGTACACGTTCAGCATGTTGACGTGCTGTCCGTACATGTGGTAGTAGAATGTGAGGCAGCGCTGGCCAGAGCCGGGCAGCTGAGGGCTCAGGACTCGGGCCGTCTGGTTCAGTGATTGGCCAGATGTCTCGATGTAGATGTAGTATCCACCTGGTCATAACATAAGGCAGACATCTCATTGTTTATTCACAAAATATGCTGACATGGTGGAGTGGATGTTTCTTTTCTTGAGGTCATGAGGGAAGAGGTCAGGGTCAGACAAAACATATAACAAGATACAGTCATGATCAAAGTATTAGATAAAAGTCCATAGTAGAATGAAGGAAGATTACGTTTCTTCATTGAATCATATCCCTCCACTTTTAGGCTAATTTGATTACTTCTTAGGCAATGGGTTGTGACTGTTTTAAGATATAATACTGCATGTAACAGTGTATAATTGTGTAAAATAAAAACACAGTTCAAAAATATTGTTTTAAGAGACAATGCATGATACAAGTTAACCAAAACACTAAATTAAAGGAAAGGAGTTACTTTCAATGGACCTGCTATGGCTACATTTTACACTATATCATAACAAAGTATGCCAAGAATAACTGTTAGAATTTTTAGAAGTCCATGTTTTATTTCCGCAAAACAGACTCACTCCCAGTGGTGTGGTCTGAGGAGGGGCCAGTCTGAGTGCTGCCAGTTGTCCCAAGGTTCCTGGTCCAGTCAAAGTCATCATCCCCAGCCTGGGTCCAGCCACAGATGTCTGTCTCAAAGTCACAGTCAAAAGCACCTGGACCTAACAAACATACACAAGCAAATGTCACATGTCACTAGTTACAGGTACAACATGTGTAGCAATTTGTTATGATAATCATGGTCCTTGTCACGTAAAATTGTGGAGCATTTTGGATAGCCATTAGGCCTTACAAACAAATCATACTCTACAAAATAACAGATCATACTGTTCTGCAACAGCATAATCTTGAAATCCACAAAGATCATAGTGATAACCTTGATTTTGATAGTCTCTGCACATGGATTATCTCTTAGTATTGCGTTTCTTCCAATGCAATAATGAACACATAATTATGCACAAACCTGGTGTTGGCCCAGTAACGGCTGGGGAGGTAGTCATTGTTGGAACAGCCGGGGTTGTAGCTGATGGAACAGCGTCTGCTGGTTGGACTATAGAAATAACAAGGCAATCAGGATGACCTCTTCATAGTACAATGAGCAGAATTGCAATTATTCCAACTCCTTGTCCAGTAATTTTCATACAGGTATAGACTTTTTTAATCTCAAAGACATTATTGACTTAGTTCCCTGACAGCAATTAAGACAAATACAATGTAAGGGATCGGAAAACAAATCTAATTAGATCTTTGGAGCATTTATTGAACGTATTTCCTCCCACTTACTGGTGCAGGCGCTTGTAAGGAAGTCAAGGTCATCTATGGAGATGTCACCACGGAAGCCATTCCCACGCACTCCCTCGATGATAACCTACAACACAGGGGTAAATACATGTCACAAACAAACCACAAGGTAGAATTGTTTATAATAAACAACTTACTTGACATCAAATTTTTAAATGGACCTTTCTCCAACTAAAAGAAATACTAACTTGAATCCATTAGGATCAACATAGGGGTAAAGATATATCATAAACAATAAAAAAACAACTTGAAGGTAGAATTATTACAATAAACAACTCGACATCAAATTTTTTAATGGAACTTTTCACAACAAAAAGAATTGAAGCCATTTGGATCTTGCTTACTGAATTATAGAATTTATACTCTTGCTACTCTTTGTCCTGATATGACTATGTGCACTGAGTAAAACATCTGTCTCAAGACAAAATTTTAGATTTGATGATCATTAACCTTCTCTCTGCTGCCTAACCCCATAATCAGTACAAATTTGGTGCCTAGCAGCTACCTCAGCATAGTGAGGGTTAAGGAGAGAGTTTCCTACCCTGTGTCTGTTGCCACCTGTGATTCCAACTTTGCCATTGAGCCACTGGGTACTCTTGTCTCCTGACAGCTGCCACACTGTGGTCTCTGTACCGCCCAGCTCCTGAACAATCACACGCAGTGTTCCTGTAAGAACAACAGAACTGCTGAAGATCTGCATGGATCATCATACTTAATCTGTAGCACACTTATAAGTAGCCATTTGGCTACCAGTTCTCTAGATCTATTGGTTTTAACGGGGGTTAGGTAGCAGGGAGAAGGTTCAGACAACAATGTCAAAGTGTCTTGCAATTGTCAGACTTTTTGTTTTAAAATAAAAAAATTAACTTTCTCACAAAGTTTACCTTAGTTAGTTTTGCCAATTAAATAAACCTTACTACACATTTGTAAATATAAAACATAATATGGCTATACAACAACAACAACAACAACAACCATATACTAGACGTTGTAAGTACAAAATGAAGTATGTGATGAGAATGCGTTACGAGTAAGACTGGTTTTCTTGATATGGCCTTAGAGAACCGCATGCTTCTACATGTATTGAACAGAAAGACCAGACCTGTGTCTGCCCCGCTCATGTGGTACCAGAAGTCCAGACAGTGGCTGCCGGCCTGGAACTGCTGACTGACCCAGCGGGCACGGTCACCCGGCTGGCGGGGGCTGGACGTCTCCGTGAACATGTAGGTGCCTGGAGATACACATTCGGCAGACACAACTTAATACAAAATCATTACTTTTTGTACTTTTTTTTTGCAGTCTTTGCCTTTTTTCAGTTTTGTGAAAACATAACATGTATTAGGTCAAAGGCTGATGAAAACTGCAGTCAAAACTGTAGCCTGGGTACCATCCAGATTTTCACTCTGCAATGCGAAAAAAAATCTGAATTATTTTTTGCTCTGCAACGCTAAAAAAAAATCCAGATTTTCACTCCGCAACGCAAAAATCTGGATGGTACTCAGGCTATGAAAACTGCCCATTGGTAAAAAGACTACCCAGGGGACCGATATAATGTGGTCTATGCATACAGGATTCCTAATGCTTGTGTCACTGGGAAAATTATCTGAGGGACCATCACCATCACATTGGCTATGATGTGGTTTTTATGTATAGGTGGTCACTTCTACAGGTTTGACTGTATATGATCCTTCAATGTTCAAAATATGAAGTCTACAACATGAGACATAAAGCAAAAACACAAACCCTGATCATTCTGGGTAGTGTGGTCAGCAGTAGGTCCTGTACCCGACGTGCCAGTTGACCCTTGACCTTCGGTCCAGTCAAAGTCATCTCCAGTCTGAGTGTTGCTCCAGGTACAGGAGCCGTACTCAAAGTCACAGTCCCCTGAAATAGAAAGATCACCTTGGTTTACATACTTACATTGAGTTACAGTAACTGTTACAGTTTACAGTTACGCCATGTGTTAGGGCTGCATACCAGCACTGTTACTGTACCACAAAAATTGATTTTGTACCTGTCTAAAATACCGAATCACTAAGTACAGGTACTGCACTGATATTAAGTTATGCTATTTTTTTTAACGTAATATGATGCATAAATACAATGTATTATGAATTTATGAAACCAGTACTCTATATTCATTAAGTTTTTGAGGAAGTTTGAAAGAGAAGTGTCACCTGGATCCGACCCTGTAGAAGAGCAGACGCCATCACGCCATGTGACGTCATCAATGGCGATGTCTCCTCGGAAGTTCTGTCCTCTCACACCCTCAAACACAACCTGTGTTGAAAAAAAGAAACAAATGATGACCGATTGTCTTTTTTTTTCTAATACACTTAGTATTGCTGTCCCAAAAGAGAAGTATGGGTAAGGCAATTACATGTATCTCTTTTGAAGCAAACCAACATGATTGCAGAGACTGAGGTAAAAAGGTAAAGGTAGTCCTTTTTTCAGGCCAAAGGGAATGTGGGTTGCTATCCACTGTGTTAACGGAACGGTACTGGAAGGCAGAGCCCATACCTCTTCTTCCACTGCCTTTTACCTCCTCAATTAAAGTCAGGTACCTACATGTATTTTTATGCCTAGTGAGGAAAGTCAAGTGCCTTTCCAAAGGGCACACCCTGCCATTACGCCACACAACCCCACCAGAGAAAGCACCCTTTAAATCACAAATCAGATTCTTTTTCCTCTAGCTCTGACCTCTATGGACCACCAAAGACACACACTGTAATGACCTTGAAAGGATTGTTAGCTGTGAAGGTGACCTCTGCGGGGCTCCACATGTTGCCCTGGTCACCTGACAGTGTCCATACAGCGGCACCTAGGGTGCTGCCCATCTGGATAAACACATTCAGCATGCCGATGTCCTGTCCGTACATGTGATGGTAGAACTGCAGACAGTGCTGCTGATTGGTTGCATCAAATTCCGGAGAAGCGAGTAAAGCTGCGTCTCCAGGGCTCCGAGGACTGGAGGTCTCAATGTACATGTAGTGACCTGGGGATTGTGACAAGAAAAAATGCAATGAAACAATCTATGTTCCAGGTGTGTTTATAAACATGTAACGATTAAAAGAGCAATCTATTGTTACTTTGAGCCCCTGCCATACATAGCAGAATATAGGCTCCCAAATTGCTGAAGCCCACCCAACGACAAGCAGGTCAGGAGCAAGGTTGGCTTATGTTCGGAGAGGTTGAATACTATTCGGCTGCACCAGCTGAATTCAAACTTACCAAAACCTGTTCCCAGTGTGTGATCATCATCAGGTCCAGTGTTAGTGGTTCCAGTGTTACCAGTGGCCCAGGTCCAGTCAAAGACGTCAATGGCCAGCTGTTGGTAGCCACAGATGTCCGAGCTTTCAAAGTTACAGGAGATGGAAGGCGTAGCAGTAGGACCAACCACTGTGAGGCAGGAAACAATTTAATATTTTGTGAGGATAAGCTTGTTGTGGTCAGACTCTGCAATGATAGACTTCAGGACACAATGCAATTATGATAATCACTGTCATTGAATATTGCTGCTGAACTCAAAGGAGTGCTGGTAGGATGATAATAATGTTGTTCCTTCAGCACTGCATAATGTTGAAACTTTTTGCAATTTCATACTTTTTGCAAGTCAATTTTTTCCACAAAAAATTGCAACTATACACATTAGAAACAACATATCACCAGCATTTTATTATTTTTTTTGTTCTCTACATCAACAGTCTGTGATAAGAAAAAAACATCAAGTCTTTTTTCTATGTTCAGGCCAGTTTGAAAATCAGAGCTCTAACATCTGTACCCATAATATCACCATAGTCCATAATATCGCCACCTTGAGAAATAGTGTGCTTAAAGATATTTTTACTGCAACATACCCTAGGTATGTACATTTGATGTGTGAAGGAGTGCATACCAAAAGTATGTTGCAGTAGAAATATCTTTAAGCACACTGTTTCTCAAGGTGGCGATATTATGGACCCTGGTGATATTATGGACACAGATGCTACCTCAAGAAGCTTTATACTGTGATAAAGAAACTTTGCTTTACTACATGTATGTTTAGGCCAGTTTAGCCATAATTTCCGCGCTACCTTGTGAGCAGCTGCTGTCCACAATTGAGATGTCGTCCAGTGAAATATCACCACGGTAACCAGACCCACGGATAGCTTCAAACACCATCTATAGGCATACAGGGAATGATAATTTCTTTTAAATCATTTCAAGAAATCTATATCTTATATCTAATACATCTAACAATCATGGTTAGCAATACTTGATAATTGAAAAAACTGCTCAATGTCAAAAGATTGATACACATACACATGTAATGCTGTTGGCAACTAATTTTTGACACATTTGATTTACATTCATGAGCATTTTAAAGTACATGTATCAGCTTTAAGCGCATAGACTCTAAATAAATAAAGCAGTCATAACATAATCAACCTTACATGTTACATAAAACCTTTTCCACCCAACACACTCACACACACAAACACACAAACACACAGTAAATGCAACCAAAGGCTACTGACATTGAATGATGTTCCTGCTGTAATGTCAATCTGTCCATAGTTCCACTGGTCTCCCTGTGTGCCTGTCCGCACCCACACCACGCTGCCCAGAGATGGACCCGTCTGTATGTACACATTGAGCGTGTCCACGTGCTGACCGTACATGTGGTACCAGAACTGGACACACTTGGCCGTAGTGGCAGTGACAGGAGGACTGATCACTCGGGCAGTACGGTTAGCAGCCACATTGGATGCCTCGATGTAGATGTAATAGCCACCTGGGTAGAACAAGGTAGACAACAGAACAGTTTAGACAATAAATGGAAGAATATGAAGAGATGTTACATTCACCATGCTGATGTGGCCATTCTTGGAGCAAGGTCACAGTAGCATTTTTCTTTTCACATTTTAACCTCTGGTACAGCTGTGATTGTGAAGCCAAGTAAGATTTGTATCAACTTTAGTCCATTCCATTTGCCTTGACTACAAGCTTGTCTTGATCAAGTACCTTTTCCCCCTTGGGGCCATATTAATACACTGTAACAATATATTGAGCTCTACGTACTTCCAGTGGTGTGATCACCACTAGGCCCAGTGTCACTAGATCCTGTGGTTCCCTGGTGTCTGGTCCAGTCAAAGTTGTCATCATCAGCCTGTCTCCATCCACACAGGTCTGCCTCAAAGTCACAGTTAAATGGTCCTGGGGCTAAAGTAACAAATAGTAGATATTAACACAATCCCAAACCACTGCATGGGGCCAGCTACAATGCTTTCCCTGCACAAAATGATATCACCTCCATGTCAGCCTACACACCTGCCTTTGGGACCCCCATTTCAGCACCAAGGACAAGCCCAGTCAGATCCCCTTTAAGGCAGTTCCATTGAATGGAGATTTTATCAGTTATGATGCTGTAGTTCAGTGTTTGATTCACTACCTTTTTATGATCATTTAAACTGCATAAATATCACCCAGTATCAAAAAGAAATGTTGGAAAGCTAATTGCTGGCAGGGTTACTAACAGGCTAAAGATGAATGTACAGTTATTGTCACCAAAGTGTAGAAGTTATGCACAAAGGTAGATTATAGAATATAACTGACCTGGTGTAGAGGCAGGTACACTTGTAGGACCCCCTCCTGGGGTGGCTGCTACTGGCATTACTGTGGAGAGACATCAACACAACACATTGTAGCAACATTTCTTTTGTATTTTCCATCTCTCTTACAAACTTCACAGCAAGGACCAACAGCTATGCAGGATGGCTGCATCAAACATATTGACATTGATATTTTCACAAGGGTGAAGACTGTTGTTTAGTTAATGCAGGTGGCTTAAGTGACTGAATTTCACATTGCTACTGAATGAATGCTCTGATGGCTGAGGAAATTTTATTTAGTACTACTACTGCATGTAAAGACACATTTCACAATTTTGTGATCTTTCTGATATATTCTCTAGCATCTTATTTCTGTACATAACATAACTCACATTTTTTATTTTCAAAGTGAACAGCATTTTGTTACTTACTTGCACATGTGCCGTCTGTAAAGGACAGATCATCAATAGCAATGTCACCCTGGTAATCAGCACCACGGACTGCTTCAAACACAACCTGAAATCAACCACGTCAGATTTCAGTCAACATCCTTCTGAATCTGATAATGTAAAACGTGTTCCTTATATCTAATAAATGACCTTGTCTAGGTATTTATTTCATCATAAAATGGCTGGGTAGCCCATTCAGCCAGTAGATGCTGCTTTCCAATGGGGCCCAGCATACATTTATACAGGACATGATTACATTTAGTCAAGCAACAAAAGGAGGACAACAGTCAAATGATTAGTATGCTTATAAATGATCATACATTTTCTTGACACTCAATGATAAAAAACCTTGTAATGCTAATGCTGCAGCTTAATTTGGAGTGGCCTTCAGGCCTTGTTATGTGGTGTCCAATGCATAAAAAATGCATTATGTATGAGCAGTGAGTGATACTGTAGTTTAAAATATTTGCTGTCCACTGTCTACAAAAAGTAGCTTCAAGGTACAAGTAATTTTCGATTTGATGTCAAGTAGTTGGTATGACTACTGAAGCAGATACCTTGTGTCATGACTTTTGGTTTTACCTGATATGAGGTTGCACTGCTGACGGCAACCTTGCCATTGAGCCACTGGTTCCCCTTGTCTCCAGAGAGCTGCCACACAGTCTGGTCTGCTGATCCAGCGTTCACATACACGGTCAGGGTACCGATGTCCGGCCCTCGCATGTGGTACCAGAAACTCATGCAGCGCGACTGCTGGGAGCCGGGGAACAACTCGCTTTCCCACCGAGCACGATCTCCAGGCACGCGAGGGGAGGAGCTCTCGATGTACATGTAGGTACCTGTGATTTGTACACATGTACACAATAAACATCAATGTATGTAAACTCCATTCACATTTACATGTATCTATTTGGTTTACATCAGTCCGCAACTTTGAAAAGAAATGTATGAGAGATCTCTAGTGCAGAACATAAAGGTATGCACAGTTCAGATATGCGGGAGTGCATTATACTAGGCGATGTTGTATTTAGAGATCTCTTATACGCATTTTTCAGTACAGTGGATATATGTGACTTGGTAGAATTATGTGTTACTGTACAGCATTTTTCAATCTAGCAATAACCTGACACTGCCACTGTCCAGACCAGTATATCTTTCCAGAATACGGGTTGTTAAAATATGCGTTTGTTAAAATATTGCATCTTGAAAGGAGTTTTTAAAGACAGTATTGCTTTTTTCTATATTTTCTAGCTTAAGATTATTTGTTGGTTCCATCATTTCTTTGTAAAAGAAGTTTGGTACAAATTTATAATTTCCATCACAACATCTGAAGTTTCAGCACCTTGGCCATTTCCCAGTGTGTGGTCAGAGGGGGGTCCAGTGCTGGGGCTGGCCGTCGCTCCTGTCCCCTCGATCCAGTCAAACTCATCACCAGTCTGGGTGTTGGTCCATGTGCAGGGGCCATTCTCAAAGTCGCAGTCACCTGGTCAAATAGGTTCAGCATCTTATTACATACTCACTCAGTCAATCAGTCTATCACTCACTCACTCATCTCACTCAATCACTCACTCAGAGGCTTGACCTAATACATACAGCAATTTGCGTCTATCCTGTGGGGTCATTCTGTGTCAATCTTACACTATCTTTGATACAGGCCAAAGTACAGTCTTACCTGCCCCAAAATGCTACCCAGGGGACTGAGGTACAGTGGTCTTTTCGAACAGATGGCCTTCTTTGGCAGGCCACTTAAAACTTGTGCCTCTTTGGAACTAAATTTGGCCGGCTTGAAGAGGTGGCTGTCATGTTGCTGTAGTTTTAATTAGAACATGTGCTATAAGATGCCAGTAGTAATGGCCCTTACCTGGTGCAACACATGCTCCACTGCTGACTGTGACATCATCGATGGCGATATCGCCGCGGTATGACTGACCACGCACGCCCTCAAAGACCAGCTGGAAGTCTGTTGTGCTGTCCAGGGTGACAGATGCTATGTACCACTGTAGAGGCAGAACAAACAAGGCTCATTTATAGCATTGTACCAATTGTAACGTTTTCTTTGGCGGCAATATTTTTTATATACAGAACTTTATATACAGAACATGTAGTTAGGTCTTCCTCTTGTGCCTGGTGGCAGCTGCAGCAAAATTAATGACACAATCTGGTTGATCCTTTCAGTTATGCAAAGCATAAATTTCCAATCAAGAACTAGAAAGGCCAATATTTGCTTTGGAGCAAATACAGCGATGGCTTCACCACATTTTACGACATGGCAGGGAAAGAATGAGAAACACAAGGGAAAACAATGCTTTACATTGATATAACTATAATATGAAGTAACATACAACTAAGACTACAACAGTTGGCTAGCTATTCCCTACATTATTGGTTAGGATTTTTAATTGCATAATGCAAACTGTTGATTTTCAAAAAAAAAACGTTCATGCCCCGCATTCCAATGCTGGAGCAGGAAAGCTTGAAATACCTACCAAAACACTTGAATACAGACATACTGTCAGTATGGAAATGGTCTGTGCAGGTGTTAATCAAGTTAAATCCCAACAGCCAATCAGCAAGAAATGCTCTGTGCAGGTGGAAATGGTCTGTGCAGGTGTTAATCAAGTTAAATCCCAACAGCCAATCAGCAAGAAGAAGAGAGGAAAGCTGCATGCCTATTGGTTGATGCCCTGCATTCCATTGTGATGACTCATGCCAAATGTGGTTAACACTGCCCACTGACACAGTAATACATTTGCTATAATACAGCCAAAAAACTCAAATAAAACCATTCTAAAAGCCTGTATCACAAAAATTTAAAAAACGCCTAAGGGTATTTGCCCACTGTACCTCCATACCAAATTTTCAGATCCTTAGGCCCCCCAAAATGAAGAAGCTGAATCCATTTTAAAAAATGGCAGGAGAAGAAGAAGGAGGAGAAGAAACATCAGAGAAAACAATATGGTTTCACCAGACCACTTCGTGGTCTGGTGAAGCCATAATAAACATAAACAAAGCTCATGATTATTTTTTTTTTATTTTTTTTTGTGTTTTGTACCCTTTTGTGTCATACTTTTTGTTCCCACTATTGCTTGATCGGGCCCTGGGTTGGGAAATGTGACTTTAGCATTATCAGAAGAATCCAGAATGAAGGCCAATAGAAACGTGCAGTTGTCTGTTACTTCCATCCCTGTGGGGGGATCTGGATGCATCGCAGTGACTACACTCAGTTACCTGATTTCCCTGATCTCCTGTCATGGTCCACACGGCTGTACCCAGGTTCCCCTGCCTTTTGGTGTAGACGTTCAGCTCCCCGATGTGCTGTCCGTACAGATGGTACCAGAACTGTGCACAGTAGGAGTTGACTGAGCTTTGGAACGCAGGGGAGATCAAGCGAGCCACATCCCCGGGAACACGAGGACTGGAGGTCTCCGTGTACATGTAGTGACCTGGGAGTATTGTGGACAGGTTAGTTTATTTGCTGTTTGTTTTAGGAGTTACATGACCCCAAAATACCTATAGTTTCTATGCAGAACATTGTAGAGTGAAAATACTAAGCACTTATGGCTATGCCATGAAAGCAACACAATGTTTCAATGTCGTAATTAAATATATCTATGGGTGTGATGCTGTGTGGGTCACAGAAAACTAAAAAGATGCATGGGGATACATGTACATTGTAATTGCAACATTTCTGTCCTCTACTGCCTTGTTTCAATGTGAAAGATATTCAAATCACTTATTTGCAAAAATTATAATAATTGTAATAATTACATTCTAGTTTCTGAGCACAGCAAAACCAGTTTTAGATAAATACATACACGTGAATATTTAGGAATAAGAAAAGTTCTGACCTGCTGCAGTGCCATAGGTGTGATCATTAGTTGGTCCAGTATTGGTTGTTCCTGTGCCACCAGTTGACCATGTCCAGTCAAAGTTATCTGTGCCATCCTGGGTGTAGCCACACAGGTTCTGGTTCTCAAAATCACAAGTCTGGGTTGTAGGGGCCGTGCTGGGGGCAGGGGTCACCACAACTAGGGGAAACATTCAAGATAGCTCTTTGAATAATTTCATCTCAGGTTGACAATTGACTGTATAAGAAGGATATATTCAACAACAGTGATCTATGTAGCATCTGTCTTTTTTTTTTGTCTTGTCATTTTGTCGCTCATGGCAGTTGAAAATTTTTCCTAATCCATTATCTTTGATGGACAAAAATTGGCATGTAATGTAAAAGGTATGAAAAGAGATGTCATGTAAGTAATGTTAGTCTTCCAGCAAAAAAAATCTATCTGCAAAACTTATATACTAGTAGAGGGATAAATCTCTCTGAGTACTCTAGCGGACAATTGAGTACTCTGCAGTTCTCTTTGGATTAGGCATTGCTCTCCCAAATGCTATCTCAGATCTCTTGCAGTCTGTTACAAGTCTCTTTTTTACAACTGTTTTGTTATGTAAATTTCCCATTGTTTGAAAAGTCTCTTTCAAAATTACCTGTGAAAACATGGCTGCTGTGATGTTGTTTTTATGTCATTGTCATTCTACTGTTAGGGCTAGACACTAATCCCCATTTAATATCTATTGTTCAAAACAATTGATGATATCTGAGGGGGGTCCAACCTTAGGTGTCAAGAAGGAATCTACAGCAGTTCTCTTTGGAGTCTCTTCTTGTGGGGACAGAGCTCTTCCAGCTCTCTTTTGGTCTTGTCCTTTGTGATGAGTACTCTCTTAGTACTTTCTTGTCCGCTAGAGTACTCAAAGAGATTTATCCCTCTACTATATGAATTACACTGTATGCCAACTTTCCACACAAGCCTAGCAATTACTTGGTTTCTATGAACATACCTTGAGGACAGTCGCCAGGATGAAAAGTAACATCATCAAGAGCAATGTCGCCTCTGTAGGAAGCTCCTCTTGTACCCTCAAACACCAGCTGTAGCATGCACAAGCAAATATAATCTGCTGTAATCAACTTCAAGATGATATGATTTCCTCTCCTTGGCTCTTGACATTGTACATGTTAACTCAAAAGATATTGTCTCCTGTCATGTTGTAATGCTATTATTATGATTTACTTCTGTCATAAATTCTACTGTAACACTTAAAAATTGAAACATTTTTATTTTGCTATTAGATTTTCTAAAGTTTAACCAAATTTTTTACATAAAATAACCACACAATAATTTCCAAGCAGATCAAGTGGGGGATTGAAATGGTAACTGTCTGGCCAATGGATACTGCCTGGCCAATTTGATACAACTGTCTTTGCCACCAAAGATCTGCTTAGAGATTAAACATAGAAGGCATGGACCAAGTGAAAAGTGCCCAAAGCAGAAGTTAAATTCCTACTCACATTGTACTGCCCACGAGTGGTAACCTGCACCAGCCCCTCCAACCACTGGTCTCCCTGTGTTCCCGTTCGAGTCCACACAGCTGTGCCCATTGATGGTCCAGTCTGGATGTACACGTTGAGGGTGTCCACATGTGTGCCGTACATGTGGTACCAGAATTTCAGACACATGTCAGTGCCGGGGCTCACATAAGGACTGACCAGTCGTGCTGTGTCCCCTTGAACTTGGGGAGTGGAGGTTTCTATGAAGACATAGTAGCCACCTGGAAAAACACAAATATCCCCCTTAAACACAAGACGCATCAAAACATAATACCTAACAAGAAAGCCAAGGCAAAATACTTTTCTTGGTATCTTAAGGCCACAACAATTTCATGGTTTTGGATTTAAAAAAACCTATTTAGCTATAAAAAAAGTTGGTAACAATAATGCCTAAGAAACAGGTTTATTCATGGGTGCTCTAAGATTTATGATGCGAATACAGACAAATTTAAGTTTTCCTCCCTGCCTTCTGCTGTTATGTCTGCTTGCTATAATTTTATCCTTAAAATGTACCAGATCCAAGAAAACAGTTTTAATCCTTACATTTGTACTTGTCAGTTTTTTCAAGGGAATCTCTACAAAAAGAGGAAACAGAGCAAACAGATTAACAAGAAAATACTGACTGCCAGTTGTGTGATCTGCACTGGGTCCAGTCTGTGTGGTGTCGGTTGTCCCTTGTTGCCGTGTCCAGTCAAAGTCATCATCTGTTGCCTGCCTCCACCCACAGGTGTCATTCTCAAAGCTACAGTCGATAGCCAAGGATGCTGAAATCATCAGGACAGGAAAAAATTAAATCACTGATGGAATCAACGTCAGTGTCAAAGACATAGGTGTAACGTTACAACTACTTCAACTTTACACTAAAATGTACACAAAATGTACGAAGAAGCAAAAATCATCAAATGTGAATAAGTATTAGCTAATTACTTAATAGTCTGTAGTAATATTTTCTGTCTGTACAATAAAATGGTAAAGAATGTGTACTTCTAAATCTTATCTTAGAAAACAATCAAAATATCAACTTAAAGGTAGAATATCTAACGTCTATAACAGTTTAAAACTGTGAAGGGACGTACATTGTGTAGGTGACATGGTTGGAGGGGCAGGGGTGGCACCAGATGGTTGCACTGAAACAACAAACAAACTGATTATTCTTTGTCCCAATGTGATGAAGAAACAAGTTCACATAGGACAACTGATTGGTCATTTAAGCATGAAGAAGTTTATGCATGTACATGTAGTAACTAGTGACTACAGATAATTTTGTGTTTCTTCTCCAAAAACAGTCCTTTGACAAATGTTAATCACAGAATGAAGTTACAATATTCTTTTTCATCATCATTTCTAGGAAGAGAACATTCCAGCAAAACATCACACAGGTGATAATGGTCCTACAACATTTCTCTAAGAAAATTAGAAATTAATGGTGCAATCAATGTAAGACATATTTGTTTGTGAAGTTTTAAAAAAAAATCCTGCATGGTTGGCAGAGAAATACTATTTCAAAAACATCTAACTTCAAAATGGTGACACAAAATCAAACGAAATATCAAGAGGAGTCATAACTACTGGAAATACTTACAGGTACATGGCTGCAGGGGTTGCATGTCCAAGACGATGTCATCAATGGAGATGTCTCCACGAATGTTGCTTCCTCGAGATCCATCAAATGAGATTTGCCAGATATCGTTGCTGGAAACGGGGACCTTAGCCTGCAGCCACTGGTTACCCTGCGAGCCAAACAGGCTCCAGACGTAGATCTCGGGGCCGGACTTTTCCTTGATGACCACGTGAAGAGCTCCCACGCCATTCCCCAGCATGTGGTACCAGAAGGACAGGCAGTAACCCGTCGCTGATGTTGGAGCAAACTCTTGGCTGACAAAGCGAGCCACATCACCGGGTTGTCTTGGTGATGATGTCTCAATGTAGTAGTAAGTACCTGGAGAAGAGGTGCAACAATCACAATTAGCTTCTCCAATTTGTGTCATACATTGTACATTAACATACAGTTCTATCATATACTATGGTATTCCATTTTTCTTGCTTACTCGCTGTCTTTTGCTGTTTTGTACATGCTAGAAGTCCTTTTCAAATTTCATACAATATAACATTTGGTTATCAACAAGGCATAAGAGAGGAATTTCTAAACACATCAACTGGATATGAAAACCCAGAGAAATTAGACCGTACTAACTGGGAAAGAGACCAGGTGGGGAGTGGCATATCCTACAGTAGAAATGAACGATAAGTAAGAAGATTAACTGACAAAAAAAGGACTGACAGAGGCAAAGAAATTAGTTCTATTTAGCAGAGAATTCACCACAAAGAAAGAAGACATAAAATTCACTTTCCCTAGATGCCCTTAAATCTTTAGGTTCTGATCATTCTTTTGTCCTGTTTACCTTGTGCAGTTCCAGTGGTGTGGTCTGTGGTGGGTCCAGTCCCGGTACTGCTGGTAGACCCTCTTTTCTCTGTCCAGTCAAAGTCATCGTTGGGGTCATTGGTGTAAGTACAAGGTCCGTTCTCAAAATCACATGATCCTGAAGAAAAAATTAATGCCATGGTCATTTGTTACTGTATGTTCCTATCATGTAGTATTTTCTCTGTTTGCCACTTTTCTTTATATTTTCTTTCTAAATTTTGCTGTTGCTTCTGTTGTAAACATGGTATTATCACTTTGAGTAGCAAAATTGTTTTTTAAGACAAAGCAAGCATCTACAGTGTCACAAAAATGTGACCACAAAAACATAGTTCAGAATGTTCCTCCAAGTAGCAGTCAGACAATCAGTCAAAACTGACTTGAAGATTTTAATGAATAATACCTGGGTTGCTGCATTGTCCGTCTCTGACAGTCACGTCATCAATGGCGATATCTCCACGGAAACTCTGTCCTCGAACAGCTTCAAACTCTACATAGAAGGTCTGGTCACCCGGAACAGTGACCTGCCCCAGGTACCAGTGGTCACCCTGGTCTCCAGACAGCTGTGGGGGTAATGGGTTTATTAAAAACTTTTCAGATGAGATACAGACTGAATTAAACTTAACATCCTAATAACTAAAACTATAAGGGCTAGCATGATTCTTTGATAATTAAGTGTTACTGTTGAGTGTGGCTAATCATGAGTTTTGGTATTGTTTTTGCAGGCTTGTGTTTATTTTTTTGGTTGTAAACAATGGGGTTTTAGAACAGTGAGGACAATATGATAAAGTTGGATAACGGAATATCAGATTCACTAAAATTCACTAACAGTAATCCATACAAGGAGAGATAACATACCTCCCACAGTGGAGCAGGGAAGCTGCCAGTTGTTGGGACATAGAAGACCTTCAGGTCCCCGATGTGGTCTCCAAACATGTGGTAGTAGAACTCCACACAGTGTGGCTGGTTGTCCTGAGGGAAGGACGGTGTGCGCAGCACGGCCTTGTCTCCAGGCTGTCGAGGGGAAGAGGTCTCGATGTACATGTAGTAACCTGTAGTGAAGGAATGCTTGTGATAGATACAGTATACTGCCACTACTCAATTCTGCCACACAGTTACTACTACTGTGTCCGTTGATAGCTTCACACGACAGGCAGATGTAGATGTAACAAGTTATGTTCAGGGCTCAAACAGAGTGTACATGTAGTGCTGCATAACATGTGCTATTCAACCTCTGACCCCCAAGGCTGGACTATCCCACTCAGTCTTGGATGTGCTCAGTTATGGTTATGTACACTACCAACAGTCCAACAGATGATCATGAGGACTGGAAGCACACCAATCTCCTGTCTGCCTCCAGGTAAGAAAACTTGTTGCTTCAGAAAAATGGGCACAGTATGCATCAATACTCATCCTGAGGCTTACCTGAGTTTGTGCCCAGTGTGTGGTCAGTGCTGGGCCCAGTGTTGGTGGTGCCCGTTCCCCCAGAGCCTCGTGTCCAGTCAAAGTCATCAGCCTGGCTCTGCTGGTAGCCACAGATATTGTCACTCTCAAAGTTACACGTCACAGAGGTGGGAGGGGCGCTGGGGCTGGGAGTCACAACAACTGCGAGAGATAGAGAGCAAAAATATTACAAACTACTTCAACTTTGTTCTGATTCAAAAAAGGACTGATTTACAGAAAACCATAAAAGTAAAGTCTTTTAGAGTACTTGTTATGATACCAGAAGGATCAGAAGGAATGTCTTTACCAGGGGGACAGTCTCCTGTGAGCATGGACACATCATCTACAGCGATGTCACCACGGAATCCGTCTCCTCGCACTCCTTCCAGCACCACACTGTATGTGGTCAGGCCAACCACAGGGATCTGTGCCAACACCCAGCGGTTCCCATTGGTGCCTGACCGGGTCCACAACGGATCGCCCATGATAGTCCCAACTCTGATGTAGACGTTGAGGGTCCCGACGTCGTCTCCATACATGTGGTACCAGAACTGCAGGCAGTTCCGACTGGCTGGCATCACTGATGGACTCATGACTCGAGCTGTCCTATTGGCTGACTGCCCACTGGCCTCGATGTAGATGTAGTAGCCATCTTAGTGGAAAACAAATCTTATTTAGCCTATAGACAGACTAGCAAGTAAATCATCATCACGATAGCCAAGAAAAAACAAGACATAAATGTATCAAAGAACCAACAGATTGAATAGGTGTGGCCTGAATATCTGTTGACTGACTTCCAGTGGTGTGGTCAGCTGAAGGTCCTGTGTTGGAACTGCCTGTAATACCCTGATGCCGGCTCCAGTTAAAGTCATCGTCCGTCAGTTGCAACCATCCACACAGACCCGACTCAAAGTCACAGTCAAACGGCCCGGGGGTTGGTGTAGGTCCGGTGAAGGCTGGAGTGGTCGGTACCGTCCCAGTTGGGGTTGCAGGTGTGGCCCCTGCTGGCATCAACGTGCAAGCTGTGCTTGTATAGTCAAAGTCATCAATGGCAGCATCACTTCTATAGTCAGAACCTCGGACGCCTTCGACGTAGATCTGGAATGACGACGAGGTCGTCAGTGGAACCTGTCCCTGTAGCCACTGGTCTCCCTGGTCTCCTGAAACCTCCCACACTGATACCGGCCTACTCTGTGTCTCGTGGAGAACTACGCGTAGTGTCCCCATGCCAGAACCGTACATGTGGTACCAGAAGGACAAGCAACGGCCAGTTGCCACTGGGAAAGCCTCGCTGACCAACCTGGCCACATCACCTGGTAACCTTGGAGATGAAGCTTCCAGGTACAGGTATGTTCCTAAAAAGGTATGAAAACAAATGAGTGTTCCACATCCAAAACTAAAATCACTTGTTACAGACAACAATATGGCATCAAAACTAAAATATATAATACATTTATCTAATTTGGAAATCTGAACAGTAAAGTTCAAGTTGTTTGTCCATCATCTTCGATGATGACCAAGACATGTTGAAGTATAAAATGGCTGACTCACATACAACATAAGATTTACACAAGGTATATGAAAAGTAAAGAAAGGGACAGTCTGAAACCTGTGTCGTTCTGCGTGGTGTGGTCAAATGAGGGGCCAGTTTGGGTAGTCGCTGATGCTTTAGTTCCTGTGACCCAGTCGAAGTCGTCTCCAGTTAAGTCATTAGTCCAGGTGCAGTAGCCATTCTCAAAGTCACAGGTACCTGGAAAAATACAAATTGGTTCAATTTAGTCTTTTTGTGCAAACCTTGTCCCTTTCAGTCGCAAACTCTATGACTGTGCACTGAATCTACAAGTTCATTTTAACAGGAAAATTCCTTTTTTTCTGACAAGCACAATAAACGCACAGTAGATCATGGGTTGACATTCTGTACTAAGTTCTGTGTGACCCTTTCAAATGTAGTTTGCATCTTTTGTAGGAGACAACATACAGCCAGGATTCAAACTCCCAAACTGTAGATACAGAGGCAGGGTAGCTAGCAACAGGACTACACAAGCTACTTTGTGATTGGTCAGTTAAGTTATGTCACCACTCACCTGGGGTGCCACATCCACCAGGAGTTATACTGATGTCATCCAAGGCAATATCACCACGGTAACTAACACCACGGATACCTTCAAAAGCCACTTGGAATGGGTTGTCAGCTGTCACTGTGACCTGTGAACAGTGGGGTGAACAGAGAAGTATAGAACATGGTTTTATCTCAAAGAAGGGGTACAAATAAAGGTGCTATAAAAGAATTTATTCAAAATAACAGAAGGAGTAAAGGTTTCATGAATAAAAATCACCTTCATCAATTATAGAAAATACAATTGAAGATAGCAATCGTGATGACTTGAGGAGTTTATGATTTAGCATTTCTACATCAGATAACATTTCCTATTTACATTGCTAAGTATCTGTATCTGTATAGCCAGTATAATGACCCTCCCACCCCTTGGTGCAACACACAAGCTTTGCAGGCAAGTGGCACAGCGGCAGCTGGCTACATTACACCAAATGACTTCTTACACCAAACCTTTGAACATCTAACTCAGTCTAAATATTTCTCAAAGCTATCTAATTAATGGCAATGCCCCTACTGTACTTGGTGACAGCAAGTTCCACTAGTTTATCTACAAATGTTTTCAACCGTTAGTAACAGCAGACGAACCTGTGCCATAACCCATATATCTCCCTGGTCACCGGATAATGTCCACAGAGCTGTTCCCAGGTTGCCGTTCTTCTTGGCGTAGACGTTGAGTGTGCCAATGTTCACACCAAACATGTGATAGTAGAACTCCACACAGTAGTTAGGAGAGGTGGTTTGGTAGGTGGGGGACAGGAATATGGCATTGTCACCGGGGACACGTGGGCTCGAGGTCTCAATGAAAACAAAATGACCTACAGAAAAACAACAGATCCCTTTTCAGCCAAGTCTTGGGCATATATAGATTCAACAAAATGTGCAGTGAAAATAATCTAGAGGAATATAAACTATGTATAGCCACTATAACATTGAAGTAAATGAAGCTTTATATAAAATCTGGCCTTGGTGCTGAAAATTCTGTTGCTAGAAGGTAGCCATAATTTTGCTTCATGTTTAGATATTAAGGGATATTCTAAGAAAGACTACACTGAAATTTAGCTAAAATTGTTAATCAATAATTTAAAAGTAATAATTTAAAAGTGATAAAACATCCTAATAATATTTTAAAGGCATTTCCTTTAAAAATTAGGGATGCCCATTGTATTTTGGTACAGTCATTTCTAACAGAAGTCTTCATTTCAAACATTGACCCACTTTTCCCACTATTAGAATGCAAGGAGAAAGTCAGTACTGTCTACTAAACTAAAATTCATATTTGTTTATCAAAAAGTTTGGCTAGTAGGAGGTCTGCCAAAGTAGTCAATGGCTATTACAAAGGGCTAACATTGAAGGCAGTTAACGATGCACAAAGTGAAATGAGACATATGTTAGAATTATATACTATCATCTACTGAACTAAAAGGTCATACTAACCAGCACTAGTGCCATAGGTGTGGTCCACTGTGGGTCCAGTGTTCACAGTCCCAGTGCCTCCAGTCTGCCAGGTCCAGTCAAAGATGTCTCCACCATCGTTGGTGAAGCCACACAGACTGTTGTCCTCAAAACCACACACACCCTGGGGGCTTACTGTAGCTGGAGGGGCGGGAATTTAGATGGTCACATTCTTCTGTATCCAGCTACATGTACCCACTGTACCCACTGGACAGTGCCCAGTGTTGCCCAGTGTTACCCTGGAAACGCTGTGTGAAAACTAGCCAACTGCTGCCCATCCCTGTGTCATTAGGGACCTCCACAGTAGCAGTAAAATTCAATACTGGATACTATTAGTAACTACAGGAACTACAATAAAAACTACTACTACCACTACTACTACTACTAACACTATTACTACTAGTACTACCACCACCAATACAACTACCAATATTACTGCTACTACTTATACTGCTACTACTAATACTACTACCACATACATCAAAGAAAACATACCTGCAAAGCATGATCCATCAGTCATTGTCACATCATCTATGGCAATGTCTCCTCTGAATCCATTCCCCCTGACACCTTCAAAGACAATCTGTAGAGGAGAAAAATCCAGTGTCATTTTTATTTTGCAAGCTCTGTACATCATTACCTTCGCCAAGAAGGTTATGTTTTCGTAGGCGTTCGTGTGTGTGTCTGTCTGTCTGTCTGTCTGTCTGTCTGTCTGTAAACACGATAACTTGGGAAGGCTTCAATGGATTGACTTCATATTTGGTAGGTGGGTAGGTCTTGATGAGACCTCGAAATGATTAGATTTTGGACTCCCTAGCGGCTTCTTATGGTACTGCAGCTGAACTTCCGGTTTTGATATCTCATGATCTAGACATGCTAGGGTCACGAAATTTGGATAGTAGGTAGGTCTTGTGCTGGGGAACAACTGACATAGGTTTGGGCCCCCTAGCGGTTTGCTCAGGAACTGCAGGGCCATTTCTTTGAAAATATTCATAAGAGGATAACTCAAGAACCGGAGGACGGATCTTCATGATTTTTGGTATGTAGGAAACTTAAGTGACGCTTGACATAATTATGCAACAATCATGCAAATCTGGACGTAATTTGCATAATTAATGAGGAAATTCTATAAATCAGCTGCATTACATTATAGGACTATTCAAGCTTGTGACATATGTAATTGAGAACGAGAGAAACACAGGAAGTTTTTGATTATGTAAATTAACTCTTAATTTGCATAATTAATAAGAAAAGTTATAATTCCATAATGGTAACTGCCTAGAATTTTATACTTGGGGTATTTGAAAGTTAAGTGAAGGTGAACATCATTAAACATAACTTATTCAAATAAGGACCTCATTTGCATAATTTATGAGGAAATGGTAGAATGGTTTTCTTTGTTAAGATAAGGCTGTCTTTTGTTGGAGAATATGATCAACTGATGCAAATGAGGATCCTATTTGCATAATCAGGAGGAATCATCTTTACTTTGTCTGTCATGAAGATTAACATCATTTGGCGAAGGTATGAGATCGTAGAACTCTAGTTAAAATTGAACTCTGTAGCAAAGATACAAGCTGTGACATACGTGTATGTGTATGGCAGTGCTTACATTGTACTGACTGTTGCTGGGGATGTCAACCTGCCCTTGATCCCACTGGTTCCCTTGTGTGCCAGACTTGGTCCAGATAGGCTGTCCCACCACTGGTCCAGTCTGTACATACACATTCAGACTGTCCACATGGTCTCCGTACATGTGGTACCAGAAGGTCAGGCACTTGGTGCCTGTGGGGCTGACCAGAGGGCTGACCAGACGAGCCTTGTCTCCCGTAACTTGCGGAGATGAGGTCTCGATAAACATGTAGAAACCACCTAGAAAAGTGTGGCACATACATCCAATCAGTCAATTGTTTAATGACCTCACAAAGTTTATTCTACTTTGAATTGAACCTTACAATGTGAACTGAAGTATGCCAAAATGCTGTAACATCATGCAACAGTCAATATTATAACAACAAATATTCATTAAAGGGGCATTATATAACATTTTGCAGTAAAAATTAAAGATGTTTCAAAAGTTATGATTGTCATTTACATCCACTTTAAAATATCTGTATTCTACTATTTCACATTTCTGACATTTAGAGTCAATGATATAACAGAAGGTACATGTGGCACCACCACAAACTAAACAGAATATAAACAAACATGATAGTGTGCTGTGTTTCCAGCTTTTAAGCACACTCACATAATTATGTCATATTGTGGCACCTCCACTTCATGAATGACATTTATTTGCGATGGAGACTATGGTTGATTCAACTTACTTTGTGAAGAAATGGCCAGAAAATTGCCTTTTTATATTGTGCTAAATAATGCAGCTTTAAACACAAATGAACATGTGACATAGGCATTAGGCACTCACTGCCTGAGGTGTGGTCTGTTGTTGGGCCGGTGTTCTGGCTTCCAGTCCCTCCATTCTGTCGGGTCCAGTCAAACTCATCATCAGTAGCCTGAATCCAGCCACACGTGTCAGTGTCAAAATCACAGTCAAAAGTGCCCGTTGCTGTAAAAATGAGTAAGAAATATGATCAATGACTTCTGTGTGGCAAATGTACATGTAATACCAACGTAACACACAATTGCAAGTAGCAAACTTACAAGCATTACTTCCAATAAAACATTATTCAGGTTCTAAGAGGCTGGGGACATTTGACCACTGTGTCTCTACTGGTACATGTATGTATCAGATGAAGACATTTTGCATTTGTCACTGGCATTTTCATATCTTCATACATTTCAAACTAAACCTATTATTTTTACTGTTAATAGTTATTGCTATACAAGAAAATAGACTTACTGGCTGATGTGGGTGCCAAGGTTGGAGACGTTGGTGGATTGGCATTAATGGGTTTTACTAATAAAGAAAAGGGCAAGAAACACTCAACATCTGAGTCATGACAGAATATACACTTTACCCAACATTAAAATCTGTAATATTGACATTTTTAAACAAACAGTCCACAGAAATAACCTGGAAGTGAGGTAAATTATCATAATCATCATGCCTCTGGATAGAATTAGAATTAAATCAAAATAAATCAAAATCAAAATTAAAATTAAAGGAATTATTCTTCAATTCATATCTCTTACCAGAATAATATCATGACAGCATGAACTAGAAGATGACTAAAAGTGTTTTACAAATAGATAAGTCTGCAAGTTTTGGGGTAAACATAAAGTTGTATAACATGACATTCTACACAATGCAAATTGCATAAAGTATATAATTTTTATAGGAATTTGACTTTTTAAGGTTCATCCAATCAGCTTGGGGCTGTGACATGTGACATTATGTTCTAGGATACTCACAGTTACATCCAGTGTCCAAAAAGGTGATATCATCAATGGCAATGTCACCAGTGTGGCTGAGCCCTCGCACAGCCTCAAACACAATCTATAACACAAACATGTATTGTATATAAATGCAGGACCACAGGAAGAATGTATGCTACCATGGATCCCAATAATATAAACTAAGAAAGTTCATTATACATCATCCTGATCATTGCCACCTACCCTATAGGAGTCCAGACTGGAGAACTCTAATTGTCCATCTAACCACTGGTCTCCTTGGTCACTGGACAGTTGCCAGAGGATCCGGTCAGGAAGGCCCTGTTCCTGAATCAGAACGTTCAGCGTGCCAATACCACTGCCGTACATGTGGTACCAGAACTTCATACATCTGGAACAAAATACAAAATGGTTAGTATACATAACAAAATGCAACAGATCTGTGTATGAATTCTACTTATATGTACCTATTGTCACAAGTTACACTGTACCAATATAATACAAATATGGTCTAATTGTCTAATTGTGACAGGCTGAACAAAAGTTTTATTAAACAGGAACTATGCAGCTCTAGATGCCTTACTGAAGAACGACTGCAGGATGATAAGTGATGGTTAGCTTAAGGAGTGAATCCACTTTTAATTAACTAATTGTTAACACAATGAACTTCTGGTTGCCACTGAAATGAGACAACAGGGCTAATTTTCTTGAGTTCTTTTCCCAGTATCTGCCAAGCTTTGGCAATCTTCATGACTAAGTTGTCTTTCTGATGCCATGAACTCACTTCTACATAATACAATGATTAATTTGTACTATGATGAGTTCCTGACTGATGTTAGATGCAAGACAAACCTGGTGGAGCCTGCCGTGGCTGGGAACTGCTCGCTCTGCCAGCGGGCATTCTGTCCGGGTTGGGTTGGTGCGGATGATTCAATGAACATGTACTTTCCTGGGACAAACATAAAAGTAACATTCAAGATATCAGGGAAGCAGCATTCATATTATGCTTTTTCAATGGCTGAGAGTGCAATATTAAATTAAATGTGCTTGTGCCATAAGACATTCAAATCAGGAAATGATGCCAAAGATTACAGACGATCATTCTGTCACATCAACCAAAAAATCTAATTGCTAATTCACATAAATTAAAATGTTCAGGAGGATTGAAAGGATTTGTATGGCCTAATAGCCAGTCTCAATATTCTGCACCCTCTATTTAAGCAGCAAACCTTCTATCCAAGGTCCAGTGAGGTCCAGTCTGATTTAGGGTCAGAATCCCTTACCTTGGTCTGAGCTGGTAGTGTGGTCGATGGACGGTCCTGTCCCGGTGCTGCCGGTGCTGCCGTATCCTTCTGTCCAGTCAAAATCATCCCCCACCTGAGTGTTGGACCACGTGCATGGACCACCTTCAAAGTCACAATTACCTGAACATGGAAGAAGCAAACATGTATGGGGTCGTGTGGCAAAGTGGCAGAGTGCTCGACTCGGAACCAAGAGGTCCCGGGTTCGTGTCCTGACATGCCACCGATCTTGTGTCCTTGGGAAAGGCACTTTACACGACTTTCCTCACTTAACTCAAGCGAAAATGAGTATTGTCCTGTCCTGTATTTGTACTCTGTGTTGGTGGCGGCATAAGATAAGTTGATATAACTTGAGTGTGCCATCGCCATGATTGGTCATGAATTGTTGGAATAAAAAAAACATTTGGCAATCAAACTATAAAACTCTTTTTAGAATACTAAATTATGTTAATTTACAAGTTTTTCATCCTACATCCTTCTTTGGGTGTAAATGACCCAATCAATTCAATATTGATTGGGTCTATATCATAATATGTATAATAGGAACTGATATAAAAATTGTCTTAATCTATCCAGTTGCTTGAGTAACAGTTACCTTGGAATACTCAGAAAAATACCCAGAAAAATATAAATATACACATTGGTGGCAAAGAACCCTCAATAGAAACAGAAATATTGTTACCTGAAGAAGCACCAATGCACCTCTGATTGAGGTAGCTGACATCATCCAGGGAAATGTCGCCACGGAAACTGTTTCCACGGATACCCTCAAACATGAAGTAGGTGTCAATGCTGGGGACAACTCCCCACTGCATGACTGACCATTGGTTACCCTGGTCACCTGACACCTCCCACACAATACGTGGTTGTTCCGTTCCACGTACCTGTATATCAAAAAATATTTGTGATACAAGTATACCAAAAATGACAAACCGATGTAAAAAGCTATAAAACGAATCGGACACAAAAATTCTAGCATTGATTGAGGTTTAATAGATTTGTAGAGTGTAAGTTGTTGTCATCAAGCACAAAAGAATCATCTTAACTAAATATCTTAAAATGACACTACAAGTTGGAGTTAGAGATGCAAAGATTAGATGTAACAGGTTGTTTGATGAAATCTATTTTGACACAATATAGGTACAAGTAACTACAACAACTTTCAGGATGTCTTCTGCGACTGTAATAGAGCTAGCTGCTATTGTACATTGTATGTGGCAAAGGTGTTGTGTTATACTGAAGGACATAAATACCAGTGGACCAAAACAAATACAAACCTCCCACAACCGGAGTGTGCCGATATCTGCGCCGTACATGTGATAGTAGAATTGCAGGCAGTGTTGGCGGTTGTCCCCGGTAACAGTGGGTGTCATCAGGACAGCGATGTCACCAGGCTGCCGTGGTGAGGAAGTCTCGATGTACATGTAATGTCCTGGGTGAAAACAAGATGTGATTTCAAGAAAAGCAGACATAATTTATTAAGTGAACATTAGAAGGGTAAAGAAATGATTGTGTAAATGGCCGGCTACTACTTTGATATATAGCTTTTTAAGCTTGTTGATTTGTTATTTCATCTAAGTTTTGTCTTTACAACATCTAAGTTATCAGCTTAATGGAATAAGTTGATGTGTAACTGACCGGCTGAAGTGCCCAAAGTGTGGTCATTCTGAGGTCCAGTGTTACTGGTGCCAGTTGATCCAGTCTGCCATGTCCAGTCAAACTGGTCATCAGTCTTCTGTACATACCCACAAAGTGTACTGTCCTCAAAATCACAGTTTATCCCATAGGTGGTGCCTGGAAAAAAGTTGACATGTGTAATTAGCCTTTTGTTCATTTTTCTGTGACTGCCGTTTTATAGCCTTTTACTTTGAATGTTAAAATTGCCCAGATGAAGACGACAGAGAGGTTATCAAAATATCGGCACAGTAAAACATATATGTGTATAGTAACTGTTATGGATCTAAGAAAACTATGTTGAAGTGTCTTCATAAGTAGATTAGTCTCCTAGAATTGTTGATATTAGCAATACATGTAGTACAACTTCCAGGTACATACAAGTTGCCATTCATTGTACCTGCTACGATTGTCGTGGAATTATAAGTTTCTTCAGAATCTTTCCTTCTACATCTAAAGCAGTCTCTAATACAAAATCCCCTCATATAAGGTAATCCTGCACATCTTAAAGCTTTAATTAGCAGATTTTTGTTGCTAAAATACCTGTGGTACAAGGGCCTGTGGACATGGTGATGTCATCCAGAGCAATGTCTCCTCGATAGCCTGTACCACGGATACCCTCCATTACAACCTAGTGAAAGGATGGGAAAGTTCAATCAGATATGGATATTTCATATTAGAAGGTGTTCAAAAATACAATTCTAATCTATAGACAGTACTCTAGGGGAACAAAGCTTATACTGACCATATGCAGTGGTAAACTAAATCATTCTTTGTTTGCAAATAAGACATTAAGCCCAGGTCACGTTGGCCATAACAGACGGAACATGCAGGGAAACATTCTAACATTGCGATACAATACATCAAGACAAATATTGCACAGTTTTCCTTAAAGTAGAGTCACTTATACAACATGTATGTAGAACATGTAAGAGAGCTTAGTTGTTTTGCGAAAGAAAAAAATAGAGAATTTGCAATTCCAAATGTGACCTCATAATGTCACTTGAATCTAACATTGCAGTGGAAACTCCATGAGTAGTACAACATACCTGGTAAGGACTGGTGGTGTTCACTTCTACTTCAGCCCGTACCCACTGGTCGCCCTGTGTGCCTGTTCTCTGGAAGGTGGGGATGGTCGGCAGAGCGGGGCCTGTCTGGATGTACACGTTCAGTGTCTCAATGTGCTCGCCGTACATGTGGTACCAGAACTGCAGGCACATCGTGGATGTAGGGACAACTGTGGGACTGTACAGTCGTGCCTTGTCCCCGGTGACTTGAGGGCTGGAGGTCTCGATGAAGATGTAGTAGCCAGTTTGGTCTGATGAACAGAAATATTTTATGATCTAATTACAGTGAATCTTTAACCTTCTTGAAGCAGTTAACAGGTACAAAATAAAAATAAGTACCATTAGATGAATACTTACGGTTTTATTTTGTACGGTTTTATTGTATCATGACGAAAAATATTTTGTTCTGATGTAAGTAGACATATAATCATCAGCTTGAAGACTAGTCTATCAAACCACCTGTCATAAATGTTACAACCCCTGCAATATGGAGCACCTACCTCCCACTGTGTGGTCAAAGGATGGTCCAGTGTTGGTGGAGCCTGTTGTTCCGAGTTGTCGTGTCCAGTCAAAGTTGTCCTGTGTGTCCTGAGTCCAACCACAGAAGTCTGTCTCAAAGGTACAGTCAAACAAACCTGGAGCTGGAGATACAAAAGTGTTGTTAGCAGCAAGCCAATTAATATGGGTCTGAGCAGAGCATATTTGCCTGTGTATATATGCACCAAGGACAGGCATACTTGCCTGTGTATATATATATGGTGTTCAGCACCAAGGACAGGCATACTTGCCTGTGTATATATATAGATATGGTGTTCAGCACCAAGGACAGGCAAGTATGCCTGTGTATATATGGTGTTCAGCACCAAGGACAAGTATACTTGCCTGTGTATAGATGGTGTTCAGCACCAAGGACAGGCATACTTGCCTGTGTGTGTGGATGGTGTTCAGTACCAAGGACAGGCTATAAGATTACACACAAAATTCAAGATTTGGGGATTTGAAACAAAGTGTGAAAACCATTGCTGGTGATTATGATTTATGGTCTTTCACAAAATGTCATAACTTATGACTACAGCCTATATGAAAATAACCTATAGCCTATTTTGACTAGATATCAAAATCTTCTTAGAAATGCTGTGTGTAATATGTTATAATCATAACATAGTCATAAAATATAAATCCTACATTGTATTTTTCAATCATATATAAAATGTACAAGTATTAGAGCAAAAATGCATTATGTACAAAATGATTGACTAAAGCTGACTTTAAACTGAATTTCCACAGTGTCCATCAGTTCTACTAGCAAGTACTGTTATTACAAAGTTTAACATGTTCATTAGTTACCTGTTGTTACTGCAGCAATGGTTGTCGTTGGCAATGTTGATGTTGAAGGTACTGCATCTGCAGGACTCACTGGAAGGTAAAGATAGAAGCATAAAAACAGACTCTAAACTCAGGGGCATTAAACTTTGACCTTAGATCTTACATAGCATGACCTCTGACCCTTGTGACCCATAGGTTATCCTTGTTGTATAGACATATATGGATAGCCATGTGGCTCCCTCGAGAAATCGTTCAGAAATTGTTCAGATGCGCTTGAGGAACCACACAGCTATCCAATAAGGATGACCTCTGGGTCACAGGGGTCAGGGGTCATGCTACGTGAATCTAATTATAATAAATGATTTACAGTCTCGCCCAAATACAAATTGTCACTCTGTAAACTGGGTCACAACTTACAATTGCAGCTTGTGTCAACAAAGGTGACATCATCTATGGCAATGTCTCCACGGTGGGACTGTCCTCGAACACCCTCCAAGATAATCTGGAGCAAACACAAGGAATGGTGATAAGAAGCCGACATTTGCAGTTAGCAGATGCAAAATATTTTTTTTTTTTTGTTCTTTGCCATAATGGAGGAAAGCTGCAAATGCTAAACTTATATCACACTCTGTACATGATAGTCAAATTAAGTCAAGCAACTGGATACATTCTATGGATGCTATCTGAAACGTCTGATTCTTTAGAGAACTTCTCCAGTTGGATGATCTATTTTGTATTATTAGTATTTAATGTTGTACTTGGATGTCTACATGTGACTTTTATTGACCTATACATATACATCTGACTGGCTAATTAGTATAAGCAATAGCCTGTACCGTGTAGTCATTGTTGCTGTTGATGCCAACTTGTGCGTTAAGCCACTGGTCACCCTTGTCTCCTGACAGCTCCCAGATTGGCTGCTCTGCCTGACCCTGGGCCTGACAAGAGAAATTAACAATTAGAAGTGTGGCTATGTTTATTTTCAAAAAGGTTCATACATGTCCCTATTTCGTTAAAAACTTTCGTTAAAGAGTTATCACACTAGTAACAAATGCCAAACCTTTACATGATAACATTCAGGAAAATACAATATGTCATCATACATGTATGTTCCAACAATAACCCCATGTCAAAACGTTTGGCTGTCCCCAATATGCCATCCAGTCAGTTCTGTACCTCCAAAAACATCCTGATTTTTCCATTGTCAGTTCCAACTTGCATCTGACTTTTGTTCTTCTCTGAAAGTTTCTTCAACAAGGTAAACTGACTACAATCCTCCTCAGACTCCATTTTTATACGTCTGGTAGCATTGAATTGTAAAAATTAGAGAACCACAAAAATCAACTGGTGTGACGGTAGAAAAAAAGTTCCTTCTTAAACTTCAAACCACAAATACTCAAGGTCGTCCGGAAGTGATTGTGATATCAAAATGCCATCCACAGTGAGTTCTGTACCTTCAGGAAGACCCTGAGCGTCCCAATGTCAGCTCCATTCATGTGGTACCAGAACCTGAGGCAGCGGCCGGAGCTGGACACTGGCGGGAACAACTCACTGACCAGCCGAGCACGCTCACCAGGCTGCCGGGGACTGGACGCCTCCAGAAACATGTAAAAACCTGGGGAAAATTTCAGGTTCATGTTAGATACACTCATGTGTTTAATATATAGTACTTAGTGTGAAATGATTGTTAACCTTCTTCCTGCTGTCTAAACCTGTAATGAATAGATATTTGGTGGCAAGTGGCTACCTTAGGAAGCTGAAGGTTAAAGCAGTGTGTAGATAGGTATTTGCACCAAAAACAGTTACTCAAGCAACTGGATCTGATTTTGGAAATGGTCAGATTGAGTTGAGTATTTGGTTCTTTGAAATTTGGAAAAAGGACTTTCCAACTTGAAATGAGCCAGTATTGAACAAAATGGGTGTGGCATGGCAGAAACATTGATGACAGATTGCTTCAATAATCATTAGACATGCATTTGAGCGTGGCTTTACCCTCAATCTTCCCCTATTTCTGATAGTATTCAACAAAGGAAAATTAAAATAGTGCGCCCACCTGTCTGATCCCCCAGAGTGTGGTCTGCAGAGGGTCCTGTTCCTGTACTAGCGGTGGATCCACTACCCTCGATCCAGTCAAACTCATCATTGGTCTGGTCATTGGACCAGGTACACAGCCTGTTCCCAGCAGTCTCAAAATTACAGTTTCCTGGCAAGATGAAAGAGAACATATGTAGTATGTCTGACAATCTTTGTATGATCCCAAACTGAATAAGTCGAGCATGCGTCATACAACATTCAGCTGTGCTAGTGACGTTTTGACTAAGTGTATTGTTACAGTTACAGGCAGCAGGAAATTGTGCAATGTAAGCTAACACACAAGAGGAAGTGATTCATCTGACTAAGATAAGAAAAGGGCTTTAAATTGTTTAATAGGGAAGAGCTTTGTTACCTGAATGCTACATGCAGCATGTAGTTGGGAAGACGAGAAACTAAACATCAGACCTCGTAAAAATGTATTTACTAAATCTCAAAATATTTATTAAATTTAGATTTACCAGTAAGGAAAATTTCGGGATAAAAAAAATCTTATTTCATTGAAGCATGGAAGGTCTCACTGCTCAGAGGGGAGTGTTATGACCCATTGTATAACAGAGAACCTTTTCCACAAAAGAAAACATCAGATGTGTTAGATTCAAGTAGTAAAAGGCTACAGGCACCAGCCTAAAGTGCTCTGCTCAGTCCAAAAATGTTCTAAGCTTCTGAGGCCATACCAGGGCGAGGACAAGATCCTGGTACAATGTTGACATCATCGATGGCGATGTCCCCTCTCACTCCTGTCCCCAGCACTCCCTCAAACACCACCTGGTACGCTGCATCAACTGGCAGGTCAACCTGGACAGGAAATTTTTTATTTTTTTAATTACGGCTCTTGGTGGCAAATGTGCAGATGTTGTCACATTGGTACACCAAATTCGAAATGTGTTTTTGAATGAATAAAGGAAGTAATAAATGTTACCTGTGCACGGTTCCACTGGTTCCCCTGGTCAGCTGACATAAACCACAATGCATTGCTCATGGTGCTACCTGTCCTGGCATAGACATTCAGGGTACCTGGGAACACAGAACAGACATCATTTTTCATGAGGCTTGAGCAATGAAAAAGGTTTGTTAAAGGATGGGATAGTTCACAAGGCAGTTACATTTATTGTAACAGAAGCAGAAATTACTGTGGAAGAGACTGATGTTGAGTGCTTCCATGGACCCCAACTCTTAAAGATGAGGATGTGGTAGCAATTACAAAATTTCACTAAAAAAAAGTAAAAAGGTAACATTTTCAAAGCAAATACACACTGTTTACATTCATATGTGGTCTGCTCTGTTAATTCTTACTCAAACACATTTCATATATATATGGTCAGACAGGAGTCTAAATCCCTCCTGCTATAAAATTGCAACATGATGTAACCCAACACCATGATGGTGACAGATGTCTGGTTCAGGTCATTGACCTTATGTGTTTGGAGAAGAGAAAACTGAGCAAAAACAATATGTTTTCCTTTGCTAAACATAAATATGCAAGCCAACAAGCCAACAAACTGACCTATTTGATTGCCGTACATGTGGTACCAGAAGTCCAGACACTGTCCGATGGAGTTGTTCAGGTACAGGTGAGACGTCAGACGAGCCACGTCACCTGGACTTTGTGGGCTGGAGGCCTCCGTGTACATGTAATGTCCTACAAACAACATTGTCATTTTCACAACTTAATGGTACAACCATTTTACAAGGTACTGCATATGACATCTACTGGTTTTCTTTGACCATTCTTCATTCATGAGAAGCTCAAATTGGCCTTGTCTCTTATATTGTACATAATAAACCAAGTAGCTGGTTAAATTTTCATAGAGTCCAGGCTTTTCATAATGCATCTAATACTTTCAACAGTGACTGAGGTGGATGCTACTAGTATCTAAAATTTCTTTTTTTATAGAATTTATCTTGGACCAGTTCTTTGATTTATTTTGTATTATGTAGTACTTGCTCCTAGATGTCTATTCTTTCATTGACGTATGTAATGTATGCTTCTAGGTAAAGCCTAGGACAGCCCTTTACAATTATCTCTTGGTATTATAAGAGTAGGGCACAAGGTAAGTAAGACAAAATGTTAAAAGTTACAGTGTGCATCTGCATACAATGTACACTTACCTGCTGAAGTTCCGTAGGTGTGGTCCACAGCAGGCCCAGTGCTCCCAGAAGTGGTACCACCGTTGTCCCATCTCCAGTTGAAGTCATCACTTTGATCTTGGGTGTACATGCAGATCACGTCCAGCTCAAAGTCACACAGGGTAGGAGTAACTGCAACAAACCAGACATTCTTACTTAAAACCAAAAATTCTAAGTAAGGTCAACATTTTGTCAGTCTGTCTGCTGTCTTTCTCGGAGCATTATGAAGTGAAATAAATGAGCTACACAGCTCTACTAGTGCATTTGCATAGGTCATTAGTGCATTGAAATTGTTGGAACAAGTAAAAAGAAAATTGTAACTAGAAAGGTAAAATTGGCAAAGCAAATGCATAATGTTTACCTTCACAATTGGTCTAACCCAACAAACTACTGCTCTGTTTATTGTTACTCAAACACATTCATATTATAATATTTGGTGAGCAGCCACTGTAGCTCTGTCCTCCTATGGTATGTAACCCAACACCACAGGCTGTCTGCTACAATGCTAGTTACCATGGTGACAGACATCTGGTCCAGATTATGGACTTTATATTTTTGGAGACAAAGAAGAAGAAGAGGATGAAACAGAACCAAAAACAATATGTTTTCCTTCTGTGATAACATAGTATATTGAACTACCGACCTGAAAACCACCCTTACTTCCTGATGGATCTCTTACCTGGACCGGAGGGGCAGGGTCCATTGGATATTGTCACATCATCAATGGCAATGTCACCTCTCACCCCAGCGCCAATTATGCCCTCAAAGACCAGCTGGTAGTTGCTGGTTGTTGTGACATCCACCATGGCAAAGTGCCACTGATCATCCTGATTTCCTGTCCGCGTCCATACAGCGTTACCTAGAGATGCCCCGACCTGTGCATAGACATTCAGCGTCCCTGCAAGACAAGACAGAGTTTGTATATCAGTATAGCCGGTATAACCAGCTTTAGTTAGCTACAGTTCTGCTGAAGTTCTGTTGCAGGTTATGTTTGTGTGGGTGGTGTTCAGTACCAGGGACAGGTCATATTTGTGTGGATTGTGGTCAGTACCAGAGACAGGTCATATTTGTGTGGATTGTGGTCAGTACCACAGACTTTTCATGATTCTGTGAATGGTAGTCAGTACCAAGGACAGGTCCTGTTTTTGTGGATGGTCTTCAGTACCACAGACAAGCCATGTTTGTGTGGATGGTGTTCAGCACCAAGGACAGGTTCTGTTTGTGCGGTTGATGTTCAGTACCAGGGACAGTTTATGCTTGTTTGGATGGTGTCATTTTTGCAGATGGTGTGCAGTACAAGAGTTCAAGTTTGTGTGGATGGTCTTCAGTACCAGGGACAAGTTCATATTTGTGTGGATGGTGTTCTGGACCAGGGGCAAGCCATTTTTGTGTGGATGGTGTTCAGTACCAGGGACAGTCCATGTTTCTTTAGATGGTGTTCAGTACCTGGGGAAGGTCATGCTTGTGTTGATGGTTTTCAGTACCAGGAAAACCTGAACCAGAAAAAAGGTCATTTTTTTATGGTATTCAGTACCAGGGACAGGTCATGCTTGTGTAGATGGTTTTCAGCACCAAGAACAGGTTAACATGGTGTTCAGCATGATGTTTTTTTTAGCTAAAAGTCTTTCTTACTGGTGCAATCCTAAACCTAGGAAACCACTGAGAAGTGCAGAACTCACCAATCTGTGTTCCATACATGTGGTAGTAGAACTGCAGACATTGCCCACTGGGGTCAGCAGTCTGCTGGGGGGACAACAGACGAGCCACGTCTCCCTGCTGTTTGCCAGAAGCCTCCGTATACATGTAATTCCCTGGGAATAAAAGTAAACATGTTGCTTACGAAAATGGCTTCATCTAATTGGTAAAGCATGGGGTATTAGGGTTTCTTTTTACACAATTGGTATAGCCTCTCTCCTGCAAATGCAATTTGATGTCTATCAGACTCTGAGCTTCTGATTGGAGTACCGGTTCTTGACGCTATATGTAGCCACTATATGTGTCTGAAGAGCATACACCTTCATACAGTAGCACTTGCCTCAATGCAAAAGGCATTTTTTATAGCCTTATAATGTCAAAAATTTTCCTTAACCTTTTGGCTGACAATTAACTGACATGATAAAAATTCTTAAAACATATTGAAGATACCTTTGATGCAAAAGATGGTAAGTGACAAAAGTGCAAAACCTATGAACATAATAATTATACAATACAATGTAGCATAAACTTCAAGGTCTTTCCTTAATATCAATAGTGTAGGGATTACCATATTATGAACTTGTGGGATCAAGTGTTAAACAGACAAACCTGTGCCAAGTGTGTGGTCCTGGGAGGGTCCGGTACTACCCGAACCAGTGCCACCAGTTTTTCTGGTCCAGTCAAAGTCGTCGGTGGTGTCCTGAGTGTAGCTGCAAATGTCAGCTGCCTCAAAGTCACAGGTGGTGCCAGGTGTCACTGGGGAAGTAGCATACAACAAACATTAGTCCTAACTATGAAAACAGTGTTGTGACATCTGTATTAAATATATAACGTTATACAACCAATGTAGATAATAAGAAATTAATATGTAGAATGATACATATTAAAGAAGCCAAGTTTATACAATATGGTGACTGCCAAGAATCATGGAATTGTTAGTCTTATAATCACTAGTGATGTATATAGGCCTTAGCTCTTACCTCACAGGATATCCCCCTAATATTACGCTTCCTCAATACAGCATGTATTGCATTATTTTGTATGGGGCTGGCAGCCATGTGTATGGGAGAGGTTCAGGCATAAGGGTCTAGTGTCAGACCTCTGTACAGTTACCATTTTGAAGAACTCAACAAATTAATCGAAGTAGTAGGGGTGACCTAGGGTGCTTGACTGAAACACAAGCCATGGTGAAGCCTTATTGCCCTTGTCTACATGTAACAGCTACTGAAAAAGCTTCATGCTTCACCATAATTGATGATGACTTAAAAAGAGAAATCTGTATGATATGTAAAATAGGCAACATACCTGGTGCATTGCACAGTCCTTCTGTGAGAGTCACGTCATCCACAGCGATGTCACTCCTTATATCTGACCCGCGCACTGCCTCAAACACAATCTGTACATACAAGAGAACAAAATAACTGATAGGCAAAGACTGTGTGAAGGCAAATCTGCCTAACTAGGTTATAATTGATAAAAAGATTAAAACCTTCCAATTCCTGAACAAAACATGTGATTCCATTATATATATTCAAATCGAAAAAGGTCGACACCACAACACACCAGCCACTCAGAAACATGTAATGAGAGTATTAAAGATGAATTTCACTTTGCTATGACTTGTCCCACATATAGTAAAGAAAGAGATACATTGTTACAGACTATTACCACAAAGACAAAGTTCACCCAATCTGGTACACAGTACGATACATTCCATGAATTATTGTCATGTCCAACTACCATATCTGCTTACGTAGGCCAATTTCTGTACACTTTATTTCATAAGCAAGACCATATCATCAATACATGAACATATTGTAACTCATATACTGTATAGATAGCAGTTTGTAGTAAGAAGTGTAATAATATAGTTTAGCTTTGTAGTATTGTTACAGTTGTATTTCTGCCACACATTGTACCATGTACGATTGTCGAGCAATAAAGTTAATTCATTCATTCTAGATTCACAAATCCTCTTGCTAAAATTTTACACAAAAAACGTCTGAGAATCGACAAATTTGAAATGAGATGTAATGCTTACATTATACTGCAAATTGTAGATGTCTATCGCGGCCTCCCTCCACTGGTTGCCTTGGTTACCGCTCCGTGTCCACACAGCGTTGCTGGGCAGGGCGGGGCCAGTCTGGATGTACACGTTGAGACTGCCCATGGTGTTGCCCCACATGTGGTACCAGAAGCGGAAACACTTCGGGCGTGTTGCCGTGATGTCAGGACTGGAGACCTGGGCGATGTCACCCGGGCTCTTGCTTGAGGCTTCAGTGTAAAGGTAGTACCCCTGGCTTGCTGTGGGGGGGCAGAGGGAAAAGAAGAGCCTCAGTTTTAAAATGTGTTTTAGTCCTGCAATCTCAGTTTGTTCTAGTCAAGGGCTTTGAGCTAGGAGATGCCTAGGCAAGCTACAATGTAAGTCCCCTTGCTAATCATCTAGTACCAAAATCTTACATGTGCCCGCTCTCCAAGTAACATGTGTCATCTGCATAACATGATGTCACAGAAGCGGTGGATTGTTCATTCTTTGACAAAGACTGGACATTTGCAATCAAAAATTTTGACAAAAGTCCAATGTGTTGGAACTTGCTTCATGTGATTTCTTTCTTGGCTGTATCTAGAGGTCTGGTTATTCAATCAATTTGCAATGATGTAGTGACATGGACTATACGTCAATTTTTGTTACTTGTTTTTGTGATAACATGTATGTGTAAGAATTCCATTTATATGTTTGTGGATTTATCAAGACTTCAATCATGCAATCTGTGTCTTTGTTATATTTTGTGTGACCCTTATACCTCCTTATACTCGTGACCTCAAGGAAAAGTGTATTGGACGGATCTAAGCTAATCTTGTTAATACATTAAAACATTCAAACAAAACAGAATACATTATCCCTCTCAGTTTGACTGAAGTGTACTTACTCCCCACAGTGTGGTCTGTAGCAGGTCCAGTATTGGCAGAAGGTGTGCCGCTGTTGTCACGTGACCAATCAAAGTCATCGCCCGTCGCCTGTGTCCAGCCGCACACGCCCACTTCAAAGTTACAGTCCACGCCACCTGGAGCTGTGGAAAATATTGTATCGTTAGGAATCCCATGTTGATTTAATGATGGCCAAGCCTAATCCAATTAATAACAAGCCACCAGGGGGCCATCTATTTCGAGGTCTCATCAAGGCCAGCTGCAGTGTACCCATCTACCAAATGTCAACACAATATGTCTAAACCTTCTCGAGTTTTCACACACACACACACACACACACACACACACACACACACACACACACACAGACATAAACACAAATGATACTGACAACTAAGACATTCTACATGTACTATTAGAAAGATTCCTGTTTTTAAAAAGATTCCAAATATTCACATTTAACTTTTCTGTTTGGTACTTGCTTTACAGTTCACGGGTATTATAAAATGTCTTTTTGAATTAAATTAATATAATAAATACATGTATATGTAGATTTAAACCTTTTCATCATCAAACCTTGACTTCTTATAAACAAGGCTTACCATTGGTTGGAACTGTGGGTACAAGGGTTGTCCCAGGCAACGTGATTGGTCCAGCAGTTGTTGCTCCAGCTGGAGCGGCATTGGCTGGGAGAACTGAACATGGCCCTGCTGTGAAAGCTACGTCGTCCAGCGAAATGTCACTACGGAAATTAGTACCAATCTCACCCTCGATGAGTACCTATGGAGGAGCAACATTTTGACGTTAAAGTAAGAGATCGGATTCCGTGAATAGTTTCATCAGGTTGGTAAGTCACTGAGTAAAGAGACTCTTTTTTACACAACCAAGTGTTTCATTCACAGCAAACGTTTTGGTGACCGTCTGTCACCTTCCTCAGGGCAATTCTGACTGGTTCACATTGCACAGCAGCACGGGTGTTGCTGCTATAGATGCATTCCCAAAGGTGAAATATTTACATATCTACACAGAATTGCCCTGAGGAAGGTGACAGACGGTCACCAAAACATCGGCTGTAAATAAAACACTTGGTTGTGAAGAAAAGACTCTCTTTACCCAAGAGATGTACATGTATTTCAAATGGAATACCATCAACCCGGCATACTGTGACTGATATATGACTTCCATTGTGAAAAGTACCCATGCAGAAAATTGATGTGGAAAAACTTACTACTAATAGCATTCTGCCAGGTAACATATAACATATGATTAACAGTTATCTGCCACCCTGAAAAATATGTCTGAAGAGATCTCCAATGCCATAGCTTGCATTCCAAAAAAAAGCTCATTATTTCTTAACTTCATATTCAGCACAAAGGACAGGGACAGTATCATAGTCTATTGGTCTATACCTACTGGATATCTTCACTGTGAGATAATACAGCTGATAATGTAGTCCAGACCTGCATTACCTACTGTACATGACTTAGTAGGGAGTGTTCCAATACAGATCTCTCAATTACACTGTTTTCTGTAGTGACAGATACACAAATAACCGTTCAGATAAATGTCAATGGATGTTGCATTATAAAATATAATTTTTTGTGATAAAGATTCAGACAGTACCTGATAGTCCCCTGCTTCCCCCACACTGACTTGGCCATTTCTCCACTGGTTGCCTTGGTCACCAGTCAGAGCCCACCTTACAGTGTCCACACCGTTGATTTGTGTTCGAACCCTGAGCGCGCCCGTTCCCGTACCGTACATGTGGTACCAGAAGGACAGGCATTGGCTGGTGCCAGCAGAGCCGGAGAAGGTCTGGCTGACGAGATGTGCCCGCTCACCCTGTACTCTTGGAGACGATGATTCGATGTAATAGTATTGTCCTGAAACATGACATTGTCAATCAGTTACCATGTACTTACTAAGTGTCCTAAGCTATTCCTTTAAGCTCTAAGCTATTTGAGTGGTGGACATACATGACTGGATTTATAAGTATTACTCTTACTGGTAAAAATCAAATTGAATGTAAAAAAAGATCTCTAATACACAGTTCCACTGCTACCAAAACGATTTGTTTTGTCTAGTACTTAGAAACATCATAATGAAACATGTATTTGTATTTTGACTCATACATTTTGACTCATGTATTTTGAAACAATCACATATATCTATTAAGTAAGTAACGTTAAGTATACAATTGTGTGTATAAAAACTAAACAAATGTACATATAGGTAGTATATGGCATGTTAGCAAGATGTAGTAGACCACACAATATAGCCATAGTTATAGCCTAACTTTTTTTGCATCTGATCTATAACTTGCAGCCAGAATATTACACTGCCATTTCTTCCCTACACAAATGTACTTTGTGTTTTTGATCATCTTTTGTTCATTACAGCAAATCACTGGTCTTACCCTGTGCATTGCCCAGTGTGTGGTCAGCATCAGGTCCAGTACCAGAGCTCCCCGTGTTTCCAGTGTTCAGGACCCAGTCAAAGTCATCCCCCTGCTGAGCATTTGTCCAGGTGCACAAGTCTGTCTCAAAGTCACAGTTCCCATCTGTACATATCATATAAGAAATATACAAATCAGAGATTTCAGACTCCCAGAATGTATGCAATCCACAGCTTCCTGACTTCCGTCAAGTCAACATCTTACACTCAATTGTACATATAACTTGTGTTACAAAAATTCTGTATCTGTATTGGTATAGACGGTACAACTGCCCTTAAGCGTAACACACCAGCTTGTATCACTTATCCTGTTAATAAAATATGATCCTCCCACAAAGATTAATTAATTGAGCACTGGAGAAAGATTAAAACATTGTATTGGCATTGAAACAAGGTTCATTTTTTATCTAAGATTCTCAAAGAAGCATGGGTAATACTATATACAATACCTATTTCTGTCATCATCGAAGACCACAGGTCTTGACCTTAAAATTATCTTTTTACCTGATGTTGTACAGTTTAAGTGTGCCACCCTATAAGAGACAGTGATTGAAAGATGACATACCAGCTCCCTGACAGGGTCCAGCACTTAGTGCCACATCGTCAATGGCGATGTCGCCTCTGTAGTTCGCCCCTCGTACACCTTCAAACACAATCTGGTATAACAACAGAATAACGGGTGTTACGTATATACATAACGTATCCAGGAAAGAAAGAAAGAAAGACTTGTTAAGACAGGAAAATGAGGCTGGAAACAAGAAGGAAAGGGAGATAACTTACATGTAGAACAAAAATAGAAAAAGACAGAGAAAGGGGGAAAGAAAGAAAAACAGCTGATTGCTAAGAAAAAAGAAACTAAGAACTAAAAGTAAATTTATAGAAAAACATATAGCTCATATGCAAGCCCCCTTATACAGTGAAAGTCCCTGCTTACCTGGAAGTCTCCTGTAGTAGAAACTGTGACACGAGCAATAGTCCACTGGTTCCCCTGCTCTCCAGACAGAGTCCATATCGGGAAGCCACGGTTCCCTGCCACACTAGCGTACACATTCAGCGTGCCGATGTCGGCGCCCATCATGTGATAGTAGAACTCCAGACACTGCCCGCTGGTCTGAGGGTAGGTGGGAGAGCTGAGTCTGGCAACGTCACCAGGCACACGGGGGCTGGACGTCTCTGTGTACAGATAGTGTCCTGGGGATGGGAACAGAATGATACTGTGTATCTACATTGTCTGTATAGCCACATTTTATGTATACACTGTAACTTGATCATGTATTCATGTATATATAAAAACTATTTATTTGTTCTGACCTGTACTTATCCCACAAGGTATGTACATGTATGTACAATAAAGGCCTTCATTCATTCATTCATTATTCAATATGCAACTTGACTCTTCAGCTGGGAGGAGACAGTCATCGTCGAATTGATCTCACATCGGTACTGATCAGCCTTGGAGCTGATGGTACAATGTAGGACAGATCATCAGCACCCAGACTCACCAGTACTGACATGAGGACACATCATCAGCACCCAGACTCACCAGTACTGACATGAGCAGGACACATCATCAGCACCCAGACTCACCAGTACTGACATGAGCAGGACACACCATCAGCACCCCGACTCACCAGTACTGACATGAGCAGGACACACCATCAGCACCCAGACTCACCAGTATTGACATGAGCAGGACACATCATCAGCACCCAGACTCACCAGTACTGACATGAGCAGGACACACCATCAGCACCCAGACTCACCAGTACTGACATGAGCAGGACACAACATCAGCATCTAGACTCACCAGTACTGACATGAGGACACATCATCAGCAGATAATCTATTAGTTATCTTGGTGACATATCATGGGGTTTTATCATGGTCTGTTGTTATTTGGGTATGTTACTATGGTAACCTGATGGTTGCTAGGGTTACCTGCTGATGTCCCATAGGTGTGGTCGTTGCCAGGTCCTGTGCCAGACGTGGCCGTGCTGGAGCTCTGCCAGGTCCAGTCGAAGTCATCGTCTGTGTCCTGCGCGTAGCCGCACAACACGACGTCCTCAAAGTCACACTGGAGACCACCGGGTGGCACGCTGGGACCTACCACTATTGGAGGGGGAGTGCTGTCAGATTCTTCACACAAGGTACACTTCACACAAAGAAGGACGACTTTAACATTTCATAGCAACAACCCTGTAGAAAAGAAATTAAATAATGGATATGGCCTAAGTTATCTGGGAGAGAGAATACCTTGTGCGCATGCCCCATCTGTGAGAGTGACGTCATCCACAGCTATGTCTCCACGGAAACTGGTGCCACGAACACCTTCCAGGACAACCTGAGGACAACAACTTTGCTTTTAAAGGCATCCAATACAATTTCTGGGTGGCAATACGAAATATTCTGGATTATAAAATCTGCCTGATATTGGCTGCATTTTCGACACTTTTTAATATTTGAAGCATTGGAAATAGCCCCAAAACAAGCGTCATGTAAATGAGGAGCTAAAACCAGCCTATGATAGGAACCAAGCGGAGGTTAAAAATCCAGTTTAGCCATCCTAAAATTTTCATCAACACAGGTATTATTGTAAAATATTCACATTTGCATTTCATCGAGCCAAAGTGTTTAATCTGTCGATTCAGACGTCATTTCAACTTGTATTAATGAGTCTACCATGAATGATGTATGTTATTGTAAACAAGCATCGAAATTCAGCCTTGTACGTCATGGCTGCCAGTCATGCTGTTGTTGATACAAATAAACCAATAAACAACAAAAACAACAACAACAACATTAGATGCCCCGCTCACCTGTCCCTGTCCCGCGGAAATGTAAACAAGCATACAAATTTCAGCCTTGTACGTCAAGGCTGCCAGTCATGCTGTTGTTGATAAACCAATAAACAACAAACAACAACAACATTGGATGCCACTCTCACCTGTCCCTGTCCCGCGGTAATGTCGATTTTCGCCTCCGTCCACAAGTTCCCCTGGTCGCCCTGCCGCGTCCAGATCGGGTTGCCCAGAGTCCCCCCGACTCGCCAGTAGACGTTGAAGGAGTCCACGTGTGATCCGTACATGTGGTACCAGAACGTCAGACACTTGGTCCGCGCGCCCGATACCGTCACGTCCGGGCTCACTATGCGAGCTCGGTCATCGGGGTTCTTGTTGGAGGCTTCTATGTACACGTAATAGCCATCTGCGGAGGAAAGGTATGCTGGTGTGTTATGCTGGAGTCACATTTCCAACGGGGCCCGCGCGGCATGTTCCCGATCTAGACGCCGGCCGGCGTCATGAAGCCGAGCAGACGCCGGCTGCCATAGTCTTGCCGGGGCCCGGGGTGATTTTAAAGGACCCTTTTTGTAGATTCATGCCCACGGGGTTAATTCATTCATAACATAGTAACAATGATAAAAGAATAACTCAAAATTCCTATGTACTATATTGTGTCCAGGCCTTACAGGTTTCTTCTTTCTTTTTTAATTAATGAGAACTGAGAGGTATAGTATGCAATTGGAAAACGGCGATAAGGTGGCTATACAATGTATATATAATCAGCTCGCTCTAGATCTATTGAAAATGTCTTACAGTAGAACGCAAATAAATGCAACTGTACTAAATTCACGTACTTCCTGTGGTGTGATCACTGGACGGCCCGCTGTTTGAGGTTGACGTTGTTCCCTGGTTTCTCGTCCAGTCGAAGTCGTCGTCTGTAGCCTGAACCCAGCCGCACAGACCGCTCTCAAAGTCGCAGTCAAACTGGGCTCTGCTCACTTTATAGGACCAAAGCGTTGTGTTAAAGCAATTCATTGCTATTTTTAAGGCGGCAAAACAAAAATATTCTAGATGAGGAAATCTGTATCTTTACAGCCGCCCCTCTGTGTAACACACCAGCTTCGCAGGCACGTGGCGCGGCGGTAGCTGGCTATATATTACTCTGAACGGCTAGCCTTTGAACATCTAACTCTAAACATTGTATAAAGCTATTTTTTAGTGAAGATGCCCCAACGGTACTTGGTGGAGTTCCACTCTACGATAGTTCTAGTCGATAACCCTGATGTGACTAAAGGTATGGCAATTTCTTGTCCTTTTCTGAGCTGGTATTAGGAACTTAGTAGTTGGTACATTCACCAGTTTATAGTCATTTTGTACATCATGAATAGTCTGGACACTTTTTGCTTGTCCTCCAGTGACAAATGATTCATTGTAGGTTTCTTTCATTTCCGTGACACTAGCACCTCTTTCTTATTTGTTCGCATCTTGCAACTTGATTCTGTATCCATTGTTTTACTTGAGTGTAACGCTACATTGTGCTTGTCCTTTGATGTTGATAAAAAGAAGTGCAATATCATGATCATGAAAAGAATTGTGCATAAATCAATTTCCACCAAAGTCCTTTAAAGTTGTGGGTGGCGATATCTGTCACGCCATGACCACGTGCGCATACGAAAGCCTCAAAATTAGGCTCCGCGGAAGGCGTTTTTATATTGCAATTTTTTGCTAATTTACGTACATTGCAGTGAATTTACGTACTACCAGTTTTCTAATCGCTACAGTATTCTGATGGCGGACACTAACCTAGAAATCGGGACCCATAAAACACAACGGCACTCAGAAAATCTGACAAAATCGGCCCCAAAATACTACAAGTGAGCCAAACGCCCGAGTCTGATGTAAAGACTAGTCACATGTTCTATGTACTTACAATACCGAGAACTTTGGTCAGTGACCTGAATGTCCGGAAACAATGGTGTGAAACTAAGAGGCTAGACATGGCGTTATCTGATATCAGGTTATACCAATATATACAACAAAAATACATTAACTAGGCCTATAATTGACTAAAACTGGATGAAAAGAACTGACAAGACTTTTCCCTGAAACTTCATTTTGAGAATGATACATTATATGACTAAATCTGCTTGCGTAGGTTTATTTGTGATTGTGCGTCGAAAACTCACTTAAAATAAGACAATTGAAATCATTTGCATTTCTTCGTCAGGTATAGAATTTTTCAGTGCTAGATTACACGCCACATTTCCTTTTTTTAACTCTTTAGGCTTAATAAACAGTTTTCACAAAGAAGAATTACTTTTAAAACCACGTCGCGAACTACTCACATGCTCAGAATGTCCCCATCAGAGCCTCAGCTCACAGTAATTTTGATGAGCGCGAGGGTCAGTTTGTACGTACATGTACCCACTTGGTACAAGGGACGATCGCAAAAGTTCTAAAGCACGCAGGTCTTTCACTGAGAGTGAGAAACAAGAGGCACAACAAAATTCTTATCGCTTGATAGAAGATGCGAAATATTTGAAACTGTGCTGTGTTCCTGATCGTTTTTCTGTCTTGTCTTTCCTTCTCAGACTTTTCTTTATGGCACTTGTTTGTTTCGCATAACCAGTAAAGGGACTTTAGGGGTAACAGACGAGATTTGTACAGTTAAGTACAAGCTGCGTAAGACCGTAAGGTTTGATCCACCTGTACCGGGATAGATCCTATACTCTTTTGGCGGTATGTTGTGCTTTTAACGGTGCGGGTTCTTTAACGTGCTCAAAGTGTGTCTCTCCTCAAACACGGGACGTCTAGCTTCACACGTCCTATGTGAGAGAACGTCCCTACTTTGAAGTGCTCATTTTCTCCAGCGTCGAGTGAGGAAATACGCTTTAGATGCCTTTCCTAAAGGTGCCATGAAGTTTTGTTACATCTCTCTTGTATTGTTACTTATCTGTCAATATAAACATCAGAAGAAACATCAGCAGATCTCGATGAACGCTTTTCCCCCATATTTCCAGACATCAGTATCTAGTACGAGTGATCTTGAAATAACTATCGGTGCTGTGAACCAAGGGGTGGCATTGATTTTGCTTTTAATTGTATTCCGCGTATATCGTACTTAAGAACAATTGAAATTAAAATAGTCATATTATGCGAGAGAGATCACTCCCAAGATAAATGCCGGGAAAACAAAAAAAGTATAGTCTGTGAACCGAAGAAATAAAAAACACCTATGAGATCAGGTCATTTTTTTAATAGTACAAGTGTACTTTTTTGCTGTTAGTGCGCAAATGCATGTAGATTTATGAATCAATAAACTAATAAACCCGGATCATAATTTTTCGGTGCCAAAGTAACAATTGCGCGCCACAAAAGTACGAACAACCATGAGATCATTACATCAGAACTTTATTTTTTTCGACAGAAAAGCTAGGTTTGCTTAAACCGAACCCCTTTGGATAGTGTTGACGCAGTCTCTCTGTCGGAATCTTATTTATACGTCCCTCTCTCCAATAATGATGCATCAATCATTTGTTCTTCCAATCATATCGCTGAACAAATTTGCCGAAGGGTGTGGGCTCGGCGGAAACAGTCGCTCGTTTCTACGCTTACGCGCAACCAACCTTCTGTACTGGTTTCAGGAGAATTTAATCAAAACAAAACAAGCAAATACGTCCAGTCGACCAGATCGTCACTGTCTTCGCGTAGACATGAATGTATCTCGCGGTTGTATCTCGAGCCTTTTTTTGCTGACATTTACATAGACACCTGCGTAGTGATCATGTGAAACAAAGTTCTACATAAGTAGTTAAACATTTGCCACAGTACAAACTCCTCGTGACAACACGCCGATTGTGAACCCCTGTTCGAACAAGATTCGTCAAATCGCTTCCCAAACACCCCTCCCCCTACAAGTCAAGAACACAAAAGCTTCCAAAGTTTCACGGTCTTTTAAAAGTCAAGGACTTGCATGCTTGCGCTTTTCTGATAAACTTCTCAATGAATATCAATCTGCTGTTGAAGTATGGCGTTTGTTTAATACATAGTGCTCCCCCATACCTTTCATTATCGCAATTGCTTGATAGTACACTTAGTAATACTAACGCAAGGATTATCATCTATTATTAGATTTAATAAAATCTAGTGAAACAAAAAACACGAAATATCTAGTTGAGAACTAGAACAAAATACCTTACATCAACTTTAACATTATAAGTGTTTCCGACCAAGTCCTGGTGATTCGATTTGTGTTTCATTTTTCAGGCTAAAGAGTGTATACCTGAGTTGAATGTACATTACATTGGCGAGTAACACGTAGAGAAAATTTAGAAATTTTCACCTCCACTAAAGGAGGATGTGTTTCACCCACCAGCGTTTTTTTTTTTTGTTAATTAGTTAATTTGTGGAGAGCAAGAACAATATTGATAATATAATTAAGATCACTCTGCTTGTGTTGAACGAAAGTATCAACAAACTTCATGATGGAACATACCAACACAGACGAACTTTCATGCCAGCATCTATATTCGTTCGTAAGCGAACCTTGACTTAAAATAGAGTCATGAAACCTTATAAAAAGTCCTGGATTCAGAAACTACAGGTAACATTTCTAACTGTCGCCAGAATCCTTGTCCATTACTTTTGGGCTACAATTTTTTTTAAATTCCTTCTCCCGCGTTTTTCGGAGACTTTAACACCTCTGTGAAAGTGGGAGAAATTTTGCCAGTCTTGTTTTCTAACTTATCCCGCTTGAAGTTCAACATAGTCATAAAGCTGTAAGTCCACAAAGAATAATTGCCTCTTAATCATAGTCAAATATTACGTGCACCACATAGTAGCTGAAATATTACATAAAATGATTTTAGGAAACTTTCTAATTTTTTGCAAGTAACGTTCAATGGACTTTTCCTTACACCTTGTACTCATTCTACTGTTTCCTATTTTCAAAACTTATTCTGTTGAAATTCCAGCGACCTTGTGCCTCTAACTGCATAACAAGTGACCTTTGGAATGCTGTACACGATATATAACCTAAACTATGACCCTGTAACTCAACGTCTAAAACCTTTGTAAGGTATTGTATTTCACGTCGCTACGAACAAGACGCATACCGTAATGTGAGGTTTTAATGCAGCTTGCCAACAGTCTAACAACGAGGGGAAATGCTTTAGCTACGAGGGAATTGGACTTAAAGGGGGAAGGGTGTTAAAGGTCATCACACCACGCCGATTTTAAGGGGCGTTTTCGAGGGGGAGAAAGGAGCGTATTCGGCAACGAAGGCTCAGTCGCCGCGGACACGTATAAGTGTAGAGGAGGGCATGTCCCGGCTATAATATGAGACATGAGACCCTTGTGTTGTATCCTTTATACACGTTACACAATGCTTAAAGGCATGGTTGAGCGCCCATATAAAGTCCCTGAACAAATAAGCAAACACGGGTAAAACAAACCCCAACAAACACTCACCTGCGAATTGCACAAAGAGAGCGGCAACAAGAGGCAATAACCTGTTCCCCATGCCGAGGGAATCTCGGTCGATAGTTCCTCCGATGAAAGAAGAAGTTTTTAGAAGTCCATGAAGTGTTGGGGAGAGGATAATGTAAGAGGTCTGTGCCGAAGTGTGTTGCCGGTGCAGCGACGTCGGCACAGAGTAAACGTTAAGTTGGGACCACGTGACGGCGTGGCAAAGGGTGGTCTGATAAAACTGTTCTTGTGTGATGATTAAACTTTCAGCGGCAACCTGCGCATGACTCCGCTGCTGATAAGAGCACAGCTCGTTTCGTAAATGTTCAAAGTTCTCTCGCCTCCAGTCATCAAGCTGCGTCATCATTAACCTTCTCGCTGCTGCGTAACCCTGTAACTTATCCAGATTCGCTCCCGAAGGGTTAGTTTAGCAGGGAGAAGGTTAACGGGTCTACTGGCATTTTGTAACTGGTTGTGCTCAGATTGTCCCTGTGAAAAATTATATATGTACCGCTTTAATTTAATCCACCGTGGCCAAACACGATAAAGCAACGGACTGTAATATCATTGTGTAATCATGGTATCCTGTGAGTGTGGACACTAGAATTGTTACCAAAAGACAGCCTCTCTGGAGGCTTTCTACAGTTATTGTTTGTTTGCTGAGGTTAGCTTGATTGTATCGTGTGTGTACAGATGTGATTCAATTACATACGGGCAAGAGTCATCAACTATCGTGATTGTGACTTGCTTCTGCCACCATGACATTTCCGGTACTGATGATAGAATTAGATTTGGTTGTTTGGGTTTTCTTTGGTTTCCCTTAATGCCCACGATTAGGATAATAATCTTTCTGGCATACTCGTGTTCACCTTAGCGAAGAGAAAAGTGAGGAAAGTCGTGTTAAGTGTATTTCCCAAGGACACAAGGTTGGTGACCTGGCAGGATTCGAACTCGAGACCTTTTGGTTCTGAGCCGAATGCTCTGCAGTTATGCCACACAGCCCCATATTTTGAATGCTTTGTATCGCAAAAAAAATGTACACATGGTGAAGTGTGTGTGTGTGTACATGTGGTCAAAAAATTGCCCTAAAATGGCTTAAACTTATTCCAAGAATGTTAAGCTTGGCCAGTGTGTCACAAGATTGGATGCAGTCAAGAACAAGTCAAGAAATTGAAGATTTCACACCTGCGTGAAGGTCCTTGAAGTATTTATAATTTTTCTGAATTTCTGAATGTTTTATTCATTATTGTGAATTTCCCACTGATCTAATTGCATCGAAATCAGGATCGTGATTTGTAGCAATACTTTGCCGAAGTCACCCGAAAATCGAATTCCGATGGAGGTCGAAGTCACCCGAAAGTTGAGTTCCGAAAGAATTCTTTAGCTGGCCGCCCATGATATAACTGTGTTACTTTTCGTCTTGGTCGAAACTTAATTTTTAAACTAGAGTTTTGTTTTGTTATGTTTGATGAAAGGACGACCGGGTGTCTGATCAATATAGCCTGGATGCCAGCCTTTTCGCTCTTTCGTCTTTTCCCTGCAAACGGAAGCAAGCAAGAGAACGTACTAAAGTTAAAAAGGGCTGGCACCCAGGCTAAGGTCAACATGTTAAAAAAAATCAGTTAAGACTCAAAATAGTCTTCTTTCAGACCCAGAGTGTTTTTTTTTGTATTTTGACATATTTTAGATGCTGTCAATACCTTGAAGCTGCCAAAAACATAGCGACCAACATATCCCCAGAAAGTATGCGTGCTAGAGTACTTGCTAAATATCTGACCTCGGCATATTTCAGTGTTAACCAAGTTCTAAAGTGGTGATACCGTAGACCATGCTACATTTGACTCCTCCATCGCCTTTGGTAAACATACGTGCCGTCTGGGATACCGACTCTAAAACGGATTCCCTGGCAAGCTTCATGGCGCTTTCGTTTGTCTCAGGAACGTCGATGTAGTAAGGAACTCCCGGCGGTACAGTGGCTACCAGGGCGGCAAACAGCTGCGAACCAACCGCTGCAGACTCGGCAAAGATGGGGCCGATTCTACGGGAAAAGTTGACATCCTTGTAGCTTTCGACGCTCAGTCGAATACAGCCGTAGCCGGCAATCCTGGTCTCCTGTCTGTGCTCGTCGTCTTCACCAGCCGGAGTGGTTGTTACAGCGGCCAGGGCGACCATGCCAGGCTGCGAGATCCAACTCTTCAGAAAAGCTGGTCGCGGCGTGCCAAACACTGACGCATCGAACACACAGAGATGCTCGAAGTCCACCTCTTTGACAGGAACAAGAGCCGCCGGATTGTCGTCTTGTTTGACACCCGTGAAGGTGTTGCTGCCAACCCCTCGAAATCGGGTGTTTTTCCATGCAAACTGGACTCCAAGGACCCTACTGTAAGCATCCTGCAAATCGACCATACTCTCTAACCCGATGTTTCTGTCAGACATGTCTGATGCTTCCATCACGACCCTAGCCATCCTCCGTGCATATCCCTTACCGCGGAAGGCAGGCTTCATGATCAAGTTGCCCCCAAAGGCGAAGTTCTCACCGTATTTAACCAGCGCGACTCCCCCTACCGGCACACCATCAACCTCAGCCAAGTGGAAACCTGTAGGATCCTGGCGGTAGTAGCTTTCTGCATCATACACGCCCGGGCGCCATCCTTCGGCCGCTACCCACTCTAGCATAAGAGACACTTCCGACTGGGACGTCACTTGGCGGACACGGAAAGTGTCAGGACTGCCGCTGGTCTCTGATTCCGTGGCTCGGGAATCTTCAAACATGGTGAAGATGTTCTTTGACCTTGAAATGTAATTACATGAAACCATGAGATGACAGAGAAACGACATATTATCTGTGTTGATAGAAGTCATTATGAAACAAGTAATGTCGGGTAATTTACCATATACAGTGTCAAGGACAGAATTCCAAGGGCCCATGTAAAGAAACATATATTGGAAAGACTGAAAGATCCCTCAAGGCTAGGTTCTTAAAACACAAACGACCTAGTTCGACTTCTGCGGAAGTCTCTCAACATATATCTATTGAATCGCCTGGACATTCAGTCTCATTGGATCGATCTTGGACACAGAATCTGACTTTTTCGCACGAGGGAATAAAGAGGTCTACATCAGGGCATTACAATAATTCCTCAACAGAGACGGGGGGCGCCACAGACTTTCTGCAACTTATGATCCACTGCTCACGGAGTCACGTGTTATCTGCGTGACGTCACGGAAGAGGTGGATTGCCCATTTCTTTGACAAAGACTGGAGTTGTACAGTGTACAGTTGAAAATTTGGGTGAATCCATTTTTGTGTTGGCCATTACAGTTCAAACTTGTTTCATGGAAACGACATGTTGTTTCAAACGTCAGCCTAAGAAGCAAGTCAATGTTTACAATGTCTTACACGGGGTCCTTTGGGGTCATATGTATGCTAGCCACCAAGGTCAACAATTCTCAGACAAACCAAACCGTTATAACATGTGTAACGTTACATGTACGTGCACATTGACGCAACAAAATCCCTGTTTGCTACACAAAATCAAAGCTACCGGTAGCTATGTACTGTACCTTTTTGTATATCGGACCACCTGATACTTTGACTGAGCTAGTTATCCCGTCGTTGGAAGTTCAAATTCCAGGAACACATTAGGGACAGGCTAACATCGTAATATGGCAAGTTCGTTTCTTTATAAAGACTGAACACTCACCTAATACTCGTCAGTGAAATCCTAAACATTGCAAGCCGACTACCTTAGTATGAACATGAGGATGTGCCATCTCTACTGTAGGGGTGTTCCGCACAGCAGAAATGAAAAATCATGAACTAATGCAATGTATTTTTAAGGTTGTCCTACAGAGTTTTGACATAGACTGCTAAATGTTGTCAACGCGCTGTGTCACTAGTATTTTCTATATCTCCCGTTACTGTTTAACATGATTTTGCTTACATTTTCTTCTGTGATTACCCTTAAAACCTACATAACGACCCAAGCCCACAGCGTTTGTATCGTCCTTGGGAGACACTGGAAAAACAGGTTGGGTTAGCACCAAGAAGGGGTGACTGAAAGACGACCGAAAGATAGGGGGTACTGATATATACGTCATATATGAAATTCGATAAACGATATCCATTTAATGTTTTTTGAACTGCTGGGAACCTGGCCGAAAAATGCCATTTTTTTTCAAAAGCACTGGTTTAAACTGTGATCACTGTGGCGGGGAAAATGCGTGTGGAAAGGAATCATCACACCGTATTAAAGTGACATATGAGAATTCATGTCATGTCTGCCACCCAACCGACTCTGTTCCAGGGTCATGCGGTGTCTTTTGACCCCCATGTTAACCCCGATTGTTGAACCTGTCAAAACCCACCCAGCAAGATCACAACTCAAGCTGAGTTGCTGAAGACTTCAGTGTTACGCCCACAAAAACAAAACCACCAGAGACGAGCTCCATTTGCTGCAAAACATGACAAAAATTTCAAGGAGACATATATTTCAGGCAACTACAGAATATCGAAGGTCTTTTATCACCATTCGCTGGTCATGTATGCCTATATCTCAGTGTTTTACGAATACTAGTATATCTGTGCTGATAACATAGGGGCATCCCATAGTGAAAATTTTGTAAGGTTGGAGTAAAAACATAAAAGAGACAAATATAACGTTTAGAATGCGATGAATATTAATGCTTTAAGGTTTGTTAGCAAAACCGATCCAATCTGTAATTTATTGTCATGTGTATATATTGCCGATGGCTGTTGTAACAAGTTGAACAGGTTTGTTGCACCAATAGTGGCTTAGCCGAATAAATAACTTGTTTCGTGTCATTCAATGCTTTGCGTTACAAAAAGTACTACGCTTTCAACCAACTACGAGTGCACTTTTAAACCAGTCTTATGTGTTCTTTTCTGTAACATGCTATAGTGTAATCTACATATTAGCCTATAAAGAAGATAGCAAGGGGCACAGTTTGGGGGCATATGCCGTAAACCTATTGAAAGTATTATAAATCTTGAAATGTTCGCGCTGGTTTTATTTTTTGCTGTGTTCAACTACGCCAAAACCCCATTCAACCTCCTACCGCAAAATTCAGTTCTCGCGAAAATGCATTTGACATTGTTCATCATCGACATTTGGTTTTCATATGACTTGGCATTATATATAAAAGCTTTCTTTAAATTTTATCTCAATGTGATGAGAAACAACAGTTGGAGTTAAAACGTCACGCACACACCACCTGCCCAGTCAGTTTGAGCGGGGCTGTGCTGTGGAACAGGTGAGTGGTGTTTTCTTAAATCTAAATTTTCATATTCAGCAGTTCAACGATCAATTAAATAACCCGTTTCATGTTAAAGCGTGGAAATCATGTTGATTTCAGTACTGTAGCTTCGTTTTTGACCTTATTTGGTGCACCAAATGCGCGATAAACATCATGTGGCCCCAAGGCGTGTACTGTGCTTGTTGTTCCACAGAAAGTTAAGCAAGGTGCTCTGATAAGAACAGAAAAATCAACAGAGCGTCCAGCAGGATTGACATATACAATCTCTGGTTCACAATATCACATTTGTCAATGGAACGAAACTGCACCCTGCTTCAATGGCGATAACCACAAAAGTTTGAAACTAAGTAGTTTCCTATTTCAGTCAAGTAGATTTTTCACTTGGTCACGCCCCTTTGAGAACATTAACCTAAAGATGTAAAAGATTGTTTCTTTATATAGAGCGTTTTTACATTTTCATTACCTGTTTCATTCTATTTATGTATTCTATCCATGCTTGTCAAGAACATTTAATTGATCCTCACCCAAAAACGTTTGTATTCTAATCCACCCACACATGTATGTGTTGTCTTTCACACCTGACTACAGTGCTACCTGTATATCTCCCACAAGATCTTAAATCTCATCTTACTGCTTTAAGATCCATTCGACGTTGTTTTTGTTTGTTTCGCATAACCGGTAAACTGCCTTAGACGTAACACACCAGTTTTGTACATGTAAGTACAAGCTGTATAAGAACGGACTGTAAGGTGGGTGTGGCTCTCCCCAAACACGGGACCTCCATTTAACGTCCTATCTGAGAGACGTCCCTATTAAACTGAAGCTAGATACTCATTTCCACCTGAGTGAAGTGAGAAAAATCGTGTAAAGTGCCTTTCCCAAGGGTACAAGATCGGTGACATGGGTAGGATTCGAACCCGGGCCCTCTTGGTCCTGAGTCGAACACGCTATCCCTACGCCACACGACCCCACTACAAACTACGATGTTAATGAAACAAACAAAGAATAATAAACTTTAAGGTAAAACAGTATTTCAACATTTCAACATCTACATTATCGCTGTCTTGTCTCCAAAATCAATGTTGTGGAATGGTTGCCGCAGGCTTGTCATCACCTCCGACCCGGACATAATATAATACAGACTGTACTGCAATAGACTATGCTCCTGAACTTACCGCCATCTTGGATTTGGAGGTCACCTTTGTTTACAATACTAGAAACTTCATTGTAAGCACATTGATGTATTCGGGACGAAATTGACCAAATGACTAAAAGAAGTGAGTGGCTTGATTATGACTAGGCCATAATTTCATTCTTCAAGAGAAAATCATCCTATTCACACATATCATAAAATCACATTTTTCTTTTCTTTTGTGCTTACAGACAGCCACCCTTAGACTGTTCTAGTGGTGTGTCCATCAGACATTGATACACCATGGCAACGACACTGAAAATATCACTCATCGGCTTCATGGCCCTGAGCATGTTGGCAACATCGGAAGCAGGTACGATTATTTATTCTTCATATTCGCCATCAAACTGGATCATTCAACCTCTTGATATTTTAAAATACCCTTCAACCTATACATTATATGAACATCGGTATTATAAATGATAATACATGCAGAGTAAGTCTGGAAATGGCTGCTTCAGGTGATATGTTGAAATATCGCTAGTATAGATTTTCTCACTTTTTGTGGAGTGAACCTACTCTCCAGGCAGAGGTTTGGGTTTTGGGGGTATTTCTAGCGTGTTTTTAGGCTTTTTTATCGGGGTTTCTCTTTTGCACTGAATTTTTTTTCCCACCAAACCCAACCTCTGCCGGCACTCACCCCGGGGAGGGGCAAACCTATTAAAAGCTATTCAAAACAGGCGATAGTGCCCCTCCTCGGGAACCATCAAACTGTCATTAGGGATATCCATTTTATTGTGGTGGATTATCACACATCTAGCCAGTCAGAAAGGCATTCATTGGGCCACTTGCCTCCTGCTGACTATGCCTATTCATGCGTCTGGTTCACACCTCCTTACAGAACGACTGAGATGTGTTGAAGTGATTAGGTTTATAGCCCATTGAAGCTTTCGACTGCCGGCAGAGGTTGGGTTTGGTGGGAAAAAAAATTCAGTGCAAAAGAGAAACCCCGATAAAAAAGCCTAAAAATACGCTAAAAATACCCCCAAAACCCAAACCTCTGCTTGGAGAGTAGAGTGAAGCCTGCATATCTAACTCCATGTTTGAATTCAACTATTACGTGATTATGCACCATGGAAGGCTGAGAATTGTTGATTAAAAAGCAAAGGACGTCAGGTAAGTCTGAAAAATGGTTGCTTTAAACATCAAATGCCAAAAAAGCAACCATTACCAGACTTGTGTGGACTTAAGTGACAATTCCGTTACCTTCTTGGAAGCTTTGGCATTAATATCTTGTTGTACTGGGCAGGATTTCCTCGACTGCATTTTTCCGGACAGTTCCTCGCCGATACAAGCACCCTCAACAACGACCCATACAACTACAACATCGACAACTTCAACATCAACCGAGACCCGCCGTGTTACCCCAACTACACCTTCCCACACTGCAACTGGAACCCGAAAGGCAGCGGAGACTTCCGGCTGGTCAACTGTACGGTCACGAAAGTCTGTTACCAGAATGGGAAGTGCACAACACAAGACCCTATCGTGGGGAAGCGAATCACTGGTGCGTATACAAGTATTTACCTCACGATCAAGCCTCAAAATGAACATTTTTTCCTATTGTCCCAGCATTGTCCTGAAAATAAATTTCACTTGTCCCGAAGTGGGGATGAACTGTCAATTTTATTTTGCTTATGTTATGACTCCCAGGCGTGCTAAAATTGCAGAGTACACAAGAAATTTGGGCGGGCTTTTCCGGAGCCAAAAGCCGAGACGCGTGCCTGATCAACGAAAGAAGGGCTGACATTCTGATGTCAATTTTCTATTGTCCCAAAAATACCCAAAAGTGACTTTCTAGTTGTCCCATCCTGAATTTTAGTGGTCAGTGGCTATCAGCTAGGACGCCGTTGATTTCGAGCGGGGCAAGATCGGGTATACCTTATACGCCCTTCCTCCTTCAAAATGATGCAGTGTAAAGTTATAAAATATTCTTAATCAGATGATTTTACACACAGGAAGTGACGACACCGTGGCTGCCAAGATGGTGGATCTGGACCCTTATTTCCAGATGTACACCTCTCAACTATGGGGTCTTGTTGTCGGGGTAGAGGGCGCTTTTCAAGGTACGTTCAAGGTGAACACGGTGATGGACATATGGCAACGATGCAAGGAGAAAGGGTGTCCGGGGGATCCCGGGTCGTCAGGGTACTGGAGTTCCGTGCTAGAGAATGTGTCCTGGTTGTCAAATAAAAACGTCTGTCCGACTAAAACCGTTGGAACATTTATCGATCAACTCAAGTGTCCTCGTGGAGGAGGATCTAAATGGGCAAAAACCTTGAATATAAAGTTTACGGTAGACGTAATGAATGAAGATCCGCTAACCCACGACTTTGCCCACGGACGTGTGGTCGGAAGTATCTCGTCTGTGGACAATGAGGAGGCCCTCAAGCTTGGATTCCCTGAGTTCAACAGAATGCTGTGGGGACAGGGAGTCATCAGCGCCATGGACAAACACCCGATACTGCCGGAGATGAAAGACTACAACCATGCACCATTCTACGTGGACGATGTGAATAAGAAAGTCGTTGTTGACCTCAGCAATAGTTTACCAACACACCTGAACGGTACACTCGTCGACGGTGGCAACCTGTTTCTTCTCCTAGTTCAAACGTCCGAGTTGACAGTAAAGGATGGTATGATCAAGAACTGCGAAGATGTCCTTCACAACCCCAATAGCAACGTTGGCTCCATCGGTTATACTGCGGATGAGTGGCTAATGAAAGATGCGGGGATTGTCATCTTGGACATTGACGGCCAGAATACAGAGGGTGAACTGACGGTAATGGTTGTTAAAGAGGAGGCTCCTCCATGCCAGTCTTGTCAGAAACAGTGTCTACCGATTCTTGTTGAGCACCCAGAAGGTCTGTACCTTGGTGCGGCAGAAGACCGCGTTTTCCGGATCCCAAAGCCCACCCGTAAAACTGAAACATCGGTAGAGGTAGAAGAAGATGGTTCTTTGTGGGGTCGCTGGTGTTTAAAGACCAGCGAACCCACAAAGGTTCACTGGTCTTTAAAGGTATTCGCTACAGAGTTTGGCAAACCCAAACAAGATATTATGTTCATTGTTAGCCTCAGTGAACGTAAGAGTAAAATTGGCCTCAATAAACCTAAGGATGCAATTACTTTTGTTGGTGACAATCAATGCCGAGATAAATCACGACGCAAATATACCACAGATGACCGAGGTATTGCAGTTATCGAGTTTCAAACAGACAGGGAGGGTCTTGACTGCAGCAAAGAAGAAGTGAAGAAAAGGCGAGAACAGCAAGTGGGTGGGCAGTTGTACGTCTATGACATCACCAAAACTCGAGATAAACACGATAGATGTGAAGCTGATGAAGACAAGTTTCCCCCAAACCTCCAGACGACTACACACTTATACTGTAAACATGAGAGCAAAGAGATCTACTATTGGGTCGATGACATTTATCCGCTATTTCAGCGTTACGACAATCTGTTTCCTGTCATGAAGCCTCTCTTCAATCTCGCATCATATAAAGAAGTGATTGCAAAGTATCGTCCATTAATATTCTCCTTAAAACTCGCTCTAGAGGATCCAAACCACATGCCTGTCACACGTGACCTATCCCCAGCAGACAGGGACATGCTTGTAAAATGGTTACAACTGGAAAACCCACAGTACAGTCGTGATAAGATACAGTACAGTCGTGATGGCCAAGAGGTTGAATTAGCTGAATTGAAAGCCAACCTTCAGCTAGCCCTGCGGTTTGAGTGGACGACGATCCCCCTGTATCTGAGCGCCTACTATAGTATCAAGGACGGGTTCAACACTAAAGTCGCCAGCCTGCTGAAGAGTGTCGTGATAGACGAAATGAACCATATGGCATTGGTGGCCAACATCATCAATGCTATAGGATGGAAGCCTGTTTTGAACGATCCCGAAGTGTTCCCAACGTATCCAGGTCCGCTACCCGCAGGCTGCCGCCCGGACGTAGCTGTGCAGTTGGCCAAGTGTTCCCTTCACCAGATCCATGATGTGTTTATGGCAATAGAGAAGCCAGAATGCACTGGGCAGATCCATGAAACGATTAGCAGTCTTGAAACAATGCTTTTTGCTGTGGACGATGTTGATGGGATGCCTTTGGACGATGTTGATGGGATGCCTTCGGATGATGTTGATGAGATGCTTGATAAATTAACCGCAAAGTGCAGGGAAGATGTAAAGAACTATGAACCAGACACCATAGGGGCCCTATACATCCACAAATATTATGCCCCATGATAGATCTCAGCAAAAGTGGCATTCTGACGTTTGACGGAGACCAGGCAAAGCAGTATCCCAAAACAATTAATGTAACAAACCTGCAGACGGCAATCAAGGCAATACACCAAATTATCGATGAAGGGGAAGGTGGTAATCCCTGTGACCCATTTTACCTTGATCCACATGGCAACAAAACTAGCCACTATTACAAGTTCGCAGAGATAGCACATGGTAAGGTGTTAGTTAAGGCTCGGTCTGATCACCATGATGCCTACAAACAATACCGGCAAGACAACCACGAGCAGGAGACGAACGTGTGCGAGACTGAGCACAGACACGATTACTTCACCCCATGTGATGGCAAAATCTGCTGTCGTGACAAATATGAGTTCGCCGGCGCCAACATACCCTTCTTTGAAAATGCCGTGTGGCCCACTCTCGACAACCCAACCTCATCCAAGTACCCGCCAGGCTCGAGGGCGCGCAAGATGTCCGACCGTTTCAACGAGAAGTACACCGGTCTGATGAAGTGCCTTCACAATGTTTTCAATGGAAACCCGGGTAACATGGAGAAGTGTTACGGCCTGATGACATCCCTGACCGTCGATGCCAAGAAAATGGTCCAAACACCAATCGACCCTGATGGCAACCCCAACGTGGGGCCGAATGTCACCCCTACCTTTGAGTGGTATCCGCCGATCAACTGATAGACCACACGAGAGGCAGCAGAGTGGAGATCAAATCATTAGAAAGATGATTTTCATATGTTGATTATTGTCTTTTCATTTTCATTTTGACCAATCGAAGAAACACTATTGACAAAATCACAACAAAAATATTACAATGCAAATTACAATCAGCGCAGTAAGAACACTCAGAACAATCATTGCAGTATAGAGAACACAACATCAATTTTGTTTGTATACTAAGTCTTGACTGTATACAGTATTATGGCATCATGTAAGAAAATCAGAAAGCATTGTAATAGCACAAAAGAGATACTAGTATATATGCCTGGATGACTCTATTTCACAGACTTTTTTTGACATTATCACCAAGCTTTAGCATAAAGAAGCAATGGAGCAGAGAAAAGATGAATGTACTGAAGTATATAGTTTGTAGAAAGAATCTTTAAGTAGAGATTGACTTATGGCTTTGTAAAGGAACTGGATAGATATTGATTGATCATGATTAGGGACAATAGACAGACCAAGTGCATGCCTTTATTCCTGAATCTACATTAGAAGAGATTGGTTAATCACGTACTTGTGTAGTAGTAGAATGGCTTCTTGGAGGAAGTTGGAGTTTAAAGACACATGGGCTTTATTATAACTGGAGTATCTTGCATCACTACTGAAATCACTAAAAGTTGTAAGCCATTGGGTAATTACTTAGTAAGTGCTTATGCATGGTAGAAGTATGATAGGTAATTAATTAATCAGATATGTATACACTATACAATTAAAATGGAATGTAATTTAAGTATCTAACACCAATACCAGACTATAAACAATTTGTTAGTTGAGTGCTAAACATGGTTTGAAGTATGGCTGATGAGATAGATTTGAAAGATAAAGAGGAAGTGTGTAGGAATTGGAGTCTCTATTAGTATTACCACTGTTAGACTTTGTATGCTTTATATGCTATAGACTTTTATACACTATTTGGATCCACATTTAGATCTATCTTGCTGTCACATCCTAGGACAAACCTTGCTGCTCTAGTTTGCATTATATTGTGTCGAGAAAATACTAGTATGTAGAGAATATGTGACATAGTACGGCTTATGGATATAAATAAATGGTGAATGGGACGATTGTCTTTGGTCATGATCATGACTCTACATACAGTATTTAGCAAGAAGAGAAAAATATCAAATTTTAGGTTTTGATTTTTTAAGGCTGTTACAGTTGAGTGTTGAGATCAAAGTACATGAAATTCAAATGCATGAACACTTTTTTCAAATGCAAACCGTCACTGGTAACTGATTTTCAAACTGATTAACTGGTGTACCTACCGAGTATTATCCCACAGGGGCATGCACCTCCCTGCCATTTCTGAAGTAATGAATTCTAATGTTTCCCACAGTTCTACACCCGCACATCAACTGATGGGCTAGAGCAGGAAAAGTGTGTGTGTGGGGGGGGGGAGATGCCTTTTTTATGTTGACTTCAGATCTGTCTTTTTATTCTGATAAATTTTTGCCTACAGCATTAAGTCCAAACTATCCAGACCAGGCATTTATCACCCTGGTCAAATCCCACATTTTGTGCAGTGTCGACCAGTGTAATGTAGTCAGTTGCCACCTGGCCACGTACCTGCGAAGCTGTTGTGTTATATACAGAATACTACTATGTACTAAATTAGTAACCATTGTAATAGCACAAGAGATTTAGATGGTCATGTCACACTCAAGTTTTTGTTGGGAACCATTTTCTTAGTTGACCTTCAGCTACTCACCTACAGCTTCTCGAGTTAAACTGTTGACATACATTGTACATGTACAAACAGACCCACACCACAACCAAACCACCTAGAGTAGGCCAAACTGACAACATACCTTCCGAGAAAGGAAATAAATCATGGTTTATTTGCACTTAGCTACCAATATTAGGTAGAAAATTTACATTATTACAGTGAGGGTGTAAGTATTTCCAAGCAACTTTTCATTTTTTTTCTTCTGCATAAAATATATTGTACATTACTAGTATACACTTATGTAAGGTTACCTAATATTGAACTGCAAGACAGATGTTTATGGTGGTAAAAGACTCACTGTGGTCCAAGGAATACAACAGCAGTAAAACTTGATAAACAAATTCATTTTCAAACCAGAACTCTGTTCTAAGGAATCTAAACATACTATACTAATACTTAACAATACTAATAATACAATACTAATATTACAATGATAATACAATACTAATAATGCCTACAAATTCTGCAATATACATGTATAATAAAAAATATTTGTAGTGTTGTGATTTTGCTTCAAGAGGTCACATTGAAAAGTGCAACAAATAAAACCACGGCAAATGTTTCAATATTTACAGTGTAATGAACTTGAATCACGATCAATCCCTGGATAACTATGATATCTTTTAGCAATACACACCTCTATAAAGGTGTCTATGATTCCTGACAGAATTTCTCGTGTCTTTTGACGAGGTCTGCAATGATCTTCTCCTCTATTTCCATCCCAGCCTCCAGTTCAGAGTCAGACATCAGCAATACCTGCTCCTCCTGTCTGGTTACTATGGTAACGGTCTTCTTTCTTGTCTCAAGAATGTTGGCGATGACAACCTGAGGAACATTTTGAAGAACAGCAGTCCTTGACTCATTGCTTAACATTGTGTCCCTCTTAAAGACTACATTTTTAGTTTTATTATGCAAGAAAGTAGCTTACTAAATCTCAAAGCTCTAAAACCATGGAGGTTTAATTATTTTTTTGAATTGAGCAAATTAAATGCTTACAATAGACATGAACTGTTCTGGCCAAGTTCAGCCAGCTCAGAAGTGACTCACAACACATTTATATCAAGTCACCTGGACAGTCCGTTTCACTGGACATCGTAAGAATATTGGACACCGAACAAGACTACTTCCTGAGAGGGGTGAAAGAGGCCACTTACATAAGAGCACATCACCCTTCACTCAACCTCTACAGGGGCCGACATTGTCTACCAGAAACATTTGACACAGTGATGACATCACACTTCAAAGAAGCCATGTGACAAGCCTCACTGGGTCAGTCTAATTAGGAAGACCAGAGTGCGAGTGAATGGTTGAAAGCTCTAGTAGATGAGAGAATTTTTGTGTTGGATCATAAGTTTTAACAATAAACACTGTCAGACATTTTGGACTAAATGTATACTTTTCTCTCTGCAGCACAACCTAGCAACGGGAAGCAGTATTGCCAAAACATTGGTAATACTGGAAAACAAAACTGTCAGGGCAGTCAAACTGGATTTTGTCATCTTTTTAATGTAGTAAAATGAATTAACCCTATACCCCATAACATACTGATATCTGTGAGGCAAAAATGTGATGTAGCTGACAGACTATGGTTGCTTGTTTGGTATTGATTGATTGATTGATTGATTGATCGAATGATTGATTGATTGATTGATTGATTGATTGATTGATTGATCAATGATGATGAAAACAGTGAAAAAGTGGAAGTAAATGTCAATATCAGACAAATTTCCTAACCAGGAATATTTTTGTTTTTCCACCCAGAAGTGTCCTACCTGATGACTGTACTTCTGTAGAGCTTGTTTTGCCTTCTTGATGAGAATACTGGTGTCAGTCTCCAGCTGTGGGGGAAATTCATGCAAAACATTGAAAAGTGTTGTAGCTATAAATTCTGACTCAGCTCTCAGCATAAAATGTATACTGGTATATGTACTTTTATACATTAAAAGTAAAACATTGCTAAATTGTCTGCTCGTAGCCTGTCTCCTTGCAACTTTGAACTGGCTATGGCAGAAGTCAATAGAGAAAGGTTAAAATGTCGAGATAGTCAAATATGGAAATAATGAAAAATAAAGCAATATTTTAATTTTAGAACATCACTTGTATGTGATAGGAAACAACATACTCACAATGCAACAGTTTACAATTAAGAGACTGAAAATAGCAAAATGTAGAAATTACCTTGCAGAAGCTAGGAGCTTTGAAAGTTAAGCATCACACAACCTGCCGTACGTGTTTTTTGTCCATACGTTTTTTTGGAAGGCCACGTCCGCCACGTTTTTCTGATAACTCGGGGAAAGCTGGCAACAGCAGGGAGGGAGTACATCACAGCACGTCACAGCACGGTTGCGCAAGGTGTAAGTATGTAGCCTGCACGCCACACCTGGCCATGAGCAGTTGCGTGCATCGTTCATTGTGCAAGGTGAGTTGTATGTGCTTACAGTGTACGATCTCTGTACGATTGCATTGTGACCGTATGCAGGCCGTACACATGCTGCTTATGTACGGTACATACGGTACGTACGGTATGTACAGGGCACGCACGTTGCCCATACTGGCTCATACAGGGGGTGAATCCGCAGCCCGAATGCAGAGAAAGTTCTGCATGGACAGGCATAAAGTGCTACAGTGTGTCTGCATGCTCCCAAATCCGTTGAATTCTGTACAGTACTCATCACTTACGAATCCCAAAATTTGCCCACATATTTGCACATAGACAGCACGCACTTGCACGTACGGCGGGTTGTGACCCTCGCTTTAGAGTGGGCACAACAGAGGGAAAAAGTACAGCCTTGAGGTTAAGTTTGCTATTCTGTAACAAGGAAGTTAGAACTGTACCTTAAAGGAGACAGTGAAAGCTTGTGGAGCCCACTCCTTAACTAGGGGAGACAGCATCTTGGGTGTCATCTGCATGGTGATCTGTAAAGGACCGTTGGCCGACTGGATCTTGTGCTCTGGCTGGAGGTGGAAAACAGGTTAAGAAGTCAGTATGCTTCACTGTTTGTTTGTATGTTTGTTGTTTTAATTTCCAGTCTCCACTAGTGTTATATAAATTGCACACTATTCTTCTTCGAGTCTTCAAGCGTGATGATGTACATGTAAATCACCAAGTAGCTGATATGTGACCAGGGTTCACCAGGCCAGGACTTGTAGTGATTCAAGCTCCAGGTAGTATTTGGACCAAAACATTTGCAAATAAACATCTGATGGTTGTACATGTGTGAAAGGAACCTTTTTAACCAGTGATAAAACTTTTCACGAATTACAGCGGAACTTTTTTCCATTGCTATATCTTTTGTGACTTTTCAAATCCTTTGTTTCTAAAGACCATATGACATGAGCACTTTAAACTCAAGTCCAGACTTACAAGCTCATTGTGTGGAATGTAGAAGTCGGACACTGCAGCGGCGAGATAGAGCATAGCGGCCGGCCCGATGTGACTGAAAGCCTCGGCCGCAGCTCGTAGCAGGTACAGGTAGTCAGACAGGGACAGGAAACTGACAGACAGAAGAGTGCCGGTCTCCTTAACCTGCTGGTATCTCTGCAGGACTCCAACAAGCCGGGCTGTGTGTTGTGGATCAACTGTGGGAAATGGAAGAGGTAAGGCCAAGGGAAAAAAATGCTGTGTTTCCTGTTCCAATCCTGAAAAAAATTAGGGTCGGTAGGTAGGGATTATTAGCCTAAGTTAGTAAGTGTCAGCCTTTTTAGCTTTCGTCCGCTCCCCACGATCCACTGGGCCAAGATAAGGGATTATCTTTTTTTTTTCTTTCGTTCTTTTATGACTTTGGTGATCTCTAGTGATCTAACCTAATAGAATACAACACAATTTAACAAAGTAAAACTTGCATGAGGACACATATTTTCAATATCAATGTTAGAAAACCGATTGTACAATGTTTCATCACTGAGTGAGATCGATGTAAGATTGATCGGCTCGAAAAATTTATGTCCATTGCAGGGGTCCACCCGAAAAAAAGGCAAGGGTTGGCAATTTTTTCTAGGGAAACAGGAAACACAACTTTCTGACTGTAGTACTGCTTCTCGCCGCTATATGTAGCCACTGAACCGTAAGCAGGTGAGAGCCTTTACTGGTTGTGTAAAACAAAACTCTAATTTTAGTATCCTATGTCCTACCAACCTGACAAAATTATTTTCAGGTCCAGAATCACTTTCTTTATTGTGCCAAAATCACATCCTTAGATTTCTACATTTGTCAGCACCTTGTACATCTGCACTGCCCTCTGCTGTGGTTGTGAGACTGAGAAGGTCCAGAAAGTTGACCCTGGAAAAGTGTCTAGTGAAGGGTTCCAGGGAGTTCAGTCTATGCAGGAAGATCACAGCATAACCCTGGGCCAAGAAGTTCCTCAACAAACAACAGTCAAGGATCCTCTAGAAACTTTCATGAATTAGGTCCTAGAAAAGGCTAACTCATTTCCTGTCTTCAATTCGATGCTACATGCATGTCTGTTGTCTTATGGAAGCCAGTTGGAAAATGCAGACAAAATCAGCATGATATGAATAAAACAAGAAAAAAGTTTCACAGAGGTATGAGATCTTTAATAATTTGTTAAACTTTTTTGTAAGGATACTCTGCAGAGACAGAGCCTCTGGTTCCCACACTGAAGTTGTCGATGAAACGCACTGTCCTGCTCTCCAGTGGTACTCTGGTACCGCCTGACTGTAATAGGAAAACACAGCAGGATAGGACACGTTTATATATAAGGTCATACAAGGCATACTAAGTACATGTATAGCAGTGAGCTATATGTGACTAGCACTTAACACCATAAACACATGTATAGCAGTGAGATATATGTGACACACTTAACACCATAAACAATACGCTAAATAGTACGAAAGCAACTGTGTAATTTAGCTGTTATAATATGACATGGTACTAGTATTCTACCATTCACGTGCGTATAAAGTTGCAGACGATTATTTGCCCCTCCCCCTATCTCCCCAAAGAAAGACTTTTGTAACGAACTCGTCCAAAGCAAGATAAAATTGCTGTGCATACAGTTACAAGGACAAGTCTTCTTCCATCCTTAGAGTGTCTGCTGACGAATTCCTGGATCCGTGTCCTGTTTTCGTCGTATTTTTCCGGAGGGTTCGAGCCCTCGAAGTATGTTGTCCAGTCTGCCATTTTGGGTCAAAGGTTGATTTTCGCAGAGCACATTTTAGTAGATAGGGGTAACTTGAAGTGTTTAGGGAGCATAGTTACACAGTATACGTGTATATAACATTCCTCAATATATGAAAACTGACTAGTACATAATATTGGACTTAACAACATGTTTGTATCATATCTAAAGACGAAAGTAGCTATGATTGAAGTACTGTATCATCTATCACCCCTAAAGTCATAATGTGATATCCCAACAGCAGGTGGTACCAGCGACCTTTGCTCCTACCTTACCAGAGACCGAGACCAGCTGAGCGGAAGAGTTTCAGAAAGCCGGCAGCAAATCAGATACAAAGGTACATTTGTATTACTTGTTCCTTGTGTGTTTGCAAATATGTTTCAAGCATGGCAACCATGCACGACATTAGATTTCATTAACGCTATTATAATTCATATAAATGTTAGTACAATGTATTACTAGACTATCAGGCAGTGGGCACTGCCCTACTAACGTTCATTATATTATAGCCACACCCACCTATGACCTAGGACCATGTTTATGCCTTTCAACTTCAAAGTTTTCTTGAATAATCTGCTGCAATATTAACACAATTCTCAACACAAGAGAAGATTACTGTCAATATTCTAGCATGTCATGTGTATTTATGATAATTCACAGATATTGACTTCGAATTTCTTGGGCTTGGACCTGTAACATCTCCTCAGGCCTAGGGGAAAAAATGTTGTGTTTCCTGTTTCCCGACCAACTATAGAAAAAACTGCCGACCCTGGACTTTCTTTGTGTGGATCCCTGCAAGGGACATAAATGTTTCAAGCTGAGGTGGTCACCAGGTCCAAAATAGCAAGAAAAATTAAGTTAATACGCCGACCATTTCTACTCCATGATCTGACACCTGAGTGATAAAATGTTGTACAATCAGTTTTCCAACATTGACAATGAAAGTATAAAATTTCCTCATGCAACTTTTACTTTGTTAAACTGTATTGTATCAGTTAGATCACTAGAGAATGCCAAAGACTAATAAAAAAAGGAAGAAAAGAAGATAATCCTTAGCTACCCACCGACCGTAATTTTTTTCAGGACTGAAACAGGAAACACAACATTTTTTTCCTATGCCTCAGCATCCCACCATGGACACCAGATTTGGCACCCTGTGCACTGCTGTGGTGTTTGCTGTGTTCGTACGCTGGGTGGTCTCGCTGAACTCGTACTCAGGCATGGGGAAACCTCCGATGTATGGAGACTACGAGGCACAGCGACACTGGATGGAGATAACTACCAACCTTCCTATCAAGCAGTGGTGAGTCAAATTTTTATTGAATAATTAGTACTAGTACTTAACGTGAACAAAGGTTTTTTTTTTTTTTTGTTACAGTTTTGCTTGTGCTTCTGTGGTTAGTATTTCAACATGCTAGGCACATCAGATACAATGATAGGAAGTTAGGTCAAAGGTCCCAGAAAAGAGCTATCTTGTTTCCTTCCATATGTTTTTTTCGCAACTATGCATATCTGTCATCTTTTGTTGGAACCAGTAGGAAATTGGCAGACAGTTTCAGCAATTAATTCACTGAACAATTTATCAATGAATAATGCAATAAATTTACAATATTTCACCGATGTATGAGCTGGTCTTTGACTTGTTGTTTACTATGTTTTGTTTTAGGTATTTCAATGGCACGGACAATGACCTGCTGTACTGGGGCCTGGACTACCCACCTCTGACTGCCTACCACATGTGGCTCTGCGGAAAAGTTGCCGAATGGATCGACCCTGATTGGACGTCTCTCTTCGCGTCCCGTGGATACGAGAGCTACGAGCATAAACTCTTCATGAGATACTCTGTACTGATAGGAGATGTAGTTATTTACATCCCTGCTGTCTTACTGTATTGTTTCCTACAGAAGAAGTTTACCCACACACAGAAGGTACTGCTGAGCTGTGTGTTGCTGCTGTTTCCAGGCCTGATCATCATTGACTACGGACATTTCCAGTACAATAGTATTAGTCTAGGGCTAACACTGTGGGCTGTGATAGCACTGAGTCATCGGCATGAAGTGCTAGGCTCAGCTGCGTTCATGCTCGCTTTATGCTACAAGCAGATGTCTCTGTATCATGCGATGCCCTTCTTCTGTTACCTACTGGGAAAGTGTTGGCAGCAGAGGTGGAAGAAAGGCTTCTTCTCCCTGTGTTGTATTGGTGTAAGTGTGCTGGCAACATTTGCCTTCGTCTGGATGCCCTTTCTCTCAGATAAAGACCTCTTCCTCCAAGTCGTTCACAGAATCTTCCCCGTAGCTCGCGGCGTCTTTGAGGACAAGGTTTCCAACTTCTGGTGCAGTTTGTCTGTTGTGGTGAAGTTCCGTAATTTCATGTCCCACGAAGGCCTTTTGAAACTATGCCTTGCTACAACCCTTCTCGGCCTAGTACCTTCCTCTCTGGACCTTTTATTCCGTCCTTCTGGCAACAAATTCAAGCTAGCCCTTGTAAACAGCTCTCTGGTTTTCTTTCTGTTTTCCTTCCAAGTTCATGAGAAATCTATCCTCCTCCCAGCCCTGCCCGTCTGCCTCTTGTTGCCATGGCGACCGTTTACCTCCACCTGGTTCCTCACCATAGCAACCTTCAGCATGCTTCCCTTATTGGTCAAGGATGGCCTCGTCATTGCCACACTCATAACCTCCATACTCTTCATCATAGCTGTTGAATTGGGGCTACAGGGGGTTTCTTCAGACCCCACAATTGGCTGTCCTGTATGCATCTGGTCTTCTAAAAATCTTCCCTGGCTCCCCCATAGGGTGTTCTTCTATGCGGTGAAGTCAGGGTTTTATGCCTCTCTCATGGGAGCTCTTTTCCTGGGTCTGTTAAGCGTTGTTGTCCCCCCACCATCCTCACTACCAGACCTCTGGCCTGTGTTGATATCTGTGTATAGCTGCTCACATTTCATAGGTTTCACCCTGTACTACCATATAGTACAACTCATGACCACTGATTCCAAGGAAACAGCTGCTCAGAAAACAAAGAAGACACAATGAAAAAGAGCTGTAGCATAATGATTGTACTGATAGCTTATTAATTGTGAAGAATATAATTTTTCTGAGGATGAATGCCTCATAGTGAGATATGAATTGATTACTATGGATGAAGTTTTGTTGCTCATTTCTTCAGGTCTGTTCCAAATAGCATTCTGCACCATAATAGACGTAAAATTAAGTTTTTCAGGGTATGAAAATTTGCTAGTAATTGTATTGAACAAAATGTGGTGCCAACATTTTCATTGATATATTTTTGCTGCATCTGTCATTTATGCCAAATACATGTATGGCTTTCCCTTACTTACAAAATATACAGTACATTGATCCTTTTGAGTGTGAAAAATGATTTTTGGTGCAATATTACTTGATTAAAGGCAGCTACATGTACTGCATTTAAATGCAATAAAAGGTTTATTACTGATCATATGGTTATTTTAGATGTATGGCAGTTGTCACTTTTGAAATATTTTCCACACCAGCAAGACATATGTATATTTTGTCTGCCATGTTTCCAATAAGAAGCCTTGTGGTTTTATTAATCATTCGTAAATGGGTAATAGAAGAATGATATGAATATATATATGGTAATAGAAGTCAACATGACCAACCACATTAATAGACCAGACATGTTTTATTTAATGGATAAAGATTTACAAAAAATAATTCAAGTAGTAGGGACTGTTGAAGACTCTTTGCTTGCGATTGTATCCCTTTCACAATTATGACAATATGTTAAATTCTACATGTATGTTTTTACTGTAATGGGCTAAGGAAGTATTGAAAACCCTCAATTCTGAATGTCAATTTTGCAATCATCATCAGCAGGTAAAATGATCTTGACTTCACCAATTTAATTTGTTGGTTCATGGATTTGCCTGCTTCATTTTTTCTGATTAATATTTAAAAAAAAACATTTCATCCTCTGAATCTCTAAATTTAACATGCTCATATTTTGGCCCTATTATTTGAAGGAAATCCCTTCTCTTCATAGTTGTTACATTTTTCCATCTATAAATGCAGTGGTTTGATTGAAAGGTTGAAATTTTGCTTCTCAACATGTGGTCTCTTTTTTCACCCCATCCTGATAACTGACTTCCCAAGATTACAGCAAGCATGTAAAATATGTTTACTGATCAGTCCTAAAGAGCATATTTTCAGCTGCAATTTCATTATGTCTTTATGATACACATGTATAGCTATATGTATATCTCACACCAGTTATAATTATTGCAGTTCATACTACAAGTATTCTTTGAATTCAAGGATAAAAGCACTTTTAATTTATGTACCTACTCTAGATATGCCAGTAAATTTGATACACTAAATATCATAAAGCTTACCAGACATTGTATGACTAGTGCTAATAGTACTACTTATAATTCATGATTTGCATGTCATGCATCATTTTTTGACACCAAGAATGGGTCTGTGCTAAATATCAATACTAGTAGTCCTAAAACCCTAAGTGTATCCCAGCAAAATCCTATGTGCTAGTACATGTATTAGGCCACACTGATTTAATTCTATCGATGACATCCACATTGATTTTTGCCATTTCTGAAAAAAAAAACTCCAAGGCTGAAGTCTGGGTACCATCCTCCGTAGTCCATGGTAGCTACCGACAGTAGGAAGACAGCGGTATTATTCACAATACCAGCTTTGTATTCCTGTGGTTTAGTAGCATAATTTTTCGCTGGACTTCTTTTTTTATTCGCCCACTCGCATTAGTTTTGGGGTCTTTAGAGGATATCATCCATGAAATTCAAAAAGTCAGTGTGGCCCTACAAATGTTGACGCTGGTGCAATTTTTTCATTGATGACATCTTACCACATAGTCATGACATTGTGAATAAATGTATATGCTTTGTATTTCTACTGAAGTACAGAATTATTTCAACCTTGAATCTCAAACACCACAAAAGCCTCCTTTTCCCTCCTACTGCACAACTAAGTCTATTCAAAAATAAATGAATCATACATGTACAATGTATTTGTCTTGCACCATTCTACTTATAGTCCCTGTATACATGTATATGCTAGATTGTTGTCACCCTATATACCATATGTGTGTGTGTGTGTGTGTGTGTGTGTGTGTGTGTGTGTGTGTGTGTAACAGTGTGTATACTCATCTAGCTATATATAGTTAAATACTGCAAATTTCTTGTACTACATGTATCTGTCTTAATTATGCCATTCTAATCCTTCCCTATTGCGAGCAGACTATTGATATTTAGCTAAACTAAATGGATATTTCATATCATAACTAACTGCAGCTATACCTTATTTTTCCTTGCAAAAGTGTACAAATCTATCGGGCTGGTAACGTTACTACAATGTATTCTAAGGTCATTCGTCAATTATGGCAACTTAATACTTTTTAGGCTTCCAAGACTAGCAACAGATATCTTGTGTGGTTTTGAACGGTGGCCAAAATGGGCAGTTGAAGTTTCATTTTTCAGTCTAAGAATGGTGTGTATCTGAAGCTCCTAACTTCTATACAGACCACCTGGATCGTTTAATTTTTGCTTATGACACCAAAATACAACATAGTAATGCCTTGCAATACATGTATGTCACGCAATTACAAGGATGAAGCACTGTTTGCTTCTCAAAAGTATTTTTGATGGCGCCAATATCTGAACTGGGTGCCATGTTTCCATGACGTCACTGCCTACTTTGAGACAGAAATCTCGAGTTTTTATTTGGTGTTACGATGTTCAATGGAAGTTAAGGGGTGTATATATGTTAATTCAACGATTTTTGAAAATATAAATTGTTGTATTTCGATGTAATTGTGTCATAAGCACTTTAAAGCTCGATTCGTTGCTGTTGCTGATTTTCCATCTCTTGCGCCCCGTAGTAGAACTCGTAGGTGGGAGCAACATTGGGACCGGTGTTGGGATCACCTTCGGGGTCGATGGGTGTCTTCACGAGTTCCTCGCCCACACTTTGAAGACCATGCATCTTGCCGATGCAATCTCCCATTTTAATGTCCGGAGATGCGTTCACAACGTCGTGCAGGCACTGCATCAGATCCACGTAGGCTGAATTGAAGCGGTCTGACAGCCTCCTAGCCTTGGAGCGGGGAGGGTAGAGCCCGGTGCTGGGGTTGGAGAGGATTGGCCACACGGCATCCTCGTCGAAAGCCACTGAATCTCCCTCGAACTGAATGCCCTTACAGGCCTTATCAGGGCACGGGCTGAAGAAATCCTCATATTCCGGGTCATCCGATTTAGAAGGATTATCCCTAACTTCCAGTGTCACCTCCTTTCCTTTGACGATCTCGGCAAACTTGTAGTAGTGGCATGTTTCGAGTACCATCGGGTCGCCATCAGTGATCTCGGCGTTGACATATGGGTTGCAAGGTTCTCCACCCTCTCCTTGAGAAACTATGTAGGCAACAGCTCTGATAGCTGTGTCAATGTTGCTGACTTCGAAGGGATACGAAAGTTGACGTGTGAAATTCCCTGTGAATATGGTAGTAGGCTCTTCACCTTCTGTTGCTTCTTCGCCTTCTGTTGCTTCTTCTGTTGCTTTCATCTCCAGCTTCAGCATGGGACACAGAATCTTGTGGATGTAGATCGCACCGATGGTATCTGGACTGTAGTGCTTTTCTTCACATTTTTCCCTGAGTGCATCTTGAAAGTTTTCAGACATTTCATTGGACGTTCCTGAGGATGCCACTTTTGAAAGGTGATCGTGGAATTTTGTGACGGAGTCCTCGCATTCAGGCGTTTCGATTCCCATGAAGACTTCTTCCGTGTGAGACTTGGACATTTTCTCCAGCGTCACGGTGAGGTGTGGGAGGCAGCCGGCGGGGAGGGGTCCCGGGTACCGCGGTGCGATGTTTGGGTCGTTCAGCACGGGTTCTCCGCCGATGGCGTTCAGCATGTTGGCTGCTAGCGCCATATGATGCATCTCATTCACCAAGATGCCCCGCAGCATATCATAGACTTGCTTGTTTTTCCCGTCTTTGTCTTTGTCTTTGATGCTGAGGGCAGCGCTCAGGTACGGTGGGATCGTGGACCACTCCAGCTCTATGGCACTTTGGAGGGTTTCCCTCAGCGTTGGTAGGTCTACTTCGTCTGCGCCTGCAACACACACGTACGATCGAATGCATTATGCATGAAAATTAAATTGTAATTTTTACCGCAAGAAATTGGAGTTACCCAAATTTTCAACTGTACAACTCGAGTCTTTGTCATGAAATAAGCAATCCACCGCTTCCGTGACGTCACGTTATAAAGATGACACACATGACTCGGTGATCAGTTGATCGTAAGTTGCAGAAAGTCTGTGCCGCCCTCCGTCTCTGTTGATTTTTACTTTATCACGATGTCACAGAAACGGTGGATTGCAAATTCATTGACAAAGACTGGAATGGTACATTCGGAAATTACAGTTTGAATTTCATGCATAATGACGTCTACCAACACAAGTGAACTTTCAAGGTAACACACGAATACAGACTGAAACGACATACATGTATCTCACGTTATATCTTCGAAATAGAATTCATACCAGAGTCTAGATTTTGCTTCATTCCCAGTACATTACAAGTAAATCTATTAATCTTTAATAGCTAATATACGCTCAAAAAAGCCCAGTGAAAAAACTGATCAATGCGCGCGTGAATGCACTACATAAAATGTCGTTGCTGTGGCCCTACCTTCACCTTCAGCGCCTGCCTCCGGCAATCCAACGAAAAGACACGCGAGTAGCGCCATGAGGGCTGTGGTTGTCGCCAAAGTCGCCATTTTCTGAGGATAGAAAAGAAATCATTGACATAAGTATATTCCAAGTAGACGTCTTCCTCATATAGCCACAATTGACAGCACTTAACTTACCACAGAGGAAAGTAAAGGCTATGAAACCACTTGATTGATACAAGTTGCAGATAAGTGGGTTGTCTCATCAATCTTTAGACTGGTTTCCAAATATAAATGATAAATAATAACAAAATGAAAGGTAACATGGATAATGGCTTTGTGTGTCTATTTGTCCTCAAAATTTGTAGCAAAATTTTGTCTCGAACAGACAATGTCTTATTGTTCATGATTATTAACGCTACAAAGCATCTAGGTTTGAAGTTGTTTTTTTAGTAAAAGCCTGCTTTGCTAGGCTAAGAGCTAATTTTCCTGCATGTTATTGAAGCGCACATTCTCTAGTGTGTTGGGTGGTAGCAAGGACATTATACTCTGTACTAAGATGCAGATTGATGTCATCTAATCCTACACAACTGAACTCAGTCAAAATCAGATCTTCACACAGATATGGATGCTGGTTATGCTGTGGATGGTGGAAATTATCCATCCATTCAATCCCATCTCTATACTATTCACACATTCTTTACAACAAAACCACTAAACGTGGTATCAGGACCGTCAGCTGCAGGCTAGCGCTGTTTGAGGGCTACATCGAAATTCGGCAACTTGAATAGACAAAGGTTTACAGTCGTAGGGGTCATAAAGGTTATAACAGCGAGGCCAATGTTACACAAAGCCGTTTCAAACATCTAAGAACCATCATTAAATAGATATATAGATAAAATCATACAATCTGTATAAAATGTACATAGAATATCCAATTCGTGATGTTGTAACATTTTCATAAAACACAAAAACCACGTGGAAAAAGTTTGTGGTGTTCAACATGTGTAAAACAAGAGAAGAGGTTATAGGGTCTTAATTACTAGTAATTGGTCTCAGACAACGGTCCAAATGTTGAGCAACGCATAGAGTTATATTACTCAGCTGTATAGCTTGAAATTGCAATTGATCCGATCTATGCTAAGACGAGTAAGGAAAATTCTCTACCCCAAGCCAATGATAAGTTGTCCACACAAAGATTTACAATCGCACTGTACTTAATAGCAAAGAAGTTGCAATTTTGTAGCTTAAACAAGGTAGAAGATGAAGTTGTAGATTGTAGTTTATATAGTAATGAAATTACCTTTTTAGATATCTTACAAGAACGTTTCCATACTTCCAATGCCTGATTAATATTGAAAGAATCCATCTTTCTTATGCGCTTTGATCATCCTGTATTAAACAACTCCATCTCAAATTATATTTTTAACATCACAAAGAAACGAGAAGAAGCCGAACCTCTGTATTAGAGTACTTTTAGTGCTGCTTGTACTACAAACATGTATATACCTGTTCATCTGTTCACCTGTACTTAGCCCGACAGGGCATGAATGTACAATAAAGTTTATTATTATAAATAAAACTTCGAACCAATCTCGAAATTTACAGTGAGTTGGGTACCGGTGCGATTCTTCATCTAATCACGATGCAGCTCACGTGGAACTTGTCTGCAAGGTAGTCTCGCACGCACATCTTATTGTTTATGATTATTAACGCTACAAAGCATCTACCAATCAGTGGCAGTGGCTATTTATGGCAAAGACACGTTCCTGTTGCTATGGCTAGGTTTGAAGTTTTTTCTTTTAAATTTGGAATGTTTTTGAGCTCGCTTCTCCGTGCTAAATATTTTTGTATAAGACAACAAAGAGCCGTGATTTTGCTGCATGTTCCAGGACCGGCCACTTTCTGGTTCTAATTCTAAGATGCAGATTGTGCACCAATGTCACCTCAACTCACACAACTGAACACAGTGAAAATCAGGTCTTCATACAGAAATGGATGTAAGTTGTACTGGGGATGGGGAGATTATCCATCAATTGAAGACCATCTCTACTTTCCTCACATTCTTTACAAAAAAGGGCTAAACCTCATCTCAGGAAGGTCGGACAGTGTAGTGGTACATCCAAAACCATGACTCATCCCTAGAGGGAAAAGTCAAAATAGGCGGCAATTGCAACTTGAATAGACAAAGGTCCTAGTGTCAGGACGATGTTAGACACAGTAGATCACAGACTCGTGATAAAAAGGACCCAAAATGTCCCGTCCGTTATGTTGCACTTTTTCACAAAATCAAAGGGCAGACTTTGCGGATGTTCAGCAGATGGGCCACATGAGAAGAGATTTTAGGGCCTGAATTAATGGGTTTCAGATAAAACTCCAATTCCGAGAAACAGAGTTTTGTAGTACTACATGTGTCAGTTGTAATTTGCCATGCCCCTTTTGCTTATTTATTTGTAAAACTCAAATAAATGATTTTAAAAAATATGACCTCTAAATCCAAGATGGCGAAAAGTTCACTATAGTCTATTGCAGGGTTTACGTATATCACAGGTCACATCACCGGGTGCCGACGGGCCTGCAGCTACCCTTCCACCTCATTGGAGACAAGACAACAATATACTGTAAAGCTTGAAATGTTAGCGATAGGTTTATTTTTGCAATGACGTCTTAGCGTGAAATCATGGTACCGCGAATATGTGCTTTGTATTTTTACTGTACTACAGAATCGTTTCAACGGTGAACTTGGCACCATTTCCCCTTCTACTGCGCAAAGTACGACCAACGAAAATAAACGAATTTACAGTAAGCCATCATTCCCCTGTCTTTGGTATTTCTATGTTTATCTAATCTTAGCTCACTGAAATAAAAAGACAAAGACACGTACAAAGACTAAGTATAGGATGATCGTAGGTATAATGTAGTCTCCACCCCACCATAGGCCAGAATCTTTTGTAGGCTGAATAAATAGTAGAGATCGGTCTAAAAGGGGATATGGTTGGCCAGAGGAGGCAACCTGGACCTTATATGACCGACTAACTCGCCTGGCCAATTTTCATCCCATTTTAGGCCGATTTCTACTATTTAGTCAGCCTGCAAATGAGTCTGGTGGAGACCAGGTATAATCACGTGTGAACGAGAACACATAATTGTGTGCACGTGGATGGATTGGAATGCGACAAATTTTGGGTGGGGATTAATCAGACCTTTTTGGCCAGCATTTTTTCAACGTTACAATTTGGATTTTTTTATCTTATGTATTGTAATCATTAAAATATTTAAGTATGACCATTTCAAAGAAAACATCTAACGTTACAGCTACACCGTTTCGATCTCAGAATGGATCACTGAAAACTAGGCAGTTTGACAACAACGACTCTTTACGAGGAAGTGACGTTGACAAAAATAAAAACTATAAAGTCGACTGTTGAGATAAAACTACATGTAGGTACACAGGCGATAGATGGCGCCCTTAAATGTGTGAACGACAACTTTGGATAAATTTACATGTAAAAAAATACATTTTTACAGCCCCTCCCTCCAAAAGCAGTTTCTTACGACCCCACCCACCATCAACGGTTAGAACCAAATGAACCAACTGAATGACATTGTGCCCGCATGGAAACCTCGTATACTTATCAAAACCTACACACAAGGTACTATTTCGATATCGGAAAATTTCAAACGGGCTGTGACTTTGGAGCTAGTTTTCCCCAACCGGGGTTATCTGGGGTAACGCTAATGAGACTGACAGAGCTAACCACCGACAATTCTAAGAGAGCTTTTTCGTCACAAGACAGCTGAAATCATCCATGAACCCAAGGATTCACTCAGCTTGCGATCGTACGAATATACGATGAATTTGAGTCCTTGCAGCCAAATAATATAAATGGACAGTTCGCAACACGAGCAATGAGAAGCAACACCCACCTGTTAGTTGCGCGGCAGCTCAGTGCTGAGACTAGAGAGGCAGCTTATCCGCTGAAAAGCGCCTTGGGCCGATACAAGTGTCAACGTGGGGTCGTGTGGCGTCACGACACAGCAACATGAGTCTGTTGCATGTTGTCCTTTCCTTCGTTTGTCTCTCTCTTGTCACACTGGACTGAGTGTGTGTGTTGGTGTGCGTGCGTGCATGTGTGTGTGTGTGCGCGTGTTTGTGTGTGTGTGTGCGTGTTTGTGTGTGTGTGCGTGCGTGCGTGTGTGTGTGTGTGTGTGTGCGTGTGTGTGTGTGTGTGTGCATGTGTATGCTTTGATTGCCTGTGAAATTGCTTTTCCGTGTTCACCCAAGTCCTTCAATCTAGCCACCATAACAGCTATAATGAAGTTTGAAAACTATTCCCACTTACAATTTGTAAGTGACAGTGATCGCCTATTATTAACGTTATATATATCATATATTACTCAACCTACTCTGCTAGAGCAAAAAAAAAAAAATTAGAAAAGCTGTCCCTTTTGGCTGAGAGCAGTGGCAAATGCAGCGGGTATAGTGTTCACGGCTGGATTTCAGGCCAGCGCTTTTGACTGCAGTCAACTTTAGTTGCATGGATCAAAAGTGACCTCTACTAGTTTCTATCAGTACTGCAGCAAACGGCCATAACTTTTGACCCCACTTACACAGCATACAAATGTTACGAAATGTATTCATTATAGACGTTACTGCCAAAAAAGATTAATCAATCTTTCTTAAAATTTTGCCATAATAAAGTTATGTCTATAGATTAATATGATTATCTTTGAGTCCAAAGAATGCATCAGCCAATATACATTCACTGAGATTTCTTCATAGCGCTTTTATGCGGTGACCGATATAAAGCAGCAGCTTGCCGGTTGTCGGCATTTTCGCACTCGCTCGCAATGCGTGGCGGATGTGCCGTCGCTTGCTCCCATTAGACGTCGTTTTTCGCTGGTTATCGGTAAGTAGATTATCTTCTGATTGTCCCGGTGGTAAGCCTACTGATTCCTCAAGTGATCTATTCTGAAATTTACACGTAACGTTTCGTTTTACTACTGCTGCTAGCATGTTAGCAAGTTTAACGTTAGTGTTTACTGCCACGCTCCTTTCAACTTAGCCGTGGCGACTATTGATTCGGGCTTACATTGCATTACCCTCAGGGTAATGCAATGTAAGCCCGAATCAATAGTCGCCACGGCTACTTTCAACTTTGAGCTGACAGCCAGGCCAGATGGTTTACGCCGCAAGGTTTCGAAACCTCGTGGATTTACGTTATTATTGACGCAGTCAACTTTATCTGCGCCCGATTTCACACAGGCACACAACGAAAATAGATGACAACTGATATAATTTTTTTTCTCGAGGGATCAATCTTAGGGACCCCCCCCACACACACACACCTCCACTTCCGGGATATACTAGTAGCACATAATTTGTCACATTGCCAAACTCGCCCAAGACTATCAATGCTAGGACATTATATAGACATAAACAGTCCTTTATCTGTTGCAGTCCTGTACTGAATACTAGTATATAAATCCTTGTGGACCTTATCAACTGCCTCTTGCACGACTTTAAAATATCATAGTTCATACCCTCTACACAGGCAGACAACGATAAAACCATCAAGCTAAATGACAATGAATCAAAGTTGAAAAGTTCTTTTAAACGAATTCACGGCAACTTTTACTCCTTTAGCTACCAACTCCACTGCCATTTTATGTATCTGTTTATTTGGCCGATTTCTAATTCTTTCCAGCCCCCTCTGAAGCCTGGTTGAGGCTATGTAAAAAAAAGAAACACTACAGGATAATGCCCATGATGCCAGCCCAGAACAACCGCCTAGTCCTCCTGTACGGATCCCAGACTGGCCAGGCGAAGGCCATCGCTGAGGAGATACACGACAACGCCGAGAAACACGGGCTCAGGACAGACCTGTTTGGGCTGGAACTGACCGAAAAAAAGGTGAAACTTCATCTATTGTTTCCACCAAACTGCATACAGTCAAACCTGCCCAGGTAGGTCACCCAGGGGGCCGAGGTCAAGTAGTCTTCAGGGGGAGAATACTACTCTCCAAGCAGAGATTGTGGGGGAATGATTGTTAGCTTTTTATATATGGCCGTTTTTTGTCGCTACCCCTCGGTAGCTGGCGACCTTCTCTGGCTAATGGATATTGTCTTGCCACTGAAAGGGATCTGCTTGGAGATTACGAGAATACCAGACACCCCGATGTGGCCACTGTTGACCTGATGATTATGGCTTGCCCAACAGAAAATTGTGGCTTCCCTTACGCTGTGAAAAGTTTCGGCTGAGAACCCTGCCATGTATTTTCTCTCCCACTCTTCACAGTTTGATGTGACAAAGGAGTCGTGCGTTGTGTTTGTGTGTTCCACCACGGGAGACGGAGAACCACCAGACAACGCCCTGAAGTTCTTCCGCAGACTTAAGAAGAAGACACTGCCATCAGACCACTTATCTCACCTCAACTTCGCACTCTTGGGTCAGTCTTTTTATTGTCCTGTATTTTTCGATTTTGGTTAATTTCTATGTAACGTTAGGTAATTGATACAGATTACCCGTTACCAAAGTACATACTAGTAATTATATTTCCCTCTCTGTACACTGTAGGACAGGAAATTATTTTAATGCATTTTGGTAATTTTTGTTGCTATGCAGCAGAAAGTCTGTGGTGCCCCCCCGTCAATACCCTTAAGCAAACTAGTAGCCAAATAACTCCTTTAGGGTGCTAAAGGCAAACTTATGTATGTTGATGGTTCAATGCAGGTTTAGGAGACTCCAACTACACCAACTTCTGCAACTGTCCTAAAACTCTGGACAAGAGGCTACAAGAGCTCGGGGCTAAACCATTCTACCCCACGGGGTACGCAGACGATGCTGTTGGGTAAGTTCTGTAGTACGATGTGTAAAATAACAAACCCATCGTAACATTCACTACACCTATGATATAAGATGCATGTAATATAGACAATCTTGCTGTAATACAAACATTTTTGCCTCACAGATATCAGTATGCTATCAGATAGGGTTGATTCAGCTTATTATACTAAAAGAATGACTGAAAAATTGACTTTGAAAATCCAGTTTTGCCTCCTTGAAATTGCATGGGATGCCCACAACCAACATTGGGAAAGCCATTAGCTTGTTTGATGTTGTTTTCCAAAACTTCATTCTTTATTGTGTAATAGTTTTGACCAACTACAAGTTCTGTTTGTATTTTTCCTCAGTCTGGAGATTGTGGTGGACCCGTGGATAGAAGGGTTATGGACGGCTGCGCGGAAACAGCTGGGGCTGCCGCCTGAGAGCTGCACTGTTGCCGGGGAAACCGTAGCCATGGAGACCACAAACAATACACAAACCCCGGGAGGTGTCACAGACTCCGTAGGTCCAGATAGTGGAGAAACAGAAGGAAAGATTGATATAAAAGAGGAAAGAACTCAAACTGATGGAACAGAGATGAGTGGACATCATGATAATGATAATCCAGAAAGTGACAAAGTCAGTGAGAAAACTGTTACTGTAACAAGTGCAAAATGTTGTGAAGACAACACAGATAATTGCGCTAGCCTTGCACATGAAAATAACACACACAGTGTAAAATCAAAAAACCCAGCTGGTGTCAGTATTACTGAGCAAACTGTAGGTCCAGTAACTGAAAAAAGCACTGCAGCAGAAAGCTGCACTGATGCCACAGACACCGAAATGACGGAAAAATCAGGAAACAACAAAACAGCAGAAGCTAGCGGCACAGGGCAACATAACCTAGAGGACCATACCTCTAACAGCAATGACACAGATGGACAAGTTGTGGATGCTGTGAAAGAACAGGCTGGTCCCTCCCTTACAGTGTCTGTCCCCCCTCTGAGTGATAGTGGACTGACCCTACCAGCCAAGCCTGTGCCATATTTGGAAGTGGAGTTTCACCCAGAAGAAAGTCTGGTAAGTGATGGTAACAAAGTACTTAATTTAACCTTCAGCCTGCTAAGGTATCTGTTTGACACTAAATGTGTCTTGGTTGTCAAGTTAGGCAGCAGGAAGAAGGTTCTAGCCTGGGTACCATCCGGATTTTGGTTCCGCTACGCTCAAAAAAAATGTGATTGTACCCAGATGGTACCCAGGCTAAAAAGGTTCACCCTGTACTGTATTTATGGTGGAATAGACCAACTCTATAGAAAAAGAGACTAGGAAAGTCACTATACTAGAAGAAACTACTGTATAATAAACTTCAAACAACTCTATATAAAGTATGCTGGAACATATCTATTGATACATTGTAATTTTGTATCGTATAAGTTTAACAAATCTTTTCCCCTTTACAGTGTGTTGAGGAGCTGCCCTTGCAAGGTGGTTGTCCCTTCCCCTCAGCAGCTACTGATGTTGTCATGGCAACAGTTACCACGGCAACTCGACTCACCAGGCATGACGCTGTGAAGACAGCTCTGGACATAGAACTGGATGTCTCTGTATGTTTAAGTTATATTGCTATGGAAGCTAGCTTTGAATTTGTTTTTCAAATTTCACCACGTTATGATGATTGTATGCTGTATCTGTACTTAACCCCATCCTCATCATTTCTGAGGGCTGGGGACAGTGGTTGCACTTCTAGTTACTGTAAATTCATTTACTTTCGTAGGTTTTCACAGTTTTTTTAGATTGCATTAATGTATTTTCAGTTTTTGCTATCTTGTGACTGTAATTGTATTATATTGAACAGTGTAAAGAATTTATATCACAGATTAAATTACATCTCTTGCTCCAGTGACTAAGACCTTTGCTTGTAACTTGCAGAATACATGTTTTAAGTACGAGCCTGGTGACTCTTTTGGCGTGGTTTGCCCAAACAACGAGACTGAAGTACAGGATTTGATTAACAGGTATGACACAACATTGTAAAACTTACATCTTCATAATCATAGTTTTTGGATTAATATCTTTCAACAACAGATTCCATTTATAGTCACTGACAAAAAGTAGTGGATATACTTGTTAACAGTTTTGAAAACCTATAAAATCAATTGTCTTAAATGATCAGTCACATAATGTACATGTGTTGATCTTGAAAATAACAAAATTATTGATTAGCTCTTTAGATATTTGACCTTCACACATATTCAATCACAGACTGGGCCTCACAGACCATGCTGACATGACCTTCAGTGTCAAGGTCGTCCAAGGATCCAAGAAAAGAGGTACTTTGCATTTGTGATTTTTGTCAGAAAGTGTGAAGCATTTGTTACCTCCATGAAAAATGGAGGTATTGTCATGTGGTTGGTATGCCTGTGTCAGTGTGTGTGTGTGTGTCATTGATCCTGCATGGCCCGTAGGTCAGGTTGTAATGGATATGGTTGGGTTTAGTCTGTCCCAGAGGGAGATCTGGTAATTCTTTCCTTTTTCATTGTTTATCGTTATATGACCTACTTGACAGCTGAAAGTCCCTTTCATAATTAAGAAAGACTTGTAGTCCCCATCATTGTGTAAATGAGAAGAAGACACAGTTAGCATCACACAAGATCTAAAGAGGTCTTTGAATTCTTTTTCATGTAAGAATTTTACTATGAGATATTCACCTGTCCTTACAGCAGCTGCAGTGCCAGCACACCTGCCTGCCAGGTGCACCATCCGCCACGCTCTTCTCACCTGTCTGGAGATTAGGGCCGTTCCTAAAAAGGTGAGACAACAGATCAGCAATGTCCAGTTGCAGGGCAAGTTTGACTTTAGAAGATGCAAGTTCTGTGTACCTTGTAATAATAAGAGAGCTTTGTTGTATTATTAGTTTCTGTGTTATTTAATTGCAGGCCTTCCTCAGAATGCTGGTGGAACACACCAGTGATGCTGTGCAAAAGCGCCGCCTACAAGAACTGTGCAGTAAACAGGGTACTGCAGATTATGCCGCCTTCATCAGGGAACCGAATCTGAGGCTGCTGGATGTGCTGACAGCTTTCCCCTCGTGCTGCCCTCCATTTGAGCGGTTGTTAGGTAACAAGATGCATCTGTATTTAGTCCTTTTGATTGCAATACAGTCATACTGTTCTTTGTTACTTCTGTCATTTATGTGCCTTGGATGAGAAAAACTTTCAGTCATTCTTTAAACTTTTTTTAGAAATGCTGCCAAGACTTCAACCAAGACCATACTCTGTATCAAGGTAAGAAAAGCATTATGTATTACATAAGGTCTCGGACCGGAGTTTTTTTCACGATTTTGGATCCGGCGGACACCCTCAGACCGAAGGGCTATAACTCCGCCAAAAAAAGTACGCCGGGAAATCTCATTACATCAGTCAACGGAGGTTTCCAGCCGGCTTCCGATACAATTTTGGTTATTGTCCGTCGACTCTATAATTTGGGTAGAAACTGTAGTTAAACGTAAATTTTGGATACGAAAAATGTAGTTTTTTGCAGTTTTTTCAACGGACCTGCTTGGAAAAACGAATTTTCCCAGGCTAACGGCTTATATGCTGAAATAGCTTACTACTTTCTGTTTCTGAAAAACAGAAAAAAAATATAGGTTGTTGCGATAAGTTTTTCGCAAAATCCGGTGACGCGAACCCCTAGAAATTCCACATAGAACGCAGCTATTCGGGTCATCAGGCGACAAACCGCATCACCCTTGCTCGCGGACTAATACCAAAAACGCTTCGCTGGCCGTCCAACTTCACCGCGCCGAAAAACACTACAATCCCAAGGCTTTTTGATCAATTCAAAACCTAGTTGAAAATCTACAGCGATCGCCGAGCTATGGGGAGCCAAACCTAGCGTGACAACCTCGCAGATCCGGCGATTTACTGCGCACTATTTGGAACCCTGGTCAGAATTAAACTCCGACCCGGAACCTTAAGGGTCTGTTTATGTAGAACACAAGGCTTGAACCTGCATATCCAGGTTAGTGCAGGTATTTCTTATGCTGGAGAACATATGACGTGTCACCAACAGTGATCAAAAACTACTTTGTATTCTTCAAAGTATTCAAATCATTGAAGACAGTGTCAAGTTCGAAATGGCCGGGGCTAAAAACTGTTACCTACACTGGTGCAAGTACCCAGAAACAAGCATTTTGAACCCTGGAACCCTTTCTGTCAAAGGGTACCATACTGTTGAATTATTCAGTTATCATTTTAAAAGATGATAAAACTAATATTAATAGTACTAACTGATTAAAAAATTGTATGGATTTGAGGAGCAAAGAGACAGTATTTAGTATAACATTATGTCTAGCTGCACAGGAAAGAATGCATGAACTGTAGATTGACAAAATACCATCTCCAATATTTCAGCTCCCCTCTGGTCCATCCAGACAGACTACACTTTGTCTTCAACATCGTGCACATCCCATCAGGCAATGGGAGGGCCACTGCCTGCACTGGAGTCTGTACAGGATGGCTGGACAGGCTCACCAGGCACATCCAGACAGGGGTGTATGGGGACATTGCTGAGGGCAGTCTCACCACGCACATACAGCCAGGGGTGTATGGGGACATGGCTGAGAAGATAGGCCAGATGTCGCTTAACGATCCACTGACGGTAAGCATATTACTATTTCATTATGAGGTACATTTGATCCAAACAAACGTTATTCAATCTTTACACTACTTCGTAGCATATTTTTATTCTTGACTAAATAAAGTCTTTTGAACTAGTGCAAAAGATGTTGAGAATTATCTACTTCTAATGAAGTCTATATTCTTATTTTCTACAGGTTCCAATTTACCTGAGAACAAACAACCACTTCCGACTTCCCTCTGATCTCTCTGCTCCAATCATCATGGTAGGGCCAGGAACGGGTGTGGCACCTTTTGTAGGATTCCTACAGCACAGGTACATGTACTAACTTTTCTCCCAACAGATCTTTGGTGTATGAAAATATTCAGTAGTGGCAAGACATTATCCATTTTCCATGCCGGTACCATTTGCCACCATCTGGCTGGCATAAAAAAGATATCAGTACAAAAAAGAATGTCCCATAAGAAATGCCTAAAAGCATGTCAGAAATAAGCGAAGGTACTCACAGCTAGCCTGTGAAACAAAATCTCTCTCTGTCAGAGGGTCGCTAAGCCAGGAGACTCATTTAGAAAATGAGAAGCACCAATAGGAGCAAAGAATTCTTTAGCACTATGAAGACTAGGCCAATAGGATCACAGGATTCTCTGTCACTATGGTAATCCTCTATCTCAGCTTGCAACACCATGTTAACAGACAGTTCACAGTCTGATGGTCCATGCAAGGACCTAGAGAGTGTACAGTGTATAATGTCCTTGGTCCATGTTAGCACCTATGCACAAGTCAACAGGATTATGATGTTTCCAACTCTTCTGATTTGGAGGCAACTTGCAGCTTTGGGGCCTTTTTTTGTTTCATTAAAGTGTTTTTAAAAAAGATTTCATTCTGCAGTACTATTTAAAGGCTGTTTGTTTGTTTGTTTCAGGGAGAAACAGAGAGAGCTATCCCCTGATGCTGTGTGTGGGCCCAGCTGGCTCTTCTATGGATGTAGACACAGAGACAGGGACTATCTCTACAGGTCAGCTGGAAAAGATTTTCAAGCTTTCAAAATTTACACCTATTTCATCACTTCACTAAGATGAAAACAAGTACCTAGTTTCGGTTAAGGACATACAGTATTCTCGTATAGGACATACTCATGTTAAAGATCCCACCACACTAATCGAAAAGAGCAGGGATCCTTCCCAGTGTGAGTGGTTCAAACCTTACAGTCTGGTCTCAGGTTTGACAGCTTGAAGAGGTGATAGTCACCACGAGTGTGGTAAATCTTCATAGATAGTAAGTATAGATCTATCAGTGTGTTGTACCTAACCAGACGTTCACTGATGTTGACTTGGTAGGGAAGAACTGGAGCGGTTGGCGGCAGCAGGCATACTGAACCACTTGGTGGTGTGCTTCTCCAGGGAGGAGCCTGTTGCCATGGAAACAGATGGGGCTCCGCCCGCCCGTTATGTACAGGATAACCTCCATCACCATGGTGATGAGGTTGGGAGGATGTTGCTGGATGAAGGAGCCATTCTCTATGTTTGCGGGTGAGCAGCAACTTTAGATTTGTCTGCCTGGAAAAAATAGAAATGAGCCAAGACAGTATCAAATTCGCCTTCTACAAGTTCTAACAGTGCAATCAGATTCAGAGATAGCAGACTGCATCCCCTTACCCATGCTTACCCATTACACAGACAATAATAGCAGAAATTAAGGGTGTGTGATAACTCTGCATTGTGTTTAGAGGGGCAATTGCAGTAACACAGATAAACACAAAAGCACTACTTACAGTTTCATCATGGTATCTTTCTAAATTTTATCCCCAGGGATGCCAAAAACATGGCCAAAGATGTGAATGAAGTCATCACACAGATTGTACAGAAATACAAAGGTAAGCTTTCAATCATATATATCTGTTGATAAAATTTGTCAATATTCAGTTAGCATACTAGTAATTTTAAAGAACCTGACACCAAAACTGTGTTCATGTGTTCAAACAAGTCATATTCATCTGAACAACTATCCCCATTGCTTCAGTTTCTTTGCATTACCTAACATTTTCCTCACTACTTTTCTCAGGTTGTACCATCCAAGAGGCTAGAAACACCATCTTCCAACTGAGACAGGATAGACACTACATTGAGGATATCTGGACTTGAAGTGTTGTATACAAGTCTTAAGTTTGCCAGCCATCATACATTGGATTTAAGCAGCTTTAAAGCCTGTCACCGTTTTAGTGGATATACAGTACCAGTGGTTACAATTCTTCTGCAGTATGTTATCAAGTCAATAGGAGGTGCTAGAGGAGCAACTATTTTAGTTACTACAATTTTATCTTTCTATGTCACAGTGAGTATAAGAAGTTGAAGAAGTAAAGAAAAGGATGAGTCAGTTGCTCTGCGCTGAGATGTTTTAAAGATGACATGACCATAAACCTTAAAGCTGTAATATGATCAGTATGATAATACTAGTAGTATGCAGAGAGTTATGTTCTTGAAAAAGATGGTATGCATGAAAAAGATGGTAGATCTCCAAAGATGTACAAAAACAAGCTGAATCTGTACACCTGCTTACAATTGCAGATAGTGAGAGATAGCATATTCTTCATGAATAAAAATATATCACAGGCGAAGTTAAAACACCATATGAAGGGCTTTTGAAGTGTGGCCTTAGATTGTATGTTTCAGTATACATCTTGGATCATCTTGATAGATAGATGAACATTTGGTATCTTGTATCTATAGAAGTGTAATATTGGTGATATTGGTGGCAAAGATACATATATGGGCATCTGAAAAAGAAGCACTTGGAAGTCATGTTTATAGTTCTAACAACACTTAGTTGTACTCTTTTGTTGACATTTTGTATTAGTTTATCAAAGTTCATTAATTTCACATTTTCACTTGTTAAGCACACTAACTAATGAGCATTTGTTGCCTGTAATTTCACATTGTTTTACGCATAATTAAAGTTTTGGATAACACGTTAAGATATTTGTCTGATGTGTGTTTGATGATGGTTGGAAAAATAGAGTTCTTCAATCTCATATTTCAGCCGGGCTTGTTATCCCTCCACCCAAATACACAAAATCAAACAAGGCAATCAGAAATGGCAGACGAAAACTATAGTCTTCACAAGAAATATCAGAGGCCCTCTACCGATTTTAGTATGAACTGCAGCAAATCCAATGTAGGCCGCTTATGCAATCCCTGAATCCCCGAGTCCTCTGATTGGTCCCCAGCATGACCTGATCCTTCGGCTGATCAAACGGACCAATCGCAGCGCCCGACATACCGGGTGCGGGCTGCGGAAGCGATCTTGGCACAGTTCTTACCTGTATATATAACATAACTGCAGGGTTTTGAGAAGCTACAGTGCAATAATCATGGAGGTGAACGATTCTGTGGTCACCACAGTTCGGCTGATGGCCGACTACATGCCCGATAACCCTCTGAGCGGCCCGTTCGAGGCGGGTTGGCGGTACATGACGGCCCACTACACCGAGTTCCAGATCGCTACCTGGGGGTCACTCATCGTGCATGAGGTAATAACGTAGGCACAACAGACAAATGACTACTATACTGATTGACATACTACTAGTTAATAATTTTGGTAAGAAAAAAAATATAATATACCTGACCTTTCTGATTATAATTCAACATTCCTGGCCTTTCTGAATGTCTCAATGCTATATAAGATATAATAGCCTTTTCTACTCTACTCATAATAACCTAACGTACGTTAACGTTAACGTTACCTACAGAATGTATATTTAGGATCATGTCATAAAATCTGCCTAAATTTATGGCGAAACTAACAGCTATTTTGAAATGTAATTTCCGTCTGGGTAACGTCAACTTGAATATTGTTCTGTGTTCGTCTAAAATAAAAATCGAGTTAAAGATTTCAAAACAAAAATGGTTCGTAAGTTGCTATCTTAAGTGCGTATAAGTGACAGCCCTTTCAAATTTTAGAAATAACAAACACGGCGGACATCGAATGGAATTATATAATAGCCTCAGACTTCAAGACATAAAATATATTTGACTCTCAAGTGCTGTGTTGGAAAAAATGCAATAGACAACCTAATAAACAATGATGAGGATGTATATGCATCTTGGTTATTACTTGTATCAACCAACCTCCTTGCCAAAATCTTGGGCAACTTCTATAAAAACGTCGTCTATAAAAACAAAATGACTAGCCGTGTGACCATAAACATACCAAGAGAAGCAAACGAAATTGAATTGCAATTTGAATTCCAGCGTGCCTGTTCTTATTTTTCTCGTACTATATGATAGCCTAAACTTAGTTATACCTCAATCCCAAACGGGAATTTATTTAGAGCGTTAGTGTGGTTTTCGGCCCGTGCCTGAATTAACCACAACAACCCTGTTTCTGTACGTCTTTTTGTTTGTGCGAAGTAGTAGTCTAGACATCTTAACTTAATAACGACATAAAAGGAAAATCATGATCCAAGAAACCCGCACATCTGCTTGAAGATTACAGACCGTCCTTAGTACGCCGTCGTCCATTGGATCATACGTATGAGTCGATGTGACGTCATGAGGTAGTCTTTGGCAGGTTGTGTAAAGGTATATCGAAATGCAAGATGGAAGATAACAAAAACACCTTTGGAATATTAGATTTAAAAAAAAACAGATTCGTGAAAATTGCCGAAGGAAACACTGCAATTACATTGTGATTTAAGCAACGCAAACTCTCCAAGAACGAAACGTAACTTGCGTTTTAGGGTGTTTTCAGCGCTCTTTGCATGATGAAGGAGGTTAACCTGGCACGATAAACAATGACATGGGAAATCCTGACCATTGAGTTTCCAACGCGACGTTTTCTTGTTTTCCCCCCACAGTTGCTGTATTTCCTGATCTGCCTACCAGGCTTCATCTTCCAGTTTCTGCCTTTCATGCAGAAATACAAAATCCAAAACGTAAGTACATTTAGGTCAATGTGACATTATCCGTTCATGCGTTTTCGTTGGTGGTGGCATAAATATAAGTTGAAAAAATTGACAGTGCCGTCGCCTTGTCTTGTAATATATGTTGGAATAGAAAAAAAAATGTGACGTTGTTTACTACTACAGGATAAGCCTGAGACGTGGGCCGGACAGATCCAGTGCCTGAAGGTCATCATGTTTAACCACTTCTTCATCCAACTGCCGCTGATGTGCGGGACCTACCACTTCACGCAGTGGTTCGGCATTCCCTACGACTACGACTCCATGCCGCCATGGTAACGTGTTTATTTGTGTTTGCTTTTGTTTAAATTTCAGTTTCTTTAACCCTAACTTTTTACTAAAATTTTACTAAATTCTAAGGGAAAAACATGCTTGTCCGAAGGAAAAATAACTTGAAAAATTGACCATTTTCACATACCGATAAATATAAGCCAGGCCAGCGCTACTTTGGTCAAGACGATTTATCCGAATTTTTTATTCCCTGCACAACAGATTATATTGTGTACAACTGACCGCCTGGATATTTTGTACTCTTGTCTGCAGGTACGTGTTGTGCATGCAGGTGTTCTGTTGTGCGGTGGTGGAGGACCTGTGGCACTACGTTCTGCACCGCATCATGCACCACCGCAGGTACTACAAGTACGTCCACAAGGTGCACCACCACTTCCAGGTCAGTCCTGCTTTTGATCTGCAGTCGCTACATTCCATTAGAATTAGGGCAAGGCAATAATTTTATCGTTTCCTTCGGAGGTTGAACTTCAATCACCCATCTCCACGCGCGTAATTGAAAGACTAAAAGTTGTCCTCATTTTTTCAGGTGCCGTTCGGAGCGACGGCTGAATACGCACATCCGGTAGAGACAGTCGGTAGGAATCTTCCTATATTTCCATAATATTAATAAGCAAATTTATATTATTGTACCGTGAGTATATGTCTGGTACGTTTTGCGCTACTACGGATGTTTTAAACACATGTGGCGTTGCAAAATTGTCCTTTGTGATAATAAAATGTTATTTTCATTTTTTTTCGGCAGTTTTGGGTACCGGGTTCTTCCTGGGTATCCTGATGTTCTGTACGCACATGGTGCAGATGTGGGCGTGGGTGGCCGTGCGACTTATCGAGACCATCGATGTCCACAGCGGCTACGACCTGCCCTACCACCCGCTACACCTCATTCCCTTCTACGGAGGTAAGTACTGACTGTAACTCTGCGACTGTAGAGGGTGTTAGTGTTGGTCGGTAAAAGTATGAAAAGTTTCTTCCGAGCAGAAATAATGTACGTACGTGCAAAATGTTGGTCCAGAAGTCTCTGCCAACCTTCACGCATTCACCTGACGTATTAGGGACGGGGGACGATGTAGATTTCTGGGAGCACGTCGGTAGAACCTACTAGTACCGTACTGTACCTTTGCGAGCCCCGCATTGTACAGGGCTGGCATATGACATCCACAGAGAGTCTTTAAGGATGACATCCCAACATCCAGCGAAAACCGTGAAAAATCGGCGTTTCGCACAGGCCCAGTACGTTCTGCCGACGTGCTACCTCTGGGTACTTTTGACCCATTGCTGACGCCACACGTCCACAATGTTACGAATCAGTAGTCATACTCTGTTGAATGAACTTGAATGTTGAATGAAGGTTATAAGTTGGTCCGTATGAAATTTTGACATATTCGGTCTTTATTCTGCCAGGCGCCCGGTTCCACGACTTCCACCACATGAACTTCACCGGGAACTACTCCTCCACGTTCACCTGGTGGGACAAACTGTTCGGCACCGACCAGCAGTACAAGGACTACCAGAAAAAGGTGGCCGCCAAGGAGGGGGGCAAGAAACAAGAGTAACCTGTAGTACCACAGTTTGGCGCGCTGTGGTGTCTCGGAAGAACGATTTCCATGTAAAAAAAATTTACTACAATACAATGTATGTTGTCAAATTAAATGCGCAAGTGTACGCAAACCGACTTCGAATTAGTGAACCCTTTGCGTGTGACTTACCAAGATGATGTATATATAAACACATCTAGTAGAACTACTAGAGGATACAACGCAAAGGGACACAGAAACAAGAACAGCAAAGTTCCACCCCTGAGATGTTTGGAGGATAGGTCTGACAGAACCAGACTAATACCAAAACAGAAAATGGAGTTTGCTATTCACCACAAGGCGGTCGTCTTTCCCAAGAATAGTACCCATGCAAAAATGTAATATAAATAAATAAATAAATGAAATATGCAAAAACTGCCATAGATCTGGTAGACCCCCTTACCTCTGATTTTTCACATTGATGTAGTAAGAGCCATTATAGTTTATACATTGTCATCATCATATTATTATCAATTCGAAGTTGTTCAATAGTACTTGCAGTGGGTGTCATGCAACGTTCTTGTACCTGTGTACTCTCCAACGTCCTGTATACAATTGTATAAAATAACCATGTGTACTGTGCGTCATAATACTATTGATTATACATTTCCACCCCTTGCGGTTGATGTTATTATAATTTGTTATCTATGGCTTGGGGGTGAAAAATACATCAATTGTAAGTTACTCTACATTTAGAAAACCGACTTGCAATGTTTTATGTTAAAATGGTCTATATGACTGAAAACTGCTTTCGGTATACAGAGTAATACTGTAACATGTATTTGAAGAAAACTGCCCGAAATGTCTATCAAATAAAGTTACTGTTTGTGAGCAAGAAATAGTGACTGTCGTCCTTCCATAGTCGGGGGTAATGAAGACAAGACAATATATATCATCTGAAAGAACTGCGTAGACGTTATAGTTTGGTTACACCATCTTTTGAAGACAGTCCGGTATGGAACCAACATGTATGGAACATGTGCACGCAAATGGAGCAAAGTCTCGTAGAGGTTAACGAGCGTCCTCTACCGGGTTACATTTACATTGCACCCAACCTTAATGATCTATTAAAACGTACGGCAGGACGTTGACACAAAATTAAGATCACAAAAGGCTCTACATACTGTACCCTGAACTGTACCGTGTTCTATGATTGGTTCCCTTTATGGCATGATTTTCTCGGGTCAGAAGTCCGCGTATATTATTACAGGCCGACCTCTGACCACTACTGCTTTGTCAGCAGTCGGTCGCAACCCAGAGGTGGGCCTCTATCTGGTCGCAACCAATCTACGCCCAAAACCTTCTCTTCAAGTCTTTAAAACACGAGAGACATGGACGTCAACGATTCGCTGATCACCACCGTCAGGCTTGTAGCTGACTACATGCCGGAAAACCCGCTCAGCGGCCCGTTCGAAGCGAGCTGGCGATCCTTGACTGAGAACTACACCGAGTACCAAATCGCTACCTGGTGGTCTCTGTTTTATCATGAGGTAAGTATTTTGCCCGTAAAATTATATTCGAAACAGTAGTAGTTATCGGTAACATGTAGCAAGGTGGTCTTTCGCGTATGTTTCAATGTTTCCACGCCTTTTTTTCATAAAATCATAGTCTGAAGTTATTTTTTTTTCTTCTTCAGATTTTAAGAAATTGACAATGCAAATGACTATGAGATCAGAATGCATGACAAATTGATATTTGATGATACAAAGGATTGTGGCCAACCACAAATACTTCAGTTACTGTAATATGTTCCATACTAGTCACTGTTCTGGGATCTTTGTACCCTTCTAGGTACATGTATTACTTTTGTACCGTTCTACAGGCCACTCGCCTATTGACAGACAAAAAAAAAAACCAGACCCAAAATGTACTCATCCTTAGCGATAAGAAAATGTGTATTTTTTTTTCCACAGGTGACATACTTCCTGATCTGCCTACCTGGGTTTCTCTACCAGTTTCTTCCCTTCATGCAGAAATACAAAATCCAACAGGTTGGTATAAAGAACAAACACTGCATAACATAACTCCTAATTCATCTAGAACTGTTGTACAATTACATGACCCTAATGTAAACTGTGTAGAATGTTTTGTAATATTATGACACTAACATACACATGTATGTACATTTGCAGAAGGAAAACAATATTGGTTTTGCTCTCTTCTTCTATTTCTCCAAACACAAAAGGTTAATGACCTAGCTAGACCAGACATCTGTCACCATGGTAACTGGTGCTGTAGCAATAGGAATACAGGGAGAGAAACGTTTAAAGTTTTAATGATCTATTTTTCCACAGAACAAGCCTGAGACATGGGAGGGACAACTGCAGTGCTTTAAGCTGCTGATGTTCAGCCATTTCTTCATCCAGATGCCCCTGATATGTGGGACCTACCACTTCACTCAGTGGTTCAACATACCGTATGACTACGACTCCATCCCACCATGGTAGGCTGTGCATTTCCATTTCCATTCACTCATGTCAACCAAATGATTGATTTTACATTCATCAAAAATTAACCTTTTTGAGTAATATATCCAATGTATATATAAAACACCTTTGTTGTGACAGGTATGTCCTGGGTCTGCAGATTTTTGGGTGTTTTGTAGTTGAAGATGTCTGGCATTACTTCCTCCACCGCGTTCTACACCATAAGGACTACTACAAGTATGTGCACAAGGTTCACCATAACTTCCAGGTAAGTACATGTACTAGTAATAAACTAAGTAGTAATAGTAATTTGCAGTAACCAAATCAAAATACAACTGTTACAAGAGTCCATTGGACCCTGGAGGCCACTATAACCTCCATGAGTCAATGATACAAGAAAAGTCCACATACACCTACTACATGATGTATATATAAACCCAGTACATGGACCAGTGCAGGTTAGGTGCAGGTAGACATCAGAAATACCTGCACAGCTCCTATTTTACCTGCACTAACCTGCATATACCCAGTACATGGACCAGGGCAGGTTAGGTGCAGGTAGACATCAGAAATACATGCACAGTCCCAATTTTATCTGCACTAACCTGCATATACCCAGTACATGGACCAGTGCAGGTAAGGTGCAGGTAGACATCAGAAATACCTGCACAGCCTCAATTTTACCTGCACTAACCTGCATATACAGGTGGTATTTTGAGCCCTGCTGGCATATCTAAAAGCACATCTTTTTCCCCATCTCTTGCTGCTTGGCTGCTGTAGGCCCCATTCGGAGCAGTGGCAGAGTATGCCCACCCAGTGGAAACTGTGGGTGAGTAACTTACTAATTTACATACCAATTTACATATCAATTTACATACCAATTTACATACCATTGATTCATTTATTTTCACAGATTTAATTTTGTGATAGGAGAAAGGTTTTTGCAGTGTGTTAAGGACACACCAATTTAATGTTGTTTCTTAATTGTTATGTGTAATGGAATGTAAGAAATGATAACTAAAATGTGCTAAGAAATTGCAGATGTTAAAATCATAAAGATTTCCTCGTCCAAAATATTTTTCACTTTGTCGCCCTGAAATTGCATTGGATGCCTTTAAAAGATAGCTGTGCACCATGCTTATTTACTTACCCTGATCCCTCTGCACATGTTGCCAGTGCTGGGAACAGGGTTTTTCCTGGGCATCCTGTTCTTCTGCACCCACTTTCTGCAGATGTGGGTTTGGGGGCTGTTCCGTCTGCTGGAGACCATAGATGTGCACAGTGGATACGACATCCCGTACAACCCTATGCACCTGCTGCCCTGCTACACAGGTAGGGATTGTTGTCGGTAAAAAATGGTAAACATAGTCCCATTACTATTAGTATTTTCAGGCTGTAGGGGTATTTGGGGTGTTAATCCACCATGTCTGGAGCACAGTATTGGAAGGCAGAGCCTGTCCCTCTTTTTCTACCACCTTTTAACTTTACAAAGTACCTCCCCAATCAAAATCAGGCGATTATTTTACACCTGACCAGAGTGAGGAAAGTGCATTTCCTCAGGCCACATCTTGCCACGAATCAAACCCATGGCCCCTTGATCTCATGCCCACTAGCTTAGCCTTTTGATGCCACAAGATTGTTGGAGGAAGGATTCATGACATTATGGATAATGTATATTTATGTATATGTGCTATATAGAAAGGCCATGCTGGTATATAGTACAGTGTCCTAAACACTATTTTTGTGAGACCAACTGTTTTGGCATGCTAAGCTAGTGCAACATGTTTTTGAACAGGGGCACGCTTCCACGACTTTCACCACATGAACTTCAACGGGAACTACGCCCCGACCTTCAGATGGTGGGACAAGCTGCTCGGCACCGACTGGCAGTACAAGGAGTACTGCAGCAAGCTGGCCAAGGAGGGAACCAAGAAGGACTAGGAACAACCTTCTCAATATTCAGAGTTTTAGAGTTCCTGTTTTATTCATTATTGTGAGTTTCTTGATGACTATGTTGTTCCCCACTGGCTCCCATAAGGCAACATATGCATGCAGATCTACATGGAAATTGAAGACATAAAATAAGATAACCTTTTCTGGGACCTTTAACCTAAATTTGTGTCAGTTTCCCTGATGTGCCAAGCATGTGAAAAAAAAAAACTTAAGAAACACAACACACACACACACACACACACACACAAAACACCTCTGTACATGGAAAAATAACAATCCCTAAGCAGATATTATGAGGGAAAAACAGAATGTTATGATTTAACCTGACAGCTTCTGCATAGAGATAAACCCCCTTCCTTGCTGCTTTATGTCCTGGAACTACATGTACCTTGGCAGGGAGGTTAAAATCACAACATTCAAATGCATCAAAAACAACATAAAAGATCTTTTCAACTTATCCAACATACAAAGATGTAAGCCAAACATTTTGCCACAGGTCACGAAGTTATGGTATTACATCTCTGTAATAATTTTAAAAAATATGTAATGAAACAACATCAAAATGAACTTAAAAGTTCAATGTCTATGGAATGTAAACTTGCAGTCTGGTCTCATTTCATGAATGTATGCAGGAATAAGGATAATTTCTCTGAAAAAAAATGAGTTATTAGTATTCTTAACACTTGAAGAATATATCTTAACTGGAGACTGCTGATGGAGTTCATGATATTCTGAATACTTCTAACAATTATGCCACAGATAAAAACTTAAGAAATAAATTCATTGGAAACAACTTCAATATGGTAGGGTGTTTGCTTGGTCCTGTGTTTAATAGACTTCCTGATCTACATCACAAATGTGTCTGATGGTTTTTGATTCCTTTCCATGATGGGTGTATCATACATACTGTTTACTGTATATCTTGAAATGTTTTGCAGTGGTCTTATTTTGGAGGTAGCCTCTCCAACACGAATTCACAACACTGCAAATATGTGTTCCAATGTATTACTACAGAATTGTTTCAACTGAGCCTGTGCAAAAATAATTGAATTTACACAGGTATGTATATAGACTACATATACTTACCATCAAGTACATTCACCATTTCCTACACTTTCCAATTCATACTTACTGCCTCATACATATACTTAAATACAACATTCACAAAGTATCACAGTTTCAGCTATTAAAGAAAAGGGTTTTTTTTGTAAAATGCGTACATCAATATAGAATTGTCATGAACTTTTACTAGCTACAGACTTGAATATTATGTCATCAGCATTCATTCTATGACACTACAACAGTTTTGTAGAACATCGTATTTCTGTTACACTTTATTTATAGACTACACAGTGAATTATAGAGTAACTACTTGACATCCATGGTTCCAAGAGAAGGTCCACTAGGACAACATTACAACTGGGACTGTGAAAATCTTTTTAAGATCATCAAAGGAATGACTGCAGATTCTTCACCGGAAGTCATCTGGGTTGAACATACCCTGAAAAACAAGAATGCTTTTTAAAAAAAGCTGACCGGGGGCCAAGATGAGAATAAAGGTAGCTGGTTTTGTGGTGTGAGTGTGACAATGTGTGACTTAAATTCTGCAAATCACGATTTTTTCGTGGTACTTTTGTATTCAATGTTTTTGCAACCACTTCTATATCTTGAAATAAACTCCAGATTAGCCTTTAGCATACCTAGGTAGCCATTTGGCTACCAGCTCTCTATTAGTTACAGGGTCAGGCAGCAGGGAGAGGGTTGATTAAGGAAGGTTTACCTTTGCTCGTCTGAGGATGGAATCCTTGCTGGCGTCATACGGATGGTCTTTGGATGGAATCTCCAGAACAGCAGGAATGGGGTTGGAGTGAGCGTCAATCACATGTCGGATCAACTCTGCTATCTGTCAATGGAAAATACATGGAAAATATAGCCTCAATTTTTTTCTAAAAAAAAAAAAACGTTTTTAGTATTACACTACCAGGGTGGCAAGAAATAAGTAAATCGCTAGTCTACTTCAAGGAATTGTAAGGATTAACTGGCAGTGGAAATATAATGCATTCTATTACTGCACAATACAAATATGATATGTCCATTGTAATGCTAAGTCCAAGTCAGACCAAGTGTGATCTTAGCATTAGAGCTACAAACATAAAACACACAAGATTTTAGGAACCTTTGAAGTGGCCTTAACAGGACTTGAAAATATATATATATGATGACTCACATTTTGGTTTATCAGGATGACAGCAATGTCACTTCTCTGCACAAAACTCTTGAAAGTTTCCTCAATTTCACTCACACTGGTGTCTGTAGGGAAGGAATAAGACACCATACATGTATATACTCAATTGAGATACAAAAAAATTCAGGCTGGCTAGAACACTATAACAAAAAATTAACATACTACATGTACAACATGTTCTGTCACAACTTGGAATTCTGGCTATACAATACATTTACAATACATTTACATATTTCCTTGCATATACATAATTTCATAACATTATTTTGAGCAGTGGAGACACTCCATTTACTGCATTTAGATTAGAATCATAGATTACGACTTTGTAGCTTTAGGCCTTTGTAGCCTATTTTTCCACCTTTGCACCTTTCCACATTTGGCCTACCTTTTTCCACCACCAGGAAGTTGGGTTTTCTTTCCTTGTTCATCTCCCCAATACCTCCCAGTAGAAACCCAGTACAGGTGTCCTATGTCAGGGCAAAACAAGGTACACAGGTATGAACAATACAGCTTCACCTAATGTCAACACTTTGCGGTTGGAAAACCATATGAAACAGCACCAAATGATGTATAACTAGAGCTCTGGACCATCCATAGATACCTGAGATGACAGTGAACTGAACTGAAGAGTGGCCCAAACTGGGACTGGTGTTAGAAAAAGAATGAAGGGAAACACGGCTGCACTGATGGATAACTCAACTCCCTTTTTTTTTCAAAGCTTTTGGAAGGGGATTGGCTGTTTGGACAACAAAAGCCCAGTCCCATCTGTTAAACACGATAGTTCTACGATGGTCTTAAGTTTGTAGAAGAGTTCTAGAGTAATGTACAATGAATTTTACGACCGTCTACACTGGTGTCCTATCCGTCCGAACCAATTCTATTCTAATGTACTCTATTAAGGGGGTATAAAGTTACTAGTAATCTCCAAGCAGATGTTGGGTGGAAAGGTCTTGTGACATACCAGTACCAAGAAAGTGTTTTAGGCCCAGGCACCATAAAATGTGATGATGTCATAATCATGTGACAAGAAAATTTATGCATTGGAAAAAAATATCAAGATTCTTTTAGACCATTTCTGTCGATGTAATGATGTAGTACATCATGTAACGTTACATGCCTTTGCTTTCATTTTTTTTTACCAAGGCAATGCTTGGATAAAGGTTTGGGTGAAAAAGGGCGTGTAACGTTATATGTGAACATGGAAAACAACCAAAATTTGGTGACCTCGTTTAGAATACAACATGTTCAACGCCAAAAATTGACGTCCCCTGTCAGAAAACTCAACCAAAAATTACCACAAAACCTTCTTCGTGTCTTTATGATTCAAACAATAATAATAAAGACTTTAAAATATTTGTAGAAATGACTCACTTCATCGCCGATTACAGAGATCAGCTTCCCAGCTTTCATCATCCGCGCCATGTTGGATAGAAGTGCTTTATGGGGACAAACCATTAATAACAACCAATTTCGCCTTCGGGAAATCTAATGTTTTGATAACATACAACTAGGTTGTGCTTTTTTTATATGGCTTTATACTTACTTTTGCTGATTTATAATCCTATATTGTAAGATATTCTTGCTTTTGTGAAGGAAACGAGGACGGTAAAGTGCTCCCATCCGACTCTTTGAACATGCTTACTGGTCTTTCCCTAAGCATCTTCCAATGTTGTGGCAGGGATAGAAATGTTCAATGATATTCAAAATTCGCTGTACAAGCGTTAGATTACAGATATATTCAATTTGTTAACAAAATTCGTCACATATTAATTGAGTAAACTTTTGTTTCGTGTATGTTAAGTAAATAAATAATGCAATAGTTATGATTTTCAAAATTGTGAAGTTTGGTCCCCTTTGATAAGTGGAATGTTCTCGAGTCATGTGACCTTCAATCAGCTGATCGCGTTTATTTACAGTGTTGTCTGCCTGGTTCTGTCTGTCAAAGAGTGATTTAAACACTGTTTTATGGCGTTCAATTGCCTCCTACTCAGACAAAAACACACATAAAAGCACAGAGAAGCAAATAAGTTTGTTATATGTAACGTTGGTACCGTAACGTTGAAGTGGTTTGTTAATAATACCGTACGTGTGTTGTGTGTGTGTTGCTGCTGTGATATCATCTTACCGAAACAAAAATGTCTATGGATTCTGGTGACCAACATTGGTGAGTACATTGTTTTCATTATCATAACGTTCCATGAACTGCACATCTCAAAACGCCCAAACAAATGTTTATTATGATCTTTTTAATTTTATAGAAAACAGTGATTTGGTGGCACAGCATTTGCAAGTATTTACATTTTTTGGTTTCGACATATTGTTCCTGGTTTCGCTCCTTTTCCACTTTCTTCCGTTTGCAGTTTCACATGTGTATAGATAGTTTACTCCCCAAAATAAAGTCCAACGCATCCTCTCCTTACTCTTTAACTATTAATTGATTATTTATCAATTGTTTACTCTTTGGTCCGCTACGAAAGTATGAAGGTCAGAAGTTGATTGACAAGTAATTCTGGACGTGTGTGAAAAGTAAACAAACACAGCAGTTTTAAATGTTATAGCTGTACCATTGGCACATGCGTACGGGTGTGTACCAGTCAGTTTGTACAGAAAAATTACGTAATTTAAATTTAATTAATAATTATTAAATTATAAATGATTAATATTGATAAAGTGAACTGAAGTATATAATTCAAAAAATCTCGTTATCATTATTTTAATTAATATTAATATAAATAATATGTAATTATGTATAGGTTATACTTGGCATATATTTTCTAATTACACACAACTGTAGTTTGAACAACATACAAAATTTAAGTTTGCTACAGTTCTTCACCACCATCTTCACCAGCTTTGCTTTATTGATGTTCTGTGTTTTATATCTAATTCATCAATATTCATTGTGTTCAAAATTAACGTATTTACATTTTAAACGTTTAAATTTAAATGTTGAACCTTCCAGTGACACCAGTAATGGATATGTTCACCTGCATAATCCCCACCTGAAAACAATGGCGTCAGACTTCCTCTATCACTTCAACCTGGGCACAGCCACGCATGACCTTCCCGCCATGTTTGGGGATGTCAAGGTCAAGTACAAGCTTATGAATAGACATTTACATACAGAACGCATAGTGAGACCTGAAGGTCAAACTAGAATATCTGACAGATTCAGTAAACATACTAGTACATATAATAAGACTACTGTAAATAAGCACTGACTTCTGCTTGCTGTTAGAATACCCAGTACTATCTGTAGACACTGACTTTTCTTACAAACAGTTAACTTCTTTCAAAGAGTTTACCGAAGCTGGTGTTTTACATTTTTTGCAGTGACTCCGCCACAAAATGATGTGCATTCCCTTTGTATTACAACTGTACTTCAGAATTATTTAAACTATGAACTTGAGAGATCCTGAAACTTCTTTTCCCTTACTGCAAAAGCAACACGCAGATGCAGAAGCAGATGAATTTACAGTATTTGTACCCTGGTGCCCCACAGTTTGTAGTTGTTGGAGGCAGTCCGACACGTATGGGGAAGTTTGCCCGGTTCATTCACCAGGAGTTGGGTCTGCCAGATTCGGAGGAGCCGCGGGACCTGGCTGATACTGACCGCTACGGCATGTTTAAGGCTGGACCTGTGCTGTCTGTTAGTGTGAGTACAAAGTGATTCTTAAAGCTGTATTCTGTAACATTAGGAGTCTTAGGACCACAGAAAAAGTCAATTTTCTTGTAATTTCTTTACAAAGTAAGTTGAATCTACCCTACTCCATTGCATTCAGTGCCATTCAGGAAGTGGAGGTTCCAAAATGTATGACGCATTACGAGTGTGTTTAAAAGCTGGAAACACAGCTGTCAGCCATGTTTATATTCTAGTACATGTAGTTTGTGGTGGTACCACAAAATGATTGCACCTCATGTGGGCTGTTTTAGCAACAACCATAAATGTTAGAAATGTGACATATATTTTTTTATTTTTGTAGTCGCCTTTAAAATTGTAGTAAATGACAATTACATGAAGAATTTTTCAATTCAAATACTTCTATGTTTATACATAATTCTACTTTACTGTTATTACAGCATGGTATGGGGATGCCATCCATGTCCATAATGCTGAATGAGTTGCTGAAGTTGTTGTACCATGCCAGATGTAGTAATGTCGTCATGTTTAGGATGGGCACTTCGGGGGGGCTAGGTAAGTACCATGCAGGAAAATAGCCTAACTAGCATGAATAAAGTCTAACTAGTATGTCTAACACAAACAGCTATGCTAGAAACACTGCTAAGTTTTGGACTCAGATTGCCTGGAAATGAAGATACTGATAGTCATCTTCAATTGCAAAGGACTAGTACCACCTGTTTTTAGCACTGCTTAAGGTCCATATGTGTGTAGCTTCCTTTATTAAAGAAAAAATGTACTTGTTCTTTATTTGTAGGATTACAACAAGTTTGCTATGTGAGATTGCACAATGATACTATCTAATGAAATATTGACATGTACAATGAAAGTGATAGAGATTGCACAATGATACTATCCAGTGAAATATTGACATGTACAGTGTAAGTGTCTGTGATATAAAATGTAAGAGATGAATGTTTATGTTTACAGGCCTTGAACCAGGCACAGTTGTGATCAGTAAGGCTGCTGTGGATGCTTGCTTCAGACCAAGGTATACACAGGTATGCAATGTGTTTATCCTAATTCTACTTACTCAGACTTGGGTCCTAGTGGTACACCAGCATTGTGGGAACAAGCTTCCTCCACTCATTGTGATTTTGGGCCAGAGTTTTCACTTCTTTCAGGATAAGCAATGTGTTTATTCAAGGAGGTTTGTTGAAGTGGTGTGATGTGGGTGTTGTATTTATGTATGTGCATGCTGTTTTTACTAATGAAATCCAGGAAGATTACCGTATATTTTTTCTCATGTATTATCTTATAAAACGTCAGACAAGCAAAGAACTGATGATACATTTCCCTTCCCTGCAGATTGTACTAGGTAAGGAGACAAGCCGCCCCTCGGAGCTAGACCAGAGTCTGGTGGATGAGCTGTTACACGTGGCAGGCCAGGAGGACGGGGTGACAGCAGTGACAGGGAACACCATGTGTGCCAACGGCTTCTACGAAGGTGAAGAAAACCTTCAAATTTATCTATGTCCAAGATTTACCACATTTGTGGAAGGATTGACATAACAGATGGTTATCACCTCTTCAAAGATGTCAAAACTGAGACCAGACTGTAAGGACCGGGCCTTATCTTTTCAAAAAGTGTGGTAGAATCTTTAACATGCTCAAGGTGTGGCTCCGGCTTTACATCCTATCTAAGAAGACGTCCCTAACCTGAGCTAAATAGTTACTCATTCACACCTGCTGTAGTGATTGGAACAACCGTGTGGCCCAAGGGCTATTGAACTGTAGATAGGCGCTGTAGGATTGTATACCGGTAGTTCTTATACAAAATGGTTTTTAGTAATAAATGTGTACATCATGTGAATCATCTTTCAGAACAGGGTCGGCTTGATGGAGCATTCTGTGACTACACAGAAGACGACAAACTCCAGTACCTACAGAGGGCCAGAGATGCCGGGGTCAGGAACATTGAGATGGAGTCACTCTGCTTTGCTGCTTTGTGTAAAAACGCAGGAGTGAAAGGTAGGAAATTCATATATTTTCATATATACATGTATCCTGTATGTACTAGCTTTGAACCAGGGATATAAGCACTTTTACAATACGTCATTACCAGTTGTCAAGTGATCACACACTGTACTGTTCTGAATCTTCAAAATATATAACTTCACTGAGATTTGTCGCCTATGGACACTTGTTTTTATTCACGAGTTGCACATTCCCAGGATCCTTTGCGCACAGGGTGGGGAAAGGTTGCGGTAAACAACGTGACTCATCCTCGGCTCTGGTCGGAAGAAGTCGGAAGTGTTCGCGAGCGCTCGGAAATTTAAAAAATGGCTGACACCACTGCCGGCGGCGGGAGGCACGTAGTTTTTCACGGAGTTCGTGCGGCAAAGCGGCATCGAATTTTTGCTCCATGACTATCGGTATGGGATAGGATAGGGTTGATTCAACATACTACGTGAAAATGTGACAAAAAGACAGACTTTTGAAATTGAATGCTCCCAGCCTACTATCGGCCAGATACCTTCTTCCGACCAGAGCCGAGGATGAGTCACGTGGTTTACCGCGACCTTTCCCCACCCTGTGCACAAAGGATCCTGGGAATGTGCAACTCGTGAATTATTGTAAGCTAACCTTTACACCTTGACCCTCCAGCTGGCGTGGTGTGTGTGACCCTGGTGGATCGTCTCCGTGGAGACCAGGTCACGACCCCACACGACACACTGAAGGAATGGGAGCTTCGGCCACAGAAACTACTGGCTCGATTCATACGTAGTCGGCTGGGCATCAAATAGATAAGATTTTAACCACGTTAAAAGTGTGGTAAAAAATTCTACTACCGGTAATGTTTTTTTAAGCTGAATGGGTTTTTTCAATGCATCCGGCTAGCAAGCAAAGTGAAATCAAGTCTGTATTGGGTAGAATTTACTACGAAGTATTAGAAATGGGAACGTTTATAAATGCAAGTATGAAGATTTCTTGGTGATAAGTAGCATTAAACTAGAATACCGGTATTGCCAAAAAAGGCTCGTTTTCAAACACATTGATTGCTACTGATTTTAGACCCAGAGCTTCCAAAGAAATGTGTTAAATTTTGTTTAGAAAGCCTTGAAATACATATAGCAGTAGTCATATGTAGCTTTGATTTTGTGACATGGCAGGTACTATGGTTTCAGAGAACAATATCCAAACTATGTTGAAGGTTAGACATTTTGGTAAGCAAAATAAGTACTGACATTGGCAATTCAAACTCTACTACAGTGGATAAATTATGGAGATTATTTCTGGACACCATCACTCTTCTTCGGCGTCATTAATGAACAGAACGTAGTTTGAATTGCCTGTGAGTTATATCCAAACTTTTATACAAATTTCAGTGTTCATGTACATCAAAGCTCAAGTAAATTTATGTTTTTGACAGGCAGATTGTGACCACTTCCAATAGGTAACTGCAGTGTATTTTTTTCTTGTCCAGTCTGAGCTTGTTCTATTCAGGGCCAAATGGGTAGGAATATTTTTGCTTCACATAACTTTAGACAAATCTAGTCTTAAATCATGGAAGGTGGAGTGGCATTGAAAATACAGTAGCTAAAATTCCAAATATTGATGTTACTACTAAAGAAATGTCAAATGTCAATGCAACATTTAAAGGTTTATTGTCCCACTATCTAAAAAAAGGCATTTCTTGTGATCAAAAAAACAAGTACAAAATGTCAGCTCTTATACCTTGTCATGCTTTTATCAATAAACAAAGATGTAAAGGTATGAAATAAAATTTACAATATGCTCTTTCTTGTATTTGCTTTCATCTGTTGTTCTTCTCAAGATCTTCGTTCTATGTCTTTGTGCTACTCGGGTGACGGCTAAGTTTCCGCTAATAACGCTAACAGTACTTACTCCTGAGTCAGTTTACTTGTGCACCTAGAACAGTGCTCTTACGTACAGGACCTATCCAGTAATACATACAAGCAGCCTAATTGCTATTGGTCCATACAACAACAATCCCTCCGTCTGCTTAAGTATTATAATAAACTCACAAGGGCTGCAGTTTTTTTTTTAAAGCAAAACACTAGTATAATCTTGGTACAAAATGTATCTTCTCATTTTTTTCCACGTTTCTCTTAAAATGTGCACTTCAACACCTTGTCTTGCCAGTACAACACATACGGTCTTATAAGATTATGTTGGATATCAATAAATTAGCTTACATTCATCAAAAGGAACAAGTAAATCATTTTGCACAATTGAGACCCTACAGCAAAGCACACGGCATGCCTTAGTTACAATGGACTTCAGACCTACGTAAAACTTAATACTTAGTGCTTGAGGAAGCAATATTCGGTCTTCCATGTCCCAGAGAATTCTACCAAAGCATTTTACAGCTCGCTTTAATTTAGAACAGTTAGGAAACCCGTTGGAGAGAAAAGTTGTGCCGACCAAGGAACAGCTTGTCTTGGCTCACGCACACATGGCAACTACAGTACAAGATTCTCCGAGAGTCATCTAGTCCTAAATTTGCAGTTTTACAACAAATACAAAAGTAATGTACAGTCATCTTTTTTGTTAGACAACTCATGTCTGTATTGTGCTTTTTGTCTATTACAAGCAATAATATGTACAGGTAACAAAAGATACTATAGATAGGACTTATCCACACTGACAGATTGCAATACTTGCTTCTAATATGTATTTTTTGTATTTTCGTAAAGAAGATATAAACAGCACCGTTTACTCTGGGGGTGGGGGAGGAGGGGGTGGGGGTTCGTTGGGAGGGGGTGGGGGATGTTGAGGGAGGGGGGGTTGGGGTAAGGTAGGATATGACATAGTGGACATTCCAAAGACATCCATGCCTGACATACCAAACAGGGGGTACTCTCCCAACGTGGGGTCCTGGAAGAAAGAATGCCCGGACATGGATTGGTCGGAAGTTTGGCCCAATAACTGGAGAAGGGGGTCGTCGCCTGAGTTTTCGTCAGTCACAATGTCCATGTCATCGCCCTCCTTTCCGTTTTCCGTGGCCAGCCCAGTATCCTGGTACTTGGACTGTATTGCACTTGCTGACTGAGGCTTGGGGGGAGGGGGCTGAGGGGGGTTCTGGCTGGAGGGGGCGGGAGGGGGCATCGGCAACTTGAGCAGGCTGGAGCTCTCCAGCGACCCCGGGGCAGGCGCCTGGAGCTGTGAGGGGTGATCCCGCTGGTGCTTTTTGGCAGGGGAGGGGTGCATGAGCGCCACGCCTCCGTCTGCGGCCATCCTTGCTGCACCGTGGAGCAGGGCCATGTCGGGGCTGCCCGCGTGCGCCCGCTTCCTGGACTTGGGGTCGGTGGCGTCGCCCGGCCCCTGGTGTTTGTGTGGGTGTGGCAGGCTGCCCTGAGATGGCTGGGTGGCGCGGGAATGGTGTCTGGAGGAGGCGGCGCCGGCAGAGTGCCTGTGGTGGTGGTGCTCGTGCCGATGCTTGTCCTTACTGTTGGGCGGCACCTTCTCTCTCGGGTGGTGGTGCACGGTGGACGTTTTCTCGTGCCCCGGAGCCGGGACCTTCTCATGGTGCCTCTGCTGGTCTTTGTGGGACGCAGGATGGTGCCCGTGGTGGTGGTGTCTCTCCCTGTGGGCGTTCATCTGACCGGGGTGATGTTTCGCTGCACCAGCCATGCCGTGCTCTCTCTCACCTCTGTCTGATTTGGACGGTACAGGCCTGCCGTACTTGTCTCTGTGTGTGCTGGGACGCTGTGAGTGGTGGGTGCCGTGGCCAGTCGGCGTGCCTTCCCTCTTCTCCTCCATTTTCCGCAGGGCGTCCTGGTTGATGAAGAGCTTGGGCGGGGACTTGGTTGCCGGGGGGACCAGCGGAGGCAGGGTGGGGAGGTCGGGGTGGGATTTCAGATCCACGCTGGTGGAAGTATTTACAGAAGTGGAACTGGCTGCCTGCATGCCTGCCTTGTGGTGTGAGCCATCCTTCCCTTGCCTGTCATGGTTGGTGTATTCTGTAGGGGCTGTCGGGAGAAAAATAAATATTCAAAATCCACCAACTTCAAATTGAAACTTCACCCTTAGTGGCCTGGTACTTATCATAGAAAATGGTAAAGCAGCCCAAGCATATTATTCAAGTAGCTAGTACAATATAGTGGTAGTGCAATTTGACTTTACTATGTATCCCATTTTCTTCCCAAGTGTGCAGAGGTTTAATGTATTATATGCTGCCAAAAAATGTAGACCTGAACTACTACTGATTTCCTTAAGTAGTATATGGAGTTCTCTGTACCTGAATAGTTGGAGGAGGATCCAGGCTGGGGCTGGCCCGTAGTGGCAGAACTACCAGAGGCAGTTGCCGTGGAAACAGTGGATGTGGCCTCTGGCTTTGGCCTCTGTGAGAAAACAACACGTACCATGATACAATGTAGTAGCACGGGCTTAACTTACAGGGCTCAAAATTGATTTTCTTTCTCGAATGAAAAATAACTCACAACTTATAACTTATATCACAAACATCTTTAGCTAGCATGGGTCGTACCATTTTTCCTGAGGTGTGAGCAGCATTAAAGATGGAGGACATTGGGGAGTCACCAGCCATCTGTAAGAACAACACAACTGTTAGACACTTGTCTATTTTGTACACTGAACACAGACACTCAACTACGTAACCTGAAATTCATCATAGTTCATCATCTGAGTCAAATTAATCTTACAAAACTTACAGGTTTTTCATACCTGTTTTTCATGATCTCATGATCATCTCTTTTTATTGCAAAAACTTCCAGTTACTGCCAACTTCTATTGAAAATGCATGTTTGTGGGTATTTGCAACTAAGCTACCATCAGCTTTTGTTTTGAAAGTCTGCTCCTCTCATAGACATGAACATTTCATTTCTGAGAGCTCACACAGCAAAGTCGTGATACTTACTTTGTAATTGCTTATTTTCCTCTTCAGTCGACTGGGGGTCTTGTCCATAATATGCAGAAATTCTGTGGTGAGACCTAGCAAGAAACCACAAGTATTCGAAACTCCAACTTCCTCATAATGATTCATACATGAACAACATTTTACCAATGCCTTGCAAAATTGTTAGTAGGAAAATATCAAGCATTACAAAAGGTTTTACTTCAACTTACTGTCAAGTAGGTCCAGCGTAACATTGGGGTCAACATACTCCCACCAGTACTTCCCATCATTTGACCGCGGGATCTGTGAAGTGAAGCAATGTCGTCAGTATTCTACTAAATCTATACAGCGCTTATAATATGAATATCATAGCTGTTGTGAGGAATATCATTTACATTTACTGGCAAATCTTTTGGCAAAGAAACATTTTACAACTCCATTTTAAAAGAAACATTGCAAAGACTGACCTCCCAACTGGCCCACTTGCAGGCGAGGTGGATACACATGCAGGCCACCACGGTCGGCTTGTACTGTAGGCTGAAGGCCGTCAGGTGCAGACTAAACACACACACACAAACACAAACACAAGAAAGAGAAGGGAAAACACAAGTCAGTAAAAAACGCTTGAAAAACAATTTCCAGGCAGCACGACGAGTATGTTTTAACGGTAACACTGAATTTTTACAAGTCTACACCCATATCACCATGACGCGTGAATCGTCTCCTTTCACAAAATTCCTCTCTTTCAAGCCAGCAGTGGAAACCATCACCCCGAGTTTTACATCTGTACAGAAGAACAAATGATAGGAATGTTAGTTTGGTCTGTCTGTGTCTTACAGGTACGGAATCTTGCAAGGTTTGCATCACTGGCTTGAGGATGTAGCCCAACTTACAGTAGGCATTTTCCTTTTGGGTGTCTCCTGAGCAAAGAAAATTCCATTTTTAAGGAAAAAGAAGACTCTTCAGACAAAAAATGACACTAAAAAAATGTCCTAAAAAGGATCTGTATTTGATAAAATGTTCCATTCATTTGCTGTAGGACACAAATGCATTTAAACATTTAAAAATTTTTATGACTGCTGTTTATAATACCAATCTAAAAGTTGCTTTTTTCTGTAGAGTCCTCCCTTTCTCTTGTGTTCCAATGGTTATGACCATTATATTGGGTCAAACCAAGGACACAGTATCCCCATTACATCATAAAATCAAGTAGACATAGACAAAATAGCCTTTAACAGTTTTAGAATCTTTTAACAGATTTTTCTGAAACTCATTGTGACGTACACCTCCAACTCACTACTAGATATCGTACACATGTAGCATGGCAAGTCCAACAGTCTGCTCAAGAATCAGCAGCCAGTGTTATGCCCTGGCCGCTCCTTCCCCACCCCTCTGGAGAAATGGTTTCTCCGGGTTTCTGGCAGGTAATGCCAATCACATGGACCATGCCATGCCTTCTGTAGGGGTGGTGGAGGGTTTGCGGAGGGGTATAACACTGCCGCGCTTGTCAGAAGGAGGTGTGCAACCACCTGTTGGTCGCCATGAAATATGCGGTCTGCGCCAAATCCTTGGGGGCTGTGATTGGTCGATGGGCGGAGCACCCGTAGTGTCAGCATGACAGCACAAAACCAGGATGGCGTACCGCAAAGGCGACGGGTGAAAGGTCACCAGAGGAAACAAAAGAACACTGATTAGCGGTGTACGCATGGTCAGCGGACAAGTACAAGCCCCTTATCAATGGACAGTGTCACACTTCAGAAATTTACACATAGCAGTATCCATGTCAAACTATCTGCCAAGCTTGCACATTTTCCAATTTCCGTAAACTTCTAGAGCCACCAAGCCTTGAAATTAATCATGGTACTTTCTACGTTACATGCAGAATCTCTTTTCTACTCTTAATATAGACGATTGTTCACTAGTAAGTCAGGAAAATCTGCAAGCAAGACAGATATACACTACAATCAAGTCAACAGTAGGGCAGTCACTAAAAGTACTTCTGGATTTTGTAAATTGAAAAAAAAAATTTTTCATGTCTGATTACAGACATGCTCCATAAAACTGAAAACATATTTCTGTCACTTCTCTATCTTTTACCACTTTTCTGCTTTTTCAGACACAGACTATGACTTTGACTCATTGAATAGAATGCTGAACAAGCTAAAATAAAAGTTTGTGGCAAGAATAACTACTCGTGTATGTGGTCAAAACTGCAATGATCAAACAAGAAGCATCTGGAATCATATTTGATGAGTTCTATTATACACTTCAAAGCATTTGTCTGTAAGCTACATCTTTGGTGGATATTACAGAAAAAAACCTTAACTTCATTTTGCAATCATTGCAGTTTAAACAGTGATGTCTCAATCACAAGCAAAGCACACAGCCCTTAGCAAATGCATACAATACAGCTTTTTTTCCCCAAAATTTTCAAACTGCCAAATTGTTTTATCAATGGAAAAAAAAAGTTTCATACAAAACTCAACTACCAGCAAAGTCTACTGGCTACTGCAAAGTTTCCTATGGTACCTTATTTACATCATACTTCTACTTTTTTTTAAGGGAAAAGAACAAGCTGTATTGTCTACACAAACACCAGAGAACACAGCAGAGCAAAACGCACACACCATCACCGTGTGTAAGACAAGACTTGGACCCCTCCTGGCCTTTCTGCCTCATGTTCTGAAAACCTGTGGAATGAAACAGACCGGGTCAAAGCTGCTCAGGAAGTTGGAAGTGAGGAAATTTTTTAATCTTGGCGTACTTACACTCACCTCGAATAAGTTGGGTAGTTTTGACCACATGTGTGTGGGGATGGTCTATGGCAACCTCAAAGCCTGTAGGACAAGAAATAAAAATATGACTTCATGTGACTGAAGTTTTGATATGAAAAATATAACAGTATGTAGTATAGCTTACAAAAATTACAAATTGCAGCAGTAATGATTTATTGTTTTCTGGTCAGAGTATGCTTCTAATAGACATAGAAAGTGTTTTTCTTTTCTTTTTGTTCTTTTATAATTAACATATTGTGATAATAACTGAACCTGACTTACCTAAAGTTTGCAACAGTATACTCTCATTGATGACTAAATCTTGTGCTTGTTGAAGATATGTCTGTGGAAAAAAAACAAAAATCTTTCATCATTTGTATTCTTTCCCTCTTGAGAAGCTAGTGTACAACAACAATTACATAAAACATTGTAAACAAGACATTTTAAAGAAACATTTTGTAAGAACAGATTTAGAAGTGGAGTTATCAATACATTTGTACTATAACATTCAAAATGACAAATCTTTATTTCTTTTCTGTGAATGGTTAGGAAGACAGTGTTAAGTGCCCATCCCAAAAAAGAGAGAAAGGGGGCAACATTTGGGCCTGCTATAGATTCGAGCCTGTGTTGTGCAGGTATACATGATGTACATGTAATTTGTATGGTGCAGGTAGATTTCAATGCCCAGTGCAGGTATGTAGAAAAGAGGATGTCGAGCCCTGGGCTGGTTACAGCAACTTTGTAATGTAACTCTGAGCTTACATTAGTAGAAAGACGTCATCTCACCTCGCTTTTCGTGTCCAGGTTGGGGGAGTCCCTGTGCAGGCAGACATGGGCCACGCGGATCACATGCTCCAGTTTGCGAGGCTGTTCTTCCACTTTGGCAGCCAGGAACAAGCATGCAGCAGCCAGGGCCTAGCAACATCACACACACAGATATAAACCTCACATAGGCACAGCCTACAAATACATGTTGTTTTAACTGGCAATTAACATAACATACTTTGTTATGATAATATCAATCTCTCACTATATAAAAAGCATATAATACTATAATAACTATAATATACAATATTATCATATTAGTATATTAAAAAAACGAAATAAATGGAATACTATTGAAGAAGTCATATCTATGATAAAAATTGTCTGAATTTACAGAATATTTCGACTATTGTCATCATATAGGGCAATGTATTATTAATCACACATATGTAAAAATGGAGATATCAGCATCACAAGTACAGTTGATAACAGTTACATTATGCAATGTTTTCTCTATGAAAGTACAAATGTAAAGAACACACATACCAATCTAAAAGTTGTTTTTTTCTGTAGAGTCCTCCCTTTCTCTTGTGTTCCAATGGTTATGACCATTATATTGGGTCAAACCAAGGACACAGTATCCTCATTACATCATAAAATCAAGTAGACATAGACAAAATAGCCTTTAACAGTTTTAGAATCTTTTAACAGATTTTTCTGCAACTCATTGTGACGTACACCTCCAACCCACTACTAGGATAAAAATTGTTCTGAATTTACAGAATATTTCGACTATTGTCATCATATAGGGCAATGTATTATTAATCACACATATGTAAAAATGGAGATATCAGCATCACAAGTACAGTTGATAACAGTTACATTATGCAATGTTTTCTCTATGAAAGTACAAATGTAAAGAACACAAAAGGAACTCACATTTCTGTGGAACTTGGTGAAGGAATGATACATGTAAAACCGATGCATATATACAATGGCAGTGTTGATACATAGTTGGTTACTGTAAAGACTGGTCAAGGAAAACTTACAAATACAAATGAAAACAGCATTAGTTATAAGCTTTTTGATCATAATTTATCATTACTTTAGTAGTCTTTACAACCTTTAAAATCCATGTTTCTGGTGTCAGTATCTTTGAAATCAAAATACAAACTTTGTGTCTGTGTAAAAAACTGTAACCTGATTTAATCTTGACAATTTCATATTTCTATTTTTTATTTCTTTGTGATAAATAAAGATTTAAACACACGCAGGTTGGCATTACACAGGCCCGAGTTCACGTGTTCCCAGAAGGCCACCAGAAGGGCTTGTCCATATGCAAATGAGCAGTAGGGAGAATTTGTCTTACAATGGTGTGACTCATGTCACAGGCACGTGATGATACAAATCTCCCCAAAATCACCACATCTCGGCAAAATTTCATCATATTATCAATCTTTAAGTACCACTGGTCAAAAATGATCATCATAAATCGACTGGTTTGTTGAAAATATTGGGAAAATACCGATTTCTGACACGAGACCGGCGCCGGCAGTCATGACGCCATGACTCAGATGACTGCGCCACAGAAGTGGCTAGTTTGCCCATGATAGGATACACGGTGAGGCGTTGTCCCATGTCCTGGATCAAGTTAGCAGCCTGTTGTCTGTAGGAAAGTTCTTTGTCGGCGTCTACACCACACTTGCGTGTAGGAGTGTCCAGGAGTTGTTGTGGTGTGAAATGCCATCGTTCCACCGCCGCCATTACCCGTACCGCGACGAACAGACAAGCCCCACTGCGCATGCCCGCGCGGGCATCATGGGACGTCGCCAACGCAGCAAACCAACACCACAATTAGTCATTTTATCACAAAAAATAACATTTTCGCGACCAGTTTGTCGTTTTTCTGTCAGAATAAAACTAAACATCTATAACATATTAACCTAAAAGGCTAAATTGGCATTATATTTTGTTTCATGACATTATTTTTAATCCACCCCTTTCCTACCATGTTGTGATGCGGTGCAATGGTTGTAGAATAATGGCGACAGAGCTCAAAGGAAGAAAGACCTTGTATCTGCCCGGCTTCTAGTTGGATTTATAGGGACAAACGACGGTTACTGAAAGTCTTACTAGGTAGGTGCTAGAGAACTAAAGCTCTTCTTTCCTGGACGTTGTGATTTTTCAGTTGTGTCCGCTGATTTTTTTGTGAATTGGGGGAAATTCGGCAGCGGCAATGATATGCAAATGAGCTGTAGGGTGGCAATGGCGGGACAACACATCACCCTTTCATCATGCATGTGTAACACAGCAGAGGCGAACTCTGTATCACTACAACTTCAAAACAGAGCGATTTCAGCCAAAATCTGAATTTTAGTGGCTTTAAAATGTACGTGAACTTGGAACAAAATTGGTTTGTTGAACATTTGTCACTTGCCAGGGTGTAGAAAAGTTTGAAAACATAGCTGAACATACTGAAAGGCTAGTAGTGGTTGGGAGAAACAAGTTCTTCATCAGTGAGTTTCGTAAGGGACCTTGACTGATGTATCAGTATCAACTTGGTGGTTTGATATGTTTAGAATTACATTTTAGATGGTTACTTGTGGTACACATACACATCAGTTGGTCTTATAGAAACTAACAGTTGCAAACAAATTCCAGAAAATCAGTTGCAACTATTTATTTGGACAAATTTGGTATTACATGTTACATGTACATTGTTACATGTGTTGTCAAGTAAATATCATATTTTCTCCTACTTTGAAGTATAGTCAGAATACAAGTGAATGTTTTGTTTATATCATATGCATGCAAATAATGAATTATTTGAAGGCAGATTATTGGTAGGCAAATCACCCAACTTTCACCCGCTTTTTATAATTTGCCTACCACTCCCCAGACATGACATTATGGTGATTGCTCCTCCTATGCTAGCTAGTTTACTGTAAATGCGATAGTTGAATAAACTTGAATTGTATCTATTTTGTGATTACTTATATACAATTTAAACTATGCAAATCATTAATATTGTAGCGTAGGAAATTTGAAACAATGTCACACTCTAATTAAGTTAATGTCTGTACACAATTCATATTGTAGCCATATGATATGTATAAATCTCTCTATTTTATTTACAGTTTCTCTTGTGAAGCTTTGGGACAGCAAGTATGTTGAAGCACAGAACAGGCACCTTTACTAGGGTGAAGGCAACCCTACAACAGGTATTGTTTGTTAGTTTCTTTTTTTGTTGAACATGGTTGTCATGGTTACTTTTCCAGTTATAACAGTGGATGTCACTAGAAGACAGAAGAAAAATGTCAAGACTATGCATGATCATGTTGTAAATGACTAATAAACTGGTGGACATACCCCTTGCTTGACAGTCGGATGCTCTATCCACTATACCACACAGAACAGACGCCTCATGTAAAAAATCTTGCTTCAAAAAAGACTTGCACTTGATGCAAGCACGTCTAACCCCAGTTAAGGGGGAAAATGATGTTAAAGTTGGATTAAAAAAATACTAGTACTATACTAACTAATACCAGCTCAAAAAAGAACAAGTAATACTACCAGTATTATAGAATTTGCAGTATTTCGAGCCATTATTCTAAAATGTTAAACATTCCATTCTTGTTCTAGGAACAATTCTGTAACTACATCCACCGTAGCTGCCTGCAGCCTCGAGCAGAGGGTTCAGAGTACTGCATCAGACACGTGTTGGAGGACAAGGCAGGGCCATATCGTCAGTGTAACTACGTTTCAGGGAAGTCTGGAAAACGGTGCTCCAACGCAGCGCCCAAAGCAGGCAACAGGGACGGGTAAGTCCTGTATAACTATCACAAGTATAGTTCTACAAAACTGAAATGTATTTATAGCACATTGCAGTTCACTGTATGTGTCAAACATGTATAGAAGTTTTAAAATGTTTTATGGTAATTTTGTACCCTGCTAAATTTCTTGTGGCCTCTCATGTCTGATACTTTCCTAGGATTGTTTGATTTTGTGTAAATTGATTGTAGTTGGTTCTATGCCCTGGATTGAGAGAGGGGTTCTACAATTAGTTACAATTCAGTGCTTTAAGTTACATATACAGTATACTGTATGTCTCCCAATAGTTACTGCAGCGAGCATGCTGCTCGGGCGGCCATGTGGCGTCAGCGGGCTAACCGAAGAAAGCGACCAGTAGACAACTCAGGCCCCTTGTTGGAGCACCTCCTTCACTACAGCCCCGAGCTGGAGAAAAGTCTGGGCAGGGCCTTACCACAGGCTAATGTCATCTCCTCATCCAACCAACCAAGCAGGGTATTAGGTTAGTGTCAGCCAATCAGTGCTTGTGTTACACATTAGCCAAAAAATATAACAAGTGGGAAACCACAAACGTCTAACCAATCAGAATTCTTGTTACTGCATGGGTTTAACCTTAAGTTGTAACTTGTCTGATAATAATTGCGCCCCATGTTCACATCAAATTTTCTGTAAAAAATTTGCATTACAATAGAACAAATACATACTCTTCTGCAGTACCCTTCTGTCAATTACCTTTTGCTTCCTTGAATTACTCTTTTCAGAAAAAAAAACGGTAGCGGCTAGCCAATCACAGATCATTCCTATAAGATCTGATTAGATGCAGAAGCCAGTTGACAATGACTGTAGCCAATCACGTGTCATTCTCAAAATATCGGATTAGTAATAGAAGCCATCTGATGATGTGTACCTGTTCCAGATTATGACTACTCCAGTGAGAGTGACCAGGAGCCCATCCAGGTAGACCAGGCCTGGAGGGGGGATGGAGACAGTGATGCAGAGAGCATAGACAGTGAACAGGAGGACCCTCTGAAGTGAGTAACCAAATCAACTGGTGTTTTCTAGCAATTCTTCTTGAAAGTTCGGGACTAGAAATAACTTTTTTCGGTATACCTGCTTTAGTGCATGTAACATTGGAAATTACCTGCACCAGAATTAATTCATCTGCACCACTCAGTGTGGCTCTCCCCAAACAAGTGACCTCCATTTAACGTCCTATCCAAGGGATGTTCCTAACCCAAGATAGGTGCTCATCAGGCTTTTAGCTAGGGGGTGTCCAGGGTGTCTTTTGGACGCCCTGTACTGAAAATACTGAAAAAAACTGAAATTGGACGCCCTACTTTTTGGTAGGACACCCTAAAGACGCCCTGTTTTTTTCCACTCCCAACCCCTGCCATGCACACATGCCTCCCTTCAGCCTTACTATAAATACAAAAATGATGGTTTACTGAAGGAGTGTTGGAGAGCATTTTGACTTTCAAAAAAGGCCCCCTAAAAAGCTTGTGCAACGTGCATCTTTGCTGAGCATAGCATACAATGCAAAAAATGGACGCCCAACAAAAAAATCCTAGCTAAAAGCCTGGTGCTCATTTTTACCTGGGTGAAGTGAGGAAAGTCGTGTAAGGTGCCTTTTCCAAGGGCACAAGATCTGCTATTACGTCACACGACCCCACACCTATTCCAGATCCCCATGAAGTGAATATCAAGCCCTTATCAAGCTACTACTGCTGTCTGACCCTGTGTCAGGGACCTCTGCAGTCTAATGGAAGCCTGGCTAGTGAGTGACTATTTTCTCTCCAGGCATGCAGGGGTATACACAGCAGAGGAGGTTGCCCTCATCACCCGAGAGAAACTCATCAGGTTGCAGTCCCTGTACATCGACCAGTTCAAGAGGTTGCAGCACCTGCTGAAGGAAAAGAGACGCAAGTACCTCACCGCCAAGAAAATGGAGCAGGACATTCTCGGTAAGTCTGGAACACCCCTATTTGTTAGTTGGGATGACCTGATAACTGATGACATTGTATTGGGTGATTGGGATATGCCAACAAACAAGGGGGGATGTTAATTTAACATTTGTTTTGTTTCGCTCTCAGAAAATATTGGATGGCAACCAGCACTTTTTTTTTTGAAAAAGTTGAATCAAACCTGTTTTATGTTGAAGCATAGTATTAATAGTAACAACATATTTTTGCAAAAACTGTCTCAAAGTCAAGTATTTACTAAAGCTACCATCATTTAAATGAATTGTAAAAAATTTGATTTTGACAATATTTTTTTTTCTAGGCTCTGTCATTCCTTCCACGGACGAAGATTTGGATAGTTCTGACAAGGAGAAGCTACGCACTCTCCACGCCACCAAACGGTATCGTAAACGCCACGGCGCCGAGGCCCTTCTCCAGAGCAGATCCAACGAGAGGAGAATCGCTGCGTCAGAGAGCCATCTTGTCACCAAACCTACCCCTCCCCCGCGGTGCAACATCATCATAGACGGGGAGAGATGCAGTCACAACGTGGTGCCCATGTCCAGATTCTGTCTCCAACGTATCCTTTCCTGTATCTGTATGTGCCGGTATAACCCGTGTAACATACCAGCTTCACAGGCACTTGGCAAGGCAGCAGCTCGCTACATTAGTCCAGTCCTTACTTGTGTTACCCCTAACCTTTGAACTTAACCCTAAACATTGTTTAAAGCTATCTAACGATAATGCCCCCACTTTACTTGGTGACAGCGATAGTTGTACTAACAGTTGTAGGAAAGAATTAGTTTTTGAACACCTCAATCCTTGGTGATAACTCTGGTACTTACAGGCATGATTATTTCTTGTTCTTTTCTGAGCTGGTCTTAGGTACTTAGTAGTTGGTTGGATGACAGGTCGACCTTTGTATGTACCTTAACCTTTGATTGAACCTTAACCCCTAACCCCAGACATCCTCCACGACCCTCACCAGGTGCTGTTCCAGCACTGCTCCCACTCCACAGGAGGGATCGAGATCTGTGACAAGCCGGTTGCCATGGGAATGGACCGTACCACCTGTGTTCTACACTCACCCCTCCCTCCGCAAAGGTTCAAAATTCCAGAGAAAGAGGAAGAAATGATAGTGGAGGTAAGAGCCACTGTTAAAAAAAGTAACAGTGGTACTACATGTATCAGTATTGCTATAAGATATGGTTGATTCAGTTTATTACATTAAAAAAATGAAGATTGACTTTGAAGGTCTTGAGTCCTTTCCCTTGACTGCAATGACGAGTTATGAAATGCCATTGATGTCACTTTTTCACTGAAGGAGGTGAAGCCAGATGTTATGCAAATCGACGTGGAAGAAGATGACAACAAGCCAGTGGAGGTCACCGCTGTAGAGGGCAAGGGTCAAACTCAGAACCTGCCAGAAACTGCTAAAGGTGGTGCAGAGAGGGCCAAGGAAGAATCCTTGGGGAACCAGGAAACAACAGGCCTGGCAGATGAAACACCAGCTACCTCAGACCAACCTACCACTCAGGCTTCTCAACCAGTGAGCATTTCTCTAAATGTTATGCTATGATATGAATTTTACAGTAACTTCCTTTACAACCACACCTCAAAATGTAGAAAAAATATTGTTCTCATATCTACATAATAGTCTTCTTTTCATATGATTGCTTTATGAAATTGTTATATTTGCTGAAGTATTTTTCTTTAATTTCAGGATTCCATGGAGACAAATGGCGAAACGTCCAACGTAGCATCATCGTAAATATGGAGAAAATTATGGCAAATTCAGAATTTAAGACTAAGTAAAACCTTTGTTACTACATGTATATTATTTTGCTATCACTTGAAGACCATACCCACCTGTGTTGAATATATTGTGTTGATGAAGATATTGTGTTCAAAGACAATATTACAAATAAAGATTTTGTATGACCAAATTGTTGTTGTGGTCTTGTCTAGTATTTAAGGATTTACCATCTGAAGAAAGCACATGGTTCTTAACATTTAGCACACTGAAGTACCCACGGGTTAGGCAGCAGGGAGAAGGTTCAAATGTAGGAAATGGATCAATAGCTAGCTTGTTTCTTCTTTTGTGTTTTGTAATACTAAGTAGTTATCCTCTGACAATGTTCGTAAATTTACAAGAACAAAAAAGATACGAAACCACCTCAGAATAATTTGATGGTTATGGTTAGTTCAGAGTACAGAAGTGACCATGAAAACTGAACATAACTGAAGAAAGTCAGGAATTACAGTAGTCACAAAAGTCTGTCTCTATTCTTACTTTCACAAGGTTCAGCAGTGCTAGTATGTGATCATTAATTTGTGGATTTCTCTGCTACCAGTTTGAGTAGTCCTAAGCAAGATATTAGTAACACGAATGTTGCACTTGAAAATGAAATAAAGATTTCAAAATATGTAGTACACCATGGAGGTAAAAAAAAATTACTTTGAGTACGCTATATCTACAAATTGAGTGATTTTCCCGCCATGGATACGACGGGAGGTCAAAGGTCGAGGACAACATGGCGGCCCAAGTGACCTGTTGCAAAGTAAGCCTTACATTCTTACGCTCTTAAACTCACATTTCTTTCCTTTTGCCAGTCATTATCTTCAGACGTTGTTAAGACAAGTGCTCCCCTTCTGTCTAATGCCAACAGAAGTGTATCTGTAAGGTTTACACGGCAAAAAAACGAAATTTGTTTGCCCCCCTCCCCACTTTTTAGTTGTCGCACACGAACGTGCAAGCTGGCACGTACTATTAAATGCTTGACCAAACCAGCAAAGGTCAATAGCTGTCATGTTATTGTGTTTTACAGGCAGGTTGTTGTTCAGAAATGAGCTGACACAGAAGGTTGAATTGGCCATGTTGGGCGGCCCGTCTTTGCTGGCGAGCCTGGTAGTCCGGTGTCGGTCGTGTTGTCGTCTGCAGAGGAGGACGTTTTTCTGGAGAAGCCCGGCCAAGTTGTCGTACGACGTCGTGCGACCGGCGGAAGTTTCACCACGTAGAGACGTGCCCGGACATATTCAGGTGGGTTACGACTACTGCCGAGTACGATACAAAAAGTAAACGATAGTATTAGAACGATACAAACAGTAAATTTTGTGGACATTTCTTTACAAAGTATGTTGAATGAACCCTATTCCCTAACCCTAATATATATATATAAAGTGTCATTCAGGAAGTGGAGGTGAAAATATGACACTTAATGAGTGTGTTTTAAAAGCTGGAAACACAGCTGTCAGTTATGTTTGTTTACATTCTGGTACGTAGTTTGTGGTGGTGCCACAATTTTATGAAGATATTTCCACAGAAATATCATCACAGTGTGTAATTGTCATTTTTGTTCCGTCATTTAGTGATTTGACCATTTTATTTTAGAAACCTCCCTATGCAGAAAGTGGAATTGCCCCGTTATGGAGAGAAGACATAGAGATAAAAGATGAGGAAACAATGGTAGGGATGAGGGCAGCTGGCAAACTGGCGAGGAAGATCCTGGTACTGGCTGGACAGAGTCTACAGGTAATGCCAATTTGATTTGTTGGTTCTCTTATTTTTTTCCAGAAAAAAGTGACGGGGTCACAGAGTAAAAAATAAAAAGATAAAAACAGACTTTGGCCTCCTCTGATAGCCCCCGAAGCCATGATAGGAGCCATGAAGTCAACATAATACCAGTTGTCCAACCTTCAGGAGGGCTGGGACCGAGGGAATTACGGAATACATCATGTCGTATTTTATTCATGTCATTCCCACCCGACAAAACACACGTATTAATTTGGTGTCCCTAACAGTATCAATTCGAATATGGTTACAGTAGTATTTGAATTTTAAAAGCGGCACACTCAGTAAACACATTTGAATTATTCTATGGAACCTTTGGAAGCCAGTGTGATATCTGTTAGAACCCCATGTTCACGTGTACACAGTGCATACTGGATTTTTTCCCTGTAACTTCAGTGCATGTATGCAATTTCAGGTTGGCATGACAACCGATGAGATTGACAGATTGGTCCACGAGTCCACTGTCAGCCATGGAGCCTACCCCTCCCCACTCAACTACGGCGGTTACCCCAAGTCTGTCTGCACTTCTGTCAATAACGTGGCCTGCCATGGAATACCTGACAGGTTTGTTTGTTTGTTTGTTTGTGTATTTATTCAGAAAGTCAAAGTGATCTCGAATGTGATGATTCTTCTCGGTTCTTGGATGTTGTTTTTGAGTCGCACCAGGATCAGCTGATCCAATACCCACCCCTATTTCCAATTATAACAGAAAGTCACTTGTAGATCTATTTAAAACAGTATCACTCAAAAGGAAACAATACATTTTCAATTTTGTTCAATTTCATAGAGAACATGCTGAAATTTCCAGTAAGGCTTTGCCAGTTAGGTTCAGTCTTTTACTTTTATTTTGTTCCTTTCAGTCGGCCGTTACAGAATGGTGATATCATCAACATAGATGTTACAGTAAGTCTTCTCATCATGTTTTTCTTTCACCAAGTTCCATTTATTATCTACTAGTAGTCAGATCACTAAATATGGTGAAGTACTATAGCTAATAGTATTGTGCATACACTAGTGCATGTGAGGACTTGAAACACTTTTCTTCCTATACCTGCACTGTACAGGTTTACATTGTATTGGAAATTACAAATCTCAAACATGTTATTGTGTCACAATAATCTTTATACATGTTTGTCATTTCTAGTGTTTTGTTGCGAGGAAACATATTTATGTTTTGACTGTCAGCAAAAAATGGAGTGTGATCTTCCCACTCAATATCTGCTTGGAGATCACCTGAGGTTTTTTTTGTCTTCCCTTTGTACAGGTGTACTATAATGGTTTCCATGGTGATACGTCAGAGACATTTTTGGTGGGAAATGTTGATGAAGCGGGTTGTACACTTGTTGATGTGGCGAGGAGGTTTGTTTATTTGTTTGTTTTGAGGTGTCCATTACTGATCTTGTAATGACAAGTCTTCTTGTGCTCTACATTTACTGTTAGGTGAAAGATCACATGGAAAAATACCTTTCATCCAAATGTATAGTAGCATCAATGTAAGATGTATACAAATATGTATAGTATGTCTGTAAATTAAAACATTGCTATCTGCTAGCTTGTTTCTGAGCTATTTCAAATGCTTCAAGTGTGAAATAATGACAAAGATGTGCTAGGAAATGGCAGTAAATGTCAACATTGCACAGATTTCCTCATCCAGAATATTTTTTGTTTTGCCACCCTGAATCCTAGGTGCAGAGACAAGGCCATCACAGTCTGCAGGCCAGGAACACAGTTCTGTGAGATCGGCAGGACAATCAGGTACAAGCTAGTCAGTGTGTGTGGTGGATTCTCATATGAAAATTCCAATCTCTACTCTTTCCAGCCACCTTCCAAAGCTTGGTAGAGGCTATAACACAGGCTACTGTTGACTGTTGTATTTTCCAGCTCTGTTGCGAAAGAGACAGGTTTGACGGTGAGCCCAAACTTCATTGGACATGGGATAGGTGCCTTCTTTCACGGTCCTCCAGAGATCAATCATATAGGTCTGTATTATGTTTACCAAAGGAATACATATAGTTTTTACTCAGTTTCTTCCTCTTCTGTTCCAAACACTAACCTCTGACCTGGCCAATGGCCTGATTTGTTGATGTCTGTCACCATGGTAACTGGTGTTGGGTTACACAATGTTGCAATTTCATACTCATAGGAGGGATGTAGACTCCTGTCTGACCATATATATGAATGTATTTGAGTAGGAAGAGCAAAAACCATATACGAAGGTAAACATTATGTATTTGCTTTGCAAATGATACCTTTCTAGTTTTAAATACATTTAGTAGGTTTATTTACTAATGAATATTCCCAGTATTGTTGGTAAAAAATATTTTGGTTGCAAGATCGGGCAGTTTGCAAATTGTGATTTACAGTATACTGTGTTTTGTCTCCAGCAAACAGCCTTCCTGGCACCATGGAGGCAGGCATGGCATTCACCATTGGTAAGAGAAGACCTGCTCTGTGATTATCAATAATTGTAAATCACTCTATGTATGTAGTACTTTTATATTTGCTTCTGTGCCGCAAATTTATCTTAACTGCAAGCAAGTAATTCGCTTTCTGCACCTGCAGCCACTGCGAATATATAGTTCCGTGAACGTGTCCATTATTCTCAGAAGCAAAATTTGCCACGGTGATGAGGGATTCTGAGTTGCCGATTGTTGTGATTTTTCAGAGCCAATCATCATGGAGGGGTCGCACCAGATAACTATTCTGGAGGATGGATGGACGGCTGTGTCTGTGGACAATGGCAGGTGAGAACAGGAGCATCTTTTGTCAACAAACATCAGAGCCCCTTTATCTGTGGTGCAGGGCTCAAAATACCAACAGTTACTGCATAAGTAAATATCTGCCCGCACCTAACAAAACCAGGCCCAGACATTAGGAGAATATGTATGACCAGCAACTAGTACTCAAAAACTGCCTTGCATTCTTCACAGAAGCATCATTGAACATATCAGAAACATACTAAAATCAGAAACAGTGCTACTAGGAACATTTTTCTTCAAAGCATTTCAATTTTTTGGATGAACTGAAAGCCAAAGAAACTGTAGTTCAGGTGAAACTTGTCTGGTGCAAGTAATTTTCAATTTACCCATGCGGGTATGCTCTTACATTGTACATTGAAGATCACGGGAACTTAGAATGAATTGATTTCTTATACGTTTTTAAACAGTACATTCTTTCTTTCTCCATTTTAATTTTTCTCCTTTCCTCCTTTTTCAGGTCTGCTCAGTTTGAACACACAGTTCTCATCACAGAGGAAGGAGTAGAAATCCTCACTGCATAAATTTTATTGATACTGACTCAGGAAATGTGAAAATTGATCGACAATCTGGGGAGTTTCACTTTGACTAGATACAAATCTCATTTAGACCTCAAAGAAGATCAAAAGGAAAGTATCCAAGAGAACAAGTAATAATAGCGATACAGGCAAGTAAAACAGAGGTTTTGTATCAAAGACTCTTGTCCGTTGTAAATATGCCTTATACACAATTGTACCAATTGTACCTTGAGGCCTCTATAACACAAAGCAGCCTATCTTGGGCCACATACATTGTACACAGATACCACATTTAACAAGAACATCAGAACCATCAAAATGTTATTTCCTAAGTACATGAACATGTACATGTACATAAAAGTGTTACATTCAATTGACTGCATTTGCACTTGGACTTTTAAGTTAACAAAGATTATCAACAGGCATTACGTTGTTAGCCCAAGTTAGAATCTACGGTGCTGCATGTACTAGTAGTAGTAGTATAGGTTATAATTCTGAACAAGAATTTTGATAGCATTTTTAGTTCAGTAGTAATTCAGGTTCCTCTTACTATGTTACATGTACACTATAAAATTGACTCTCTAAGTCCACAAGAACACATACAGTACTGTACAGGCATTATTACGATATTGAAGCACTTTTCATTATACAAGTGCCACAAACTGGTTATGTTTTTTTTTTAATTATCATACGTGTCTACTTCAGCAACTGATTATGACGAAAGCACTTTTTCATTTTTTCAACAAAATTCCCGACTACTATGGAAATGGAATAAAGTGTTGGTTTTTAACATAAATCTTTTTGTTGCAACACTTTACAACTACATTTAGATCTCACATACAGACGTTTGTAAAAGAGACAACTAAGAATATATATGTACAACGTTTAACATCTCTTAAACCGGTGTTTTTTTCCTTTCTGAGCCAAATTTGCCACAACATTCTTGGGCAACACTCTCTAACTATATCCAGCTTTGATTTGAATTATCCAGCTTTAATTTTCTCCCTTCTATTGGCTGGGTAAGTTTCTACATCATAAGATACCTTTTGACATAAGTATAATGTAGAATTTGAAAATCATTCCTGTCCATTTCAAAACTTTCTTCACTACATACAAAACAACAAATGTACATGTGCTGTTCATAAAAATTCAAATGTTGATCAATTTTTCACTATTACAGCATCACGACTTACCGGTATATTAGCAACCTCTCAGTTCTGGCTCAAAACCCAGGCTCCAAAACCTGACAAAGTTGTACAGGTGAGGCACCACAGAAATCAACCTAGAAAACATTTTTTTAGACCTGTCTCTGGCAGAGCTGTCTTCAATGCTTCCTTAAAAAAAGTGTTTGCAAAACCTTTCACATGTCAATGCATTTTTAAGACAGATCCACAATATACCAGTTTTCTGTGCCGTCATTTCAATGACTCTTTGTTATCATCTTTAGTGCAAACCGAACCTTGTTTTAGCGTGGCGTCTTGTCTTGTCTTTGTTCGTGCCAAATGATGCGTTCCCGAACGTGAGTCTTTTGCTCAAACCCTGATGAAATAAGGGTGAGCTACAAGAGATTTCATACGTTCATTCTGCAAACTGAAGATCCTTCTTGCACCTGTTTATGCGACAGCTGTTACAATCTGCCATCCAATCACCTGTCTGTCGAAGCCGCAGGAGAAGAGATTACACGCTGGGTTTTCATCATACCACGCGGTGCCGCACACCATCCGATGGTGGCCCTGCCAGGGAACCAGAGAAGAACAAGTCTGGTTTATTCAATTCACACACATTGAAGTACAACGTCATAGCCCAAGGGCTAGCCAAGGGAAGATGCCTTTTCACTGAGTTAACTTTACGAGTAGCATGGAAGTCAGCTGAAGAACAGGTCTAGAGGTAGGGAAAATCAGACCAACTAACCATTGGACTGCACAGAAAGTGATCTCGATCCAGTTTTAACTCACCGAAGAGCTAATGATTGTACAGTATTTACAGGTTTATTGTACCAGGAAATTCCCCCAGCTCTTTTTAACAAGCACAATGAACAGTAGACCACAGCTAAATGTCCTGCCCAAAGGACTGTGACCCTTGTATGTCAGGTGAGCGACGGCAGCTGGGATTCAAACTCTCAACCTCAACCTTAGAGGCAGGGTCGGCAACCAATGCACTATCCACACTACCTACATGCTAGAGATCAGACATGAAAACAAAAGAAGCGCCCCCTACCGTTCTGTTGCTGCGTGGCAGTCTGGCCAGACGGACGCCCTGGAGGTCAAACAGCCGGATGTGGCGGTTGTCGTGCGGGATGGCGATCACCTTGTGCAGGGGTGACACCGAGAGTCTGCGGACAAAGGCGGTACCATGTAGGGTAAGGTGCAGGGGCATCTTGACTATTATAGGACACTACGAATGCAACAAGAAACAATCCACGCATGGTTCTGTTTTGTTTGAATTAAGACAAAAGGCCAAATAGCTGGGGACTGAATTTGAATAAAGACTCAAGTCTTCAAGAGTCAAGTTTATTACTGTTTCTATTGTTATTGAGGATGTTGAGAAGAATTTGTCAAATAGTTCAGATACAGGACTGGTGATGTTATGTTTAGGTATGCAGCCCTTATAAGGGCACAAGACACCACTTGACCTGATTATCTAGGCAGGCAGGTTCAAAAGCTGACATTTTTGGCTTCAGAGAGAGAAGGCAAGATCACACAGACTTTGTGATGCATGAATCAAAATCACACAGCCTTTGTGATGCATGAATCAAAATCACACTGACTTTGTGATGCATGAATCAAAATCACACTGACTTTGTGATGCATGAATCAAAATCACACTGAGAAGAGAAGACCTGAGCCAGTTCCTACCGGTTGATAGCGGAGTCCGTCCTGATGGTTGCTAGGGGAGACCGCATGTTCTTGAGGTCCCAGACCTTCACAGTACGGTCGTCACTCCCACTCACAACATTGTCACCACTTGTGAAGGTCACAGAGTTCACCGTACTGTGAACATTAAGCTTTCCTGGTTAGAGAGTTATAAGGCAACTGATACAAATTCAGGGCACCAAAACTGGATTTTCAAAGTATATTTTCTGGTCATTTCTTTAATGTAGAAGTTGAATCAATCCTATCCAATAGCAAACTGATATCTGTGAAGCAAAAAGGCAATGTTACTATCGAAAACCATTCCTTGTTTCGTATCGTAGACTGATTCCAGCTATTTATGGGCGGCACCCAAAAAATAAAGGGATGCCTCAACTTTTCCAACCCTGAACTTAAAACACTGCAAAAACTTCTTCACTACTCCTACTCTCAAATCCAGGCAGAGTTTACGGAATACAAGGTCAGTGAAAAAGGGAAAATATGAAGACAACAAATCTTACTCGGTATGCCCCTGGAACACGTTGACAGAGTGGATAGACGGGTCCCGAAAGTCCCACAAGCGGAAGGTGCTGTCCTTGGAGGAGGTCACGACGAGTCGCTGGGTGGGGTGGGTCGAGCAGTTGGTCAGCTCCTGGTCATGACCTGGGTGTGGCAGAAATTAGACACAGTGAACAATGACTGTCATACTGATGAAAGTTGCTAGGTGGAGCAGTTGATCAGTTCCTCATATCAGATACCCTTTCTAAGCCTAGCATAAATCTAAACACAAGTTAAAATTAGACAACATCCATTGTGGTGACCAGTATTTATGGAAACAGGGTACTAAAAATCTCTTTCAAAACCCACGGTTTTTGTTCTTGACAGGTACATATAATGTGGTAACCCCTTTTAGAGCCCACCTGTGAGGGAGTGCACCAACTCTGTTGTCTCCAAGTCATACAGCTGGGCCGTCCTATCCCATGATGCCGTCACCACCTGCTTACCATCTGCCATCCAATCAGCCGCGATGATCACACCTTGGTGACCCTGCAAAGGTCATGGGTAACAGTCATGCAAATGAGGTATAGGCAAATAATACATCTCAAAACTGTGTACACAATACAAGCAGAGCTAAAACAAGACAGTAACATTTAAGTCACAAGAACACCCTGGACATGCATGATATGATTTTTTATGGCAGATAGTTTTAAATGTCAGGAAAAAGTGGTGTAAATTTGGGTCCCTGGCAGCTTGTTTAGGAACTGTAGGGGCATTAATGTTCAAATCTTGATAAGAGTTAGTGAGACTTACTGTGAGCTCTGTAAGCGGACTTCTTACGACGGTGGGAGCGAAATCTGAGGAGTCCCCTGGTTCTGTGTGAGCTGCAGCTGGAGGGAATAATTATTAATAACTGTCAGCTGCACTAAAGACAGGCAGGTACACGGAGTATCAAAAATGAAGATTTATGCAACTTGCAAGTCTCTTCATGGCAACTTCGTGTGGCGAGGTTGCCACGTTACATGTACTTAGTATTTCTCCTTCTGTCAACATTAGGCAAGTAGAAGGAATTCATTGTGGGTGCAAACGGCGTGCCAACATGGGGCTATGTGAAGGAGTACAAACGTGTGCACCTGGTGTGCCAACATATATCGTATGGGGCTGTGGGAATACACACGAAGGTGCTCAACATGCCAATGTAGGAAAGGTGTTTACTTTCTACAGTAGGTAAGCCGTTCGGACGTTCGAATGGCGACGTTAGCGTCCGTTCGACGTCCGAACGGCTACGTTAGGATCGTACGACTACGTTAGGATCGTATGGATACGTTAGGATCGATGACGTTCGATGACGTTCGAAGAATAAACTAGAGATTTTTGAGTTGAAGTCTTGGTGTACGGTCGTCTTTTTTCGTGCTCCGTGTCCGTTTCTTGTCTTGTCTCACTCCTACTCTGCTCTGAAGCGGAAATCCTACAACAACGATCCCCTTACACCAACATGTAGCTGTGATGTGCCCAGCATGCCAACAAGGCCAGGGGCTAGGACCATGTGCCTGTTAAGCTGGTGAATACAGCATCATTTCTTTCCAGTTGGTATGGCCTAAAAAAATGTTTTCGAGGTTTCAAGGAAAGTCAAACAGATGATTACAATTCGATATTTGCTGGCTTTCAACCTTATAATGGAAAGACTCTTGATAATATTCAGAATCTTGATAAAAACATTTTCTTACCTTCCCCCTCTTCTTTCTCTGCTCCCTCTATCTGGTCATCATCCGAGGAGCGCTGCACACCAGAAAACAAAAGAGGCTGAGCCACAGCATGAGGGAATGAGAGAAGGGAGAAGAGAGAAGAGAATGTAGGGGGTTAGCCGGATAGCGGACGTTTTTCCCAGTTTTGGATAGCTTGAAGTCTGAGATACATGAATCATTACTGGGGTCTACATGAGAGGTACAGCCTGACATAAATGTATCACCTAGACAATCCCAAAGGAGTAGATGATTAACATGCTTGTACTTGTATGTGTGTGTGGACTGGTTAATAAATGGCAAAGTGCATCACCAAGAACATCCAAAAAGGAGACAATATACTGCAGGAAAAATACCACACTGTCAACTACTGTCAATTCACCAACGGAGAACTGTTATATAAGACAAACTAGACATAATAATAGTGATACAGAGCTCAAAATACTGGGTGCATATGCACTTTTCTGCACCTGATTTTTGACTGTGGGTGCAACAGTACATGTTTGTTGGAGTATGTAAAGGTATACTATTGCACACTTGTTTACTGCATACTTTTGACGTTTAGAAGAGAACAGAGGCTGTAAGTTTGGTACTGTACTTCCATTTTGCTGCTATATTTTACACACAACATTTTTACTGAAAACCCACATTTTTAAGGTCAGGTGCACCAGTGTACCTATTCCTCAAATAGTCAAAATGAATTTTGAGCCCTGTGATATCGTCGACCAGTGGGTGTCACAGTAAATAGAAATCTGCTAATGTTCTGGGTCACATGATGAGGGAATTCTGGGAGACTCACATTTCCTTCAGGTGGGACCTGAGGTAGGACCACGGCAGATCTCCAGACATGGGCCGTGTGGTCACCAGACGCTGGGAACGAAACACACTTCTTAAGACTTTGAGATGAACAATTCAAGATTTAAGTCTTTAGACAGCCATAATACTTACTTTTGTGCCATACCTGGCTGAGATAACGTTTGATACAGGTGTTTCAGTGAGTGTGATAACTAATGTTTACACACAGGCTTCCAAATGCTCCACGGAATAATTCAAGATCAAAGAAGTGTTACCTGTGAGAGCCAGATGGTCATTAGGGTGGAACCTGATAGAGTTGACAGATCCGCTGTGGCCAATGTAGTTCAGCACACACTGGCCTGTAGCCATGCACCACAGTTTGGCTGTACGATCTACAGAAAGATGTAATACAAGAAAAAGGTAAGCAAAGGTAGTCCCATAGCCTTTTGAGGCCATAGGGGCAGTGGGTTGTTGATCCACTGTGTCTAGGGCACGGTATCAGATGGCAGAGCCCATCTGTTTCCTTCCACCACCAGGTATGGAATTGTCCACACTTCAGAAACAGCTGCCAGCTATAAAGATGGAGATACATGTACATAGTCATTCTACTTGTATCAGGTCTTGGATGAGTTCAGTACCAAGGACAGGGGTGATGGTGCTAGTTAAGTACCAGGGACAGGGATGGTATTTTCAGTATGAGGGGCAGGGATGGTGTTGTTCATTCAGTACCAAAGACAGTGAGGGTATTTTCAGTACCAGAACATGCATGGTGTTAGATCACAACCAGGGACAGGGATGGTGTTATGAGTTCAGTACCTGTGACAGGATACAACTTTCAGTAACAGGGACAGTGATGGTATTTTTAGTTCCAGGGACAGGGGTGATGTTGTTCTAATTTTATTGGCACGACAGACCAGTTTGTGTTTGTGTTCTATGGACTCATTTCAAACAGTAGTGGTCTCAGGGTACCTGATAGAATTACGAGAGTTGACATGAGATGCTGCTGAAGAAAACATGTACGCCCTTACCAGCTGAAGCCGTGCCCAGAACGTGGGGTTTTGCGCGGGAGATGTTGACTTCCCAGACTCCGTCCCGGTGACCTATGAACCTTCGCACCATCTGGCACTGACTGGTGTTAGCTGGTTTGAAGCTGGACACAATCTGAACACACAAAAAAAAACATCTTACTGCCAGCACGCGATTCCAAAACTTTAATTTACCAATGTCTTCAAAATTCTCAAATTCAATGTTCCTTTCTTATAATTGTATTAGTTTTCTTACTTTTGAAAATATATGTGTGTGGTTGCAACCAATCAACATCTACCATAGATTGCATTCTGAGCATTTGCTTATTGACAGTGTTGTGGCACTTACGTGATGGTATAAAACAAAAATTAGTGCATAAGGCTAGTAGTGTGAACCTAGGATATACATTATGTGTGTAAAAAATGTGAAATATGACAACAAGGTAGAACATATTACAGTAGTTTGAAGTATGATAATTTTTGTCCATAAGTAGTTACTACAACCAAACATAATTAGTAACATAATAAATAATATCATACAGTAAACTGACTGGAAAAATTTAGGTAAAAGACCATGACACCAATAACACTAAAATACAACTGTTACAGTTCCTGAAAACAGTCAAACATGATACATTAAGGTATGATAATAACAAAGACATCTGGACTGAATCGGCGACAGAAATCAAGAACTGAAAGGAAGATTTTCAAGATTCCATGTTCCCTAACATCAAAAGACTGTATTTTTGGTTCAATAGTCTTTGTTCATTGAATAATACGTATCATGTTTGACTATTTTTAGGAGCTGTTGCATTTCAGTGGTATAATGCTGTCATATGGTCTTTAATAATTTCTGAAGTTACCAGTTTGCTACAAATATTTTTCAACTGGTTATAAGCATTGTTATTAGAAATTGAAGAGTAGAAATTAGCCAAAATTACAGCAGAGTTTAAAGACATCACAAAACACTGAAGTCAACAATCTTTTTATCATATCTTGTTAGCAAGAAGCTGTTACTAAGCAACAACAGACATGTGACCACAAGCCAATCACAAGAAGGCAGGATTAATCACAGAACAAAGGCTGCGTTTCTAGCTTTGCCCAACATCATGCTCATTTACCGAGGCACCGGACACGGTGTCGAGTCTGGCGCGAACCGGCGCGATGGACTGCTGAAGGCGGTGCTGCATCTGGCTCCACAAAGAACACAGTCAGTCAGCCAATTAAATGCATTGATTTAGTCACATGACCAGTCAGTCAGCCAACCAGATGCACCAGTTTAGTCACATGACCAGTTAGTCAGCCAACCAGATGCACCAGTTTAGTCACATGACCAAATGCAGGTGGTTGTTGTTAGTACAGCAACAAATAGGGAGCCAGAATTTAAGTTAACAAAGTGCATAGAAACTTTTTTCACATTAAAACAAGATGCTTTTCATTTCTTCAGGTTTCGACGTGTCTTTGATGCATAAAATGATCCAGAAAACTTCAGAAAAATACAAATGACAGATGTGACAAGAAACAAAAATAACATGTGCTTGAACAATGTGGAATTCTATAAGCTCATTTTTTGCCACATCATGTGTGCCAAGTTCTGCAGAAGCTGGCATGGTAAATGTGGCTAGTGAAAGAAGCAAGGATCTCTCCAACTTCATATTTTCCATCCTCTCAGTTGAACTCCCTGTGTAGGCACCTGCCTTATGTGGCATGCATGCTCCCCTGGAAAAATTTTAGACTTGACCTTCTGAAATGCTACTTGCTGGATTTTGAGAGGGGAATTTCAAACGTGGTCGTTCTGAGACATTCAAGGATGGAAGGACTGATGTGGGAGAGAGCCCTGATAGAAAGTACAAGAGATGAATACATGTCATAACATCAGCATGAAAGTTCATCTGAGTTGGTCAATTACATTATGAAAAACTTAAACTGTTCTCCAACTCAAAATTTGACTCACCAGAAATTTTCGACTGAATCACTCAGTCATCCTCAGCTATCTGACCCAAATGCTGTGGCCATGTGATTTTTCCCACGTGTGACGTCAGCAAAGGGTCAAAGGTTGTCTGAAGTCAATACCGCCCCCCGTCCCAGTTGAGCGATGGTTGAAGTGCCCTTTGCTGATGTCACACGTGGGAAAAATCACGTGTCCACAGCATTTGGGTCAGATAGCTGAGGAAGACTGAGTGATTCAGTCGAAAATTTCTGGTGAGTCAAATTTTCAGTTGGAGAACAGTTTAAGTTTTTCATAATGTCATAACATCATAACACTAGAGTTCCGGCCATTCAGAGGCACCAATTGTTAACACCATACAGCTGCAACATAATCTGCGACACTTGAATCAGTTTTTTCTTTAAACCAAATTGTTCTGTGTGTGCAAAGGACCACTTTGAGATGCTGGAGACCAGCTCGACCAGGGCTTCTGGGAAACGTTCCCTAACATCCCTCTACACAGCCGTCCCGCCTACTAAACGTTCTAGCAATCCCAAAGCAGCTGCCACAAATTTGCCTTTTGTCTAATGAGCTGTACCATGTACCACCCCATACCTTGCTAGTGGAGGCCTTATAAGTGGTTTTCAGTTTCTGTGAGAGTTGACTGGATGCTGGAAAAATAAAATAAAGTAATGTCAGCAATAAATCAAACAGTCTAACAGTTCATCATTCCACATTCAAGCTAGATATAGGCAATATGATGTTATAATGTAAAGGAAAGCATAGTTAGTTTATCTCTTCTCTACAAATACAGGTCTTGAAATACTAGGTGCAAGCGCTGGTTAGTGCAAGTAAAGTTGGAGCTGTGTAGGTTTTTCTGATGTCTATACTACCTGCACTTAATCTGCACTGGTCCATGTGCTGGGTTTATATATACATCTAGGTATTTTTATTTGCATTGTCTGTTACCAACTATGACAGTTAAAAGAAACAATGTCAATGGTTTTTGAACAGTTTTTAGTATGATCCATACTTCTCAAAGCCTGAGTGGCACAGGTAAAAATGCCTGATACAGGTTATTTTCAATGTTACTGTGTTTCATTACTACAATGCCACATCCCTTATTGAACATACACTTACACTTGTTCTTAGCGATATTGGCCTTGGCGGTTCCATCCAGTGACTCCTCCCCCATGGGTTTATCACTGGTGCCAGCCTCAAGTCTCTCTGTTAGGACCTCCACCTTCTCCTGAACTGCAGTGAGATACCCAATCACATGTCAACACTATCAGGACCTCTACCTTCTCCTGAACTGCAGTGAGATACCCAATCACATGTCAACATTATCAGGACCTCTACCTTCTCCTGAACTGCAGTGAGATACCCAATCACATGTCAACATTATCAGGACCTCTACCTTCTCCTGAACTGTAGTGAGATACCCAATCACATGTCAACATTATCAGGACCTCTACCTTCTCCTGAACTGCAGTGAGATACCCAATCACATGTCAACATCATCAGG